GCTAGGGTATGGGATAGACTAGTATACGTCTAACTTTCCTATGTTACCTCTTTTCTTCTCTCCTTTGTATAATCCAAAGACCCTAGGTAATTAGATGAGCAAGTATAGCTTAAGTAGAGCCAGAATAGAAGTCTTTTCTAACCCTAACCCTAAAACCCTAGAGGGCATAAGTATATACGGACAATACGTAGTACGGTATATCTATAGGTACATTAATGCTCTCTAGGCCTAGGAAGGGGCGACGGTCACCCTATAGTGGTTACTAGCCTATAAGGGATGGTACGGCAATAAGTAGGTAGATAAGTAGGTAAAAAAGGCACTAGATAAGGAATAAGGAGAGGTAGAGGGTGCTACTACGTAACCCTTAAGTTCTACTAACCTCCTAACCTTCTTAGACCTCCGGATATCTACTAACCTTCTTATACCTACTAACACCCTAACGCCTCCGGACGCGCGTAACCGTAGCATAGTAAAGTCGAGGATATATTAGCAACGCTATATAGGAGTTATAAGAAAGATGGCCTTAAGGGTGGCTAAGAAGACACTTTAAAAGAAGCTAGATAAGACCTAGAAGCAGGCTAGGAGTATAAGACCTCGAGACACGCTACATTCCGGATCGTATACGTAGAAGCTAGACGGAGCTCTCCTAGGTTCCTATATAACGATAGTGTATAACATACTGTTAGCGGAAGAAGCGTCGATACTAGCCTAATGCCGTATAGGGCACTCCCGACTAAAGAGTGACCTATACCGGATAAAGCTAGTAGACTTAGCAGGGTACGAATGCGGAGCCACGCGAGAAACGATTAAGTATGTCATATACGAATGCCCCCTCCTACGCGAAGACCGTCAAATTGTCATCGAGGCAGTAGGGCATAGGTGGAGGGACCTCTCTTATATACTCGAGGGGTGGAATCCCTAGGAAGACCCGAGAACTAGGTAACTAGTCGACGGACCGAAGGAAAAGTGGAAGGCGAACCTCCCGGCGGTGAAGGCGGTTCTCCACTTCCTTCACAAGTCCGGCAGGTATGCATGGCAGACGAGAGCTGTCGAGTAAGGGGAAGCTAGAATGGAACAAGGACAGATAGGAACAAAGAAGGAAGAACCAATAGGAGACGGCTTATAGGTTTGCCGTAGAACTAAGTAGCCTGATCAATTAAATCAATCAATCAATCAATCTAGTGTTAGCAATAGAAGGATCCCAAGAGAATTAATGTCTGGATAGCAGAGATGGAGTTTTGATCCATGACGTTGATGAGCTCGTTGTCTGCATTCTGAAATAAGTCGGAGCTCAGCTGTTTCCATTGTCGACTCGGTCTGCCTGTCTCAACTTCTGGTCTCTGCGATCTATACCAGGAGGCCATGCCCAACATAGTTGATAGTAAAATTAGGAATGACTTTTGACCCGTTCCAGCAAGGCCGCCATGGACTGACAAGAACATCTCTCTAGACTTCGGCTCGTAGATGACGAGAGAGAATCAATGCACGGAAGAAAAGTATTCGTCCAAGAGATCAATGATCACTTCGGATGGTGGCAAAGGATGTGTCAGGAATGCGCTCGTCGGGTATTTCTCGATCACTGGCGAGGGTGCAGATAGTGTGGGATTACCGTTCTCGGCTCCCGGTATAGCACTCACGGCAAACTCATCAAGCTGTCGTTGATCGAGACTGTAAATTTTCCGGGCCATACTCATGGTAGATTCGGCTTCCCCATCATCTCCTGTATCACTGCGAGTGTTGCCAAGATGATTGTCAAAGTGTCCAGTCTCGGTGGGGTGGTCATCAGTGCTTTCCAAGGACTGGAGGCGGTGAACAGGGTGCAATCGACGCTCATCGTCATCTGTAGACTCTCCCTTCCGCCTTCGTTTAGCGGTCGTTGGACGCGACACTGGCGTCTCTGTCGTCGAGCCGACCTGTCTCGATGTGACAGGCCTGGTGTTGTTGCTTGTACAGTCTGAGCCGGCTCGTAGACACAGCGAGCAAGGGCGGAAGGTATCACATCTCGATTTGTTCCGCTTACAACGATCGCATGCCTTCGAGACACGCGTCGCCAAAGGCGTCTGCTGCCGAAGGTCCTGGTTGATTTCGTTCATGTCATGTTTGGAAGGAAAGAGGAGCCTTCCGGCGGATGCGGGGATTGAACGGCGAACACAGCTGGCGGGTTTCCCCTCTCGGCACAAAGCCGGTGCGCGTGCTCGGAATTACAGCAGAGCATCAACATTCATGTCGGTCGTCCTATGTTGCGAAGGTCAACCAAGCCTTAAGCGACGCGATTGAAGCGATCGCTACGCATGCCAGCATAATTAGCTTTGTTGACATCACTTGACTTTCCGATGGCAACAACGTTTGCTGAGCACACCCGACGCGGCGTGCCATATTTGCCTGTGTCGATACTTTGCAATCATCGAATACAATACGGACACCTCCATGCGGTCACAGCCTGACACAGCGCGCTACAAATGGAACAGCTGCCTCCTACTTCAATTGTTGAGATGACATGATGACATAATCCATCGATCCTCGTGTGCGGCCAGGGATAATTAGCGAGGCTATGTTAGGGTGCTACCCGCAGCCACTTGATGAACGACCTCAAACCACGACAACATCACGAATATTAGGCTTAGGATATTTTCGAGAGTTTTATGTTGTTCTGTGCCTTCTAGTTTTCCACTCAAAATGTCGAGAAGCGTCTATACCCTAAGTCCAAATGGAAGTCGACTGGTATACCTAACGCAGCGAGTGACCTGATGTTAGAACCTGGCGCGCAGATCTCTTCGGTTCGCCGGACCTTACCTCATGCACTTCATGCGTCAATCCTTCGCCAAGATCTCACCGACGCGCCGACGTTCGCGCTCTAATGACTCCCGCTGCCTGCTATACCACGAACAGATCGGCATGCTATTCCTCCAGGCGCGTCTGAGTCAGACCTGCCGTGCTGACATGTTCAAAGTCGTTTTCCAGGAGAGTTCTAATGCTAGGCGCCATATCGTATCATCACCGACCCTTCCCTGACACTGTTCCATCCAACATGCAAGACAACGACATTTCTGATCGCGAACGCTGACGACAATCTGGCCTATCATCGGACAAGAATCAGCAGATAGTGCTTAATGGACTTAGAGACGGGTACGCGCAGAACAGCAACGAAAGAAGAGCAGGATCACAACACGACGCATGCACGCATAGATGTACAATCCGCCGCCCAACCTGGTGGCTTCTTGATGTGCTTTGCGAGTCTACTAGTCTTGAGTCCAGCATTTTATCTGCTCAGGATTGGATGACGTTACTTGCAGACTCCCTGGACAGAATCTCCGCGCCATTCGACCAGTGGAATGTCTACAGTTCTACTTTCTCAATCCTGATGGTAGACTGCTTCTTGGGATCGTCAGCCGTCATCATCATATCTCCATCCATCGGCGGTAGCTTCTTTCCGCGGACCTGTGCCCATATCGTTCTTCGGACTGAACGGGCAAACAGTGCATCCATCTCTTCGAGAGTGATGCCTAAACGCTGATTAGCATCGGTGTCAATCGAATCATGAAATCCACATACCTTTGGTCTCGGGTACGAAGAAGAACGACCAGATGCCCATGGCTACAAGAATCACTCCAAAGAAGAAGTATGCACCATAACCAAGATCCGAGATCATGTACGGCGTTGATCTTGCAATGATGAACGATCCTAACCATGTATCTGCCGTCGTCAATGCAACGCAGAGCATCCGAATATCCAATGGGAAGATCTCGGAAGCTGCGACTATCAGTACACGCTCAAGGACGGAATACAAGGGCGCTCACCATATGTCCATGTGATGCCTTGCCACGTCGCACAGATGATGAAGGCGTTGACATATACGCACACCATGGCTAGATAACCCCAGCCATCACGATTTGTGTTCCCGGCTGCCAGAGCAGCCAACGGATCTGCTCTCAAGACGTAGCCACCGATGTACAGCATGGGTACGCATCCCAGCGCTGCACCCCAGATGAGGCCTTTCCGTCGGCCGACTCTTTCTACCACCACCATGGTAAAGGTGATCATTCCCAAAGTCTTGGAGATACCGTAAAACCCGGTAGAGAAGAGTTTCAGCGATGTCCCTGGCACACCGAGCGATTCGAAGATGCGAGGTGCATAGTAGGTGATGATGTTGACACCTGTGAAGGACTGCAGGAACATGAGAGCGAGACCGATGCCCATGCGGTTTCGTACGCCTTTCTGGAAGAGCTTTTGGACCTGTTGTTTCTTACTCATCTTGTTTGTGCTACGCTCTTCGACTTGGATCCGGATCTCGTTCATCTCGTTGCGTATATACGGATGATTTGATGGAAGGTTACGCAGGCTACTGATGATCTGCTCCGCCTTGTCAAAGTTATCACCTTTGGCCAACCAGCGTGGTGATTCTGGACAGAAGAACATGCCACCACATAGAAGGACACCTGGTACGAGCTGCAGTGCCAAGGGTATGACCCATTGCGCTTTGTTGTCCGAGTCGATAGTACGATCCGTGGCATAGTTGATCCAGAAACCTGGAGAAAGGTATCAGTCGATGCCTTGATAAGACATGTAAGCTCACAACGTACCTAACATGCCTCCTCCTTGGGAAGCAATCTCGAAGATACCTATCAGACGTCCACGAATAGAAGGCGGAGCTGTCTCAGAAATGTAGACTGGAACGACCAGAGAGCAGGCTCCTATACCCAGGCCAGCTATAGCGCGTCCAGCGACTACCATGTCCATTTTGCCATTCGCAGCTGTCATGAGTGTTGCCCCAACGAGGAAAACGGCTGAGGCGGCCATGACAGTAAGTCTACGACCATATTTCTCTGCGAACGGGAAGGTAAGAAGAGCTCCGAAGAAGCAGCCAGCCTGGCAAGAGCGATCAGCAGGCGAACGCATATGATATTCGATCCTCCATGTTTACCTGGAAGGTAGAGACAATGTTGCCCTGCACTGTGTCACGATGGGTAGGAGAAGCATCGGCAAGCCCGAAGTCTCTTCGGAAAGAGTCGAGCGCCATGGTTCCTCCAATCACAGAGGTATCATAACCCACTATTCAAGCAACGTCAGAGAAGGTAGGTTCGTAGACAGGAGACGACTGACTGGCAAGGGCACTCATCGAGGCCACAAAGGCCACAAGATGAATCTTCCAGTTTCGAACCTCGGGAGGATCCTGGGTTCCGGTTGCGTGAGTCGACCATCCCATTCTGGTAAAGCTGGATTCTCGGATGGGATAAGAGGGTTAAAGTGTGCTGTCTCGAGTATGCTAGAGCTTGCGAAGTGTTCTGTTGTTCACTGACGATCAGATACGAGCCCCGATCCAACGCACGATGGAGCATGACTTTATAGGACTTGCCTCGTCAACGACTACTACGCCCGTAGCCATTGGATGGTATACACCACGCACACAGTACATCTGTACATGTGATACAAAAGTATTCGCCAAGCCAACGTCCAGGCCATTCCCTAGATGTTCATTCGCAGATCCGGCATGGTTGTGGAGCGATATCTCAACTACTCCGCATTCTCTCCGCATTTCTCCGCGTCTCGGTATACTTCCGATGCCCCTATCTCACTGATCCTGACTCGACCGCAAGCCATATTCTTGGGAGGTGTGCTGATTGCACTGAGACAAACTCGAAGGAAGATCGCTATCTACTTGGCTGCTTTAGCTGGAATGCAGACAAGACCACAACCCCGTTGGCGGCCGGTATCTGGAGTCGTAATTCGACTCACAAGAGTTGGCGATCGATTGCGGTATGCTGCTGCTCGAGGCATCGCTATATATGGTCAACACACGTGACCGTAAGTGTGTAGTGGATTCGGCTCAAGGAGGGATGGTAAGACCCTCCTAGAGGACTAAATTCGATGACTGGAGGCTTCTCAAAAAGTACCACATTTAGCCTGAAAAAGTAGTAAGAGCTGTTATCGCTGCGTACGCGGCGAGCTACAGACATGCCTTAGTATACCAATCACCACATTGATTTCATCCTTGCAAAGGAGCATCTCTCATTGGTGCGACCGCCAGAAACCTTCCCCCACTACCCCGCACCAAGGAGCGACTGCCATGGATGTATTCGCGTGACAAAGACACCGCCAAGTCAGCGCCACGCCAATACAAAGAAACGCCGAGACTCCAAGAGCACTGCCACACCAAGGTGATTCGTCGTACATGACCTATCCTAGTATGGTGCATCGGATTGCGCTGTTCAACCTGTCACTTAACCATTCGATCGAACGATAAGGTCCCGCAACCGCGGAGTACGACACTTATAAGTGACCTATTGTATCACCTCGTACTTTCTACAACCACCACAATATCTGACTGTACCTTCTACAGTTATCGTCTGCCTCGACAAAAGCTCAACCTTACCAACATCGATGGGAGAAACTTACATTAGTCCTCATGAAGTCCATAACCATGGCGACTCTGGCAGCACTCCTGCCACAAGCAGCACCATCGCCACTCTCGACGGCTCTGTCGATGAACCACCTATACGAAGTGCGGGCTCGTCCCATTATCTGACTGAAAAGTCAGGGGGCGAGACTCGCTGTTCAGAAAAACCACCCACTATCGACCTCTTTGTCGACCAAGCCGATATAGCCACATGTGCTCACATCTTGATTGGTATCGAGGTCGCACGTCGTCTCGAGACTGATGCCGAGTAAGTTGATACGTCTGTAGAAAGAGATGTCAATACTAACGAGTCGTGAAGAAGAGGTCTGTCCGAGAATGAGTGCACCTTGCGTCGAGAGAAGTACGGTCGCAACAAGCTCGAGAGCTCGGGAAGTGTGACTTGGTACAAGATTCTCCTTCGACAAGTGTCCAACAGTCTCACCCTTGTTCTGGCTATCGCGATGGCCCTCTCGTACGGTACCGGTGACTTTATCGAAGGCGGTGTCATCACCGCCGTCATTGTCCTAAACATCGTCGTTGGATTCTTCCAGGACTATCGCGCAGAGCAGACAATCCAGTCTCTTCGTGCCATGGCAGCCCCAGCATGTCGTGTAGTCCGTGAAAACGGTACTTTGCTTAGCATCAAAGCTGAAGATCTGGTTCCTGGAGATATCGTGCAACTCGCCACTGGTGACATCGTACCTGCCGATCTCAGGCTCTATTCAAGCATCAACATGGCCACAGATGAGGCATTACTCACTGGAGAGTCCAAGCCTTGCACCAAAGACGCCCTGAAACATCTCCACAATGTCGAGTGTCCGCTTGGTGATCGTATCAACATGGCATACTCTTCTACCACCGTCACGCGTGGAAGAGCTCAGGGTATCGTCACCGCGATCGGTATGGACACCGAGATCGGCAAGATCGCGCAGCTCTTGCGTGACAAAAAAGGTCATGAAGACAGTTCTACCTTCATCTCTCGTGCTGCCAGACGTGTTCTCCATGGCATCAAGAGTGCCCTTGGTCTCATTGGGACGCCACTCCAAGTAAAGTTATCCTACTTTGCTCTACTCTTGTTCGCCCTCGCTATCCTGTTGGCAATCATTGTTTTCTCCACCAGCCTTTGGGACATTGATGGCGAAACACTCATATACGGTATTTGTGTCGCCGTTGCTGTCATCCCCGAATCTCTCATCGCTGTTCTAACTATTACGATGGCCATTGGGTCAAAGGCTATGGCTGCCAACAATGTCATCGTCCGTAAGCAAGCTGCTCTCGAGGCTGTTGGTGGCGTCACCAATGTTTGCAGTGACAAGACCGGTACTCTTACCCAGGGCAAGATGCTTGCAAGAAAAGCACTTCTACCGAGTGGCAAGCGTCTGACTGTCGTCAACGAGCTCAGTCCCTTCGACCCTACTAGCGGAATGGTCCTGGTCGACGACGTTCGTCTCGAGACCGCAACAGTCAACGAGATTGATGAGCTTCGCTACTTCTTCTCGACTATCGCGTTGTGCAATATGTCGAATATTATCCCACCTCAAGACGACCAGACTCTGTGGTCTGCGACTGGCGAGCCTACCGAGATCGCGTTGCATGTTCTTGCTCGTCGTGTCGGTCAAGGCAGAGATGAAAGTCTTACACGCACCGGCATGTCATTACTTACAGAGCATTCTTTCGACTCCTCGGTGAAGCGTATGTCTGTGGTCTATAAGCTGTCTGCCTCGGACCCCGCCATTGTCTCTTTCACGAAGGGTGCCACCGAAGCACTTCTACCTCTTCTCGACATGAAGGATGATCAACGCAGGGACATCTTGCACCAGGTTGATATCATGGCTAGTGAAGGATTACGTGTTCTCTGTCTTGGCTATCGCCATCTTGACGATGTCGACCCCACGTCCATCATTGACCGCAACTTCATTGAGGCTGAAGGCTCTCTCAGCTTTGCCGGTCTCGTCGGTCTGTATGATCCTCCTCGTTTGGAGTCTGCCGGAGCGATCAAGCAATGTCAGGCAGCTGGTATCGTCGTGCACATGCTCACTGGCGATCACCTCAAAACTGCAACTACTATTGCCAAAGAGATTGGCATTCTTGGACCTGACGTGTATGGCTCGAATGCTCAGACTGCTGTCATGACTGCCATGGACTTCGACAAATTGACCGACGACGCACTTGATGTCATGGATCCTCTTCCCTTTGTGCTTGCTCGCTGCAGTCCTACCACCAAGCTGCGCATGCTTGAGGCTCTCCATCGTCGTGGTCGCTACTGCGTCATGACTGGTGATGGTGTCAACGACTCACCTGCTCTGAAAGGTGCAGATGTCGGTGTCGCAATGGGCCTCAACGGCAGTGATGTGAGCAAAGAGGCCGCAGATATGGTCTTGACGGACGACAACTTCGCTTCGATCGTATCTGCCATTCGTGAAGGTCGTCGCTTGTTTGACAATATCCAGAAGTTCTTGCTTCATCTGTTGATCTCCAACATCTCGCAAGTCATCTTGCTGCTCATCGGGCTTGCCTTCAAAGATCGTCATAATGTGTCTGTCTTCCCACTATCGCCTATCGAGATTCTTTGGGCCAACCTTCTGACCTCTTCTTTCCTGGCTATTGGTCTAGGTATGGAGGAGGCATCCGCTGATGTCATGACCCGCGCCCCTCACAGTCTCAGAGCAGGCGTGTTTACAAAAGAACTCATCATAGACAAGTTCATCTATGGTACCTTCATGGGCGTGCTCTGCTTGGCCTCCTACGTGATTGTAGCCTTCGGCATCGGTAACGGCGACCTAGGTTACGATTGCAACGAATCTTACAACCCAACCTGCGATCTGCCCTATCGCGCCCGAGGCACAGCTTACAGTGTGCTTACCGTCCTCCTCTCTGTCATGGCCTGGGAGGCCAAACATCTAACTCTCGGGCTCTTTAATATGGACAAATCGACCTCCTTCATCGGCAACTTGATGAAAAATCGCTTCTTGTTCTATTCTGTCTGTGCTGGCCTACTTACTCCCATCCCCATCATCTATATCCCTGTGGTCAATAAGCAGGTGTTTAGACATACTGCGTTGACTTGGGAGTGGGGTCTAGTGTATGGCAGTGTTGTGCTGTTTGTGTCACTTGTGGAGGCTTGGAAGGCGATCAAGCGACGTAAGGGGTATGGACAGGGGAAGTTGAACGAAAAGTATATCGAGAGAAGTGATGATAGTAGTGTCTTGACTGCTGTCTGAATGAGCTGATGGTGAGGTTATCTTCAAGCCTCTCGAGAGGCTGAGGTTGTGAATTCGAGCACTGTCTTTACTGTCGTCTTTTGTTTTCTGTCGGACATATACCGTCCCCAACAGTCGCTACCCAGGGTTTTGCGCGGTTCTTAGTTTATCTCACTCTGCTTTGCGCGCCATCAAGCATGTCAGACTCAACATCGATAGTGCAAATACAACCTCAACATAAATATGTCTAATGCATATCATATCCAGTTCTGATTCTGATTCTTTTCAACCACCAAGACCGCTATCAACTCTGCTTCAGACAATGGAAATCGAACTCAACGGCAGTCAGGGACTCAGTGGATTGGACTTGGACTTCCAGTGGTCTTGGAAAGAGGGATGTTCAAGTCAGCCTGTCCAGTCCCATCACTAATCGAACGTGACACAAATCATTGTGCTCACTTACAACGCGATTGTTTTTTATATCACCATAGATGATGTACAATGAGAATAAGAGGTGCTAAAAGAGTTGGCAAGCCGAGATGTGTACCTGCAGGCAAGTGTTTGCACGTCATGTTCTCATTTGTGCACCGCCGCCAAAAGCATCAGGCAATGCTGCTCAGTCTGGCACCAAGATGTACGTAACAAAGTAGCAGCAGATGCAACGGAACGTCCCCAATCCCCCAATTAAGCTGACCCAGATCATATCGTAAGGTAAGCCTCATATCGATGCAAAATCGTAGCGTAATCGTTATACCATTCTTCCAGCCACCCAGTCGCGTCAAACAGTCGGGATGTCCAACAACTCATCGTAGGATCGAGAGATCTCATACCCCCCGTCAATCTCCTCAGCTTGGCACCACATTGCTCAATCTGCAGATGGTCTCTTATCAAGCACTGGCCGTATGTATTCCCGGGGCTTGTAGACGCTGCTAGAGTCGTGACCAACACAAAGAGGGAGTAGACGACCGTAGGAGCAAAAGAAAATGTTGGAAGGCTGAGCACAAGGGCGGGGTCCATGTTAGTAGCCGAATCGATGACGGCGTGGCAGTGATGCACGAGAGCTTCTAGAGCTGATCTTAAGGGTGGTATCATGTTAATTGGCGTGGGGAAATCTTTGACTGGGATCCGGGCTGGAATGTAAGGTGCAGCGAATGAGGGCTTGTTTGTCTGAGTGTGCAGGACGACTTCGTAGATATGAACCATGGCGACATGTCGCAGAACTCTGAGCGTAGACGAAGTCGCGAGGAGCGGAGGAAGTTGAGTTGTCCAAGCGTCGACCTTGTTTTTCAGATTTTCCATCGTGGAATGAGTGCCGTACTCATTGCCATCCACGAAAGTCGCCAGACGAAAAAGGTGCAACTCGCCAAGGATGACTTGGATCAGTTGTGTGATGCGGACAATTTGACAAAGTAGAAGATCAAGTGCTTCGCCCGTGCTCTCGAGGAACGAAAGACATTCTTGGAGATGGGCATCCCACGGCACTGCGTTGAGACGGCGCATATCTACAGAACATGTCGAGAGGGCAACATAGCACGCAAGCCAAGTACGTCGACCCTCGAGCGATGTCGCATCCTCCAACCGGCAGAAGTATGCTGCAGGCGAGGGTTGCCATGCGAACCCGGCGATACCCAGATCGATTGCCATATCCACAGCCAATTGGACAACCTGATAACAGCTCGCCTGCTGGCCCTTGCGGGTATTTTTGCTCCAGAAGGCCGACAAGAGCAATGCTTGCACAAGTTCAATCGATCTTTGGCCCCTGCCTATCACCTCATCGCCAAGTACGCGCATCGTCTCTCGTACTAGGTCGTCGTGTACCTCCAAGTCAGTGCCTTGCATGTTATGTGTGCATGTAAAGGCCAAAACAGACATGAGCAGGATCGGAGACTTGACGCGGATCTGGTCCAAGTCCATAGATATACGAACGACGGGCCATACAGCGCTCACTTGATGCCTGAAGAAGTACAGCAGGTCTTGCTGCTTGCGAAGCGAGACACGTGCATCCAGGTAAGACAAGATGTATTGATTCTGGTCCTCCACAGGCTTTTCAGGCGAGCGACTTGGCGTGTCGTTGCTACTTTGATCCGACAAGGCGAGTTTGAGTTGTTCGATTTGGGCTTCGAGCTGGTTGATGCGGTCGCGTTGAAGTCGTGGAGCTGCCGGAACACACTCCAAACCGTTCCGGCTACACCTCTCGCAAGCTTTCAGCTGCGAGGTGTTTACATCACACTTGATCTTGAGCCGGTGACACTCTTCGCAAGCACGGTTCCGTTTTCCCATGTTGCGATCTGATCGAGCGACGCTTATGGGAGTATCGAAGTGGAACGGTGGCTTCCATCTGACAGAGGACGCCAGTGCTGACCATGCCGGCTAAATTTGGCCGTTCTGGACCAGCGCGGGCAAGCTGAGCACCATTGAGCCAGTCTGCATGAACGACTTAGCGAATAGGGACGCCGTCGGCGAGATGTGACCGCGTCCACGCCCGAAGCAAGTCGACCGGTGAGAGAAGGAACCGAAGAAACCTGGAAGGAAGGCGCCAAGCAGGAAAGTGCATCTCGCTTGCGCTTCTCCACAAGACTTCCATTCTCCGCAAACAAAAAAACGTCGGCCAAAACTGGCCGTCTCTTCCTTCGACAGCAGCTCGCTCTCCAATTTCATTGGTAAGAATGCTACCTTGACATCTTGGCAAAGGCTGAGCAATCCACTCACTGCCATGCACTGTGGACCTCCTCGACCCTACACGCATACAAGAACAATATCGAGCACACAAACGATGATTCAAGAGTCAATTCTCCGATCGGGGTCTCGTATCTATGGCAAGTTCATTTCAGCTGGACTGCATAACTGCTGCCTTCCATCTCCTGAGACTCGGTACCATGCTGCACTGCCATCTTGAGCTGGGGTATAAAGAACACAGTCCCATCCTGTGGACATTGAACTCAAAACCACCGCCAACGAACTTCTCACTCAACCATCATCCTGTCCAGTATCTACAACTTCGTACGCATCAACATGCGTCCTTCCATATGCTCTCTCGCCTTCTTGATAGGCACCTGTTCGGCTCAGGGCGACCTCGCTGCTCTCCTGTCCTCCCAAGCTGATCTCAGCACTTTGCTCGAACTTGTAGGTCTCGTCGATGGCTTAGCGGCCACTCTCTCTGCAGCTTCCAACATCACCATCTTCGCACCGACCAATGACGCCTTTGCCAAAGTGCCTCGCGACGAGCCAGAGGGAGCGGCCGTCGAATATCGCAATGAGACTGTCGCAGTCGCTGCTCTTCTGGCCAATCACGTTTTCAAAGGAGTTTACCCGTCCGATGTCATTACTGATGTCCCCACATTTGCTCAAACTTTGCTGAATAGCTCTTATGTCACTGCCACTCAGCCTTTCTCGAACATCACTGGTGGTGCTTACAACGGACTCGTCAAGAATGAAAATGACGTTTGTGTCTTGTCTGGGGAGGAAACGATCTCGACTGTAACCCAGGCTGATATTAAGCTCGGCGAAGGTATCACAATTCACAAAGTCGATACTGTCTTCTCGTTCGGCGCTCCTCTCCAGCTCTTTACCTACCGCGCTGGATACCGTGCCATGAATGCTGCACTCGAGGCTGCCAACCTCGGATTCGATGTCGGTCTCAGCGGTCCTGATCAAAAGGGTCTCAACATCTCAGACTTCACCATCTTCATTCCCACTGATGCCGCCTTCGAGTCTATTGGTTCAGTCCTGGAGTCTGCCGACCTCGCAACGCTTCAAGAAGTCCTGAAGTTCCACATCATCCCCAATAGCGTCATTTTCTCGCCTTCCTTAGGCAATGTCACTGTACCTTCTGTCCAGGGTACCAACTTGACCTTTACTGTCTTGCCCGACGGTTCTGCTTGGGTGAACAACGCAAAGATCACCTTCCCTAACACAATACTGTTTAACTGCGTCGCCCACGTGATTGATACGTGAGTACTGACACCCGATGACCATACAGGCTGAGCTGACTATCTTCAAGTGTCCTGGCCCCTGGTGAATTCAACCGCTCTTCTCTCAAGCCTTCCGCTGCCGTAGGCGAAAGACTCTCCTTCCCTAGCGCATCCTCCGTGGCAGTCTTGCCCTTCACCAGCGTTGCATTCGAGGGTGACACTATGACATACGCATCAACTCCTCGTCTCCTGCAGACTGTCGCGGCAGTCGCTACTTCTCCTTCGAGTGCTTCCGCTGCTTCTTCGAGTCCGCCACTTGCTCCTTACACTGGCTCTGCCGTGAGCCTTGCTACCAGCGGTATGGTGGTCATGGCTCTTGCGATTGGTGTTGCTGCGCTGTTGATGTAGCTAAGTTGAAACCACCATCCGTCAGTAGGAAAAGGGTTTCTCGCGACAAAGGGTGTTACACGGTCTCTGGCATAGTCCAAGATTTCCGCTTTTTGCTTTGTTGTTAAAGTCGTGAATGCCTTTCATTTATACAACGCTAATATATGCTTGATACTTTTGCTTCCATGCCTGGCTTTGTATGCTGTCGTGAATTCTGTAAAAACGTGTCGCTAAAGTGCACCAAACAATCTGCGGTACTTTGAACTTGACAACTCTTCCCTATAGACAAATCTCTTGAGCAATGATTCCATCTGCTCCCAAGTCTTGATGCCAGAATGTTTCATCAAAGCGCTCATGTGCTCATCTCCACTTTGCGAAGGTGTCGCATGGCTGTTGAGTGTCATCTTGGCCCAAATCGCCACGTCGTGATATTTCGTGCCCAGCAGTTCATGTGTTCTCAGGTGTTGACATGATTGGGCATGAACATCGATACCAGCTTGCACGTCAAGCTCCCAAGTGGCGTTGTGGGCACGAAGGCATGCCGCCATAACAGGTGCATTCGAAGAGATCATGGCAGATCGAATATGGTAGCAGGCGTTTAAATGTAGTCTGTCCCATTGATCCTCATAGTTGACGTCAGGCGTCGAGGAAACAGAATGGCTGGCGTTCCAAGACATAGTCTCTATGACGAGTTTGCGAAAGCCCGCGATGGAGTTTTTGGCAGTGTAGTCGAAAGTCGCGCAGTTGGTCACCGTGCTTAACAGACTCAGTGCCTCGGGTCGGTCGGCAGGCACGATGTGGAATCCGAGTGGAAGGTTTTCAGGGAGTACAGTGCCGTATATCGATGACCGATTGAGCGAGAATGCCAGCTCTGCGACATATCGTTCCTGCGTCGCTTCCCGGAAGCACACCATCGCTACATCGGTCAGTGCAGCAATACCGCTATCTTCCAGCGACCCGACTGCCAGCGGCAAGTTTTTCCAGGCCTTCATGTGGATCTCGTAGGATCTGTGATCGCCGAACCTGCGCTCCCAGCCAGCTAGAAGCGCAAGTGAGATCGAGTTGAACCCGTCTCTCGGCGTGCGGATAATGCTTTTCTGGATGCTGTCGAGTAAAGCTCCTCGAAGATATAGCATACCAGTGCCGAAGCCAGTATGCAATTCATGTGGGGCGATACCGCAGGTGTTTGCATGAGTGCTAGCTACGAAAATTGCAGCCTCGAAACACAGAGTGCCTCCGGTGAATGCGCTCCAGAGCAAGATGCGGTCAGACTTCTGAGCCAGGGAGGCAAAGGCGTGGGCATCATGAGATCGCAGTCTGGAAAACAGACGGGTGATCGAGTCGTGAGCTGCCTTGTCCGCTTGCACCTGTGCCTCTGATACCTCTGCAGCCTGTTTCGGTGCTTTGATGGCCTTTCTCGGCCCCAGAGCTTTGGCAAGGGATGTTTTGCGGGCGATGGTCGCTTGCCGGGCGCCCGAGGACGTGTGCGCGACATGCGCCCGCACAACACGCCGTTGTTGCTTGTACACTCCCAGAGCTCTTCGTTCCTTCAATGCTCGCGGGTCATACTCGACCCATGCAAATGAGGGCGGGCTCTTCGATTCATTGCTCATGGTAACCAGCCCAGTCGCATCGGAATGATGATGGAAACGTCGTTGGCTAGGGCAAAGTTTGACAAGGTACCTGGCGTGCTGTGAGACTTCAAGCTGTGGGCAGACAACTCAAATGCCGAAGCCAAGAGAAATGGCGATATATCTTGAGCACGGTCCACGTTAACCTGAACGGAGCTTCAATCAGAATGCCATCGACCTGTTCCTAGACTGTGGCACAGCGATTGGTTGTAGGGTAAAGATGGAGAACGAAGGCTCTAAGTGGCCACTGCTCTCGACTCTAGAGATATAATGGTGTCAGGTAACCGTAAATCTTTACCCTTGCGATGTCTTTTCGGTCGAAAAGGACGCGCAGAGCTATTTGGCGACGTGTCTGCAATTGCCGGCAATAGTCGACGCGAGCATTGTCCCCTCAGTATGTGACATATCTTATCAGACTTTCTAGGGGCCGAATCAAGACACAATCACATCAATTGACGAACTCAGCTATTGCCCGCCGACAATGTGGCAGTCGGCATCTTGCCATGAACTGCGACGAAACGTTGCGGGTGGTGGCACCCTACTGATGTGTGGAGTCTTGGTGGCTTGTTGCCATCGGAAGGTATCAATGCATCGAAACGCACTAGTCTGTTAGAGGGTTCGATACCGTTGCCATCAATATTTCACTATCTGTAAACCCTCCGACATGCCGTGTGACTTTTCATGCACTAGGCATCTGTGGCCAGATCCTGCTCTTATATCGAGATCACCTATGGGCCTTTCGAGATCGCCAACGCTCTCCGCGCTTCCATGCTCAATCGTCCAACAGTTGCCAATGCTGCTGTGAAGGAGCTCATCAAAAAAGCCGGTCAGAGAGAAGTCAAGTATGAAGCAATGGTACAGAACAATACCTGCGGTCGCTTAGCAATTGCTGAGCCCGCAGCTGTGCGCGGTGTATGGCCAAGCATTTATGATCGAGGTATGTGAGCCTGTCAGAAAGATAAGACCGCGAAGTGGAACTCATGGAGGACTTGTAGGTGATGCGATCTCGTCTTCGAAGCCATGCGAACTGCAACGCAGCACGATTGGCTACCTTTCACGAGGCTGGCGATGATTTGAAACAGGAACTCTATTCGATTGCTCATATGTATATGACCTTTCTGTTCAATTTCAAAGATCGAGGCCAAAAGGCGCGTCTCAGCTGGCGGGTATACGACATTTGTAGACAAAAATAGCTTGTGCGAGTGTCAATTCCCGTATCCGGGCTATCGATAAGACATCCGACTTGGTGGCAGAAACAAGCTTCGCGCTCCGGGAATAACCCCTGGAAAATCCGCTGATGATATTGGGTTAGGTACAGAGATTTGTAGTCTACCGGTACTGTGACTTGAAAAGTTACGCAGATAGACGATTTCCCGCCTGTTCCGATTTTTGACATCATTATATTCCACCGAAGCGCCCAAGTGCATATCATCGCAATCAAGCGGCTCTTTCCCAGTGTGGCTCTAATTGGTCAAACTCTCGAAGACCAATACGAAGCATGACGACTATCCTGACGTCTATTTTTGGTGGACCTTTGTGTACAAATCATGCCGCGAGAGTTGAATACGTTTTATATTTCGGAGTGCTCGCTGACCAAGATACGTCTTATTCCTTCTCAGCTACGACCAGCATCGAACCATGCCACTTTCAGTCGTCGACACCGTACTACTTGCAGTGGGCTTTGCTCATGCTGCTATTGCGACAAACAGGGTACCGGATGGAGCCATTATCCTTCCTTTGACCTATAACGACTTCACAGCAGCCTACTATGCTCCATTCCAAGTCGGCACACCTCCTCAAACCGAATACCTCAAGGTCGACACCGGCTCTCCAACATTATCCTTTCTTGATCCGCGAAGTTCGTTTTGCGAGCAGTCCAATCGTCCGTGTATGACATATGGCACATTCGACAATGAAACATCATCGTACGTGGTTCGCAGATTCTGTTTTTTACTGATCTGCATATTGACGTGGCGCAACTCAGTACTTGTCGCTATCAAGGCACAGGCTTCGCAGATGAACTTGAGGACTTCGGTTCTGGTGTTTATCTGAGAGACACTGTAACACTACAAGGTATAACTACCGAGCACGTTGACTTCGGCTATCTCACCTCCTATGGCAATCCAAGCGGGATTATTGATCCGGCAGCAACTATTGCAGGTGAGTGAAATGATGCTGTTGTGACAGCACTTTGTGACCCAAAAGTCTGATTGGTCCCCACCAGGCTTCGCCACGAACTATCCTCCTGAAAAGGGACCTTATCTGTTGGCGCAATTGAAGAACGCATCAACCATCAACCGTAGATCTGTCAGCGTTTACCTGGGAAATGACACTGGCACTTCAGGGGCATCTCAAATCATCCTCGGTGGATTCTATGACAAGGCTAAGATGGCCAGCAAGCCCTTCACAGTCGAGATGGTGAACCCAAACAGTCAGACACTTGCCAATGGAGAGACAAATTCAGTCAACGTCACTCAAATTGAAGTCGTTGTCAATGGGAAGACCACAACCTTCAATCCGGGACCTTCGCCAGATATCGGACAACCCACTCTTCTCGATACCGGAAACCCACTGTGGATTCTGCCCACTCCGGTATTTGCTGCCGTTGCAGCTGGCCTCGGCAACTCTACCGCCAGGAACTACACTGGCGTGGGTTTCGTGGACGTTGACTGTAAGTATCGCTCTCCCAAACACGCCAATGGTCATGTGACCACTACGTTTGGCAGTGCTGGCAAGATAGAGGTGCCTTTGCACTCGCTGGTAGAGAAATTCTCGGGGGGCAATTGCGGTGCTCATATCTTCGAGATTGACGTAGGCAATGGCACAACGGCGTTTGGAGCACCATTCCTTCGTAGCGCATATGCTATCTTCGATCAAGAGGCTCTGACTATCAGCATAGCCCAGGTCAAGCATACTCATGAGGAGCATATTGTTGCACTTCCCGAAGGAGGATTTTAGTTTTAGCATGATCGCGAGATCTTCCACTTCATGCTGGCTCCGAAAGCCACCCGATCTTTGTTTTCATTCAAACTAATCGATGTCAATCAATAATGTGAACCCGATCATGCGATTTTTGTATGTCACAGTGAGTGTGGAAGCCACAGACCCGCACTCTTGGCGATATGTTGACAATGACTCACCTCGTAATCCCCCAGACCACCCCAGCGTTTGTTTGTACAATGATGTTCGCAAGCAATCTCCATAATCGACATCATATCAGCAATGTCAGACTCCAAAACCGATACCAAGACTCTTCTCAGAGGTCTGCCATCACTCAAAGGACCCTTTCGACCCGTCGACTTGACCGTCCTTCCCAACACGCCGCAAGAGGCCTTCCACGATTGGCTCCAGGACGCGATTGACAACAATGTCAAAGAGCCACATGCAATGACACTCTCGACAGTCGATGAGCATGGCTGTCCCGACGCTCGAGTTCTGATCCTCAAAAATGTCGATCATCGCGGCTGGCACTTCGCCATCAAAGCGGACAGTCCAAAGGGCAAGCAGATCGTCAACAATTCTGCCGTCGCATTGACTTTTTACTGGTCGCAACTCGGTCGTCAGATCCGTATCAGAGGTGTCGCGAAGGAACTCTCGGCTTCTGAATGTGCTGCCGATTTTCTTGACAGACCTGCAGGGTCGAAAGCCACGGCTCTTGCATCCAAGCAGAGCGAAGTCTTGACAGATACAACCACCCTGGAGCACAACTTGCAAGAAGCAAAAGATAAAATTGAGGCGCAACCAGGCTATGTCGCCCCTGCATGGAAGGTGTTCGCTGTCGCTCCCAAGACTGTAGAATTTTGGCAGGGCGCGACTGATCGCATGCATCAAAGATTGAACTATCGCATCTCTGAGGGCGAAGGGACTTGGGACCGAGATATTATCTACCCATGAGAAACTACCAAACTTTGGTGTAGCACCAATTCATTAAGAGCCTGTGAAGATTGTGGAAGTGGTACATTGAGGCACATCAATCAAGAGCTACTGTTCATTGTTATGTACGGCCAAGTCATTCAGCAAAGATATTCTTTCTGGTGAAGCTCATCATCTAGACCGAGAATGCGCTTGTGCGTTTTTCATGCAGACATGTCCTTGAAATACTGCCGAAGGTCAGGCCTCCCTAGATACGCTTGGAAATTTTAGCATCTGTGAGAGAAAATTCTTGTGACTGCTTACCAATGGACTAAACGCTTTAACAACTGCTACAGCGTTCCGAGATATGCACATCCTTTACAATGTGCTGTGGCGCTGGCGACTTGCAGAACTTCGTTTCGTCACACTTGTATGCTCGCTTTGTGTGGACGTGATGGCACAACGAAGAATAATAGATGTACCATCCGCAGGTGCACTGACTGGGATCGGATTGAGAGTTGATCAAACGCTGTTGAACATCGTTCTTGATAGCGTTGGATGCGATCGAGGGGATCGACATGTTGGCGTTGAACGAATCGGAGGTCTGAGTTGCGGATATCTAGAATCTGAGTTGCGGAGAGCGAGAAGAAATTGTGTTGTTGTCAGACTGATGATGGCAATAGGATTGAGGATTGTCGTAGGAAAGGCAAAGGCCCAGGTCGAGACTTTCGAAAGCTTTTGTACCCCAATGATCTAGCAGCGTTTGCACTGGATTGATTCGTCGAGGCCAGGGGACCCAATCATGAAGCGTGATCGTCCTAACGCCTGGCGCATGCGTGGGATGGAAGCACTCATTAAAGATCATCGCGATAAGCGCCTGTGGCGCTTTCAACAAGTCTCCGTCTGCCAATCCGGGCGTCGTTCCATTTGGTGAAGCAAACAAGCACAAAATGTGCCACCATGTTAAGCAGCTATCCTTATCGTCAACCGGTCATACTGCAGTGTCATCTTCGTTGTGCGCTTCACACCTTGTCACTCGATTGCAAGGACGACTCCAATTGGACAGCTCAGGCGCAACAAGTGCCGACTGAGTCCCAACACAAGGTTCCTTGCTTCCGGGACTCAGCGCTGAGATCTCGCATACGGACAAACGAGCTTCAGACAGGGTCAACGCTTGAACAATTTTCGCTCTGCCTTGTTATGATCGTCATTTTTCCCTCTTGAAGGTTGCTTCGAAAGACATATTCAATCCCTGCAAGCGAAACCGGAGATGTCAGATGGCAAGCCATGTATGTGCGAAGGAGGAGTGAACATTGTTGTTCGCTACTGTAACGATCGAACAAGCAAATCCTTCTCTTTGAAAAATATTGCCCAGTCTAACCTACGATCGACTGCCTCGATAATATTGGCTCCCTTGTGCCCACTTCTCGTCAAGGACTCCTAGTATTCGATGAGTTGCTGCTCCAAGACGTCTGAGAGTGTTAGTGTTCGCAAGGGAATAACGCTGTATGCCACCTACCTGCTTGACAGACTGCTTCAGCATGCTGGACACTGGGCCGAGACTCGCACAGCCGTCACGATATTCCGTGGAGCTGGAGATCTGCAGAACCCACTGCGGCCTGAGGGTGTCACTTTTGAGCCACAGCTATAAGCTTGCCTTGCGTATTCGTGAGTGCAGACGGCCGAATAGTAGATGTACCATCCACAAGTACAGTTGCCAGGATTAGACGGAGACTGAACCAAACGCAGTTGGACGTCCCCGCCAGTTGCGCCAGGTGGAATCAAGGGAACCGCCATGGAGTTGTAGTACGCTGGAATAGGGTACACATCGACAATCTCGACCAGCATGTCCACACCGTTATCGCGGATGATCGAGGCGCCCTTGTATCGACTTCATCGGACCCCGAGCAGGATACCACCTGTGCGGTCTACTATCCAAGCTTCATAGATGCACCATCCCTCGAGAACTCGCCGTCATCGAGCTCTCAAGATTGGAAGAACTGGAGCAGTTTGGACCAGCCGTGGACTTGGTGCGCTACAAAGACGAGGCTGCTGCTCAGCGTACGGTCGTGTTCAAGTACGGCATGATCTTCCAAAGAAGACTCCGAATCTGGAGAGAATTGCACTTGCTCAAAAGTCTGCCAAAACATCCGAACCTCGTCGGACTGGACCGCGTCGTTCTGGATGATCCACATTCGCAAGTCCTTGGTTACACAACCCCATACATCTCAGGCGGCACTTTGGACGATGACCACCAACGAGTTTTTCGACTGAGTTGGTTACTCCAACTTACATCTGTAGTTGATTACCTCAATCTGCAACTGGGTATCGTGCATCAAGATATAGCGCCACGCAATATCTTGATCGATTCTTTATCTTCCAGTCTAGAGACTGAGAAGTTACGGCTGTTCGACTTTCATTACGGCGCTTTTGTTGGCCTTTCAGGGTGTATGCCTGAAAGAAATGATATCAAAGGCGTCGTATTCACTCTATATGAGATATTCACCCTAGACAGCTCATATCGAAGCGTGCCACATGCAGAGCAGGATCTCGAGTCAGTCCTGAACCTTGAAGAGTGGCCGATACGGCGCAGTCTCGACAGCGATATCATGACTTTCCGTGAGCATTTGAGTGCATGGGTGAAGCAGCGAGACACACATCAAGCGAATGCATTCAAGAACGAGGCTCTATCGCTTACCGACATTCCTGAAATGTCTCCTCCAAGTCCTGTCGTCATGAGTATCGGCGAAGACGGGAAGCCTGTCTACGAGAGCTCTGTAGTCCAGATGAAGAGAGACGCTTTGAAATTTGGAAACGGATTGATAGCATGGGAGCGTGCTCCTGCTAAGATGCATCGGTAGTAAGCTAGGGTCTAAACGAAATAGAATATTCTATCAACTCAACATGACGGTCAATAGCAAATTTCCGCCTGGAATAGTGCGACCAGATGTCTGGCTTGGCTTTTAGCCGCGGGAACTGCATAGTCACATCCGCGATCATTTTACCCTAAAGGTCCCTGAGTGTATGATGTTATGACCGAGCAGCTCTCTTGGTACATATATAGCCTTGACCGGACTCTTATAGCTAGAACAAGAGTTATAGATCATTTGAATATACGGTGAAGCATTCACTGCGCTAATAGACATTTTGACTGGATCTTTAGTTGGTTGTGATATGCCTGGATCTTCAGCTGCGGTCGGGTGAAACGTTGTGATATGTTTGGGTACCCCAGTAATAGAAGCTATCCCACTCCAATTTGACATCTGCTGACTACATCACAGAATCTACGCAAGTACATAGCCGAAGGGTTCCGCGCACACTATCAAACGATACTCTTTACCCACCCGGAACACCTCTCAACAATCAGCATGTGAGACATAAATCATCCTTGACCAAGGTAACCGAGCATAATAACGCATCCTAACTACCCTCGACAGTCTCAATGCATATACCACGGAAGTCCTATCTTCTTGCGCTCTTACGCAATCCAATCGGGTTCATTAAGCAATAGTGCTTTTGTCAGGGGATCTCGTGCTGATTCTTGATCAAAGACGACTTTCCCTGTTTTACCTTTTTTCGCCATGTATCACTATCTGCCCGAGACTCCTTACGCAGGCCACAATAGATGAGAGAGACATCAACTCGTGCTGTTAGCGATGTGCTGCCAATCAACTGCCTTGTGGTTCCCACTATAGATCGGAGGATTATGTTAAGAAGAAAACTAAGCGAGCACTTGGTATCACGAATATCCTCACAGTTACCTAGTGACACTCTCAATACGAGAGACTAGAATTCTTCTCAAAGACTTTCAATCACTTACGGGGCCGGTTTGACTGGACCTCTTTCCTCGACACACCTTGCGAAGCCTTGCAGCGCTGGCTCAGCGGCACGATCCACAATGAACAGAGCACGATCGTCTCAACGCTCAAGTCCTCGGCCTCAAAGAACGCAAAGACTACATTTAGCACCTTAGCATCACAGCGGACAGTCTGAAAGGTCTACTCATATCGAACAACCCTGCCTTCGCCTTGACTTTTGACCTGTCTTAACTTAGTCGCTATATTTCGTGCGATGTTGCCGGGACGGGTTGATGTCGTATTGACAGGTTTGCGATCTTATCATGTCAGCTATCATCACTTCTACATTAGAGAATTGCAACACCGTGTCCACCAGCTATGCCTGAACGGGAAGGTGTTTTGTCAGTTCGTCCTCATGCTCTTTCCCTTAACGACCTCGAGTCGAAACTACATGCCTCAGCTATTCTCCGCGGCATAGGTTCGACGGCATCTCTCAACACGAGCAATAGACTCTGGTGACATCGAGAACGTCGGCCGGGTACCAATTGGAGTTCAGGCGAACGTTGATCATGGGTTTCCCGAAATTCCGGAGCTGAAATACGAAGCAAAGAATTATTTGCTACCTCGATTCGTGCCATGTTTCTTGCGATCAAGTGCTTGGACATGTCGAAACGACCGTCAGTGCATCTTAAGCAGCAGCATGGAAGGCACTACCTTGCTTAGGCTGCAGAATTGTACAAGAGTAGTACATCACATCGAGTTCGGCCGCTACGGGAGTTGTTGTCATACCATTTTAATGTGAAAGTTCTCTAGCAACCCGGCACAGTTTGGCTAAAAGCTAAGGTTGGTGTTGCGAATCGCAAAGAGATGTCGCTCATCCAGGACATGACGTAAAGACTTGTGAAAGCTTGTCGGCTCAACGGCGCTTGGCATTATGATCAGTATTGATTCGCGTCCATTGTTGAATGTCACTACTCCCACGGCTGGAAGCTGCGTCGAGAACCTTGTGGACGCAATCCCACAGAGGCTTACCAGATATTTTTCATACTCAGAACCGGCGATTCGAAGACTCCTCGACACATTGTCATTAGGGTCCGATGGCATAAACATCCAGAGAAGGACAGTCTTGGCCAAGCATGTCTTGTCAGTATCTTGACCAGTGCGGCTCCTCGGAACTGTCACCTCTATTGATCCATCCCGCGGCTCGATCCAAACGCGATCGAAGCAGTTGCCGACCCGTACGCACGGGATACCCCAATGGTTCAAGACAAGATCGTGATCCCCAGACTTGCTCAACACTAACACTTCATACTTTTGCGCCCACCAATCATCAGATCTTGAATGTCAGCAATCGAGACATGCCAAGCTACGGCATGCTGTTCTTTTGCGAGCTCTATGGTGATGATGACGCTTCGCCAGGCTGTCATTCCATCGACTGGCCGGACATATAAGGTGAGCGGGCATGTCCCTTCGTTGCTCATCCCTTGATCCTACATCCAGACTCCTTTCTCCCTTCAAGATGAAGTTCAAGTCTTTCATCACCTCAGCCCTGCTTGCAGCTGTTTGCAACGCCGTTCCTGCTCCGGTCGTCACCCAGATCTCAGATGGTCAGATTCAAGCACCTACCGGCAATGTCGTTACTCAGATTCCGGATGGCCAGATTCAAGCACCCACCGGCGAGGTCGTCACCCAGATCTCAGATGGCCAGATCCAAGCACCTACATCGGTAGCCTCCAGCAAGGCTAGTGTTGCCACTGGCGGTGCCGCTCAAGGTATCTACGCCTCCCAGGCCTCCTCGGAGTACGGAAGCCAAGTCGGATTCTATACTGGAGCAGACGCCCCATACAAATCCAACGATGCTTCCATCAATCTCAGCGAGCTCGCCACCTCGTTTGGCCTCAATTCTGCTGTCAACGCCATCCACACTGCTGCTCCCACTGGTACTGAGTCGGGTGCTGCAGCACCACTCCGTAGCAGTTTAGTCACTGGCTCAACTACCCACGGCCCATTCTCTGGAGTTCCGACTACCATCGGTGCAGTCACCACCGTTACCCTTGGGCTTACTGTCCCTACACTTCCTCTGAATCCGACCGCTACGTACTACAATACGGATGGCAAACTTACCAAGCCAGAGCCCGCGCCCTATACTCCTGCTGGGGGTCTTGGTACTAATGGTTCGCTTCCTCGTTATATGGTTGAATCCGATTTTGACTATGAATCAATCACTCTTGGCCTTTATCAGGAATGGATTGAGCTTGATACTTTCAACAATGGACTTGCTACGTTCACAGAAGAAGATTTCGCTGCTGCTGGATTGAGTAACGAGGACCGGGAACTAATTCGCTTTATGGCACAACAAGAAGAAGGCCATGCTACCCTATTAACTAACATGCTTGGCCATACTGCACCACCCCAGTGTACCTACAACTATCCATACACTACTGTCCGCGAGTTCCTCGATTTCAATCAAAAGTTGACTCGTTTTGGCGAATCCGGAGTCTGGGGATTCATCAACCATCTTGATAGCCGCGAAGTAGGCCAACTCCTTGCTCAATCTATCGCTACAGAAGCCCGTCAACAGATGGCTTTCCGTCAAATGAGCGGTTTATTCCCAATGCCAGTTTATTTCGAGACGGGCATTCCCCAATCATGGTCCTGGACCTTCCTAGCTCCGTATATCTCATCATGTCCTGCTAATACTACTCGTCTGGCATGGCAAAACTTCCCAGCCCTCCATATCGTCAATCAACCTAACATCAATCGGTGGTCCGCTAATGATACTGGGGCTAATGAGGTTACTGGCGAGCGAGCGGCTGATCCATCTATCTCTACCATCCCAGTCGAAGAAAGCTGCGAGAATCTCAACGTTACTGGCTATAGTTGCGGACCAGCAATTTCTCGCAACCGCTCTGAGCCATTGTCTTTCGCTGGCAAACAAGTAAACTTTACTTGGGACGCTCCTGGACTTGCTGTTGGACCGAACAATAGTTATACCACATCTGTCAATCCGGTTGCCGGCGAGCCAATGTTCGTCGCTTGGGCTGCTCAGCTCAATTTGACGTACACACCATTGATCAAAACGTCTCCCAACTCAGGCTATACTTACCAGCCTGCCGCTCAGAACTATCAGGGTGGTGAAGGTATTGTCAACGGCACCATGTTTGTTGCCCTCACTGATACGGATATGTTCTTGACACCTTTCAACCTGTCGATGATCAATCCTCATGTCATAGCACTCGGCCTGTACCAAGCTGGTTGAACGTTGATGTTGTAAATTAGTCTGGACACAGAATGTCGCACCTCAGCCCCGATTCATGATTGGGGGGAGGCAGGGTTCATGGAGAAAGATGGTAGAGTTCTAGTATGCGAGGAGAAGAGTTATAATAATTAATGCTATTTCTGAATGATTTTCTTGACCGCCCCTTGTTGATTCTTGCCATGTCGCGTCCTCACCTACTAACACTCGATCGAGCGTAGCGATCGATCAACAACCACGATTACTGCTTTGTGTCGAGGTTTTCTGCACCTCGCTCGAATCAAAATTGACGGACGACCAGAGGCTTTGAAGCAAAAGCATCGTAGAACTTGAGGCTACTCAACAGTTATGTGCTGTTGACCGTACAGTCACCAAGAGTTGACATGGTTCTTCTACAATATCCGAGCAAGAGCTCTCGAATGTCAGCTGAAAACCAGGTGGGGGTTGACAATGGCAGGTAGCAGACTGCTCATAAGCAGGATTTGCTTGCAGTAAAGCATGATATCTCTTCGAGAGGGTAGAGAATGGATCAAGAGATGTCAAGATTTTTAGTCTTCGAGTCTTTGTACTCTTCTCTATGAAAGATTCACCTGAATCGTACGACTATGCGACGGAGATCTCTTCCTAGAAGCTCCCACAATTCATGGATGACCCTGTCAAACGCTCATCTTTTTGCCGATATTTCTGTATGGTGTGTCGTCTGTGCAGCGTTGTTAGCTGGAACTTGTCCATGTTTTGGTTGAATGAAGACTGATTCATATACCGTGTTGTCCCCAGGTCTCAACCGTCCTCTCCAGAACGTTCTATACGATGCAAACTCTTCGAATCATCGCCTTCTAAGCCTTGTTGTGATGTTGTCATACTGCTCTTGGTCTTTGGCTTGGTATCCACGTGCAAAAGATGTAGTTTGGTGGCAGTCTGTACCCTCGATATCGGGATGTAAGTTTGCTTAGAAGGCCCAGTCAACCTGTGACACGGTTTCGGACGGATTCGAACCCGCGACCTTCGACTTATCTCCGCTTAAAGCCGAAGCTAGCGCCAAGGCCGAGGCTCTCGTGCACAGCTTATTAGCGACTCGAGCCTCGCGCTCCTCTCTCTCTACTTGCTCGATAGTCTATTGAATTGAACTCAGTACTCGGTCCTTGTCAACCTGCATACATTCTTCATTCGCATCTTCCAAGTGTGTTTCCATTTGTTGGCAGTATCTTTCTCGCTTTACCGACAGAACGTCGTTCTGTGTATCATAGTCGCAAATGCTACATGGTCCTCGTCATGGAGCTTTTGCGTCAGGCCAACTTCCTTGAACACTCACAAACCTCGACACTATCAGCTCTCCATATACTCCGCGGGCCTACCAAAAGCTCCTTCTCTATCGCCCCTCTCAAACATCTCGTCAATGAAACTATGCCTCCTCATCGCAGTCTTCCAATCCGCATATTTTTCCGCCTCTCCCTTCGCAAAAGCCTCAAACACCCTGCCCACGTTCTGAGCCGGATGTTCAAGCCCGCTCAAATTGTCTTCCTCCAACATCACTTCCTCTGCTGTGTTCTCGCCAGCTTTGCGGTATTGGATCTTGATGCCGGAATGCTCGATATCGAAGCATCCGCGGGGGTTAGTGATGAGAATGTCGCCTTTCGTGCCATTGATAATCCAGCGACAACCAGGTTCGCCTGGGAAAGAAGGGCCAGCGCGAAGTTGGTAGGTGAGTAGTGTGCCGCTGGAGAACCGGCCTTGGAGGTGTGTGTTATCTGGACAGTCCTTTGCGATCGTGTCGATGATCTCGGTGCCCTTGGATGGGTCTATGAGGTCGAGTGCAGGGTGATCAGTACCCATGATACTGTTGAAAGAGTCGAGTTCACCAAAGGTGTCGAGGAGGCAGTTTATACCTTTTGCAGAGAAGGTCAGTACTTCTTTCGATTGCACAGAGTGAGGTAGGAGACTCACTGTGCAAGAACCAGATAGTGGCAAAATTGCCACCTGCCTTACGCTCTGCCAGCATCTTGAACGCAATGGGCAAAGGTCTATCCAGCGACGAACCAGTGGTTGCGGTCAAAGTCGTACTCAGAGGTTTCCCAATTTTGTCCCCCACGATCATCTTCTTGATCAAATGGACAACTGGATGAGCTTGCCCCTGTAATCCAAAGATTGTCTTTACGCCCTTTGCCCTAGCCGCGTCAATCAATTCTCGCATCTGTGCCATATTCGACGCCAGCGGGAGTTCGCTGTACACATCCTTGCCTGCCTTGACTACTGGGAGTAGAACATCGTAGTGGCTTTCGACGCCCGTGACATTCACCACGAGTTCGACGTCGGGGTCAGTGACAAGATCCCTAGCAGACCCGTAAGCTTTGATGGTGGGGGAGAGGTTGAAGTGTGCAATGGACTTCTTTGCGCTTTCCACGGAAGAGTTACAGAGGGCGACGATCTTGTAGTGAGACTGTCCTAGCGGCGATTGTAGGTATGGGAGATGAGCCAGTACGGCCCAGTTGGTTGCTTTTGAGGAGGTGCTTAGGCCAATGAGTCCGATTCTGATGGGGGCCATGTTCTGTTGAAGTTCGAGAAGAGTGATTGCATTCGAGAATGGTATTTGAGCTGAAGAATTGAGTTCAGATGTAGTGGTGTTCTTATTCATATACACGTCCTGCGTTCAAGGGATCGGGTCGTATATCTGTCCGTGATATGATCATGGTGCATGTAATCGGGGATCGGCACAATGTTGGACCGGCATGTGAGATACAGTCTGGAGCCCTCTCCGCGTGTCATCCAGGGTCTTGTGGAGTCCAGACGTATACAAACTCAGCTCAGTGATGGGGCAGGGAGTCAGATCCGAGATAACGCTACAAAGTCAGACAAACATCAAGGTACACTGACATCATATTCCACCCTCATATCTAGCGTTTCAGGCCTCACGCAACCCTGGGGTGAGTTTCAAGGCCTCCCGTTGTGTGACGTGAATTGACACTTTTTTGTCTCAGAAATCAGGATGTCAGGGACACCCGACACAGAGGGATCAAGCGGCAAGTCGTGATCGTGATGTGACGTCTGTCCCTGATCAAGGCCAAATAGTGCCGCGGAAGTCTGTGCGGGCCTAAGTGATGGATGTGTCAGGAGGCAACTGAACTGCGAAGGATGTTGTAAGGCTCAAGGAGTGATTTTGGCCTTGCTCTTGGTTACAAAGTTGGTAATTGGGTGAAGGGAGGGACGTGAGAGAAGGTCAGGGTAGAACAGCGAGTGTAAGAAATTTAGTGCAGTTCCAAAAAGAGGAGAAAATTTGTATGATTATTGTTTTTCCGCAAACACCCACTCAAACTCAAAGATTCCGAAAGGACGAAAGACCAGCCATCGTCCCTTTCCCTTGGCAAGACTGTTACAATGATATCCCATTCTCAAAGCACGCATCCCCGTTAAGAAGAGCCAGTGAGCTTGCCAACCATGTACTTAGTACCCATGCTCTGCACACTGCTCGAGTAAGGGTAAGAAAGGTGCTGAGCGTTGATACCAAATCCATGAGTGGTATCGCAAACACCGTCTCCGAAAGCGCAAACATCCATAGTCTTGGCCACCCAAGCAGTAGGAATACCACCGAGGAGAGCAGAGAGACCATTGACGTTCTTGGTGGTGGTGCCGCCGTTGGCGTCGACGTTGCAGGCAAGGCCGGAGCGGTGCTCGGGGTCGCCGATGAGGAAGACACCCTTGACGGCGTCCATGGAGGCGCCGGTGAGGCGGGACATAGCGTTTACGGTGGCGGCGGCGCCTTGAGAGTATCCCTGGAGAATGAAGCACATGTTGGGGTTGGTGGCGAGGGAGGAGGTGACCTTGTTGACGATCTGAGAGTGTGGATATTAGTACATGCCAAATCCAATAGAAGCAGCAAGTGGCAGGATGGAACATACGTCGGCGGTACCCAGAGCAGAGTTCTGACTGGCGTCGGCAAGATAGACGGTGTTGTAAACAGTGCCGCCGGGGACTTGGGCAAGAGTCTGGGAGTTCATGGTTCTGAAGCCAGCAGAGGGTCCCTGAAGTTCGCCGGTACCGCGGGTAGAGATGATAGTGTAAGAAGAGCAAGCAGCACGCTTCTCGATAGGGTTGGCAACAGCACCTGCAGCGAGGAAGACGCTGAGGAGAGCACCCTTGAGACTGATGTCGGAGAACATTGTGATAAGGATAGAAGGGTTGATGAGGATTGTAAGGTTGTCTTGTAGCGAAGGAATTGAAGATATTGAATGGAATGGATGATATGAGAAGGTGAGGTTGGCAAGGCCTTCTTATATGAGATTGTCAACCTGATAATACACTTGCATTTGACCTTACCAAAGCTAAAATAGGCACACCAGCGCAGGCGAAGCCCATGAATCAGTAGGTTCGCTCTGTGGATGGAGTCCAAGAGCTGCTAACATACCTCCACAAACAGACAGGCCATAGCTTGAGGGCCGATCTGCTGTAGTCACCATGATCAACCATGACTAGTGCTTGCGCAAACTATAAACTCGGTTTCAAGCTTCTGCAGGTCGAGGAAACTTGGGACGTCGACAATCATGTGCAGCCGGGGACTGTCGGAACGACAGAAGGTCCAAGAACGTAGCAGGGCGTCCGTCAAGTCAAAGCTTTTTGATTAGCCGAGAGGGTCGATTAACGCCACAATTTGTTGCAACGTCGCTGTCGTTCAGTTCTCCGCACAGCCGGCAGATCATTGTCGCGCATACATACATGCTCAGCACAAATGGAGGTTGATAATCGACCTTTTCCTGTCAGCCAAAAACTCAAAGCTAAGGGACTTCCGTGTCAGTTACGAAAATTGAGTTGCGCCCAACGATCAGGTGGATACGGGATGCGGCTGAAAACCCGCAGAATTTCATCGACGACACCGCTCGCTTAGGCACGTCAATATGTAGGTCCTGGGACAAGTTGGTTCGTTTGAACCCCGTGAGCGGTGGTCAAGCCGAGGCAAGCAAGAAAAGTCTCATGCTGTCCATGTTTCGAGTCAACAGGTCGAAGGGTCAAGGGAACAAAGTGGCGTTGCAGCTGTCGGGTAACTTTTCTGTACGAGTTTCATGCTTCGCAACTTTTTCCTGCCCTCCATAGCTTATTCGTGTGCCCTATCCCAGTATACACTGCCTAGAACTGTACAGCGTTCATGATCGAGTCGTGTTGCAATCGATGCTCGGTGCCATCTTTTGCAATGACAGATCAGAAACGTGGTTGTGTTACGAGACCCCACTGTTCGACGAACCATGTCTTGATCGTCCCGAGGAAGTCATGGAAGCATTTAGCCTTACGTGCGAACAGAGGGAGGTCCAGCAGATCAGTACTCTACACACGGGTCGGTCCTGTATACCCTCGACATGGCTGTTCTCTCGGCTGTCAGTGATGACTTGACTCATGGGTTTTAGCAACAATTGGCGGCACCAAACCCGAGTGGTTGATTCGGAAGTTGCGCGCGTCGATCGAAACACCCGAAAGAAAGCCATGGCAAGAACATTCGCTTGCATGTTCCAATACAGTGTGGCGGACTGACTATCACGTTCGCTTGTTTCCTTCGGCGAGGATGCCCTGTCTTGGTATGCTGTTTCGATATCTGATTGTATTATTATGGGTGCTCCGCGCGATGGTGTCAAGACAAAAGTCTAGAATCAACGAGACTGACATCGCATCTAACAATGCGATGTCGCACAAGGTCAAGTGATTTGAGGAAAGCGCAAGGCAAGTTTGAGCCACGTGCTCGGGAGACCCGCCGGCATGGAGCGACTCAAATTAATTGTTAATTTGCGCCGCGTTGCGACTACAAATTTGTGCTATGCAGAAGTCAGATAGATGACTGCCAAGCTGAAATGTAGATATGGCAGACTCGATTTGGACTGCTGCGCATAATACGATATTAAGCTGCCAGAATGGCATGCAGGTTACAACATAAGATGAGCAGCCAGGAATTAACGAATCTCGGATCTCGGGCGGTACATTCAATTGCGACAGTATTAGTAGATGGACATGATTACGCGTGAACCAGACATGCCTGGTGTACGACCCTGACTTAGAATTCAATTTCTCGCATCTGGACTGTCCATGGGACGTTCAAAGCACACATTCATCGATTGAATTTAGTCATCTCTGTTCGTTGTTGTTGATGTACTCAATTCTGAAGAGAAAGGCATAGGTTGTGTTCATGTGCATGGTTGTTTTCTCTATCGCTCGGTTTCCATACACGACCCAAACTTTGAGCTGCGAGAAACAGCCTCGCTATGACAGGCATATATGATTTAACAAGCAGACAACAGGCACATCCAGACCAGATTCGTAATGCCGTGTTGATAAAAAAATACAAAGAAAGGTATGTGTGTCGTGTCGGGTATTTGCCCTCTCAAAATCCACCCTCGAAGGTCTAAACAGAATGCTCAACGCCCAACCCATTTTTGAACTGTACAATCTGATTTCTCGTGGGAAGCTTAGTGACCACTCCACTCGATGGTGTTGAGGTCAACACCCTCCTGGACGAGTTCCCACAGAGGGCTCAACTCACGCAAGAAGGCAACGCGTTCTTGAACAGCCTTGAGGACGTAGTCAATCTCGGCGTCAGTGGTGAAGCGACCGATACCGAAACGGATACTGCTGTGAGCACTCTCGTCACTGCTGCCAAGAGCACGAAGAACGTATGAGGGTTCGAGGGAGGCTGATGTGCAGGCGGAGCCGGAAGAAAGAGCGATATCCTTGAGGGCCATGAGAAGTGATTCGCCTTCGACGTAGGCGAACGAGATGTTGACACAGCCTGGGTAGTGGAATTCGGGGGATCCGTTGAGCGTGGTGTGTTCCATGCCAAGGAGACCGTCACTCAGCTTCTTGGAAAGAGCAGCAATGCGCTTGGTGTCATACTGTAATCACAATGTCAGAAATCGTCTTGTATGACTAGCGGGTAGCGGGTCTTGACTTACGTCCATCTCTTCCTTTGCAATTCTTGCAGCTTCACCGAAGCCGATTACCAGAGGAGGAGCGATAGTTCCACTTCTCAAACCTCTCTCCTGACCACCGCCACTGATGATGGGGTCGAGTCTGACACGCGGTCTTCTACGGACGTAGCAGGCACCAATACCCTTGGGACCGTAGAGCTTGTGGCCAGAAATGGACATGAGGTCAACGTTGAGCTTGTTGACATCGAGAGGGATCTTGCCAACAGCCTGAGCAGCATCTGTGTGGAAGAAGATCTTCTTTGATCTGCAGAGCTTGCCAATCTCCTCGAGAGGCTGGACGACACCGATCTCGTTGTTGACCGTCATAATCGAGACAAGCATCGTGTCCGGGCGCATGGCGGCTTCCAGCTCCTTCATGTCGATTCTGCCATCCGACTGGACAGGCAGGTATGTGACCTCAAAACCTTCGTCTTGCAGATGGCGACAGCTGTCGAGGACACACTTGTGCTCGGTCTGGCAGGTGATGATGTGGTTCTTCTTGCCGCCACGCTTGAAGAAGCGGGCGACACCCTTGATGCTCATATTGTTGCTCTCGGTGGCTCCGGATGTGAAGATGATCTCCTTGGGGTCGGCGCCGATGAGGTCTGCAATGTTGGCTCTGGCTTGCTCAACAGCCTTGTCTGTCTCCCATCCGTAGGCGTGGGTTCGCGAGTGGGGGTTGCCGTAGAGACCGGTGAAGTAGGGCAGCATGGCGTCCAAGACTCTTGGGTCGGTGGGAGTGGTTGCTTGGGCATCGAGGTAGATGGGGCGAGTTCCATGGTCCATGATGGTGGCCTGCTTGAGAATTCCAGCGGTGGGGCTCATCATGGCGTCGGCGCCCATGCCGGTGGTGGGCATGGTGGCATTCTCGGGCTTGATACCAGTCTCGGCGAGGAAGGCCTTCTGGTCGGCCTTGATGGTGGATTCGACATTGATAGTGGCGTTCCGCGTCGAGCTCTCGGAGACATATGAACGGGTGGCGGCGATGCGGGATGAGAGAAGGCGAGGGCGGTAGGTGGTAGAGAGTCGTCTGGCCGAGGTGTTGAGGGCCTGCCTCGCGACAGAAGGGAACGAGGACGACATTTTGAATCTAGGAGTGTTGGCAGAGGGCAAATGTGTCTATCAGCAGATGTCACACCAGAACACTTTTGCCAGAGCGGAAGCTCCATCATCGAAAGCTTGGCGCGGTTGCTGAGTAAAGAGCGGCTTTAGCGTTCACGCCTCGGCCGAGACCGATTCGAAGAGAAGGTCAGGCCGGCGAATCTGGACGCCGAGGGGTCCACTACGTACGCCAAGCTCTTGTTCGCAAACGTTTTTGGCTGATGATGCGGCCGGAAGACCAAGGCCGACGACGACGACGTAGGCATCCAACTGCTACAGTCCATCTCTCTGCCTGAGACTTGCCTTCAACTCTTCTCTATACCCAAGCATCATCTCCTCTCGCGTAGCACATGCAGCTACAGTAACCGGCCTCGTGCATACCGTCAACAGAAGCCGCATCGTCAGCCACAACACACGCTCCAGCCCCGACAAGATCGACGCTTCTAGTCTACAGCCAAGACGGACCGCAGCCCCATAGCGATCCGACATCTTCGTCTCTCCAAATACATACTCTTCTTTTACTCTCCTACCAGCGAACTACCATACCTAATCTCCGCCAATCCGGCCTCATCAATCACCAACACCGCCAGAATGAGTTGGAAAGGCTTCACCAAAAGCGTCACCCGCGTTCGTCGCCCACCACCATCTGCCTCAGTCCAGCGCTGACCCTCCTCTAGGCTCCCCAGCAGTTCAAGCAAAGGTTCAACATGGGTGAAATCACAAAGGATCCTGTCTACGTCGATGCCGAGCTGCGTTTCGCCGAGCTCGAGACCGAGACCAAGCGTTTGCACGACGAGTCGGAGAAGTACTTCAAGTCCATCAATGGCATGCTCGACCACCAGATCGAATTCTCCAAAGCTTGCGCCGACTTGTACAAGCCCATTTCTGGCCGTGCTTCGGATCCCAATTCTTACGTCGTCGATGGCAATCCCGAGGGTATCCGCGCCTGTGAGGAATACGAGGCCATTGTCAAGGACCTCAAGCAATCACTACAGCCTGAATTAGAGATGATCGAATCGCGCATTGTCAAGCCGGCCGACGAGCTTCTCGAGATCATCAAGCAGGTCCGCAAATCTGCCGTCAAGCGCGACCACAAGCAACTCGACTACGACCGTCACCGAGCCACGCTTAAGAAGCTGCAAGACAAGAAAGACAAGACTCTCAAAGACGAGAAGGCTCTGTACAAGGCTGAGAATGAGGTCGAGGTGTCGACTCAGGACTACAACTACTTCAACGACCTGCTCAAGACGGAGCTGCCCGAGCTATTCCGCCTGGAGCGCGAGTTCATTCTTCCCCTGTTCCAATCCTTCTACTACATGCAGTTGAACGTCTTTTACACGTTGCACGAGCGCATGCAAAGCATCGATATCGGTTATTTCAACTTGACTCTGGACATTGAGGCCGCGTTTGAAGAGAAGCGTGGGGAGATCCAACAACAGGCCGAAGCCTTGACAATTGTGCACTTCAAGACCAAGGGTCTGGGTCGACCTGCGGGCAGCAAGTATGGAAGACTTGCAATCGAAGGCAAGGCCAAGCCTAAACCTCCTGGTCTTGCATCATCTACCGCACAGCTGTCGATCACGGACGGCGATGCGACCTCACCTCCTCCTTACTCGGCCGCTGGAGCAACAACCGGTGCAACTGGTGGACTCGCGCGCATGTCGTCGATCGCAAAGAGCAAGCCTCCACCACCGAAGCCCAAGCCTTCGCGATTCAGCGAAGTGCCGCAAGCCGAAACGTGTACGGCATTGTACGACTACGAAGCTCAAGCAGAAGGCGACCTTAGTTTCAGCGCCGGTGAGACGATCGAAGTTGTGCAACGCACGGCGAATGAGAACGAGTGGTGGATTGGCAAGATCGGCGCAAGACAAGGACAATTCCCTGGTATGTGCATTCTCACGTCGAATTGGTTGAAAGCAAATCACTGACTGGAGGTTGTAGGCAACTATGTGCAGCTCAACTCGTAGACTGAGAGGAGGATGCGTGGCAGTACTATTCCATAATGTGTAGCAATAGCGATATGATGTGCAAATGTGTTTCTTAGGGTTGGTAGAAGGGACCGAGCAGGAGTATACACTAGCGACTGTTAGTTCTTCCTTTGTTTCGGTGGACTCTAGGATAATCCAAGAATATGATGTTCTGAGTAAACGGTGGTCCCTGAATGTGATGTGGATGTTTGTCGCAACAACGCGGTCGGGCGCGTCTCCCAGACTTGAGCTTGGCCGCAAACCATCACCTTTTCCTTGCCATGCCCCGACGCAGCCATGCCGAGGTTTGTCGTGTCTGAGAGTGGTAGTAACTGAGTCTAGACTGATGTCGGTAATCATGCAGAGAAATCATCACCCTCCAAGCAGGCCAATGCGGCAATAGCGGTACCGTCACTTCCTGCCTAGGGCACTTCCCTTGTAGCTTTCACACGGCCGGCTGACGCTCTCTTGCAGTGGGCTCGCAATTCTGGCAACAACTCTGCCAGGAACACGGCATCAATCGCGACGGCAACCTCGAAGACTTTGCTACCGAGGGCGGCGACCGCAAAGATGTCTTCTTCTACCAGTCCGACGATACGCGCTACATCCCACGCGCCATCTTGATGGACCTCGAACCCAGAGTATGCACCCGGGTCACGACCACTACCTTCTCATGCTGAACACACCACAGGTCATCAATGGAATCCAAACCGGCCCCTACAAGAACATCTACAACCCCGAGAACTTCTACATCCACAGCGGCGGCACCGGAGCTGGAAACAACTGGGCTGCCGGCTACTCGATGGGCGAGACGGTTCAAGAGGAGGTTCTGGACATGATCGACCGCGAAGCAGACGGCTCCGACAGTCTCGAGGGCTTCATGCTGCTGCACTCGATCGCTGGTGGCACAGGCTCCGGTCTGGGTTCATATCTGCTCGAACGACTCAACGACCGCTTCCCCAAGAAGCTGATCCAAACATACTCGGTCTTCCCGGACACGGTGCAGTCCGGCGATGTCGTTGTCCAGCCGTACAACTCGCTGCTGTCCATGAAGAGACTCACTCAACAAGCCGACAGTGTCATCGTTCTGGACAACGGCGCCCTGTCACGCATTGCAGCAGACACTCTGCACGTCCAAGAGCCCTCGTTCCAACAAACAAATCAACTCGTCAGCACCGTCATGAGTGCCTCGACCACCACTCTGCGCTATCCCGGCTACATGCACAACGATCTTGTCGGCATCGTCGCATCACTAATCCCCACCCCTCGCTGCCATTTCCTGCAGACCAGCTACACGCCCTTCACCGGCGAGAACGTCGAAGCCGCAAAGACGGTCCGCAGAACCACTGTTCTCGAAGTCATGCGCAGACTACTGCAGCCAAAGAACAGGATGGTCAGCTCAAATCCCTCAAAGAACAGCTGCTACATTTCCATCCTCAACATCATCATGGGCGAAGCTGATCCCACCGATGTAAGTCTTCTTTCCTTCTACTCACCATTTTGACAGCCTACTGACACCAAACAGGTCCACAAATCGCTTCTCCGCATCCGTGAACGCCGCCTCGCCACCTTCATCCCCTGGGGCCCTGCCTCCATCCAAGTCGCCCTGACCCGCACATCCCCATACACCACCGGCCCTCATACTCCTCGCGTCTCTGGTCTGATGTTGGCAAACCACACTGGTATCGCTACTCTGTTCAAACGTATCGTCTTCCAATACGACCGTCTGCGCAAGCGCAACGCCTTCTTGGAACAGTATAAACGTGAAGATGCCTTCAGAGATGGCCTTGGAGAATTTGATGATGCGAGGGAAGTGGTCATGGATTTGGTGAGAGAATACGAGGATGCCGAGAAGGAAACGTATCTTTCCGGTCCCACTGCTGCGCCTGAGAGTGAGGAGAAGGACGGTAGGACTGATGGCATCAGGTGATTTTGTATTGGTCAGAGAAGTTTTTTCCTCATTGGAGTTGCAAATGGCGTTTTCGAGGAATGGGGGCATACGGAGAGGAGTTTTTTCTTTCTTTTTCTTGCAAGGCGTTATTTGTCTTTCTTCCCCCAGTCATGGTGTTCTGCATGTTTTTCTGTTCTTCTACCATATTTTTGACGGCCACCGCATAGCTGAAATGAGAGGGGCTGTTATCGACCACTTTGATGATGCAAAACCCCCATTGTTTGACCGCACGCGTTCTTCCAATCTTCGAGTCCAAGCACTCTTCTAAGATAACTTGTACCTTGAAAGAGGAAAGTGACTAGCAGTTCTCATTGCTACGAGTGTCGAATGGGATTCAGAGGTTGATGAATGTGTGATATATACCTATGATTCTAACAGCACACCACAAAGACCATTACTGATCACATATCTGACTTCTCCATTCAAAGCGTTATAACCGAATGTGCCTTTTTGCTCTTGCTTTGCACAGACACTTGTTTCCTTTGCCTGCTGCACCTCCTCCTTTCCATTCACTGTCGTTTTCCCTCCTGCCTCCTTCTGCTTCTTCCCGCCCGCGGAAATTGCAGGTGCGTTGTCGTTGACAAGGACCAAGTAACAAGATCCTAGGTGTTGACCACTGGCTTCCCAAACACTCCACAAACACCTTTGCCTCGATATACACTCTTCACAGCACAACGCGGCCGTCACTTTCCGCATGGACTCCACACTCACAATCTCTGCACTCAACCCCTCTGGCAGGGAAACGCCGTTGATGCGTCGGTTATTGCTAGTCTGGCCCAACAGATTTCCAGTCGCACAAGCAGCATGTGAAGTCACGGTCGTAGTGGCATGCAGTGTTTGCGTGAGAGTAGAAGTGGCGGTGGCGGTCCAGGTGAAGGTGATTGTGTAGGGTGTTTTTGTCACGGTGTTTGTGTTTGTTACAATCGTCTGGGCGTCGTCGAGGAGAGATGGGGAGAGTGATGGCGTGTAAGCGAGAATTGGTGTTGGTGTGGATTCTACTTGTCGTTTCGAGGTCAATGACCAAGAGGAGGAGGATAGAGATTCAGTCGAAGAGATACTATATCCATATCCAGAAGCAGGACCGGAACTTGATTCAAGGCTAGACTCTGTAGGTGCAGAAGTGCTGCTGCCCTTCGCAAGAATAGTAGATGTGATGGTTCCGTAGACAGTCCGATTAGTGTATTTCGTTTCTTGCTTTGCAGTAACCGTCGCCATCTTGCTGGCAGTAAGCAACAGAGTTTCTGTCGTGTGAATGCGTATCTGTCGCTCGCAATTTACGCTGACTGCATATCTCTCTTTTGTAGGTTTTTGCAGCGGTGCTTTTCTGCTGCTGCTTGTGGATGCTGAACTCTGGGGTCGCTCACGACGAACACGTCTTGATATACTCGGTGTCGTCTGCGGAGTCTGTGTATCTTGAGCAGCAGAAGCAGAAGCAGAATCCCTCACGCCTACAAATCCAGTAGGCGTTTCCACCCACACAGTCGTCCTACTCGTCAACAGCCTCTCTTTCGTCACCGTCCGCGTAGTCGTGACATGATGCCAAAACGTGCTCGTCCTAAACTTCGTAACCTCCACTCCCAGCGTTCCATTCACCGCCTGCTTCTCCACAGTTTTGGTCTTTGTAGCAAGCACACTAAACAGCGTTTCAAAGGGCTTTGGCGTGCGCGTGACAGTGGAAGTGGTGTAGTTGTGTAAAATCACTGGAATCAACTCTGTGGTGAGAGCCACAGAAGCAATGAGTGTGGGGAGAGGGGTGGAAGGTGAAGAAGTGTTGTACAGAGTCGAGCATTGCAGTGTTGTCTCTGTGCTGAGGTGTGATGAGATGCTCAGAGCGGTGCTGACAGGGAGGAGAAATGTCCAGTTGAATATAGTGTCCAGACGCATTCTTGGGAGATTATAAGCCAGTCCAGCAGGCCGAGAGTGAAAAAAACCAGGATCCGAGTTTAGCAGTTAGACGAGAAGGTACAGAAGACCTGCAATCTGATAGAAAGGCGATTGGAAACCGGCAAATATCGATAGCAAGACAGTTCGTGTACAGAGGTGACGTGAGCAGGAAAGAAATGATAGACATCAAAAAGTGTTATACCTTGGAGTGATGTGGATCCATGTCGAGATCGCTTCTCCTATTCTTCTCGTGCTTTTGTATACAGGGTTGAGTAGCAGCAACGGTTCTCCTGGAACGGTTTGGTCTTGTCGACCGTTCTCGGCACACAACTATCATGGTCAAGAAGATGCATCACATACATCCATGTCTATTTTCTCACATTTGTGAACATTCAAATGTGCAAGCATGTTCAAAACGCTGCAGTAGAGAATCTCGATGGAGGGTCTGATAGCTGGAAAGTGGAGGTCCAGACGAGCTCACGGTCGGTGCAAACCCCTGCCAAGACATGCTCACTTAAGGGTCCAGACTCGACCACCAAGGTCATATCAGCACATGTTCAACTCGCAAAGAAACATAGAGCAACCATGATCAGGAAGGAGAAGCAAATGTACATTGGATATATGCAATGAAACAAAGGCTGCAGAGCTCAAGTACCAGAAAGGGTGGCTTTCGGTCCGGACCCCATCAATCTCCTGATATCGGAAAAGTAAAAAAACCAAGATACGAACGAAGTGTGTAGTAAAAACGCCAGTCGTGGGTGAACAACCACATATCCTCCTGTCCCAGTAGAGAAGATCTGTATCTGTCTTCGTATGCAATAGCGCTTTTTTCTCTTTTCTCATGACGAAAGAAATCACATTCCCAAAACTCCGTTGTGTTCGGTAAAGCAGAAGGGCATCTTTACATGATGATCGAGGGAGTGTCGACGTTGGCCTTGATGGTCTTGTGGGGAAGGACACTGCGAGGTGTGTTAGTTGTTGGGAATTAGACAGAGAGCGAGAATTGAATGCTTACCTTCCACCGTTGACGTAGATCTCGTCGCCAACAGTCACGTCATCACCGAGAACACAGATGTTCTCAAGACGAGCCCAGCGGCCGACGACGCTGTTCCAGCCAACGATTGTGCTCTTGATCCAGGCGTGCTCCTTGACCTTTGAGTTTGAGAGAAGAACACAGCGTTGTAGTCTGACACCGTCACCAATGACACAGTTGGGGCCGATGACGACGTTGGGACCGATCTTGCAGTTGTTTCCAATCTTTGCTGAGGGGTCGATCAAGACGTTTCCGCCGTGAACGTAGGACTCGGAGGTGGATGTGAGCTCCTTGCTGCCCTTCTTGGTGAGGGAGGAAAGGTACAGGCAAGTTCCCGAAAGGAAATCCTTGGGCTGACCGACATCCATCCAGAAGCCCTCGAGATCGAACGAGTGGAGTTGTCCATCCTTGGTCATGGAAGGGAAAGTCTCTTGCTCGATCGAGGTGGGGCGGAGCTCGATGCGCTGGAGTACGCTGGGGTTCAGGATGTAGATACCGGCGTTGATGCGGTTACCGACAAACTCGATGGGCTTCTCGACGAAGCGGTCGATGCGCGAGGCGTGGTTGGGCTTGTGGACAACGACACCGTACTTTGAGGGCTCCTCGACCTTTGTGACAATGATGGTACCCTCGTCGCCGTGGGCCTTGTGGAAGTCGGCCAATTGCTTGAAAGGGTAGTCGCAGATGACGTCTGAGTTGAGAACGAAGAAGGGAGAGTCGTCCTTGCCGAGAATCTTCTCAGCAAGCTTCAGGGGACCAGCAGTGCCCAGGGGCTCGGTCTCGACGGAGAAATCGATCTTGACGTTGTATTGTTGCTCGTACTGTGAAGACGTGTCAGAGTCGGATGAACTGCAAGCTTGCGAGGCTGGCTGCGTACCTTTGCGAGGGCAGCAGTCATGATCTCGGGGCGGTAGTTGACGGCGAGGACAATGTTGGTGACACCGGCGGCAGCGAGAGCAGCGACCTGGTGCTCAATCATGGGCTTGTTGGCAAACTCGACCAGCGGTTTGGGGAGAGTGAGAGTGAGAGGACGCAGACGGGTACCGAAACCGCCGACGAGAATGAGAGCTGTATGCCATTGTCAGTCTGCTGCAGCAAGGATTGGGGGGGGGGAGGGGGCTGGCGTCTGCTCACCCTTCATGATGGATTAAGTGTGGAGGGGCGGTTGATTAAAAGTAGAAAGAGTAGCAAGTGAGTCTTGACAGCAAGTCCAAAGTCGAAGCGAATGAAGGAAGAAATTACAAAAGACAAGTCGATGAAGGATTGCGAGGGAGGGGCTGACGACGGCAGCTGGCTACAGGCCACTTTAACTGTGAACAGCGTGGCCGTGTCGAGAGCCAGAGCCAGCGCCAGAGCCATCAAGGGGGGCAGCACTCCCGACCGCTTGGCAGCCCGAGTCCCCTAAACTCCCTTGCCTGCTAATATTAACCCAACGGCCACCAGCAGCTCGCCGCTCTCTCCTCATGCCGACGACACGCCTCTGCACCTGCTGGGCAGCCCCTTTACGCTTTGCACTCCCAGCTGAAAGAATTCGTCACTGCTGACACCGCATGCTTGCAACTCAGACACCTGTTCATAAAATATGTCTGTCTGCACCTCGTCCCACTCGAGCATGTCGACCTGTCTAAATCTGTATGTAGCATTGAGCACCCCTGTTTGTAAACTATGCGCCTTCAACGCCGCGCCCGTCAATATGCGATTTGATTCATATCTCCATTTCCACATGAATCCACTCTTTACTCGTTGTAGTGGTATACAAAATAGTTGGGCACACCCCAACTGCTCCATCCCAGCCGTTTGGCCATCTTTGCAAATCCTTCCGTCTCGATGAGATGGTAGAATGGGAATGGCGGGAACATGGCCCCGTCTCTGTGGACATCGCCCTTGACGAGCAATGCTGTTCCGCCAACACCGTCCAAATTGACAATGTCCTTGGGGTTACCACCTGGGTCTGTGAAACGTATTAGCCAATATCCTGCGTTATTCAAGAGTGTCAACTTACGGCTCATATACGCCATCAAACTTCTATACGTGGCCATCTCGGCATAGCCCTCGAGCAAAATCTCATCAGGGCCCATCTTAGATGCCAAGTTCTGCGCAGTGTTGCTGTCGATCCAGCTGTTGAAATCATAAGGGCGCACGTCCATGGCACCCTTTTCCTTGTCGTAGAAACGCTGGAAGCAGTTGGGCACAATAATGGGCTTGTCAAATGCCGCCAGGTCTTGGATCAGCGAGTGGGGAGTCTCGACAATGTCCGAATCGAGCCACAAGACCCAAGAAGTGGTAGGACCAAGGGTTGTGAAAAGCAGAGCGTTTCTTGCGCGCGACATGGCGGCACGGCGCTCTTTCTGGGCCGACATGGCATGACGGTCGTGTTCCGACTGGCTTTGAAGCGGGGGCTCGTCTTCTTGACGGAGGATGGTAATGGAAGCGAAGCGCTTGTTGCCTGCTTGAGTCCTGGCAATTTGTTCTTGGAGCTGAGCGGTTGCTGCATTGCCCTCACGGCCCTTGGGAATGATGAAGCCCAAGCTGATCAGGTCGTGAGGGTATGACAGAGCGACAAGATTGTTCCAGTACTCTTCGTAGAAGCGGGCGAGGGGCGTGAGGATGAGGACACTTTCACGGTTTCCGACGGGGTCTGGGGTGTTTGTGACGTTGTTCATGTGGTAGTGGACAACTGGCGGAGGAGGAGCCTTTTCGCCGGCCTTGAGGGTCGACTTGAAAAAAGGGAGCGAGGGCGGAGAGAGGGCATTGGAGGCTGCATCTTTGGACTTAAGCAGTTGTCGAGCACCAGGGACATGCAGCGCTGGGCCAGCGTCGGTCGACGAGAAGATGAAGATGAGGAAGCCAAATGTCAAGAGACCGGCCAAGACCAGCGTGATGGGATTGGTCCGGCGAAGAGATCGTGCGACGGCCATGGTGGATGCTGAGAGGAAACAGTCAGCATGCGACCAAGTTGTAACTCCCGCAGCTCCTGAGAAGGTCGAGGAACGACTTACGAAGGGGGGCTGTTCCTTATGGCTATCGGATGTTGAGCATAACTCGACCTGGAGATGTGACAGATGTTCAGATGTTCAGAAGAGAGCAACTTCTTGTCAGAAGCTGGAGTCAGATAGACCTCCTGAGCCTGTAGAAAAGTGTAGCGACAGAGTTCGAGAAGGACAACGGAAGTCCAACGCTTTTGCCGACGCGTACGCACAGCCAGCAACAGCAGCAGCAGCAGCAGCCAACAGTTTACACCAAGTCGGCGGACTTTACCCAAAACTTGCGGAGACGCTGCCAAGGGGGTGACCAACGGACTTGGATTCGGATGCAGCTCAGGAGCTTGTTTCAGATTTCGTCTGTGCTTGCATCTTTTCTATGCATCAACGTCACCATCGCGCTTTCCTCGCAAGCAGCTCTTGCTCTCTCCTAGAATTGTTCTTTCCTAGATTCTCGCTCTTTCCAGACAGGATACCCAGAATGCTGCGTCGCACATCGCAATGTCTGTCACGGCGGCAGGCTTCGCTCCTCAAGCCACGCTGTCTGAGCACCACAATTCCGCGTAGACTGGCAACTCCGACTTCTGAATTCGCTCCAACGTGGGACAAGATCAAAGACACATTGAAGGCTCCGGTTGATCATTTCGTCTCCCAAGCCCGCCCTTCGTATACCACCGAGACTCCCTCTCCTCCATCTGAAGATATCATTCGTACATGCACTGTCTTGACTTCGGACCCCTCCAAAACATCTCTCCAGGAACTCCTCGATCGCATACCACAATTCCAACCAGGGAACGAGTCGGGTCTCTTTACCGACTTCCTCCTTCTCGTCACACCTTCCTACGCCGCCAGTCTGCGAAAACAGAAACAGGTCATCGAACACGCACTGACGCGCATTTTCCCTGTACAAGAATTGGACAAGGGTCTACACAATAAACTTGGCGGAGACTCTCGAGAAGCCGTCAGACTCGTCGCCGCTGTAGTCGACAGACTTCCTAAGCCCTCTGGTCTGTCGGCTTCTGCCGTCGGCGACAGTGGCTCAGAAGGCATCGCTCTGAGACTGTTAGCGAATGAGAACCCAATCTGGAAGCCCGAAGTCACAATTGACGGCCCTCGCGTCGAAGCAAACCTCTCAGACAACAAGTTCCGCTTTTTGAGCTTCCACCTCAACGACGCGTCTACCCCTGCGAACATGCTTCCAATCGTCCAACTTCCTCTGGCCAACACTATTTTCCACAATGGTCTTCCCTCTACTTTGATCTGGCGCAAGTATGCAGTACAACAAGGCGGAAAGGGTCTCGTCCAGATAGACGAAAAGCTTTGTGACTCGCATCGTGTCAAGCTGCCTCAGCAGCTGGGACGTAACGATACCAACACGCTCACTTCCTCGGTACCTCTTGTTCCACTGACATCTGCCAGAACTGTTGTCGCATGTATGGGAAACATCATCCGTCGATTGTCTGGCAATTCTGGTCTGGTCACCCAAGATGACACGAAAGAGGCCATCCTAGCATCTCACGAACTCGAACAGTCCGTCACCTCGTATCACAAAACTCGCGGACTTTCTCCACGCGCCGTCTCTGTCTGGGCTCTAGTGATCCCCGAGAAGACCTTCACTGGAGGTTTGTCCATGGCTACCAAAGTCCTCGGCGAGAGGAATCTGCCTGAGTTGTGGAAGGCTGCCTCTGATCATGATACCGATCCTTCCCAACCAAACCTTTTGACCTTGCTACAGCATGGAGCTCGTCTTCACAAAGTCCTGTCTGGAGGTGGTGGTTGGGGCAAGAAGGCCGGTCTCTTGTCTTTGGATCCCGACAGTGGCTATGGACAGCATCCGCCATGGGAGGAGATTAGCCCTGCACAGCAAACAGAGCCGGAGTACATCCAAGGTCTATCACCCGTGCCGGCAGACCTGCAGCACATCTGGGGTTTCGAGCCTCAGGAACTCCCCAGTATCGTTAACAGGGGTGATTATATCCAGTTTTATATTTCACCATCAGCATCGTCTGAAGAACAGCTTGTACAAACGGATGCACCTGCGGACACCTCGATTCAGACCACTTCGAATGTCAAGACTATAGAGTTTGGCTGTATTCCCAGCACTGTCGATGACATGCCAAGCACTCAAGCATCTTCGACAGAAAGGCATGGTGTCGTGCAAACATATCCGAATCACTTCGGTGCGTTGTCTGAAACCGGCATCGCAATGTTCTTCGGTCTGCACTCAGACAAAGCCTCATCACCTAATGTACATGACGCGGCCGATGCGGCCACTAAGGTAGATGTGCCTTTCAGTCGCATCAGATCTCGATCGCAGTCCTCTAAGCCTAAACAGGCTCAGACGGGTTTTGCATTCTCACCTACCCAGTCGCTCCAGTCACGTTTCTCTGGCCTGTACATCTCACGTCCGCTTTTGTAGGTAGTGTCGCCTATCAGATATGAAGAACTCCACCAACCTAACCCAGTCCAGATCAACATGAGACGATTGTGCGCATGCTACGACGAGGATTTAAATCTTGCAGTAATCTATGGGCTGAGGAGCCGCCCCTAAGATACGGCGAGAGCAATACTCGGCAAGAAGCAAGCAAGTCGACCAACTCTTCTCGCAAGCTCAAGAAGAAGGAAGCGAATGTGAACGAAGACCCAGAAAAGATCGACCAAGCCCGCAAAGCAGCGGAAGAGACCGAACCAGTCACTGAAGCTTCAGAGATGAGGTTCCGCATTCCAAAGGCCTCGACAGGATTTGCAGCAAGATTGAACCAATCTCAGCTCGATGTAAGCAATATTCGAGGTGAAAAATGGCAAGCATTCGCGAAGCAGACAATGCAAGATGTTATCTCGCCCAAGGCTTTCGAACAGTGGACAAAAGACCAGACCATTCCTAAGACACCCAATGACTTTTGGTCGGCCAGTGATATGCGCAAAGCTCACACCTTCAAAAAGCGACAGTGGAAGTTATCGAAACCAGAGTACAAGAGCCTCAAATTAGACACGGGTTCGTTGATCGCTTGATGTCGTCGACCACGCCAAAGAAGATACTTACACGCACCTGCAGGAGCTGGAATCAGAAGAAGATAATCAAGCAAGAAGAGATGCAGAGGAACAGCTATACCGATCGATGACTTCAGGGGAACTCGAGAATAGGCCTGGGAGGTAAACGGCTCGATGAATGTGTCTGGGGGGCACATATCCTAGCCGACGTTCGCGCTACAACGCTCGGCGAACTTGCCTTCGGCAATCTATGCGAAACAGCGAACCGTATCCTGCACGGAAATTCCTCTCGTGCTTCGTCGAGGAATACCCTTCGGACGACCTATCTATCAACTGGGACCTTCTAGCCATACCCTCGTACAATTTTATTGAAATTTATGAATCCGTGGCCAGAGGAGAAGGACAGCAGATAATAGAAGATTGCGGGTCTGACAAAGACGTAGAGAATAGTGTACTGACGCTGAATAGTGAATTGAAGGATGCGATCAGGGAGTGGACGATTGCGACCGAGGAACTGGAGGAAGATCTTAAGGCAGAATGGCTTACTCAGAGCCAGAAGAGGCGCTTGAAGGCTGCTATAGGGCAGGAGATTATTGCGATTCGAATGTTCGAGAGGGCTGCTCGGAATACACCAGATGTGCCGAGTGGGTAGATGTCGATATCGACAGCCTTTGTACTACGAAATGCATCTTCTGGAAGCTCGGCTCAAACAAATCACCGCTTAACATGACCACTCCATCCCCGTTCTTCTTTTGGGGCATTCAATTTCGTCACAAGGACTAGTCAGTCTCTTGCCTAGAACTAAATATTTGGCTCCAAGGCAGCGTCATCTCTGACTGGTTGCTCGCGTACGAAGGCCAGAAGGACTCACACTGGTGGTAAGTCTGAGCTACGCGTCTTTGTCCATTGATTGACCTGGGTCATGAGCCTTTCCAAGCCCCAAGCTGGATATCGCTATGACTGGAATTTGGAAGTCATGATACAGCTCAGGGTGTTCATAATCCCGGCTGTGGAGCTAGTGTCCTGTTTGCAAAGTCGAAGCAAGATATGTGAGCCATCAAGCAACTGATGATGAATAGTTTGTGTATTTAGAAAGATGGATCAAGGTATATCACTTTGCTGAGCCTTATCAATTATGATCATCCTGTCAAATGCACCTACAAGCGAATTTAGGAATCTTCGCGACAAGGTTCATGGAGAGCCTCGCTTTGAGCCATGAAATTCAGCATAAGCAAGATGAAAGATAAAGACTACTGTCTCCGTAGATATATCGCAAAGATATCTCGAGGCTACTTCTGTTTATTCCCGAGGGACCATGTCATGTTGTCAGTGCCCGTCTCAATGTGTCGGTGACGGTGATCAAGAGCCACTGACGAAATCATGTCTCTGGCGGGAGTAAGCCGAGGTAAACGTCTTTGCTGTTGCACGACTCGCTTTTATCCCGCGAAAATCTGGAAACCTATGTCTCAGCAAGGACTCATCTCCTTTAACAGACGTCTGGAAAGCTGTCGCAACTCACAACGTTCGGAACATGAAGCCTCGAAGAAGAGGAGGCTCATTTGCGTACTTCCTTCCATCGGAGATTTCTTTTTACCTTTTACACGTGCATGTTGCGTGGCTGGCGTTGCAAGCAGGGTTGCGGCATGCCATTTTCCTTCTTCCCGTCCCGTATTTTGGATGCTTCAGCTGCCGACCAGCACCAGACCGAAAGTCATAGCACACGGGAATCCTTCGAGATACTAGGATGATAGCGCAACACGCGTTCCTGCAACTCAGCATGTAGTGATCTCCATCAACATAACCATATTCTGCTTTCGCGCCGCCGTCGGCCGCAGCAGAAGAGATGATATCGCATGTAACGTTATAGAGTGGGTGGGGAATGTCATTGGTGCTAGACCCGCGCGCCTGATCAGGGCGAGCTGCAAGCTGTCATGTTGCGAAGATGCTTGCGGTCGATCACAAAGCTTGGTAAGCTTCAAGGAGACGACGGCGTTTTGCGAGATAGGGATGTGCTTTGTTGATGGGAGTTCTGTTTTGTGTCAAAAGACCAAAAGGCGAAACATGTTTGAGGTGACAGGTACGGTGAGCATCATCTGATTGACTTTTGAGGCTTTCGAACAGTTTCGCTCCCGTCACTCTAACCCACGTCTCATGTTGGTCATGCTTCTGTAGCGGGTGAGTCAGGAAGTACGATAGTACGAGATGTTCGGGCAGACTGCACGGGGGCATTTTGTGCGGGATATCCCAGAAGTCTGACAGCGTGCGTTAAGATGATCTGTTGACCACCAGGGTGGGAGTCGTAGGAAGAGGTATGGGCGTTGATTCTGTTAAAGAACAGTTGCAGAGTCCATCACAACAGGCCCAAAGATCGGTGAAACAGTTGACCCCGACGATGCTTAAATTTAACTGTATCCTTAGCGGTCGACTAGCTTACCACGCCGAACGAGCAAAGATGTGCGAGGGCATGCCTCCATGCATTTCGCTAGCTCCAACCGTGGATAGTTGGAAGCTTACTGTCCGTATGACCTATCTCTCAAAACCCTGAGACCTCCTAGAATTGTTTACCGCCTCTTTTCCTCCCTCTTCCGCAACACATACACCTAAAAGAAGGATATCGCAAAGCTCGTCGCATCCCTGATCGCACAATACGCAAAGTCCCCTAGAAGCCTGTCAAGATCGCTAAACTGAAACGCAAACCAATCCAATCTACTACAACACGCGGGACCCTTGCCGCAGATCATCTAGATTCTACGTCTTATTTCCCATACAACAACCTCAGGCCCCCCTCCCCCACCTCACTTGTCAAGCATAATAAACACATCCAAGACATTGCTGCGACCATACAAATTTTCACCTAAGACTCTGACATTGGTTACGCGACCTCGAGTGAGAGCGATGGCGGATATAAACGAAGATACACCTTTGCTCCGTCGCTTCTCCATTCCTACGGTCTTTACTCAACCTGGTTGTTTTGAACAAATGTCTGACAAGACGAATCTTGAGGAGGACTATAATGCTCCTGCATGTACGTATTCTCTTCCCTCGGAATTCTGTTCACGTAATTCCCTTTCGTCCTCGATTTGATCAAATCTCAAATCTCTTGCCACTTCTTTCGTACCTCTCTAGTCCATCCGTCACTTCTGTCTACGTCTTGCCATTTCATGTTGAAGCTCATCGCTTTACGTTTCTCGAATACATTTTCTCACATCAATTCTCCTCTTATAGGCACATTCCCCTTCTCAAAAATGCAAACCAAGTCAGAAGATCCCTCACACCCACGCATGCCCCAAGCAATAGCCCACCGCGGCTACAAAGCCAAGTTTCCCGAAAACACCCTCGCCGCCTTCGCCGGAGCCATCTCCATCGGCGCCCACGCAGTAGAAACAGACGTCCACATCACCAAAGACGGCGTAGTGGTGCTCTCTCACGACAACACGCTAAACCGCTGTTTTGGCCGCCCGGAAAAGATCATCGATTGCGATTGGAGTTTTATAGCGCCGTTGCTGACGACCGAAGAGCCGAAGCAACATATGCCTAGACTTTCCGATTTATTGGCATTCCTGGCAGAAGAGGAAAGGAAAGATATTTGGGTGTTGCTGGATATCAAACTGGATAACAATCCTGAGGATATCATCAGATTGATTGCTTCGACGATTGCTGCATCGCCTTGCTTGCCATCGGCACCGTGGTCATCACGGATAGTGCTGGGTTGCTGGGCAGCAAAATACATCCCTCTGTGTGCGAAATATCTGCCTGGGTTCCCTTGCACGCACATTGGCTTTTCGTTGTCTTATGCAAGACAATTCCTACACACGCCCAACGTCAGCTTCAACATGCTGTTGCCTATGCTGATGGCACCCGGCGGCAAATCCTTCCTTGCCGCTGCGAAGAAAGCACAAAAACCGGTTTTGGCATGGACGGTCAACGAGACCAGCAAAATGAAATGGTGCATTCGACGACAATTAGACGGTGTGATCACAGATGATCCAAAGCTCTTCTTGGAGGTATGCAGGAATTACGATGCGAGGGAGAAAGAGCAAGGATTCAGTCTCAGGACTTGGGTGGATGTGCTCAGGGTTTGGGTGTTGGCGACGATATTCGGGTTCTTGTATCGCAACAGGTTTGCGGGCAGGACAAAGAGTCAAGTGCAGGTTGTTTGACTCGTGGATGGTGGTGAGGAGGTAGAGAGGAAGAAGATCGATTGATTCGATGTTCTGTTTTGTAACTAGACGGTGCATTAGCGTGAGGTATAGATGGGAGATATGTCAGTATCGAACGATACTTTGAGACCTAAGTCAGCATGAGTTGTGAGTGTTCGGCAAAACATTGCTGAGAGGTAGTTGGTGTCGCTATGCTCATGGCTAGAAATCTTCGTGGAGATTGATAATCTGAAAATGAGATGTTACAGGGCTTGAGAAGGATTTCGAACAAGGTAAACAAAAGAGTGTTGTCATGTTCGGAAAGAATATCAGGCTTGAATACATCTGGTTTTTTTTTTCCAACTCCCTCGTCTTGTTACCATTGAACCTTGGCCGTATTTTCACCAACCACCCCTCAATGCTCTACCGCAGACAACTTCCTTTGGTAAGCCTTTGCCGAATTCATTTGCTTGAGCATAGATACTTGGAGTTGTATCTCCTGCTTCCCACAACAGTGAGTCAGTGCCCATCTCGAGAATATGGATAGGAGATGACTATCTTAGACGAAGAGTCTGTCAGCGGCAGGAAAACAAAGGACAGAAAGGATGCCGGAGTAGGAAAAAAAAGGAAAAGGAGTGCGGGAGCTACTCACTCATACAAGAGAAGCCCCTTGGCTGAGTACCTCGGGAACGTTGACAATACAACCATGATGGTATGTCGAGAAGCAGAGATTGAACAAAGCTGGTTGAAGGCGAATCCTTCCGCTTGTGTGAGCTATAGCTTCCTCACACATCAGGGTCGTAGCTTTTGACATGGTTCTAGAGGATTCAACAAAGAATCGGTGGATGTGATCAAGCGGGGTCGATATGGATCTAAAAATAGATCTAGAAGAAGAAGATGTAAAACATGGCAGTGGTTGAATATAGAGTGTATGTGTATGCAGGCAAGTATTGGTGTGACTCTGTGAGATTTTGTGAAAAGTAGGATGTGTTGAAGATCGTGAAATATCAGAGGATGAGATTGGAAAATATACGCCTTACAATTGATGACTGCCTAGGAAGATACAGGCAACAAACCTCGCTATCGGGGTGCATCATGGCGCCAGCATGCAAAAGCTGAAACAGGAGTCGCTGATTGGTTTACTTGTGCCTCTGAGATGAGCAAGTGGTGGAAGATGTCTATTGTGGCAGGCAGAAGCATAAAGCGTAGGTATGCACCGGACGAAAGAGGAAGGAGCGCGTCATAAGGCGGTGAGGGGCGAGGAGGGCGAGTCAGGGCGCGCCATCGGAGCTTGCTGGGCCGACGCTACTCGCGAAGGCGGAGACATTCGCATGAGCAGCAGCAGCAGCAGCAGCACCAGCGCCAAAGCAATTCCACCATCGGTCTCAGCTGCCGACTGACACACATAACATCTACCACTTTGACCAGAATCATCGCAGTCAACTCTACTCCTGTCATGCCGAAGCACGCTGTCTGACTTCTCTGATCTCTCCTCGACACGACTGCTCTTTTCTGCCGCTTCGTCACCCACTCTTCCATCTCGGTCGCACTCCTCTTAGACGCGGTCGCCAACCATGCCGCCGGTCGCCTCAGTCAGAAAGGCTTCGATAGCCACTACCGACACAAACTCCGCCCGTCGGCAGTCCGCTCGACAACCACGTACCTCGACCTCGAGGCCAATCAACTACTATGCTCGCTCCTTCGGCCAGCTCGACAACAACCATGAAAACCAAGATCCTGACCCGCCAGGCTTCTTCCCCGGCGTCCAATACTTTGCTGACTCGATCTCTGCTCTTCCGCGCGAAGTCCAGCGTCACATCACCCTGATGAAAGAGGTCGAAGCAAAGGTCTATGGTCCTACAGAGGCTTTGAAGTTTCTCACAAACAGCATTCTGAATAAGCCCGCCCCTCTTTCTCGCAACCAGCCCACTTCTCCACGCCTGTTGTCCTTCACAGCTCCTCCCAGTGCCACGGTCAGTTCGGCTGGTTCCGTCATCAACGGCAACCAGCCCACTACCTTCGACCAGCGCGTTCAAGACGACCTCGAGTCGCAACAAGACGAACAAGCCGACCACGCAAGACGATCTGAATTTCAGTCCCTCCGTCATGTCATCGGCAACCTGATCACTAACCTTGACGAGAAGAACGTCGTCATGGCAGAAGCCAACCGCGCCCTCGCTCAGCAGCTCGCTCGTCTCGACAGCGTCATGCCCCACGTCGAGAACGAGATCAGCGAAGAGTCGCGTCTGGGTAGTTTGACCCATTGGGCCTACCAAGACAACCGCGCTAAAAAGCAGACAACGACGTCGCAAAACGAGCGCAACAGAAGAGACGTCGCTGCCACCAGCAGTCTCGCCGCTGCAGCAGCTGCCGTTCACGACCAAGACATTGCCGCAGCAAGAGGAGAAGCACGACGCGAAACAAAGAAAACAAGCCGTACTCAGGCCATCGATTCTGACTTCGATGACCGTCCGACAAAAAGAGCCCAGACTGGCAAGTCGCGAAAGAATGCCGACGCAGAACCGAAAGCTAGCGGGCTGGGAATTGCAAACGGCACGGCCACCGCTGCTACAACAAAGAGGCGGAAGGTCGAGAAGGCTCCTGCTATCGCTGGTGCACCAGCCATGGAACGCTCGGCAAGCAACATGAGCACTGTGGTCAAGGCTGCAAGAGGTGCTGGCAACACGACTCCAAGATCGACACCGGCTGTCGAGGCCACAAAGAAGAAGGGCAAGCCCGGCCCTGCTCCTGGTACTGGAGCCGGAAAGAAGAGGTACACAAGTCTAGACCTTTCGCCGGGCGACGCAGCTAACATGGTTTATAGAAATACCGCCCTCAACCAAGTCGCAAACTCTCCCCGACTCCCCAACTCGTCACCCGTACTGAGTAATGCACAATTACAAGCCGAAACCATCTCCAGACCTGCCTCGTCTCGCATGCGCCAAAACTCGAACTCGACGTCGAACCTGCAGCACTCACTGCTTCCCGAGAAACAAGTCAGCCGTCCAGCGTCGGTCGCCGACAACAAATCAATCAATGGTAGTACAACCGGACTTGCCGAGTCGGTCCCGGCCTCAATCACAGCCATGGGCAAAGAGCCCAAGGAAAGTGTAGAAGAGGTGGCAGAAGACGCTATGAAGGTTGACCAGGCTGAAAGCACTGTCCAAAAGCACAAAGCGGAGTTGTCGAAGAACGAAGACATAGAGATGGAGGACGCTAGTCTGGATGTCCGCCCAACGAGACGCGGGTCTGTCACGTCTACACCGCGGACCGAGCCATTCCCCGAAGTTGCCGTGTCACGAACCAGGGGTCGACTACTTCACAACGGACACTCGCATCGTGGGAGCAACACATCAGAACACTCGGCATCCGGACACGATAGGAAGAGCCGTGGCAGACGCAAGAGTGGTAGTGGAGCCCACATCCTCAAGCAGATCGCTAGCTTCAACCGAAGCCCAGACGCGGGCAGGCGGCGCGACGAGAGTAAAGAATCGGAAATGTCAGACGACGACGAACATGGGAGATCGACAAGACGAAGCCAGCCTCCTCGAGTCACGACCATATCCCGGAATCGACGCGACGGTGGTTCCAGAGCAACAACAGCTAGTTCTCGGCGCTCAGAACTGTCGCCAGAAGCAGACGATGGGCCCGGTGAAGTCGAGAACGAGGCCGAAGACGAAGAGGTGGAACAGGTTGCAGATGAAGAGGAAGTCGAGGAAGCTGAAGATGGCGATGAGCCAAAGTACTGTTACTGTGGGCAGGGCAGCTTCGGCGAGATGATTGCATGTGACAATGATGATTGTCCGATGGAATGGTTCCATCTTGGATGCACAGGATTGCGAGCAGTACCAGGTGATAATGGTAAGTCTAACAGCATGTCTCAATTTCTGGCGTCGCTAACAGGATCAACAGTCAAATGGTTCTGCGATGTGTGCAAGGAACCTAAGGGCAAGAAGGCCAAGACGATGGCCAACAGACATTGATGGGCATGACGAGGATAAGGATTGCAGGGACAAGGCGTTTATAAGACAATTGCATGGTGAGGGGAGATTGGATTGTGTGGGACAAGATGGTGGCAGGACACAGATAGCAGAAGTAGACATGTATATGGCCAATCAGGGCATTTCCAAGGGTGAGAGTGTTCTGGTTGCTCGATAGACAGTCGAGGGCGGTGAGGGCGGTGAGGGCTGAGCTACGGGGTTCTGCCGTCGGCAGCTGCGGCCGCATGACGCGTGCCTTCCGGGGCTTGGCTCGGGCTTCGGCGGGCTGTGGACACCAACTGCATCTCGCGGGGTCCTGGATGCTTCAAGGAGGTCGACCGACGGTTTAGCTCAAACATCTCACTCAATCAACGCGTCCAACCATGGCTGAAGTGCCCATTGGTATGCTCCGACCTGCCTTCTGTCCAGCTAGCCCAATGCGCTAACAGTCACACTACAGTGCTCGATGGCGGAACGGGTTTCCTCAAGGCTGGTTACGCCGGCCAGGTACGCCAGCTTCCATACACGTCCGCCTGCTGCCTCAACTTTTACTGAATCCTCGACTCTGTACAGAACTTCCCCGAGCAACAGTACCCATCCATCGTCGGCCGTCCAATCCTCCGTACCGAAGAGCAGGCTGGTCTAGATGTCCAGCTCAAGGACATCATGTGCGGTGACGAGGCCGCCGCCGCCAGATCCATGCTGCAAATCACCTATCCCGTACGCCTTCCCAGAAAGAAACAATCTCCACCATCTGCCTTACAACATAACTAATGCGGAACACCGTGCAGATGGAAAACGGTATCGTCAAGCGCTGGGACGACATGCAACACCTCTGGGACTACACCTTCTTCGAGAAGATGAAAGTCGACCCCACCGGTCGCAAGATCCTGCTCACCGAACCGCCAATGAACCCCCTCAAGAACCGCGAAATGATGGCCGAAGTCATGTTTGAGCGCTACAACTTTGGCGGCGTCTATGTCGCCATCCAAGCCGTGCTTGCCCTCTACGCACAGGGTTTGTCGTCTGGTGTGGTGGTTGACAGCGGTGATGGTGTCACTCACATCGTTCCTGTGTACGAGAGCACTGTGCTTAATCACCTCACGCGCAGACTCGATGTGGCGGGTAGGGATGTAACGCGTAACCTCATCAGCTTGCTCACCCGCCGTGGCTACGCACTCAACCGCACTGCTGACTTTGAAACCGTACGCGCCATCAAAGAGAAACTCTGCTACGTCTCCTACGACCTCGCCCTCGACAAGCAACTCAGCGAAGACACCACCGTCCTAGTCGAATCCTACACTCTGCCCGACGGCCGCGTTATTCGCGTTGGCAGCGAACGCTTCGAGGCTCCCGAGTGTCTTTTCCAACCTCATCTCGTTGATGTCGAACAACCCGGTATCGCTGAATTCTTGTTCAACACCATTCAAGCTGCAGACGTGGATGTCAGGAGCAGTCTGTACAAGGCTATTGTGCTGTCTGGAGGTAGCAGCATGTATCCTGGTTTGCCCAGCAGATTGGAAAAGGAACTCAAGCAGCTTTGGCTCACTAGAGTTTTGCAAGGAAACCCTGAGAGATTGAGCGTGAGTTGTTCCCTTCACCCAACAGCCGTGGGGTCTTGCGAAAGTGGCATTATGCTAATGAAGATTGAACAAACAGAAATTCAAGGTCAGGATAGAAGACCCACCGAGAAGAAGACACATGGTATTCCTCGGCGGTGCCGTCCTCGCAAATATTGTAAGTTGTTCCTCTCCGCAATCTTGCGCACACTTCAAGTCAAGGAAAGGTTCAGAGAACTAACAGATGCAAACAACAGATGGCCGACAAGGAAAGCATGTGGATATCCAAGCAAGAGTGGCAAGAACAAGGTGCTCGTGCCCTGGACAAGCTGGGCGCGCGATGAGAAGCAGGATGCAAAGACGAAGAAAGCAGACTCTACAATTAACGAAACTTTTTCAAACAAACAAAAAAACAACTACCGTGTATATTCTCCTCGTTGTGTTCTGTACAATCTTCAAGTGCTGTTACGCGAAGTGAATTTTGATGGTGATTATATCATCACCGTAGACAAGAGTAAGATACTATGAGGGAGCGAAGCAGAAGAAGGCCCGATCAATTGTCAACAAACGATTGTTTTTCTTTTGTTCCGCTAGACATGACTACCCTGACTACGAATAAGGGCGGATGCCACATTGGTACCTAAGGCTCTCTCGACCAAGAAACATCACTTGAAAGAACGAGTACAACATGATTTACCCAAAGAAAGTCCCCAACCAAGATTCCTCAGAACCAGATGAATCAAAATACCATCCAGGAAATCGTCGCATGTCTCTCGAGCTTCTAGCTGTCTTCCTCGTTATCGGGACAAGCTCGACCATGTGAAATCCTGCCGAATCTCGACTTGACACCAGAGCGATCTTGGTGGAAGCAAGTCGGGATCCCAGGCCTTTGCTCGGGAACGGGACATGTGAACTGTTAAGGCTGGCTTCGTTCTGACCCTTGCAAGTTCGTGGCGACAAAATCGGCTTTTCGCTGTACTGAGTTGGGTTGTGAATGTGGACCGAATGTCAGCGGTGCGTTTGCGCTGCTTGGAATTCTCCTGGCGGTGACGGCGGGTTGAGTAATCGACTCGTCCATATTTCCTCTGCTTAAGGGCAAAAGCGGCAAGCTTTCCCCAGGGTGACCTTCTTCCTACGTGATAGTCACAGCATTCTCGACACCACGTCGACCGAGCCCGATGTTGCCCTTGCTACAATGACTCAGAGCGAATACGCAAGGGACAGCCAAGCAGCTGATTACAGCCTGGAATATGAGTGCACTTTTCATCGAATCTTTGGGCTGACCAGAGAGACCACCTTTCAGTGCGTCCATGAGAAGAATGAAAACGGCTCCGAGTAACTGTCCTCCTGTCCAGCAGATCGTGCTGCTAACCTCGGGACTAGCGGGGTACGTGATCTCAACAAGATACTCGAGCGCACAGGGCAGCAAGGAGAATGAAGCTGCTCCTAGTATTGCACAAGTGATATAAGGTCCAGCGACTGTACGCGTTTCGGGCATGAAGACGAGTAGAATGTAGCCGATTGCGATCAAAGGGACCAACCATTTTATCGTCGGAAGGTATCGTTTTGTGTGATCGACGTAAAGCGAGGTAACAGCTGAAACCCCGAGACCAACGAAAATCAGGATAGCGCCTGCGATGCCAGCGTCCGTCTCTGTGAAACCATAAGGCTCGAATATTTGGTTGATCAGACTCGATACGGCATTGAAGAAGCCAACATAGACTCCAAAGGCGACGAAGATGAGAGCAAAAGCTTTGTTCTGTTTGAGCGACTTGAGTGATGCAGTGATATTGAGCATCTCGACGTTTGCAGAATTCGAAGCAGGTGTTGGCGGCTTGGAACGGACAAAGATGGTAGGTAAGCATGCTACGCAGGACTAGATCGTGTCAACGTTGGGACTTGAACTCGACTGTCTTTGGACTTACGACGATTGCTGTGAAGAGGACCATGTGCGGGATGTCTTTCGGCTCAGAAGCCCAGAAGGGGCCGATGAGTTGACCAAGTGCACCACCAAGAGGATTGGCCAGTGAGGCTACAGCTGTAGCGGAGACACGACCAAAGAGGCCTTTTTCGGGGAACCAAAGATCACTGAAGCGAGTTGGTGCAGCCAGAACGAAGGGCTGAGCAAATCCTATAATGATCTGGCCCAGAACGACGACTGGAAAGCTGCCGTGGGCGCCAGAACGAGTTCCAGCATATCGAATCCAGTTGCCGACGAATATCAAAACAGCGGAACTAAGGATGGAAGTTCTGGGACCTCTGTGCAAAGCCCAGATAGTGAATCTATGGGGACGAGGTTAGTTCTAAGTTTGTGGTATTTGGTGGAGATGATGTACGGGGAAGCAATGACGAAAGCGAATAGGAAGCCTGTACTGAGCCAATTGATAGCACTCTCAGATAGTTGAAAGAATTGGGAAGCAGTGCTTGATACGGCCGAGAAGGTCAGCCACTGTCGAGTATCAGCACAGAGTAAATGAATGCTACGACCGAAGCTTATCACATACATCCCAGCTAACGATGATGTTGAGTAGGACGAGTACAGCAAGGCCAACGAAGCGTTCTTTGTAAAGCTTGTGTTGGACAGTGGGATGCGTAAGATATGCTTGGGATTCGGTGGGGTACAAGTCATCAACAGTCGTGGTGGTCAAAGGGTTCAGAGGAGCCATCTCGGAGTCTTCAGTATCATGTCGCGGTAGATAAGAACCGATGGATGAACGATGGCCCATGGCGGGAGGACGTCGGATATATAATGGACGGTAGATGCATATAAGAGGGCGTTTGAGTTGTCACGAGGGCTGCTTCTAGGCCATTGAGTAATGCAGATGCATGTGCGACAGCTTGGCGGTGGTATTGATGCAGCAGCAGCGACGCGAGAAGGAGCGTCCTATCGATTGGCAAGCCAGAACGTGGCTACCCTCGAAGCTACCAAAGCCTCTTTGTTTCAGATTGTCATCGCTATGTGCATAACGAATAAGGTAGAGTATGCAGAGACGGTCATCAGTAGATTAGATGTTCATGGGAGCGATGGTGACATTCTGACAAAGGGCATTTGGGTGACATTGAGGGCGTCGCGCGAGTCATGAAGTGGATGTGACGTCTTGTACATTGATAATCCATCCTCCATGCGGCGACAACAAGCAGTTATTACACCTGGACTCCGACACTCAGTAAATCTTGAGTCGAGAATGTTCCATCTTGACTTGGCGTCTTGCGACTGATCCGGCAACCACTTTCTTCCACGCAGTCACTTCCGAAGCCTCTCGAGCAGCGACACGACAGCTGATTGAGAGGCCATGTACCAGTCATTCACAGGAGCATCGCGCCGACCACGTCAGGTCAACCTCTCCGGGAAGAATGCGAACCCTTTCGCTGCCAGCAATCCGCTAGCTGGTCCCCAGAGCGCCGTCCAGAACGCTCACCAAGACCGACAACAACGACAGAAGCAACGCCACCAACTAAACGCCGCAAAGACGCTTCAAAGAGTTTGGAGAGGTCACAATGCGAGGACAAAGACAAAGGATGCATGGCGCAAGCAGTGGGATGCTACACCTGCCGCCGACGTGGATGCCATACAACGCCTAAACCTACTGCTGCTGTTCTTCTCGCCCTCCAACGACGCCGATGTCCAACGCCTCATTACCTTTGTCTCGCATCACTCGCTCGACACGACTGCCTCGAATCACCATTTACGCCTGGAGAAGGCCTGTTTAGGAGCCTTATCACAACCGAAGCCACACCGTATCAACGACGTCCTTACAGTCCTGTCTTTTCTGGCCACCGCCATACCCCACGAGACCGGCCAAATCTCGAACCACTACTATGCCACCCTCTCAAAACTACCACAGTCGACACATACAAGCTTCCTCCAAGCTGTCGCGGCTCCTCTCAACTCACAACTCCTGGCCGCCTACCAAGGCTTCGCCGCTGCTTACCTCACCACTCCTCTCGATCCAACCACCCTCCATTCCCTGGCGTCCATTCTCGACTTCTCCAAACTCGCTCAAGCTATATCAAATATCACTACAACCCACACCCTGGATACAAGACGTCGTCTGTGGCTTCTTGGCCAGTTTATATATTTCAAGCCCGAGACCAATCCTGCTTCGCACTATGTGTCAGTTGTTGCCCAAATGCTTTCGTCCCTGGCCGAGATTATCGCTCCAGAGGCTCCTGCCCTGGACATGACAAACAAAGACTATGACCGACTGGTCCTGGCAACGAATCCCACTCGTGTTCAGCTTAACAGCTTCCTGAAAGAACAGCTCTCACGCTTGGTTGATAGAGACGCAATCAGCTCCCTGGTACCAAGACCGCTTGCTCCTTCAGACATGTCCATGCCAGAAGATACATCGGATTCCCAACTATTGGCCAGTTATGCCTTAATATTGCTCCGTATCTTTCCCCTACGCGCTGACGATATCCGCATGTGGCTCTATGTCGGTCCATTAGATCAGGCCTTTCGAGAGGACACCATTCCTGCCATTCTCTTCTTCTGGAAAGGTATGCGCTCAACATCCATCTTTGCAAACATCTACAAAGACCCTCGAGCTGCTGTCGAACTCCTCAAAGCGCCAAAGTCATCGATATCTTCTTGGAAACCTCCTGGATATGAGGCTGAGCAACTCAAGAAAAACGAAGAATGGCGTGTCATCCTCATCTTCCTTGAGCTATACACGTTTGTGCTGAAGATTACCGACGATGAAGAATTTCTCGGTGCAAAATCGGGCACGAATTCGCGGGACAGCAAAAATGCACTTCCCGTCGAGGATCTAAAGGACCTGACCGTCTTCCTGAAGAACCTTGGCTTTTCCATGTACTTCAACTCCCAGGAAATATCCGAATCGTTTGATCCAAGTCTCGAAGCCCTGAGTACGACCAGCTTGAGTCGTCATTTTGGCGGTAAATCAAGTGCTGTCGAATCCGTGGCTGAAGCCGTGCCACAGACCATCTCGGTCGCAGGCACCGTTGGTATGAGTCTTGACTATGTGAAGGGTCTAGTTACCGGGTTGCTCCGCGCTGTCTATGAGCGAGATTCGAGAAGAAACTTCTTGCCCAAGGGACACTGGTTGATGACATCTCGATTGGACATGGACAACTTCAAAGCCGCCGTAGTCGGTGAAGATGACCGAAGGCAACAGCTACAGTTACAGGCTAGTGAGGAAGACGGCGAACCTGCTGAATCTGATGCAGATTGGAACGAGGCCGACAACATCTCCATGAATCCATCACAACGAAACTATCGTCGTCAAAGCCGGCAAGCGAGCACAACACGCTATCTGCAGTCCGTTGCTCCCCGATTGGAAATCCTACAGAACATGCCGTTCATGATTCCCTTCGAAACGAGAGTTGAGATCTTCCGCGAATTCGTCCGACTGGACATGGTCAGACGAAGATTTGGTCACCCGGACCCGGAACTCTGGCGCCACAGAATAGCGTTCGGGTCGTTAGGTGGTTCCGGCGGGCCGTCCGAACTCGGAAAGCATCATGCAAGCATTCGTCGCAAGAACGAATTCGAGGATGCGTTCAAGCAGTTCTACAGTCTTGGTGAGAAGCTAAAAGAGCCGATCCAGATTACCTTCCTCGATGAGTTTGGTCTACAGGAAGCAGGTATCGATGGTGGAGGTGTTACGAAGGAGTTTTTGACCAGCGTCACCACGGAAGCCTTCAACCCTGAGAAGCTCTATTTCACAGAGAACAGCCAACACTCTCTGTATCCCAATCCGACCAGCGTCGAAGTCCACAAAGAGATGTTGCGAATGACAGGATTCCCCGATGATACAGAAGAGCATCGAGAGGTGATACGAGATCTCTTACAACGTTATGAGTTCTTGGGTCGCGTTGTAGGAAAGTGTCTCTACGAAGGCATTCTCATCGACATCAACTTCGCCAGCTTCTTCCTCAGCAAATGGGCCTTGTTCGGAGGTACCAACAACGCATCGAGAGAATCCGCATACAAAGCTTCAGTCAACGAGCTACGTGATCTCGACGAAGAACTCTACCAAGGACTCATGAGCTTGAAGCATTACCCGGGCGATGTCGCAGAATGGGGCACTTACTTTGCAGTCAACAACACAATCACCCTCCCCAACGGCCAAACCAAAACCATGGAGCACGAACTCATCCCCAACGGCGCAAACACACTTGTCAACCGCGGAAACCGCCTCGTCTACATCGCAAAAGTAGCCCAATACCGTCTTTCGGTGCAATCACACCTCCAAACTACCGCCTTCCTCACCGGCCTCTCTGCCATCATCCAACCATCCTGGCTCAACATGTTCAACCAAAAGGAACTTCAGACCCTCATCGGCGGCGCTGCTTCCAACATCGACGTCTCAGACCTACGCGCCAACACCCACTACAACGGCGTCTATGAAATTGGCACCGATGGCCAGGAACATCCCTCTATCCAACTGTTTTGGCAAATCATGCTCGAGCTTCCTGACGCCGACAGACGCAAAGTGCTCAAGTTCGTCACGAGTACGCCTAGAGCACCGCTTCTGGGTTTCGGGTCGTTGAATCCGAGATTTACGATCAGAGACTCTGGTGATGATGAGAAGAGGTTTCCGACGGCGAGTACGTGTGTCAATCTGCTCAAGTTGCCGAGGTTCAAGAGTAAAGAGGCGTTGAGGGATAAGTTGTTGTACGCGGTCAATTCTGGTGCTGGGTTTGATCTGAGTTAGGACGGAAGTTGCGTCTTGTGGAAGCGTTTGGTGTCTGGTTGGGGTAGGGAGTCTGAGGGGTGTCTTGGTGCAAACGAAAATATATAGATGCGGTACAGCATAGCGGTCATCAATTTTGATTTCTTGTCTTCACTCCCTTCGCTTCGTGTGCCATGAATCTCGATTGTGACAATGCTCTGCCCTTCCGCGTGTGCAGCATTTTATTCACTTACACTGCGCTCCCACGTTCAAACAAGCAGGCGCAGCCCAGATCCCTTGGAACGCACGACTTTCTCTTTGCGGCAACAAAGGCCACAGAGCGCCAATAGACCCATCACCCTCGATAGCATGATTCTTATTCACTAAAGGACTCTGTGCATGTATGTGATTGCATACATAGCATACTTTTACATAGAGTAAAGGAGAGATGGGAGACGCGATAGTCGGAAAGTGTGTGTCCGCTGGAAAAACACGTGGACTTTCTCACAATGTGATTTTACATGCACAACATCACGAAATACCAATTTCAGAGGGGAAAGAAGGGGAACAGAGAAAGAGACAGGGAGAGAGATCAAAAGAGTATAAAGTCATCCACCAGGGATGAGCTTTTTTTTTTCCATTGTTTATTTATCCTTTTTGTTTCGGTTCAGAACAAGGAAGAGACCAAAGACCCAAGGCTTACCACAATCAACAAGTTGAGAGATCAGAACATCTGACAGGACGAAGGTAAACGCGTTTGCCAGAGCAAGGAGTAATATTCATAGAGGCCAAAAACTCGGCAACTTTTGGTGTAATGTCGGAAGCAAGAGGAGAATCGAGACGAAGACGTTGAGTGGCTCTCTCAAGACCACCACAATCATCAACACTTCTCTTTCTTTTCAAAGTCGGAGCAGTAGTAGGTGAAGATCTAGCAGCAGCAGCTCTTTCACAAGGAGAAATTTCAGAGTTGGAAGGAGAAATCTCACAGCCTGAATCAGAGTCAAGTGATCTAGGTGGCCATGCATTTCTGAGGGAGAAGGAAGGGCGGCAAGGGTCAGCTGAAGTGTTGGACTTCATTTGAGCCCATGCGGCGTTAGTATAGAGAGGACTATAGTGATAAGAAGTGGCAATGGTGGGTTGGAGTGAGGGCCAGAGGAAGGCAGTAAGAGGGGCAGCGAGTGCAGAATCAGCAGTGGCAGAGCAACCAGCAGGAGTGGTGTCAAGCCAGTTGATGATGTGTGCAGTAGGGCTGAGAGTAGAAGTGGTGAAGATGGAACGCAAAGGGAAGGCATTGTTGTTACCAGACCAGTGGCATTGTGTCATGTGCTTTTGATATTCGAAAGTACTGCCGTTGAGGGCCGTACCGCAGGTGGCGCAAGGGAATGTGGAAGGCATCGTTGTGCTGTGGGTGTTCGACTTCACTAGTTAGTCAGTTCTCCTTGGTTGCTCGTGGATGAGAAGTCGAGTCCTGAGAAGACTCGAGAGGTTTTAAATGTTCTGAGTGTGACTCGAGAGACCATTGTCGTTGCTGCAACGAACAATGCATTTTTGAAGTCTGTTGACGATGATTGGTTGATGGGGACTGCGACTGAGACGATCTGATGGTCGACAAAGAACACAAAATGTTAGAGACAAAGGCATTGCTCAGATTGTTGGCGATCAAAGAAGCAAACAATGCATTGTGATTCTGACCGACAAAGACTCGAAACGAGCACCTCGGACCTCGCCATTTGCGTGAGAATAGATCGATAGAAGCTGATCAGTGTCCCTGATCGGGATAGTCGTTATTCAAGAAGTAGTGTACAGTATTGAGAGATGCGCAGTAACGCATATGCGTCATGATCGTGATATATCCAGAATATATTATATGTTGATCATCAACATTTGGGTATCAAAAATCGTCCAAAATCTGACAGTCGGCATATACATGGCCTTGACTGGACAATATCATGCTCAGAAGCCGTCGTCTATGTCTCTGCTCTTTTCGTCTGCCTGGCGGCGATCGTTGTAGTTCCACCACCATTTGTGTGTCTCATCGTTCTTGCCCTTGTCGTCACCCTTCTCATCCCAGGGCTTGGGACTGAGCAAAATGTGTGCGTTTTTGACTTGATCGTCTCTCCAGATTGCGTCGTGTACACCTTCCCAACGCATGGTCTTGAGGGCATTGTAGATGTAGGGAAGAGCAACCCATCGGCCAGGAAAGAGGTCGCTAAGCATGGACTGATCGGCAAACTCGTAGGATGCGGTGACTGATGATTGCAGACCATTCTGGATCAGGTCGTAGACTTCTTTGCTTGGTACGACGACCTGGAGGCCTCCGTTGGGCATGGCGAGACCTGCGAGAGGGGAAGCACCGGTCTTCTGTGCCTCTTCGGGGTTGTTGTGCTGGGTGGTGAAAGCGCAGTTGGCAGGAACCCACTCCTTGGGGTAGTGCGGCTTCTTCAAGGGGTTGCAGACACAGGCGTGACTTGCAGCAAAGACACGATCACCACGACCAGCAAGCTCCGGGCCGTCGAGAGGCACGTCCATCAGCTCGTCCATGTTCTTGAGGATGAGCATGTCACTGTCAAGTTGAACGACACGCTCATACTCAGTCAGACCGAAGGGAGTAAGCTTGCTCCAGCAATCGTAGAAGCGAGGGTCGTTGCTGTAGTCCTTGGACATGGAAGGCAGTAGGTAGGGAATGCGCTTGGAAGGAATGCCGCGAGCCTTGAGGGCGGCATGGCCCTCGGGAGGGAACGTGTCGGTGTAGAGAGCGACAAGAGGGTACTTGCTACCGGCAGCCTTGAGTGAGTAGTCGAGGGTCAACAAGCCCGAGAGATAGTTTGTGTTTGTGATCAGCGTTGTCCACACCTTGGCCGAGTCGACCACTCTTTCTGTAGATGCTGCCATTGTTGTGTGTCTCGAACTGCAAGTACTGTAAGAACGATCAAGTGTGATGAAAAGGACAGAGACGGCGCTCTCTCAGAGAAATGTTGAGAGCAGATGATTACCCAATCGACAACGTGATGGCTTTAGAGTTGGCGACGCGATCGAACACGCCTGGCCGCATCTGGAAGGCACAGACCTTACTCCGCTCCTTCCTTCTCTGTTCCATCCGTTCGCTCTCTATACCGGTCCAAACTCATCTTCACAGACAAGAAGGAGCACGTTCAGACTATTACTGATAAGTATTAAGTTGAATCAGATACCTTGAAGTGTTGACCATGTCCATGTTTGATGACTGGAAAGACTGATGGTTGAGACTGGAGTGTGACTGTACGCCCTCCTTCTTGTCTTTGCAATTTGCAACACGTAGATTCCCCACGGAACATGAATTTGTATCCAAGTCTGATGCTCCTTCACGTTCTGCATGGTGTCCAAAGACTGTGAAGTTTGCGCTCAAAACATTGATGATTTTGCCGATCGATGCTGGCCGAGAATCGACAAGCTTCTTGCACGTCATGTTTTGCGCTCAGGCACAAAGTCCGCACTAAGTCCGCGTCGGCATATCCAAATTATAGATCATCGTCGCTCTTCCTATTCAGCCGTCTTGTCTTATCAGCACATAGCTTGTGCAGTCCAACTCTGCAATTTGGAATGATCGTAGATAGACTCACAGCCTGACCATTTTCCTCTCCGCCAGTCCACAATGTCGACAGCCTCTGCGACGGACGCAGCGTCGCTGCCTCGCAGTCACCATGATGGTCAATCCGAGATACCCAACAAGGCTGAGCCATCTGCGAATTACAAAGGCTTCGTCGCCGGTGTCTTCAGCGGCATCGCCAAGTTGACAGGTTTGCACACATATCGCACACCTCTCGACGCACAGCAGCTGACCAGAGCCACAGTTGGACACCCCTTCGACACAATCAAAGTCAGATTACAGACGTCACAGATGTCGCAATTCAACGGGCCACTGGACTGCTTGATGCAGACATTGAAAAGAGAAGGACCACAAGGCTTATACAAGGGTGCGACGCCGCCGCTGGTCGGATGGATGTTCATGGACAGTCTGATGTTGGGCAGTCTCACATTCTATCGCAAACTGCTGAACGAACGCGTCTTCCAGCCCATGCATGAGACTAGAGCTGCAGCTGGCGTGTACGCTGTCCCTGCAGACAAGACGCTACCCACGATAGGACACGCAATAGCAGGAGTCATGGCCGGAAGCACGGTATCGTTCATCGCAGCCCCTGTAGAACACGTCAAAGCGCGCCTGCAGGTGCAGTATTCAGCCGACAAGTCGAAACGACTGTACTCTGGACCAATCGACTGTTCACGCCAGATCTTCCGCCAACACGGTCTACGGGGATTGTATCATGGACTCGGAGCGACATTGATATTCCGTACCTTCTTCTTCTGCTGGTGGGGATCGTATGACCTCTTCACGAGGTGGTTCAAGAAGAACACTGCAATGTCTACGCCGGCCATCAACTTTTGGGCAGGAGGACTGTCGGCACAGGTCTTCTGGTTGACGAGTTACCCTTCGGATGTTATCAAGCAGCGTATCATGACGGATGATTTGGCGAATAGAAAGTTCCCTCGCTGGAGAGATGCGGCAAGAGCTGTAGGCAGGGAGAATGGCTGGCGGGGTTACTGGAGGGGCTTTGTGCCGTGTTTCTTGAGAGCGTTTCCAGCAAACGCAATGGCGCTGGTGGCATTCGAAGGTGTCATGAGGATGCTTTGATGAGATAGAAATGGACGCTCTCGGTCCTCGGAACGAAAGATATGGCGCGGCTGAAGAAGAGCAGCAAACAATGGATGCTTTTGGAGCTCGGAGTCAGGGACCCACTACCAAGCACAATCTTGTATATAGACAATAGAGAATTGTATAGACACAAGATAAGCGATGGGGCTTGCACGAGTAGCTGAATGGCGAGCTGAAACACGCGGAGAAGAGGGTTTGTGTTTTGTTAGAGGAAGGTGGGCAGTGTGGATCTCAGGGTGAGCCGTGCTCTTGTCGTGTCTCTCTTTCGCGGAGATTGCACGTCCGTCCATCTTGGAGTCTCTGTGGTGAGCAGGGGCAGAAAGGGGCTTGGTGCAACACCTCTTTTCTTCTGCCGTGACAGAGAGCGAGTCAGTGGAGACAGACAGTCCCTTGCGTGGAGCCACTGCGCCTTTTCTTCCGTCGGACAAGAAAGTCTTGGTTCGCAAAACACATCCAAGTTCGCTCGCACGAGCAGCAAACGCCCAGGACCCGAAAAAGCAACAGCGCTGCCCCGTTTCAGCAGGCTCCCGTTGATCTTTGAAACCCGAATAACGGCTTCCAATTCCAGCCATATCTGCCAAAAATTCACCCTCCGCCCAAACACATAGCCGCCTGTCTCCCTTGATCCACCCCTGCTACCGGCTCCTCACCTGCAACCAACCCTCGCCGCGACCACATAGCCAAACTCTGATCCGATCGACTTCCTAGCACAACAGTCCCACGCATACACCCACCATCATGGGCGGCTCAATATCAAAGATGATGGCCAAGATCTTCGGCAGCAAGGAAATGCGCCTGTTGATGCTTGGTCTCGACGCTGCTGGCAAGACCAGTGAGTATCCGCTCTTCTGCCACTACCCACCCAACGCGCACTGTGCTGATCCGTCCTGCCCAAACAGCCATCCTCTACAAACTCAAGCTGGACCAAGACGTAACAACAATCCCCACCGTCGGTTTCAACGTCGAGACCGTCACTTACAAGAACACCAAATTCAACGTCTGGGATGTCGGCGGTCAGGACAAGATCCGTCCGCTGTGGCGACACTACTTCTCGGGCACCCAGGGCCTGATCTTCGTCGTTGATTCGGTCGATCGCGATCGCATGGACGAGGCTCGCACCGAGTTGACTCGTATCATTCAAGATCGCGAAATGAAGGATGCTCTGCTGCTGGTCTTTGCCAACAAGCAAGACGTCAACGGATGTAACAAGACTCGACTTCTCGCTCTGCTATACACACGCTGACATGTCTCTCTCCACACAGCCATGCGACCAAAGGACGTCTCGGATGCTCTCAACCTCAACGTCATCGCAAAGAACCACATCTGGAAGGTCGAGCCCAGCTGCGCTACCACCGGCGAAGGCATCTTCGAGGGTCTTGCATGGCTGAGCAGCCACATCAAGGTCCCTGCCAAATAAGCGATTCCGCTACCCGAACGAGATACCCATCACAGCATCTATACCTTCACAGCACCCATCCATCAGATCCAGCCATCGCCCGGCTAAGACAGACACACACACCTCCTCAACTTGATACCCCCCATACTCGCGAATACCCCAACCTTTCAACAAACATCTCAACCAAACCCTCATCGGCCATAATATTCTATCCCAGCGTCAAAAGGAGGAAAGGACCAAGTCGGCCAGATCCAATATTAGTAGGATCATAATCGTCGGTCAGGGCCCTTGAGGACCAAACTCAAACTGCCATCGCTTTGCTGTGTCCCCTCTCCAACCTTTTCGCTTCTCTTTGAACACTCTTTCTTCTTTTCTACCTCTTTCTCTAGCGTGCCTTTGGACTAGTCTCTCTCTGTTAGGAGCAAGCTCGAGCATTCTTCCCCTCTTACCAATCCTACCTTTCTCTGTTTTTTTTTCTTTCTGCATACATCAATCTTGTAATTTTACTGTTTTAGAAGAGCGAAAGACGAGAAGCAGAGTACTTTCTGTATTCGGCAAGTGCAATCTCCAAACATGGAAGATGGCCAGAATCACAATATCGATGAAAGAAAGAAAAGACATTGGTTTGTTTGCCGCCCCTTGTGACTATATTTGTGTTCTGACTTGAGTCTCTCTATCAAATCCCGTCTTTGCATCAATCAAAGTGTGTTTTGATACCGAGTCTGTTTTTCGAACCGCTACTGCTTTTCTCCTAATGCGGGTTTCTGCTGGGTCCAAAAAAAGATTTGAGGTACCAAGTGTGTCAAAGGTCATGCATCTGACTACTTTTCCTTTTCGGCAAGCACGAAGCGTCGTTCCACTTCCATGATTTTCTGCTCGTCGCCCTCAAAAGTCAGGCGTACGTGATCGCCGCGGTCGAGGGAGAGGTCTTTGGATTTCCAGTTTGTGGTGACTTCTGCTTTGTAGAAGGTCGTCGTGTCCTGATTCATCTCGGGTCAGCAAAATGGCCCCCTTTCTGTCATGAACTTTTGCACAGAATTGCAGGAGATGGGTCAAAAAGAAGCAAAACTCACCGGATACTGCGCCAGAACATTCCTCCCTTTGTTCAAATCAGCCAACCCTCTATTCTCAGTGGGTATAGGCATCAAGTGTGCCACACTAGCTCGATAAGGCGGAGGCAGCTCTCCACCGGGCACTGGGTCAGGGTCTGCATCTTGAATTTCGTAACGGCGTTGTTTACCCTCGCCGATGACGTTTGTCACACGGCAGAGTATGCCTTCGCCTTCTTGGGTGCGGCCTTTGTTGCGGTAGAAGACGTGAGCGCCGAGGGAGAGTTGGAGGCGGGAGGTGCGTGGTTCGTTTGCTGGAACATGTTAGATTTCGGGGCATGAAAGGCGAAAGGTGGGGGAAAACAATACCTTCAACACTTGATGCCACGCTCTCGGCTCCATCTTCGAGTTTCACACTGACTTCTCTGGTGCTAGTCACACTACGTTCTCTGTTCCTCTCCCTACTCTTTCCCTCGCTCACCGCCAATCTATCCTTTTCTGCACCCTGTCTCGGTCCCGGTCTCGGACTCTCCACTCTACCCACCTCATCATCCACATCCATACTTCCCGCTTTTCGTTTCAAATTTGCATTTCTGCCGCCTTTGGAGTTACTGTGGCTACGAGACAGTTGCAGCGATTCTTCGGATGCTTCACGCAGGCCAGCAAGGATTTTTATGCTGTCCAAGAGGGACATGTCGTCCGAGTTGCCGTCGATGATGTGGCTGACTTCTTCGCTGATTTTTACGTTTTCGCGATACAGTGATTCGAGGCGGTCGTCGAGGGTCATGTCTGTGAGTTCGTCTGCTTCTGTTTTTTGGTGGAGCGAGAGCGTTAGTTTTTCTTTAACACGAGTATGCGGAGAAAGAAGAGAAAAATGTTGAGTTGGTCTGATGCAGGAGTGATTGTACGTACCTATCAGAGCAGCTTGTTGCTTTTCCACGTCTATGATTTCTGTTCCGATGGCTGCTGACCGTGCCTATACCCATATCCTATCATCAGTAATTGTCATCCGATATGCAGGCATGGATTCTAGAGACACCCCGTTATCCGTCCCAACATTTTCCTTCTCTTTCTTGTGTGTACTGATTCAAAATGTATAGAAAGATGGAAAGGTAGAACGGAAAACAAGAAAGTAGAAAGCAAAACGAAAAAGAAGACAAGAGAATGTGAAACACATACCACCATACTATCAATCTTCTTTGCTCCCTCTCTGATCATATTCCATAATCTGCGCTCTTCATCCGCATCTTGATTCAGACTGGCTCTGGGCTGGCGATTCCGTGACGACATCTTGTCGCGTGTGTGACAATGGAGTACTCGACGTGTTTCGAAGCCTCGTGTTCGATATGTGCAACAGCAAAATCTTTTGTGATGAACAAGATTCAGAAAGAGTATAGCAATTCGAAATGGAAGCGGGAGGTATTCCTGGAAAAGTACGAGTACTAGATGAATGTAAAGGGTTGGCGTCGGGGGAAGGCGGCGGGAGTGTACGTCGAGACTGGCCAATCAAATGTCGTTGATCGAAGCTTGGCCACATGTGAAACGGTGTTGAGCGACGACGACCTTCACTAATTAGAACCTAGCATTCACATTGACAGTTCACACGTTGTCGCTCAGTTAGAAGACCTTAATTCTTGTGATGAGGTGTATCTTATTGAGTGGTATATCGTAGGTCGCGTGCTTCTACTCGGATCACTCTACCACGTAAGACTCTGAACTATCGCCTGCGACAATTGTGCCATACAGCATGTCTACAGTATGTCTATATCAAAGTTCAGAGTAGATTCCTCAAGTTATCATCTCAGCTGCAGCAAGAGTTTCGCACTGCTTCAGACACTCGAGTTCATCCATGGGTACTATTCTGGGAGACTCGGGGAACAAAGAGACCGTTCGCGGACTGCGTTCACAGACTATACATTCCTGAGACAACAAAGAAAAGGCTGCGAGCATCCAAGTATACACGTCTTGCTCACACACTGAGACATGATTCCTCTCCATTTCCACCTATCCGTCAACGCAACCTTTTTCACATAAATTCATTACATCCACCGTCCTAACCAAACCATACACAAGTAATTGCAAGATCGATTCATTCTATATTTTTTATTCAAGTCTTTCAACCGCAAACTCCACCTCAAAGATACTCTTCCATATCAAAAGTCCCCAACTTCTCAACCAACAAACAACAAAATGCATCTCCAAACTCCCCTCACCCTCCTCTTAACCCTCCTCACACCTTTCATCCTCGCCCAAGACCCCAACTCCGACTCTTCCGACTCTCCCGACTCTTCCGACTCTTCCGACTCCAACGCCATAATCTCGGCAGCAGCAAGCGACTACGCAGCCGCAACATCCGCAATCGCCTCTCTGTTCTCCACCGCAACCGGCGACGTCGAGAGTGTCTACGATCAAGCAACATCAGCAGTGGGAAGTATATTCTCGGACGCTACTTCTGGGGCAGGGAGTCTGTATTCAGAGGCTAGTGCTGCAGTGAGCAGTTTTGGTGAAGACTTTACAAGTGGGAGTCAAGGTGCTGCTACTGTAATAGCTACTGGGGTCTTGACTGCGAGTGCAGTTGCGACAGAGGCGAGTACACAGGTTATGCCAACCACGACTGGTGCTGGGGCTGCGGCATCGACTAGTGAGTCGGAGGGTAGACTGAGGAGGAGCCAGCAGAGGGCTGATGGCATCTTGTTCGCTGCCATCTTTGCTGCTGTTGCGTATCTGTAGGGTACCGCTCAGTCAGAAGAGGCGAGTGTGGTTGGAATCAGAGATAGCATATTCAGAGAGTAACGTAAGAAGCGGATGCGTTGCTTTCGAGTATTGGATTCCAACTCTGCTAGAGACACAAAACAATGCAAGAGATCACCTTCGCAACAAAAAAATCTGCCGTGAGAAGCACCAGATCCAAGACGAAAACGCCAACGCTTCCCAAAAGAGACAAGAAACACTCCCCATATCCAACAGCATCTTACTCCGTCCGCGTGCCGATGCGTCTCATCCCAAACAAATGCCCACAAACTCATCTCTAGAAATAGCACCATCACCATCCAAATCAAACTCCTCAATCATCGCCACCAACTCCTCCTCCTGCAACCCTTCCCCCAACTCCCTAGCCACCCGCCTCAAATCCTGCAAATTGATATTTCCCTTGCCCTCGGCATCAAACAGATCAAACGCCCTGAGGATCTCATCTCTAGGATCTCTAGCCAAGATCCTCGAAGCAGCGATAGACACAAAAGAGGCATGAGGCAATACCAAACGTGACGGGCCTGAAAAGGTGGGTTTTGTGTTTGTTGCGGAAGGGTGGGTAGAGGTGGAAGAGGCGGGGATACCGTGGGTTTGGAGAAGGGAGAGGATGTCGGATTTGGGGAGGTCGAAGCCGAGGGCTTTGAGGGCGACTTTTAGTTCGTGGTAGTCGATGTGGTTGTCTTTGTCTAGGTCGAAGAGGGAGAACTGTGGTTCGTTAGTGTCTTGCTCTTTTGTCAGGGGACATCGAAAACTCACGGCTTCATTGATTTCTTCCCTCTGCTCTTCACTCAATGCATCTAATGCGCCAGCTCTTTCTTCGGCTTCCCGTCGTTCGCGTTCAATGCGCTCACGCTCTGCTCTTTCGCGTTCTTGTCGCTCCCGTTGTCCTGACCCTGCGCCTCCGCGATCGTTGAATGTATTCGAAGGCCCACCGTAGCTAGGTGGTTGATATGTGTTTGCGTTCGGCGGTGCTTGTTGTTGTTGCTGTTGTCCAACTGTTGATGTGCGTCCCAGACCTGGGAAGGGTCGCGAGGGGAATTGTGGTGTTGCCATTGAGATACGGTCGCGGATACGGATTTGTGGTCGCTGAGATGTTATCGCTGCGAGAGGTTGCGCGTGGAAATGGCAAGGAGAATGGTATGGGTTGGAGTGAGACGCGTTTGGGTTGTTTTTCTTGAGACTCGTGTCGCAACGCGCCGGCGACCCAAACATGGAGAGAGCTTCGAGTTGTGGAGAGGTACACACTCGGCAAGACCTGCCTTCCTTCACCAATACTTTCTATCTTTCCAGAGTCAATGTGATTACCTGGGAGGCTGTCATGCTCCCTGGACCTTGAGATCGTCTGATACCACCTTGGTCGCTGCAAAATCGTAGTTGAGAGCCGGCTGGGTTTGGAGATCGTTTCCATCCTGTGCGCAGCAGGGTCATACCCACGACATTCATTGTGAGCACAGAATCGAACCTATCAAGGCGACCACCAGACATTTGGACTTTGATAGGCTCGTTTACGGTGTTAAATGTATAACTTGATTGCTTTACAGTGTATCGGAACCATTAAAGAGTGGTGTTGTTGGTGAAAGTGTGATTTTATGTTTTGAATCTGGCTTCGTGAAAGATGCCCACTTTCGACACACGACATTCTGTCCGACAAACAAATGAGATTCATGATCGAGGAAATGTGGGAGCAATCTATACGGCGCAGAAAAAGCAAAGACAAGATGAAAACAGTCACGAATTCACATGTCAGGTCGTTTCACAGCCGTAAAGACTCTAGAAGCAAGCAATGAATAGTGCATGCTTTCTTCGCGTATGCATCTCATGATTTTCCATAGATCGACTCTAGTAGCCATAAGCATCATCACCCTCAAATGTCCCTGCCCTACTACCTCCCACATCTAACCCTAAGCCCCGAGCAACCTTTTTGCTCAGCGCCATCTTCAAGAATAGCTCTCGAGCGAGACTCCTCGTCATCTTGATGAAAACCTCCGAGCCAACTCTACCAGCTCCGACAGCGCGTTGTAGACACCACAAGGCTTCCCGGATAGCTGCTTCATCGGCCTGCAAGTTCCAGAGCTGTGTTGATGCGACAGTGGGGGCAACAAGGACATCATCAATGGGCGGCTGTGGAGTGGATTTGCTGTCAGCGATGACGCGATCGCAATCGGAAAGAGCTTGATGCAGGATCCGTTCGTTCGTCGTGAGTGTGTTGTCCAAGACCGTTAGCTGTGACAACTCGTTGCTTAGACGAGAGTGTGCCTCTTGGAGTGCGATGGATTGAGCGCGTAGAGGAGCCAAAGCTGAAGTGTTTTGGTTTACTTTCTGATGGATCTGAGAGACTAGAGATTGGGAGAGGAGGTGCAAGAGATGTTCCTTTTCTGGGTTCGGCGGAATTGGAGGAGCTGGACCCGAGGCAGTGGTTGTTGATATGCTGACGTCGAAGGGATCGCCAAGAAGGTCCTGAGCAGGAGCAGGTTTCGCAGGCATAGGTTGTTGATGAGAGGTGTGTTGCGGAGGATATTGTTGGGCAGACATGTGTGGAGGCATTTGTTGGAAGTGCTGCTGAGGTTGTTGTTGGTAGTGTTGGGGGTATTGCTGGCGAGCTGAACGTAAAGGCATCTGGTGCTGTTGGTTTTGCTGTGGTGGAGGTAATGGCTGGGGTTGCGTGTATCTCTGAGTGGGCGTATGCGCGTTCGAGGATACAGGGGAGCCCGGGGCCTGCCTGTAATCCTGATGAACCTGATGCGGTAATGGTGGAGCTCTGGAGTAGCGCTGAGGTTGAGGAATTCCGAAGGTACCACCTTGCGAGAGCTGTGGTGACTGGCGAGCTCGCTCGTGGGGTAGAGGTGGCAGGGGTGGGCCATCATTACGACTTTGGAATGGTGTAGCAGCAGGGCCCTGCTCTCCAGGCTTCGGGGGCCTCGGAGGGGGTGTTTCAGCCGGCATCTCTGCAGGGTAAGGCTGTGTAGGTCGAGCTTGCTCCTTAGGCGGAGGAGGTGGTCGTTGCATTGGTGATTGAGGGTGAGCGGATTGAGGTTGCTCGGCAGGTTTTGCAACGACAGGCGGCTCCCGAGCGAATACATCCTGTAGAAGGCGCAAGAAGTCGACAATGTTCGGGCGTTGGTTCACAGACCAGTCACGCAGATAGGGGTGGTAGACGCGGCCGTCGACGCTGACGTGCTGACCAGGACGTATGGCCATACCATCCCCCGGTATCACAAACACCATGATCCCTTCGCGGTCTGTAGGATAGGCATGCGGAAGCCATATTGTCACCGGGAACCTGTAGACTGTGCCGCGAAAGTTGACGGGAAGGGTGCCTGACAGCCGCAACAGCAGCGCGGGCTGTCCAGTGTTATACGTGTATACATCGGTTCGAGGCGACAAAGATGGATATGCTGTGAGTGCGGCGACGCTGTCGCTATATGCGCGTTGGGCATCGTGGTATTCCTGATGTAGCTGTTAGTGACCTGGCGGTTGAGGCATGCACAAGACGCGGTTCTACATTCAGGAGCACGCTGTACAGCCACTGCAACAATTGATCAGGCAATCCTGCCATATCCTGAAGAATGCCCTCTGATTCCGTCCTCCCGAATCCTCGTTAGCTCGGATAGCTCGAGCTGTTGTTGATTGAATGCACGCGACAGAGCCCAGAGCCCAGACAGACTCTCCGTCATCGCGGGGCAGGCGCGGTCGCGAGAGCACGAGCCCAACCGCTCGGTTGCCGGCTGCTTCTCCTCACGCCTCCAGACCTTCTTTCGACGTCTTCTCTCTTTCCCATCAACCACCACTCACCAGCTTAGATCCATGTCAATCTGACCTGCGCAAGGGAGCTCGAGAGGTTGACTCATGGATAAGAATGATCAGTGAGGTCGTTGTGGGGCCTGTTGTCTCTTCTCTCGTGATTCGACTTTGGGCAACTGCCATACCTCCCCTCTTCTGGCACCATAAAGTCCAGAATCTGGAAACACAAAGATTGAAGCTCCCTTCGAGGTAGGCTTGTGAAACGCGTCTCGAAGCACGAATGTAGGTTCTGAGTACTGCTTGTATTGTTTTCATATTTGTATATGCTTCCGCATCCTGGTTGAACATCCTCGCGATCATATCTGCCACTTGGGCTATGCTCATACATAACCGTCAACCACAGTCTGGGACGCAGTCTATCTCTCCATGAAGCATGTCAGACGACTGATTCATCTCAACTCCCAGCACGATATCGGCTTACAAGCATACCAGCTCCGGTTCGATCAATACACCGCAGCTCCGGACCCTGGACATGCTTCGAGTCAATCACAGCTTATACAGTAGATCGCACATAGTGCTGTGCATCTCAACTGCTGACCTGACGGCCGATTGACAGGCAACCAAAGGGCTCGCTGGCAGCCTTCCGCACGTGTCGTGGTTCGTATCTGTGAGTATTTATACAGGTATGGATCAACAGCGCATCTCATGCTCCACTTCCAACGTTGTTGAGCTAGGCTTGGTCGATCTGCTTCAAAGACACGTTCACTGTTCAGAGCTGTCATTGTCGAATCTCGGACAGAGGTTGCTAAACTCGATGAGCATACAATGTCTTTGGGATGACGGCTAAAGTGCCAATATTCCGCAAGACGCCGCGGAGGCCAATCCATATCCCGATCGATTCTTCTGCTAGAACTGCCAAATCAAACCGATGCGTACAACCTCCAGGACACTGAGAGCAGAAGGAGTGCGTATGCTGGGGTTACCACCGGAGACACACCGATTCAGCCGTCCCCAATTGTAGGTCATGTGCAGGGTTGCATGCCCCCTCGTCTCAATCGGGGGAGTGTGCCGGTATATGTGGAGTCGTGGAGAGTGGGACCCGGGGCCTCCGCAAAGAGATCGTAGGTGCGACCTCACGTCGCGGACGAGCCACGCAGTAGGATCTCGGATGCTATTATCGGCAAACTCGTACGACTGCTTCTCCGGCGAGCCACTCACATACCGCATATCTACGTACACCGTAGGATGCGACCAAGGAGTTACCCTCCTGACTCTCGTCCACTTGGCGGCGTCTCCATCAATCTCTAGGCCAGTTTCATGGCACCGACTTCTACCAATACTAGATCCGACACCGAGACTGTCTGACTGCGAAACAGATACTCGAGTAGGACTAAAATGAGTATGAACAAGCTGCCAGCCATATCGAAGCACATGCAATCATGTGCGCTTGCACTGTTTGCAGGTCCGGTCCAACACCCGACGTTTGCCGATCGTTATCAGCACGAGCAACATCAGAACTCGAGGGTTGTTCTTTCTCGAAACGAAACAGAACCTGCCATGTCCGATGATCTCTCGCGGTTTAATTAGCAATAACTGTTCATGACAGGTTGAGAAAACCTGATACTCCGCACACTCCACGTTCAACCCATGTGGTCCAGCATGCGCAAAAAAATGTGTGAAAGACGATCGGTCGGCTTTCGCCATTTACCTCTGCAAGTTCAAGCCGATCACCAAAACATAGCAGCACCAGTGCATCACTCGCGTACATCAAATCCTTCATCCTGGTTTGGGGCGTTATCTTGCAATTCAACACGAAGTTGAGCTCCAGTTTTTTCTCCCGCCAGTGACAAACAACCGTAACCGAAGAAATTGCCAATCCGTTACATTGAGGTGCTGCTCGGCCAAACGCACACCGACGACAACATCTCGTCCCGAATCTGAATCGTACCGCGTCTTCTTCCGTGGAGCTTGACTAAAAGATGCAAAGCGTTTGCTCCAAAGTGCAGCCTCAAATCTTTCCTTGAAACCACAGACACGCCACCTACGCTGTTTCTCAATTATGCTTGACTCAAGCGCGTAAGCCACCAAAAGCTTTCACCCGCCACCGACAGGAGCTTATTTTCGGTACAAAGAGCGGTATGTGACATCATTTTCCGGTAAATTCTCTTCCCAACTTGGCTTTTTACCATTTTTCACCGAGCCCTGGATGAAAAACTCGTATGAACTGCGTTCGTTGGTAGCGGCGACTTTCCAACCGTCTATTGTTGTGTCCTGCCAAGGGTCTCTAGCTCGCGAGAAGAGGCTATGAGCTCATCGCCAAGCACCCGAGCCAGGGCTTGCGACTCTTGCTCGGGAAGGCTCCCACTCAACGACGTCTTATTCCCTTGAAGATCCTTGCCTCACATGTTTCGCGATGGACTCAACATCTCGGCGGACTGGTCGTGCAAATGATTGTGGGCCCTCCTTGACCCACCATCCACATTCTCTCCGCAACGGCTGTTTTGCCCGTCATTGATGTGTGTTTGGGTTCATGAGTTTTCCCTCTGGTAGTAGTAGACATATAAATGGGTCCTCCCCAGGACATGACCCTCCACAACTCCGCAACAATTGCTCTTTTCCTGGACATTACCACGGACGATCTGTTTTCCTGTACTGCTAGACAATACCGGAAAGATGACTCGTACTGTTTCGACAAACTCTGAGGGTGTTCCCACATATTGGGGCACCTCAGGCAGACCCCTTCAGATGCTCATTACCGCCGTCGCTACTACCGACTTCCTTCTCTTCGGTTACGATCAGGGTGTCATGTCTGGTATCATCGAATCCGACGCTTTCCTCGAGGATTTCCCTGAGGCAGGCTGGGGCAGCACATGGCAAGGCTTCATCGTCTCCATCTACGCTGTCGGCTGTCTGTTCGGTGCTATCTTTATTCTCACACTCGGTGACAAGCTCGGTCGCCGCAAGTCTATCTTCATTGGTGCCTCGGTTATGATCATCGGTGTTATTATCCAAATTTGCTGCGTTGGCACCAGTTCAGGAAGCACGGCACAATTTATCGTCGGACGATTTATCACTGGTGTAAGTCTAAAGCCAAGAGACTTGCCACAACATGCCACTAATTCACCATCAGCTCGGAAATGGTATTAACACATCGACAATCCCCACCTACCAAGCCGAGTGCTCCAAGGCCTCTAACAGAGGCAAGGTCATCTGTATCGAGGGTGGTAACGTTGCCGTCGGCACGCTTATCGCTTACTGGATCGATTATGGCTGCACCTACGGTCCTCACAACCTCGTCTGGCGTTTCCCTATCGCCTTCCAGATCTTCTTCGCTCTCATCGTCCTCATCATCATGACAAGATTGCCTGAGTCGCCTAGATGGTTGCTTTCACACGACAGACAAGACGAGGCTGGAGTTATCCTGGCAGCTCTTCAATCCAAGCCCGCTGATGATCCCGAGGTCAAGCTTGAGACTGGCATCATCCTCGACTCCATCAAGGCCGCCGGCGGTTTCGGCGAAAAGACTTCCATCAAGGTCCTTTTCACTGGTGGCAAGACTCAGCACTTCCGTCGTATGATGCTCGGTGCTGGATCCCAGTTCATGCAACAATTGTCTGGTTGCAATGCTGTCATCTACTACTTCCCCGTTCTGTTCCGTGACTCCATCGGCACTACCAAGAACCTGTCGCTCTTGCTCGGCGGTATTAACATGGTCGTTTACTCGCTTTTCGCCTGTACTTCGATGTTCCTCGTTGAGCGTGTTGGACGCAGAAAGCTCTTCCTCTACGGTACCGTCGGCCAGTGTCTGTCCATGGTTCTCGTCTTCGCCTGTCTCATCCCCGGTGATGCCCAATCCGCCAAGGGTGCCGCCGTCGGTCTCTTCACATACATCGGCTTCTTCGGTGCCACCTGGCTTCCTCTGCCCTGGCTCTACCCTGCTGAGATCAACCCTCTCAAGACCCGTGCAAAAGCCAACGCTCTCTCGACCGTATCGAACTGGCTGTGGAACTTTTTCATCGTCATGATCACCCCTGTGTTGATTGACAGCATCAGCTGGGGTACCTACCTCTTCTTCGCCATTCTCAACGCTCTCTTCTTCCCTGTTCTGTGGTTTTACTACCCCGAGACGTCCGGCCGAACGCTTGAAGAGATTGATCTCATCTTCGCGAAGGGTTATCTCGAGAAGATGAACTACGTTACCGCCGCCAACGAACTTCCCGCTATGAACCCCGACGAGATCGATGCCAAAGCTCGCGAGTACGGCTTCATCTCCTCTGACGACGAGGCCGGCCAGGTCAAGGATGCCCACTTCGGCGAGAAGGAAGGCGATCTGGCTTACAACGGCGGTGGCCAGATGGCCTAAGAGAAGAACAGAGATACCAAAGCTTCTCCTTCAATCACTCCTTTTATAATAATGACCCATGTGTGTTTTAACGACCACTAGAATTGCGCTATAGACAAGAGAAGCCTGGCAGCTTTTCTTCGGGGGGTTTTGCGCAACAACCATAGATACCATTTGCTTTTTACATTGTTACTAGAGAGATAGATTCTCATACATGATACCACGCATAGAATGCATAGAATTGCTATTTTTTACCATCATACTTCTCTCATCTCCTGCCTCTTCAGCGATCTCCATCTGGTTGACTGATTTTGATTGTTGAAGCCTGGTTTTCGCGATGGCTGCCTGGCAGAAACGCGTTGCAACGGCCGTACATCTATACGAGAGCAGTCGCATTCCGCTTCGTAAAATTGGCTACATCGAAATATATCACCATTGATACGTATCCAAGCACCATAAACTACAACTATCATATTCGCAATCTGCTGTGCCATAGCTCATACTGCCGAGGCACGTGGATTAGATACCAACACACCGAACAACAACTAAACAATATGCATAGCTGAAAGACCACATCCTCACCCTCTGCGACGACTATGCAGGCAATACAGGCACCATGACGGTCTTCGTCGACTCACTCTCAGAAACCTACGACGATGCCGATGGCCTCGGCTACAATGACGATTCAACCTCTGCCCCATTTGCCAACAAAACACCCTACGAATGCTCTCTGCTTCTCAAGCAAATGTGTGAAGAAAACCCCGAGAACTGTTTCCATGATGGCGATATCTTTGCTATTCTGGATGAGCAGTCACTCAAAGATGGCACGTTGCTGCTTGTAGAGGAACCCGAAGAGGGAGATGGAGGTGAAGCGCATTCGGTAAGAGCGGTTTTTGGAATGGCAGAGACACAGATGGCTTTGTGGGTGGCTGGGAAGACTACAATAAGCGAGGCCAAGGAAAGGGCAATGCAGACTGAAGATGGTATACTCAGGGTTGGCATGGATCTTTAAAGATGCCTGGTAAATAATAGCAGCGATGGTCAGCAAGCGTCTCCCGATTCAAATCGAAAAAAAAAGATCCCACTCGGTCTTCTGCCCGGCCCCGAAAAGCGCGATCAAATTTGAGCGCATGACACAATTTCTTTCCTTCTTTCTTTGCGAGGGACATTTTCCGTACCTGACTCTTTGATCGAAATCGACCATCGCCGGGTTGCACTTTGAGCGATTGATTGCCAGGATTTCGATTGAAACCATGCAGACCTTTTTTGCTGCAAAATTCACGATGGTCAGCATCTCTGCGGATGACTTCTGCCACGGCTGGCAGAAGGTCCAAACATTTGCTTCCACTACACCGTTCTCCCATCGGGAATCGACAAAAGGCTACTTTATCAATTGTGCCGAGTAACACGATGGTCTCGCCGTGAACAGGTCTCTTGTCAATCCATAGTGTTTCTCCTTCATCTCTCCGTCTCTGTCTTCAATCTCACCCTCACCGCTCCAAGGCAGCAAGGCAAGCAGCAAAGAAACTCCACACCTCCACTTTCTCCGCGACTTACAAAAATCGCACCATTGAGGAGGCAGGGAAAGGGCAGCGTGAGCAGCACCCGAAACATGAAAAAAAAAGCGGACCTTGATCTGTTGCAGGCTTCAAAAGGCACACCCCCCCGGTATGATGTACATACAATCGACCCACTTATCATATTGATGCTCTTCTCCATTCATCCTATCGGTCCTTTTTAGGCCGTCTTGTGGCTGCTTGCGGACAAACTCGCGTTTTTCTTTACTTTACCTCCAATATCCTTCGACATGTGCAAAGGGGTGTAATGCGTGCAGCAATGCACAATGGGTTCGAAGAATAGGATGGTATCCATTGAGATGCGATAGCACCTCTGCATCATCTCCTTGGACGAGTCTACGTCTTGGAAACAGTGATGAGGATGCACCATGGCTTCATGAAACTCGATAGCGTCCATCGAGATGATTGATGGTTATTGCTCTCCTCGGACAAGACATCACTTCAGAAATTGATCCTGCATCTCCGTAGTAGATACTACACTGCCATGTCCTCGTGAGAGAACTGTAAAAGGGTATCAACTTCTACAAACGGAGAGGAGATACTGTGTCCCTCAAACCTATGGACAATGTCGTCTTCGCACCGCTGTTCGAATGCTCTTATCGAGAAACAATTCCAGTTGGACTCCCAACAATGCGACTGATGATACTCGTTCTCAGGACTGGTTGGCCTCTTAGAGAGCTCTTGACTGACGACATAAGTGGAGGCTCTATCCTTCCTCGGAGGTATTATGTACCTCTATAGCTCCTTTGTAACAACACCGTAGCACACGAAGACAAGACGGTAAGCACGACCAAGAGCTGACAACATGCTATGCTACACTCTGCTAAACTCCGCAACTACATCCTTGTGAACGAATGATTCTACGAATGACTCTGGGAATCAGTCCTGAGGGAAGTACCACCAAAGAGTAGGGTATATGGCAGTATCAAACTGAACGACACACCATCATACCGTGATTCCATACTTTGACTACTGCAACTGCAACTTCCCTCTGTAATAAGGAGATTAATGAATACAATCAAATCATATATCAAGAAGATCCATCTAGAGTTAAAGAGTCGGAGAATATGATTATGACTTCCCATACTCGCGATGGAAATTGACGCGTTGTCTCCCCAAATAACAACGCAGCAAACCCACTCCTTGAGGAATAGCAAAAACAAGAAAAAAAAAAGCCGAAGAGATAATGCAGACAAGAACGAAAATGGAACTTTGCGTCTTCTTGTGACAAGGTTTATAGCGAACAACAGCAATGTAGAAATGTAGTAGGACGGGTGAATCTCGCCATATACACAAAAGAGGTGTGCTTCCTCTCCTCTTTCCTTTTCCTTTCTCCTCTCGACTCCCAACTGATACAAGCACATCAACATCATCGACATCCTTAGCTGCCCTATGCACCAACCCCCACCACACCGCCCTCCATACCCTGCCACTCCTCAAGCTCTCCCACAATATCAGGCAACATGCCATCAACATCCTCATCCCTGACCCCCAGAGCACCCACAACCAACTTTCTATACTCCTTCTGCTTATCGCCCAATCCTGCCTGCGCCTGACTATCCACAACCTCTTTCACCAGATGCATTCTCTGCTCTTTCAAGCGTTTGATACTCAGCAGCAAGGACAACTTTTCCATGCCTTCGTCTGAAAAGTCATTCATTTCCATATCAGAGGTGGAATGTTGCTGTTGTGATATTTGACGGAACAGATGTTGGAGATCAGCGGTTTGTTCGTCCTCAATGAGGCTTTCGCATTGCGAGACTAGATTGATGAGTTGACGTTGCAGTCGCGCATCATATTCATCTTCTTGATCGCTCATTGCCAGCGCCATGGATTGCTTTTTCAACGATTCGATCTCAGCACTGCGGACTTGAACAACGCGTTCAGCTTCTGCAACATCGGTTTCGCGTTCATTGATTTCGGCGTCAAAGGCTGCGGCTAGCTTTTCTGATTTGCTCAGTAACAGAGGGAAGATTTGGGTGGTCAGGGCTGAGCCCGCTTCGGAGGTGTGGTGGGGCTTTGTAGGGAGGGCTGTGTTGTTTGGCGCGGAAGGTAAGAGTGGGTTGTTGGATAGTTGTGTTTCGAGATTAGGGTCGAGGTTCATGGTTGCATTGTTGTGAGAAGTTGCGTCCATCTGGAAAGGTGATGAAGACATGGCGCGATGACGGCCGTCCCTTCGGCGGCGGTTGAGCAGAATAATAAGGTCGTCTGCTGTTTCTCCTAGATCGTTCGGAATAGTGACTGAAGCATGTCGACCGATGAGACTCCGTACGCATTTCCTCGCGCCGTTTCTAGCGGCAATGTGGATGGCAGTGTCACCATTGCGATCTTTGATGTTGAGGACGTGCTCGATGTCCGTCGGAGTGTATGTTTCTGCCATCTTTACCAATATGCAATCGAGATAGTAGCGAGCGCAAGCATATTTTGATTTGGAAGAGGTTGTTCCTGCAATGTGATGGAAGACGGTGCTGCCAAACCACTCGACCATGGGCACAGTAGTTACAAGCCAGCCAGCCAACTTATCCATTGTGCTCTTGTCGTAGTTGTTGGTGAAGATGACGGCGCGCATCAACGGAGTCTCACCATTGTGGCTGACAGCGTCGATGTTAGCACCGCGGCCGATGAGGTCCTTGACCACAGCCAGATCTCCCATGGCAGCAGCCCAGTGCATAGCAGTATGGCCTTTTTCATCGATTGCTCGGTCGAGATCAACACCGGCGGGTGGGACAGGAGGAGGTTGGAAGGGATCGTTGGGGTTCTCAAGGACCATGAAGTAGTCGAGCAGCTCATCGGCCCAGAGCTGGTGGTGTTGATCGGCAAGCGACATCTGGTCATCGGGATGTTTGCGTTTGCGAGAGTCTGTGGGATAGTGGTAGTCGTCCATGTACGATTCGGAAGCGATTGTGACATTGTCGGGAGTTTCTGATTGATGGTACATCTCAACGTCCTCGGAGATATGGGACATGGCAGGGACTCGGCTGACGGGCTTTCTGTTGGCGCGCGGCTTGGAGGCGGCAGTTGTGTGTTTAGGCGCTGGCGGCGGACTCCTGTCACCGGGTTGGTAGTCGAAGATTGGTCTCAGCTTGTCGAGGACTCTGTTGCGCTCGGCCAGGCTGCGACCTTCGGGCAGAGGAATCCATGTGCCCTGGTATTTTCCATAGCCACCTTGTACTTTTTCATGTGTTCCTTTCTGGACTTCTCGCTCGAGGATGCGTGTGCGGGTTGGCTTGTCGAAATCGGCGACTTTGAGGATGTGCGTTGCGTTGATCCAGTTGTCGGAGCGGCGGCGCATGACATGGTTGCCCTCAATGTTGAACTCGTAGACGGGAACATTACTATACGTTGCCGAGTAGATGCGCTGGTCCGCCATGGTTGGCTAAGAAGCGAAGGCGCAGAGAAACAAGGAGGGGAGAGGAGGGTGGGAGGGTGCGACGGCCGGTGAAGCTGTCGTCGCGGGAGCGAGCTCAAGCCAGATTGATTGCTGAGTGATTGGATTGCTCGACCAGACGGCTCATCGAGCACGTTCAAGGCTGCTCGATATTTTGGCGGAGGCGGATAGCAGGGTACCGATGGTAGCTTGAATGCGACACACGACTTGGACACGGTCGATGGAGGGGGACGTGAGAGACGCGTTGTGAAGGGCCTTGGCAAAGAAAGCCGACGAGTCGCATCGGCCTTGGCGTCTGTCGCTGCCGCCGACCAATGCGACCGCATCCAATGTCATGGCTGCTGCACCTGCCTGCGTACAAGTCACGACACAACAATGACCATCTCCGAGACAATCAAGCATGCCGTCGGCCTCGAGGCTGGTCCTTCGACCCGTACGTCCCGAGAAATCACCATCCTCCACGCCCAATTGCACTTGCAACCGCTTCGATCCCGCTCGCGCGCAAACAACCTCCCGTCCTGCAACTCCGCTCTACACGCTCGCCCGTCAATTGCACTGTTCAGAACATCATGCTGATCAATCTTCGAATCTACAGCTGCTTCCCGCGAGGAAATGTCCGACGCAAGACTTCCCATCCAATACAGAGACACCTGCGCCCACCTCTTGATCCCGCTGAACCGCTGCCGACACAACGAGTACTACCTCCCTTGGAAGTGCGAGGTACGATCTCTCCCAACTTTCCCCCGGCCCTCAGATGCCCACAGCAGCTATCTGGACATATTCTACAAAACAGCCTTCTGACTCAAACACATCCAAACAGAACGAGAGACACTCTTACGAAAAGTGCCAGTACGAAGAATTCAAGAAGCGCGTCGCAAAGATGGACGAGCTGAGAGCTGCAAAGGGCGGCGAGAGAAGCAACTGAGAGACCAATCTTCCTCATTCTATACATATTTCACGCTCGTCTTTCTCCCTTCCAGCATATCGCAAGGACAGCAAAATACAATATCCAGGCGCTTTTTTGCTTTTTTACTGTTTTCAAACTGGCTCCTAGTCTCATCGACTACTCTACCACTCGAGGCGACCGATTCAATCTCGACACTAAAGGAATAACTTTCTCGAATTCGTAGATGCTAAAATCCGTGCTAAATGAAGCAGATTCCCTATCTATGAGATGGATATCTTGCAAGAGTCAGAGCCTCGTGAATGAGATAGAGAAAAGAACAGCAAGGATGAGAAAGACTAGTTGCCGCTTCCCTTGCATAAGGCCTCTACCTCTCAATCGGCCATAAAGGATAAGATATGCCATCGTAGATGCAATGTATGCTGCGCTAATGAAAGAGACCAATGCTCGTGAGTCTCAGGGTTCCCGTCCCTTGTCTTGCTTGGAGTTGATCGCAAAAAATGAACAAAAAGAAAAGTTCGGCCGTGTTCTTCGTAAGTGCTCAAGGCGAAAAGAAACTGGAAGTCTGCGACGACGGAGCTTGCCTCGCAGGATATCGTGAGTGTCGCAGTGTCGCTGTGTCGCCAATCAGGTCTGGGTGGTAGCTGCGTCGACCATGATGTAGTCCTGCTCAATTCCAGGTTCCAGGCTGTTGACACCGCCATTGGCCTGCATGTCAGCATCTCTGCCATCAACCTTGGCAGCAACATAGCCGTCCTCCATCTCCTCGTCTTCTTCCTCCTCACTCTCCTCATCGTCTTCCTCTTCGTCATCAGAATCAATGACCACAACCTCCACAGGCCGAGCTTGCTTGATTTGGCCGGACTTCCTCATCTGCTTCCTGAGTTCCAACTTCTTCAATCTCTCGACCTCTTCCTTGAACGCTTCCCTGGCTGCGACGACTTCGTGGCTTCTGTCTGCGGCCTCGCCGAACAAGTCATAGACGCTCTTCTTGTTTTGGTGAGTGTAGTGAGATCCATCAGCCATAGTACCGCGAGGCTCTCCTTCAGCAGGCAAGCGGTATCTGTACTTTGATGCCGCAAAAGCTGCCTCCAACTTCTTCATCTTTTCCTGTGGATCTTCGACCTCTGCCTTTGCGTTTGTCTTGCCTGTCTTGGTCACCTTAGACAGCTTTCCTAGGGGTGAGTTCTTTGCAGGTGCGACGACAGTGATCTTGGGGCGAGGCAAAGGAGCCAAGGAGGGACCATCCGAGAACTTCTTGAAGCGTGCGTCCCACTCCACTCCAGTGAAGGTCTTGAAATTCTCGCGCAGGCACTTGAAGGCAGTAGCGAAGTTAACGTCTCTGACAGTGGTGACATCGTACTTGGTGGCGGGGATGTAGGCTGGAATCTTGACATAGACGGCATAGGTATGAGGCGAAGCATTTGTTTCGTAGAGCTATGTGAAGAAAGGGAAGGTCAGCGAAATTGAAAAGAAAGCAGGTGAAGCATGAGACACTTACAGTAATGCGAGCTCTGTCCAGACGAGAGAGCTCGACCGAAGCTTTGGTGACCACAATATCATAGGAGAAGCTAGTGGAATCCATGTAGATGTGGTGATTGTCGCTCATCAGATCCTCCTTAGCCTGTTTGGCTCCCTTGGCAAATTGCTCCGCAAGAGCAGAGTGCTGTTTGGCGGTCGAATCTTCCTCGCTGGAGCTTCCATCTTCTTCTTCTCCGCTGCTTCCCTCGTCACTGATGTGAGCGACTTCATTAGTGTGTTGCATGAATGCATCAGCATAGTTGATTCTCTCAGCGTCCTTCTTCTTCTTCTCCTTCTCCTTTTCGGCACGCTTCTTCTCGCGTTCGGCGGCTCTAGCCTCCTTCGCCTCTTGCTTCAGACGCTCGGCATCGATGGAAGTCCAGAGGTATTTGTTCTCCGTAACACGGCCAGTGGCGCGCAGTTTGTCGTCAAACCACTCGTAGTCGATGACCTTGGTGCCGTTCGCGAGTGCAGTCTTCACTTCAGGAACACGAGCACGCCAGTTAGCTTCGCTGACGACAAGATGAGTGGTAGAGGGGGTGAGTTTGCGATCGAAGGTGCCGCCGTTGGCTTCAGTCCACTTTTGGAGGTTGGCAACTGGTGCTTCGAAGGTGCCCGAGAAGCAGAGAACGGCGTTCTTAAGCTTGGGAGGCATTGTTGGGCTTGGAGAGGTTGGTTGCCAAGTGAGATCGTAAGTCGTGTTGTCAGCTGGTTGAGGTAGTTGAGTTGTATGAGATGCTTGTATTGAGAGTGTAAAGATCTCTGCAAGATCTAGATTGCTGAGTGGACGGCGATCTCAATCAGGAGATCTGAATTGATGTGATAGATGGTGTCAGATGTGGAAAAGTAGCGATGTGGTTGTTGAATGTAAGAAGCAAAGAGATGTTGAAGGCGGAATGTTGAGAAGAAGGAAGTGAGAAGAGCCGGAGGTTGATATAAGTCTTGAAGGAAGCAAATAAGGAAGGAGTTATGGACTGAATGAAAGGAGCACTTGCCGATGGAAGAAGCTATGTGATTGAGGCAGCAAGTGAACTTACAACGCAGAGTAGAGGACAATAGGCAACTCGCACTATTGTTCATTGCAAGCCGACATGAGTGGCATGCGAGGTCATGGGGTCAGAAGGCAACTACGTTCAGTGGTCGGTCATGTTCTATTCTATTATTTTGGTTCGTTATTTGATCAATCAAGCGCCAGTCTTGACAGCAGTGACGAACTCGCGGATCTTTGATAGACTCTGCTCGCCGTTCTCCTCGACTCCACTGCTGACATCCAAAATAGCAACTTGACTTATGCTCGAGGTAAGTCCACTGAACACTTTCTTCACATTGCTAGGGTTAAGTCCACCAGCAAGCATGATCCGTAGGCCACTATCCTTCTGTAAGAGCTCTTGGACCTTTGTCAAGTCCACTTGCTCACCAGAACCGCCAGCACCAGAATCGACCAGCGGTAGTGCATGGTATCCACGAGTAGCAAGACCAGCATCACCAGGATGGAAAGCGCGAATGACAGGAACGGGAACAAGTGATGCCCATTCGATAGGCTCAGAGCCGTGAAGTTGCACAATATCAAGACCCAGAAGCTTTTGTTGCTCCAGGATGTATGACAGTGGCTGGTTCTGGAAGACACCGACAAGTGATGCGTGTCGTGGGTGGGCCAAGTTGTACGATGAGGCATGATCGAAGTAATTCGTTGCCGATACTGGCAATGACTCGCCAGTCACTGCCTTGTCTGATCCAGCGCGCGGCGTCTCGTGGATGACCTTTGATATTTGAAGAGCGGTCTCGTTAGACACGCATCGTTTGCGGCCCTTGACGAGAATAATGCCAATAAAATCTGCGCCAGCCTCCACAGCAGCCTTGGCCGCTTCAGGAGTGCGAGTGCCGCAAATCTTTACCATCGGTGACTTCTTGGACTCTTTCTGTGCCGATTCAACACTGCCGCCGAGCAGTTCAGAAATGAACTGGGCGGTGTCCTTGGCGCGCATCAGAGCCTCGCCAACAAGGACAGCACCGACACCGTTCTTCTGGTAAGGAACAACATCTTGCGATCCGGCGATACCACTGAGAGCGCAGACGACAGTCTCCTTTGGTACCAGTGACATGAGACGGCTGGTGGTCTCCAAATCGACCTCAAAGTTTGTAAGGTTGCGGTTGTTGACACCGATGACCTTCGAGCCCATCTCGACAGCGATCTTCATTTCCTCCTCGTTATTGACCTCGACCAAAGGCTCCATACCGAGAGATTGCGAGTACTTGTATAGCCTGTGCAGGGTTTCAATATCGAGCATCTTGACGATGAGCAGAACAGTGTCCGCGCCAGCCAATCGGGCTTCCAAAATCTGATACTCGTCAAAGACAAACTCCTTGCGCAAAACAGCAGGACGGTTGGGCATGCCAGCCAGCGCTTGGCGGACAGCCTTGAGGTCGTCGATGCTGCCCTTGAACCAGTCCGGCTCGGTCAAGACAGAGATGGTACTGGCACCGGCGAGCGCGTAGATACGGGCCTGTGCGGGGGCGCAAGTCGAGATTGAAATTATGCCCTTGGAAGGAGAGGCACGTTTAATCTCAGCCATCAAGGACAATTGGTAGGGAGATTGCTTGAGACGGTCGGCGAAGGAAATCAGAGGGGGCGAAAGGTCCAGATCGTAGGCAGCTTGGAGGTCGATGGGTCTCTGCGAGGGGACTTCTTTCTGAGCAGCGACCAATTCCTTGCGACGGGCGAAGATCTTCTCGAGAATGTTTGTCTGCTTGTCCTTGGTCTGTCCGTTGGTCTTTGCTGATTGAGCGTTCGATTTGGTCTCTTTCTGCAGACGTTCGTTCTCGGACCAGGTGCCACCCTGCATGTACAAGAAATTTTTGATTTGCAGTCTTCCTTGCTCGGTCAAGATACTCTCGGGGTGGTATTGGACACCCTCGATAACGTATTCCTTATGGCGCACACCCATGATAACGCCCTTTCCTCCGTCAGGACCAACTGCGATCCAAGAAGAAACCTCGAGGCATTCGGGAAGAGTGGGGTGAGTTCCAGCAAGCGAGTGGTAGCGGGTAACTGGGATGTCCTGGGGAATGTTGGCGTAGACACCCTTGCCGTCGTGTCGCAAAGGCGAAGTCTTGCCGTGTAGGATCTCGCCGGTCTTCTCGACGGTACCACCAAAGACCGAGTAGATGCATTGTTCGCCCATGCAGACGCCGAAGATTGGAATCTTTCCAGCAAAGTGACGAATGGCATCCTTGCTAACACCAGAATCTGTCTCGGGGTGTCCAGGACCGGGACTGATGACCAGCTGGGTTGGGTTTTTGGCAATCAAGTCGTCGATTGAGATCCCATCGTTGCGATAGACGGTGACGGTCGCGCCCTCGAGACACAAGTATTGGTAGACGTTCCAGGTAAACGAGTCGTAGTTGTCAATGAGAACGAGATTGGAGGCGGTGGGAATTGGAGCGGCGGGCTCGGCGTTGAAGGGCGAATGATCGACCAGGCCCAGGTTAGACATGTTGGAATTGGGTCTCTTCTTGTCGTGTCTGGCGATTGAAAAAACGGCGAGGAAGCGATATGCCAGATGCAAGCATCGATAAAGACCTGGAAGGGTGGATGAGTCAGCTGTCGGCACTGGTTTCCCCACATTCGAAGCTCCTTCCTCCCAGGTCGCGTTTCGTTCTTGGCGCGTCCATCTTGTATTTGCAGCTACCATTTCAAGACCTTCTAATACACATTTCCAGCCCATCCAGCTGTCGCGAGATTTGCTTTTCCTGTCTTCCTGAACCGGCGCGTATGCTCATACACTAAAGCTATCTGCACAATGGTGCCATCCCTGCCGGCCGTCTACTTTCCAGCTCTGGATAAATGTCTGGCCCGCGAGCTTCCTCTTCTGTATGCGCCTGCTGCCCTAAACCCGTTGACTTCATGCTGACCACTCCAGATCATGGGAGTCCGCTTACAGAGCTGTCATCAATCTTGATTCCGTCACCTCTTCGCCCACGCTAGACGCCTTCTTCCAAGATCCAACTGTTCTTTCCATACTAGGCGCACCCCTCACGCCCTTCTCCTCTCCCACACCACAGTCAAAAACGGACTTCGACACAAGGACCGCCGCTATCAATACTACTCCTTCGGAATCTGGCCAATATGACATCAATCAGATCAAGGAGGACGCTTTATGGTTGTCCAAGGAAGCTGCGATTCAAGAGACGGATGCTTTGAGGATAGTCCTGGTCGAATGGCAGCAGCGCTCTGCATCATGCATGCTGGCCGAATGGTCCCAGGATGAGCGACTTGGAATTCAGAATGCCGCTGCGAATGCCCACTTCCGCCAGTCCATCAACCCCGTTCCCGAACCTGACCACAAGTCGACATTCGATACTCAGCAACAGAGACGTCCCAGGCTATTGACCACTCTCTACGCCGAAAAATCTAGCATCCTAGCTTTGTCTGCCCTTCTGGTTGGCCTCGCTTTACCTCAAGATCTGCAGTCGACTGCGGTCAAGACGAGGGTTACACTTCAGCAAGCTGCCCAAGTCGTTTTTCGCGCTCAGACGACGACAATCGATACATCTTTCTTCTGCGCATGTGTTGAGGCCATCGAAGCAAAACTATCAACGCTCAATCCGGAATCATGGTCGGGTCTGCTTTCCGAGGATGAGGAGCTCGCCAATGCTTACCTAAAGTCCTTTTTCACTCAGCTTGTTCTGATCCTGCGTCTGGCATACATCCACATCTTTGCCCAGGAAGATAATCTTGACACTCAACCCGTCGTTCTTTGGTTCTCCCTCATGGATGCGACCTTCTTCTTCTCTGCGCTACCCGAAAGCCCTGAGACCTCAGACCTGAGTATTGTCGTTCGATGCCTGGCTTCCCTCATATCGCTGGAAGTACTCAAGATCAACGCCACTGTAGCATCCATTAGCGCGCGATCCAACACTGGGTCCTATCCGCAACTGCCTGGCAGTTCTTACATCGATGATGAAGCCTGCGTTGGAGTAGTCACCTCTACTCTTCTCGGTGCTGCACAAGCTCATTTAGGCATCAGGCACGCAGGACCTGCCATTCTTGCTTGGAGTATCATCGCACAAAGTCTCCGTGGAGTCATTCTAGCAAGCCGTCTAGATGCGCAGTCTCAGGTCGAAGATGGTCCCAGCAGCAGCGAGACCAAGACCAAGACTGAACTTTCATTGGAAGCTATCCTAAATGCTCATCCTGTAGAGGGAGAAGATGTTATTGGCTTCATGGCAAATGCCGCAGCTGCTGATCTGCAGACATTCGACATGGTAACATCCTTGTCTGAGTGTTTGCTGCTTGCCTTTGCCGCAGACTTCGATCTTTGTGTGGCTGCCTGTGGCAAGATGTCGCTTTTCAACTTAGTGTCAGCAGGTTACCATCTTTTCCAGTACGGCCCCGATGTGGTACAGGCATCGCTTTCAATCCTTTCCTACGACACAGTGCCTCCAAACCTCTCGCGTACACGAGCCCGTAACCCGGTGCAACCAGTCAAGGCTTTCCTGACCGATAGCAACGGTATGGGTGGCAGATTTTTCGAACAAGTCAAGCAGCGCTATGCTTACGAAGTCCGCCCTTTCCTCAACTGTCTACTTTCAATTAGTCAAAGCCGGGCCTCAACAGATGGACAGGACTCGGAAGTTCTTGCGATCCTGGAGAATATGGCTACGATCACTCAAGTCCTCCCTCGAACCTTTGAGAGGAGCTATGAAAACTACAGAGAGGACGAACTTCAGAATCACATTCAGCTCCTTGATGAGATTCCGCTCTTCGTACCAAGGGATGGCAGGAGTCATCACATGCGTCTCACCTCTGGTAGGGACGCTGGACAAACTAAGACTGATCTAGTGATACCTGCAGGGGCCGTCGGTATCCTAGCGAACCAGAACAGTCCCTATGTTGTTTGTTGGCATCATCAACACTCTGCCCTCGAATACTTTGGCAAGCTTCTCTCCACTAGACTTTCCAACGCAACCTACACCGAGCTGGCATGTGGACCTGTCGAAAAGGAGGCGGCTGCTGAGATCATTGCGCTTGTTGACTCGCTTGTCTATGCCGCAGTGGAGGCAGACGATGTCAATGCCGCAAAGCACATCCTCGGCCGCTTGAGTTACGGTCTCGACAGAAATGACGATATCGTCAGAGTCATCTTCCAGATGTTTGAAGAGGAGTTGCACGCTCAGGTTGAGCAACCAGGATCAGAGGGCTCGTTGTATCTGTTGGTCCACATTGTCCGGTTCATGCAGTCACTGGTGTCTATCTATCCGGAAAGAATCTGGTCTCTCCTGACACGCAGTCGCCTGCTCTCTGTTGACGACAATGTTGGCGGTCTTGCTGCTATTGTAAGCGCTACAGAGCTTCCAATCGGCCAGTACGATTTACTACGTGCTTGTATCGGTCTTTTCGAGAGATTGATTCAGGATGTTGCCACCCGCGCTGTATCGCGCAAGTCCACCACAAAAGCAGTTACCCGCTTCGACGACCCAGCCGATGCAACCGGAACTACACCCGAGAAGCCCACCAGTGCTGTGCTTGCAGCATTCCAACGTATCCTTCTTGACGTATTGCAAAGCTCGCCAAGCTGGCGTTTCGTCTTCCCTACAGAGAGATGCGAAATCAGCACGCGTATCTTAAATGCAGCGACCGAGGTTCTCAACTTTGCATACAGCGTGGACGACAACAAGGTTATTACCGCGAAGTTGACTGGTGTATTCGCTCAAGCTTCGGAAGATCTTCTCAAGGTGTACCTGGCGGAAAATCCTCACTCGCTGACCTTCCACCCGATCCTGAATATTCTCACGTCAGGCCTCGCTTCGATCAACCCAGGACCTCTGGAGAATGAGGGACCGATCAGACTTCAGACCCGTGCAGCTCTGTCTTTCTGCTCAAAAGTCCTCGACGTCGGTTTGCTTACCGATCGCAAAGCTGGCTATCTTACCAAAAACCTCCTTCAGTCTATGCCTCTCCTTGCACGTCTCTTTGCTGCTCAACATTCTTACAAGGAGTCTGTTGCAATTCTGTTCACAAGTATCGTTCGCACATTGAACCAGTCCGAAACAGAACCCGCTCCTCTTCTTGGCCACCTGAGTCCGGAAGCTGCAAAGAGCTTTCTGACCGTCCTTGCAGAGCTTGATCAACCTCTCCAAGACATTAGTGTAGAGTCTACGATCTGGAAGATGTTCTCTGCTGTGGTCAGCAACAAACAACAGTGGCTTTCGATCTGCTTGCTCACTGGTACTACGCCTCGTGACAGATTGAAGACTACGGATAAGAGCGAGGGTACCGGCAGCAAAGCCTTATTCAAGTATGCTCTGGATCAGCTGGCTGACATCAAGGCTATTTCTCCCAAACGAGCAATGGCTATTTTGAAGTTTGTTGCTTCTGCACAAGACCAATGGGCCTGGGCTACGCACGGTATTGGTAAACACACCGAATTCCTCAAGAGCGCAGCAGACTGGCTCGCAGAGATAGAACCGAACAACAAACAGTCCGACATGGAGAGTACCATCCGATACGCCAACGAGATTCAGATGGCTTCCTACGCTTCCAACGTTCTTGCTCGCTACCTACACAACGCACGCCAGCTCGGTGATACAACAACCGCACAGAACGTTGCCACCAAGCTGCAATACCTCCGCGATCACGGTGTGGCAGTCAATGCTTACAACCATTCGCTACACAAGAACCTAGCCAAGAACTTCGTCATCAAGTTCCCGCAGTGCAAGCTCGATAACTTCAAGCATACTTCTCTTGAGCAATCAGAATTTGGCCGTGACTACTACTATAACCGCAAAATTGCTAGCCGGATGTTAGATTTCGAATCGTCCTGGAGCGGTCGTAACAACCAAGGATTTGTCGAAGAAGTCGCCAGAGCGAACATCAATCTGTCGTTGGTAGAAGCTCAAGTCAACCTTCTCAAGAGTTGGAAAGCTCTAGCCATCATGCTCGGCACATTTGCTGAGGACATTCCGTCGCTTCAGAAAGACTTGGCCACAGTCGTGCAAAAGTCGCTGGCAGCAAACATGGAAGCTTCTATTCCAGCCGTCTTGTTCGATAACATCGCACAGACACGTGCTGACTTAGCGTTCATCTTGTTGCAGAAGCTGACCTCTATCAAGTCCAAGGAGCCTATCGTTCGCGATTTGCTTTCTACAGCTTGGGATATTGTTCGCACCTCAAATCAAGACTTTGAGGTCGCATCTACTCCTCGCGATGTTGACTATTACCGGACGCTCCTACGTACCCTCTTCCTTGCACTTCAACCTCAGGTCTACAATTCTGTGCAGAAGGAGAAGCGATCAGCACCAGTTGTTCCTGTAATCCCTCTCGAAATCTTGAACACTGTGCACAAGAACTTTAGAGCACTGTGCAGCAATGTCCACGCCAATCCCGAATCGGTGCAGCCAGCAGACTTTGTCCTCTTGACGGCTCTGCTCCAGAGTATCCTCCGCATTCCTGGTATCGCCTCTGCTCACTCGGCCATCGCCACTAGCTGTGCCGACGCTGGCACTCTTCGCTATGCCACAAGTCTGTACTCTTGGTCAGATCGTCTTGTAACACCTGACTCGGTTGATCCCGTCTATGGTGAACTCGCTATCCTGTTCTTGCTTGAACTCTCTTCCATAAGTTTCATTGCGGAACAAATGGCTGTCGAAGGCGTACTCTCGCGCCTCTCATCAGCCAATCTGTCGCACTACCTCCGTAACATGAACGGCAAGGGTCCGTTCGATGAGCCTGTCCGCGTTTTCGCTATTTGGTCAAAGGGCATCCTTCCGTTGTGCTTGAACCTCCTTGAAGCAGTCGGCCCGCCAATCGCTGCCGAGATTGGTGCTTTCCTCAACAGTTTCCCTGCTCAGCTCCGCCGTGCTGAGACTGATTTAGAGAACAAGCAGCCTTCTCTTCGTCACCCTTGCGCTGGCTGCCTCACTCTTGGGCTCGCAAGCGAAACACACTCCCTTTCTCTCATTTCCCTCATTCTTGAAAGACTACGAACAGTAGGCGCAAGCTCCGGTGCTACTTCCGCCGAAATACCTAGTCTGGAGTTTGATCGTGCAAATGCGAAGGAGCAAGTTGAGGCGATTCTACGTACAAGACGCAACTTGCGTGAACGTATCATGCCTGTCGGTGAGCGCGAGACAGAGTGGGCTAGGCAGAAGCCCGCCGTCGCCACCAAGGATACTGAGAACAAGCTCGAGGAGAGAGTTGTAGATGAGTTCGAAGCTGCTCTTGTCTGTTTGACAGGCTAAACAATTTCAAAGGCCAGAAAAGTAGGACGGGAGATTTTGGGATTGGTCAAGGATGGCATTCAGCGAGGCGTTTGGTGATTGTACTTAGATTCTGATGGAAGAAGCAGGTTGTAGAGAAACAAAACAATTGTGATTACAACTCACGACGTAAATATTGAATATCCGTGGAAGCGTTGTCCAGGGCTCTATGCCATTCTTGGAGCCCGAAGCTCCTCCGCAGCTGGTCTCTCTTAATTATCTCTCATCACTGCTTCCATTTGGGTGCTCCTTTGCAACTCACCATTGAATCCCCACCAACGACCCTATCCGGAGAAACCATTAATCTATCGAACGGAGAAATATCGCTGCTTTCGCGGGACGCGATCATTCTGCATCATCATGACGTGAACGCGATATACCACTTACGGAGGAAGCCCCGACGAGTCAAAGAAAACCAAACTCCACTGACAGCAAACTGCCGAGAAGGCATTGGTCATCTTCAGATGACTGGTTCTGATCATCAACAAGCATCATGTCACAGACAAGAATAGGCGATAAGCAGGTCTAAACAAGACATGGATACCTATCGTTCCCCAGCCACATCCCCAATGTTTTCAAACGTCACGATTGCGGGTACGATGTCGTCTGCGCTCGAACCTGCCCTCGACATATGGGGTGCTGACCAAACGATGACCACGTCGAGTCGTGGACATGTCGAAGCAGATCTATAAGTAGTCCTCTTTCCTCACCGTTTTGACTTTGACACCTGGTTGCTTATTCTTTAACTGACCCGTAATTTTATCATTCATCATGGCACCTCCGGATTTCAATGTTGCGAGCAGACGTGCTAACCCACCTGTGTATACTCTGCAGGAGGGTAAGTTCTACAGAATGCAAGGCAAATCAACATCACACTGACGCTGGTTATAGGTGCACCTGTCTCTGACCCTTCAGCTTCCCTTCAAGTCCGCACGACTTATGGTGGCGGCGGTTTGGGAATACTTGCAGACACTCAGTTGATTGAGACTTTGGCTCATTTCCCTCGTGAAAGAATACCCGAACGTGTAGTTCACGCAAAAGCAGCTGGAGCATGGGGAGAATTCGAGGTCACAGAAGATCTCTCAGACATCACCGATGCCAAGTTCCTCAGCGGAAAGGGCAAGAAGACTCCCCTTCTCGGTCGTATCTCGACTACTGCTGGCGAAAGAGGTGCTGCCGATACTGTCCGTGACATTCGTGGCTGGTCCATGAAGCTTTTCACAGAGGAAGGAAACCAGGACTTTGTCTTCAACAGTCTGCCTGTCTTCTTCATCAGAGACCCCATCAAGTTCCCTAGTGTCAATCGCAGTCACAAGAGACATCCTGTGACGAACATCCCTGACCCGGACATGTTCTGGGATTACCATATCAACAACCAGGAGGGTATCCATGCATTGATGCATCTCTTTGGTCTTCGTGGTATTCCTGCTTCGGTAAGCAGCGTTTTCTCACCAAATCGCGACTACATGTAGCTAACAATATATCCCAGCTCCGCAACATCAACGCTTTCGGTGTTCACACATACAAGCTCGGCAAGCAAGACGGCACCTTTGTCTACGTCAAATGGCACATCAAGCCCGCAGCCGGAATCAAAAACCTCCACGCAGACGAAGCACTCCGTCTCGCCGGCGAAAACCCCGACTACCACATCAAAGACTTTTACGACGCGATCGAACGCGGCGATTTCCCAACCTACAACGTGCACCTCCAAATCATGGATCCCAAGCAAGCAGAAGCCTCGGGCATCAACATCTTCGACAATACCTTCACGTGGCCTCACGAAAAGTACCCTCTACGCCAAATCGGAAAGATTACATTCAACAAGAACCCCACCAATTACTTCCAAGATGTCGAACAAGCTGCTTTCTCGCCTTCGACGATGGTGCCCGGTATTGGGCCTTCTGCTGACCTTATGTTGCACGCACGCATGTTTTCGTATCCCGACGCTGCTAGATATCGTCTGGGACCCAACTACCAACAACTGCCTTGCAACAAGCCCATCAGTCAAGTCTACTCGCCCTACCAACGCGATGGCCCTGGCCGCATGGATGGCAATTACGGCGCTGACCCCGACTACGTGCGCAGCAGCTACACCAAGCTCGCTCACGGCAGCCACGAGTTAGCCACCCATGAGCAATGGGTAGGCAAAGTGGTTTCTGCATCTACAGAAGTCACGGACAAGGACTTTGAGCAGTCGAGGTTGCTGTGGCAGACTATGCTCAAGGAAGATGGTGGCAGGGAGAACTTCCTCAAGAACCTTTGTCCTCATCTTGGTGGTGCTTCTGAGTTTGTTATTGGAGAGTCTGTTAAGATGTTTGCGAGGGTTGATGAGCAACTTGGCAAGGATATCGAGCAGGGGATCAAGAACCACAAGGAGGGGAAGTCTGTCGTGTAGGATGTCTCTGGTATGAAAGGGACATAATGAGTAGATATTTTTGATGACTGATCATGAATTCAACGCGTGCTTCTTGATCTCCTTTGTGTCAAAGCTATAACGTCGTATATATTTGTACAGGATAGAAATTATTGAGACCCGATGTATTCCGGATTCTCTCTCTGGTCCAGTCCTTGACCATGAAACCATTGTGTGTTTCTACAGGCGAGGGCGTTACTCCACGTTTCTGTGGGAGGAGGGTAAGAGTTAGCAACTTTCGCACATAGTGAGGTCGGGTACGGTGTTGTAGACATTGTCCACCTCACGTCATGGGATTGTTTCTCCAGTCCTAGCGATATACTGTTTGGGTGCGTCAATGGCAGCTTACACAGTCGTCGGCTTTGATGAATGACCTTTGTTGTTAAAGACTATGACACATAGATGTCCTCTAGCATATGGAAATGACAGGGGCCAGTCTCACAGTTTCCATCTACGTAAGATACGAATTGCCCTTATGAAGGATTCACGCCCTTGGGCAATTTGACTTTGAACACCAAAGCCTGGTTATCGAGATTGTAGCCTGAAGCATCTTTGTAAGGATACTTTCCACCATCCATGTAACCTAGTTTTCAAGATCAGTATAATTTACCTTTCCACCTGAAGGGTTGTATGGAGGATCAAACATACCGTTTTGAGTGATGAAGTCGTTGTCGCTGAGAGAGAAGACAAAATACTCTCCATCCTTACCGTCGTTGACCGGGACAGTAGCGATGGACTCCCACTTTTCATTCAACAAGCCAGCATCCTGTGCACCTCCGTTGTGCACGCCGAAACGCTCGAGTTGGGAGTTGACATTGAAGTCAAGGAAGGAGCAATAAGTCGCTGCTTGCACGCCAGTCTTCAAAACTCCCTTTGAAGATGCAATCGATGCGTTAAAGGCATCATAAGTAGCACCAGCGATATCAGTGGCGTTGGAAATATCGAAGATGTCGATGTGGCGGTAGAGACTTGTAGAGGATGCTGCGCCGTGACCTGCATTGGAGTCGCGGGCCAAGACGAAAAACTGTGTAGGGGTCAAGAAGTGGAGTTCTGATTGAGCGGCAACACTATCGGTGTTGTAGAGAGGTAATGGGACAACGTATTCAGCCTCTGGAACTGGCGATGAGGAAGAGAATGCAGAAGCAGAGTATTGGAGTAGACGAGTATAGCGTCTGTTCTTCTTCTTGAGACCGCCTTCTTGGTCGAGAGCTGATTGCATCAATGCGTAGATGTGTTTGCCATCGGGTGATGCGGTCAAGCCTTCGAGTCCTTGGTTGTTTGCTCGTCCTTGCGTAGGGTCCTCAGGGGTGATTTCCTCGTCAGGGTTGTACACTGGAGGCGACGCAGCGCTGAAACTCTCAGTGCCGTTTCGCAAAGGGATATATGCGTTTGGAGGGCGAATTGCACTCAACATCTCTCCAGCAGCGGAAAAGTGGTAGATGTAAGGTCCGTATTCATCAGACACGTAGAACGAACCGTCGGGGTTGAGAACTAGACCTTCTGAGTCTACGGAAACGCGGTGACCGCCTGTGCCGCTGTTTCCAAAGCCGTCACCTGTGTATGTTGCAGCTGGTAGATCAGGGAAGCCTGAAAAACTGAGGTAGAGGCCTGTAGCATCGGGATCCAAGCCAGTGACGGGAGTCCCAGCAGGGTCTGTGAAGCGAATGGTATCCTGGTATTTGAGCTGCAGGTTAGGACCTGATGGCGAGGCGACTGTCGCAGTATCGTTGAGAGACAATGTAATCTGGAACTTGTGGACTCTGTTCTGGAAGTTCAGAGTACCTTGGGTGTTCCATCCTCTGTCTGGCAATGCCCACAAAGTGCCCTTGTAGTCCTTTCCGACTTTCTTCCAGCTCTTCTGATCAATGGCAATTGAAGACCCGAATCCACCAAGAGTATCACCAAACTTGTCTCTGGCATCGCTTGGTACGAAGCCATATCCGGCCAACTCCTGGTAAACATAAGTGTTACCACCACAAGTCGTGGAATTGACGACGCTAGTGGAGTTGACAGCGCTGGCAGGAGGGCTGGGAGGTTTAGGACCAGCAGGACCAGGACCAGGAGGAGTCTTGGGAGGGGCAGCAGTAACGAAACCACTAAGAGCTGCCAAAGCAGCCAAACGAGAAAGCAACAGCATGATGTGGAGCGTCAACTGAGGCAAGACTTAGTACTGACTTACCTCTCGAGGCACGACCTACGTCTTATATACCTACAACATCTTCAGGAGGCGATCAAGGCGGCTGAAAGCAAAGAGCAATAGCTCCGCGGCTGCTCAATAGTATATGCTCCATGACGGGACGGTAGTCATTGTGCATAGCGAGGATGTCACCTTGGATGATTTGGTTGGTCTTGTTGTATCTCCCCTGGAGTCTCCACAAGGTGCTTGCGAGATGTTCCATAAAGTCTAGACTAGAAATGCAGTCTGGATGGCCACGAGGAAGTGATATCCACCTTGATTGGTCCAAAGCCGAGACGTCTGTGCCAAGACCTGATGTTTGACCTGCAGAACATGCTGCGGATCGTTGAAAGATCGACGAGGGAGAAAGATAGATCTCGGGAGTTAAGGATGGTAGGTTCCCACACGTGTGAGTCGAGGTGTTTACACGTGAGGTTGCGCGAAGCTGCCGATCGAGGGGTAGTGAGCGACGACAAAAGTTCGGAAGGCGGAAAGCATGGAGAAGAACTACGAGCGAAGAATCACATTTGGCAAACAGTTGTTCAAGGGCGCCATTGACAACACAGTCGCGGTGGGAATCATAGAGACAGACATGGTTTTAGCAAGACGCTTCTTTCCAGACGAGAAGCAATTAATTCGCACGTTCCGACACAGCAGAGCCTGAGTATTCGAGCTGCTCTTCCTGGGATATCGCCAATGTTATAGGCCTCATTTGTGTTCCAGAAGGTCAATGGATCGCTGTTTCTGTGATCAGTACGGTTGCTAGTATAGTCAAGATGATGTCGCCGCAAGCAGAGGGATAGAGAAGCAGGAGATACAGATATCTTTATGTACACGGGATTATCTTTTATTCCAAAAGCCGACCAATGGCTCGAAAAACGCCGTGCTGCATGCAGAAATACTGTACAAGAAAGGAAGAAGATTTAGCGGAGGACTAATGGTATCTTGGGAAGGAGAAAGGGCGTTGAATAAGAACAAAGACAAGTCGCTCGAAGCCAGGTCGTTTAGCAGGCGCAGCTCGAGTTGTCTGTCGTGGGGCCTGGGTTGATGTTCACGTCAATCACTGTAACTTTGTTAGCGAGCTGTCCAGAATCGCATATTTTACGAGAAGACATACTTTGATTGGGCGTCTGGTTCTGTTCACTCTCCATACCAGGTAGTGCTTGCGCTATCCTCTTGAACAAAGGCTTCACGTTGTGTCCGACCTTTGCGCTCGTCTCGATGAACATCAGATTGTGCTTCTTGGCCTCTTCTTCTCCTTGCTGGGTGGTGACTTCGCGCTTGTCGTTCAAATCGGTCTTGTTGCCCACGAGGACGATGATAACATCGGAGCCACGTTCGCCGCGGACATCGTCGACCCACTTGCGGGTTTGCTGGAAAGATTTGGCGGAGGTAATGTCGTAAACGACGACGGCAACGCTGCTGTCGCGGATGTAGGAGGGAATCAGACTACGGAATCGCTCTTGTCCGGCGGTATCCCAGAGCTGTAGGCGCACGGTGCGGTCCTCGAGGTACATGGTCTAAGTATTGTATAAGTACGAGGTTGACATTGCGGTATACGAGTGGGTCGTAGCAACCTTTGACAGAAAATCGATTCCGATTGTGGCTTGGTATGTGTTGTCGAAAGAGTCGTACATGAAGCGGGTGATTAGAGACGTCTTGCCGACTGGAGAGGATCGAAGTCAGCAGTGCAACTGTGGTCAAGTGTGAATTGTAGCATACCGCTCTGCTCGCCGAGGAAGACCAGCCTGTGAGATGCACGTCAGCAAGTGCATGTGCATGTATCGATTAGAACGGTTGTAAGCTACTTGAACTTCTTCAGCGGGTTCGTGTAGGACGCCGGTTGAGCCATGACGACAGATTTTGACTCGGAGGGTGTTGGAGATACAGTCTAGCAGGGAGACGATCGAGCAGAGAAGAGCAACAGCGGGACTATGAACAGGTCTGCAAGAAAGCGGTCTTGTGTACTCGTATTATTCAGGAGATTGATTGCGGACTCGCGCGAGCTGCGACCCTCGAAGTGTCTCCACAAAGGGCCGTGCGAAAGGCCGGAAAGGGCTTCGCCGAGGCCAATCAGGGCTGATGGATGCCAAGCCTTCCAAACTTGCTGCCGCAGCTTTGCGGAGAAAGAGCGAGCGAGCGAGATTTGGCCTGTCAAAAAAATTACGGGCGTCTGATCTGCTTTTCCTTCCAACCTCATTTCATTCACGACGACCATGGCTCCCGTGGCAGAAAAGACTCAGGCAGCGCCTGCAACCCACAAGCAGCCATCCCGTAAGGGCAAGAAGGCATGGCGCAAGAACGTCGACATTACCGAGCTGCAAGAAGGCGTTGAAGATGTTCGCGAGCAGATCATTCAAGGGTACGAAACAGCCATGTATGTTTTGCGGACCTTGTAGCTGACATCTCTGCAGTGGCGTTCTGACCGAGAGACCTGCCGAGGAGCTCTTCGTTACCGACATCAAGGGCGCCGACCATGTTCAATCCGATTTCAACAAGCGCCACAAGCCTCTGAAGGCCGACGAGATCATTGCACAACGCTCAAAAGTCCCCGCAGTAGACACCAGGAAACGCAAGTCCGACGGAATCGCAACTGGAAGCAGCAAGCGCAACAAGAACGGCACCTACGTTTCACACAAGGATCTCCAACATTTGCGCAGCGTCGCAAACTCTGGAGGTGCCCAGACCGACATCGTCAAGGCCACCGAGAACGCAGATCACGACCCGTGGGGTATGGAGCCCATCCCGCAAGACCCTAGATTCTCCTTCATCCCGGAAAAGAAGGCCAAGGTTGCACCCAAGACTCTGAAGTACGCTCCCATCTCCCTGGCCGCTAACGGAAAGCCTTTCGCTGCTGTGCCCAAGCCTTCTGCTGGAAAGAGTTACAACCCTACCTTCGAAGACTGGGAGGCACATGTCACGAAGGTCGGTGAACGTGAGGTTGCTGCTGAGCGCAAGCGCCTGCAAGAGGCACAGGAGGAGCACGACCGTCTGGAGAAAGCACTTGCCGAGGCCGCGAGACCCGAGCCGTCGACCGATGACGAGTATCAATCAGCATACGAGAGCGAGTGGGAGGGCATTCAGAGCGAGGCCGAGGATTCTGGAGCTGTCACCAAGAAACGACCCGAGAGAAAGACACCATCCCAGAGAAACAAAATCAAGAGAAGAAAGGAGCTGGAACATCAGGCAAAGTGGGACAAGCAGATGAAGAAGAAGAACGAGCAACTGGAGCGTGTCAAAGAGATTGCTCTCCAACTCGCCGAGAAGGAGCGTCTTCTCGCAGAGCAGAAGGCACTGCAGCCTGCTACCACAGATGTCGCGACCGAAGCCGAAATGAACGACGAGGACGAGAGCCAGGTACTACGCCGTCGTAACCTCGGCAGACATGCGTAAGTGTCGTCTCTACTGGTTGTATTTCTTTTGTGTACTAACGGTCGTCTTAGTGTTCCCGATGCACCCCTCGAGGTTGTCCTTGCAGACGAACTCCAGGACTCGCTCCGTGCACTGCGACCCGAGGGCAATCTACTCAAGGACCGTTACAGAAACATGTTGCTGAACGGCAAGATGGAGTCTCGCCGTACCATGCAACACAAGAAGCCGAAGAGAGAGGTTACCGAGAAGTGGAGCTACAAGGACTGGAAGCTGCGCTAGATGCAGTGCAGCTCCTTGGTGTAATGATGAAGAGATTGGTTCGGTTTGATTCTCACATTTTCTTGATACCAGTGGCGTGTCGGGGTTCTTTGTTGCATCTGCCTGGCGTTGGGGATATACATCTAGAGTGCGAGGTACGAGGATGATTTGTTTGAGGATGAGGATGGTACTTGTAAAAAGGAGAAAATGGCAACTGCAAATTAAACGTCCAAGCATCATATCAAGCTTATTGCTACTTCTGAGCGTCTCAGTTGTCTTTGCCATTCAAGAGAATCTGTTGCAGAATGCCGTGTGAGAGGTTCAATGTCTTAGGATAATGAGTGCTGTTCAGCCTGTTCTCGAGGTGGTTGTAAGAGGCCTCGGCATGGAGCGTGTTGGCGGAGTTTGGTTTGTGGAGAAGCAGCAGCAAGCGCGGCGACGTGCAACAATCATCAATCTGTCGCGCGCGCATCTGCAGCCAATCAGTCCAACAACCCAATCACCATGGCCGACTCTGAAGATCGTGCGCCGACCGACATCAAGGCGGAGGCACCGCAAGCCACCACAGCCGACCAGACCGCTGCTCCTCCGGCCGACGACATCGAAGCCGCCGTCGACGTCGACACTGAGATGCAGACCGACAGCAGCCACACCATGGACAACAGCAGTAACGCTAAGAGCGCCGCAAACACGAACATGGATGGTACCAACGACGACGCTCCGTCTGTGCCACAGATCGAGACGAGAATGCCTGCGAAGAAGGATGTCGCATTGCGGGACTTTTTGAGCAAGATGGATGAATACGCGCCAATCGTGAGTTCACTCCCAGCGCGCGTCGCAACATGCTGCACTCGAGGTCACCTTTACTTACAATCGCATCAGATCCCCGATGCTGTCACAAACTACTACCTCACTCTCGCCGGCCTCCCTCCACCACCAGCAACACCACCCCATCTGGCCCGCCTCCTCGCGCTCGCTGCTCAGAAGTTCATCGCAGACATCGCAGCAGACGCATACCAGTACTCGCGCATCAGATCCACCAACACCACATCAAACAACCCTTTGACTGGACTCGGAGGTGCTGCAGGCTTTGGCATGATGCCGACAGAAGAGGGCGGTGCCAAGGGTAAAGGCAAGGATGCTGGAAAGGGTGCTCAGCTCGGTGGCCCTCGTCCTGGCTACGGTGGTGGCGGCGTAGGGTCATCTGGCGGCAGGACGGTGTTGACCATGGAGGATCTGGGCATGGCCGTCGGAGAGTACGGCGTCAACGTCAAGAGAGGCGAGTTCTACAGGTAATCTTCTTGCATACTTCAAGACATATGGGCAGGCGTTTCTTTGGGCCAGGACAATGGCAGCAGGTTTGCACGCATCATCACGAAAAGACGAAAGGAGTACGGCGCTTGGGGCATGACAGGGCAGGATGCATCGCTCGATAGATGAACTATGCCATAGGGACAAAGGATCCTGGTCATGAGCGATTCAAAATTGACAAGACTTCGGAACATTGATACGCGTGGAGAGCGAGTAACACAATAAGGCCAAAAAAACGTGCCTCCCTGACTTTGATATTTTGTACATGAAGACCCAAGAAACGCCAGTATGTGAGAAAGATGCAACCTCGTTGATGTTGTGCGTTTACTTGTTCTTGGAGTGTTTGTAGGTGAAGCGCTTTCTCGTCCTGCAATATGTCAATATAGAGCATGCGCAGTTTTGTATCGCAGAACGCACGCTGAGAACTCTCCAAGCTTGTGACCGACCATGTCCTCGGTGATTCTGACATCGTTGTAGATTTTGCCGTTGTGGACCTGGAAAATCAAGCCAACGAAGTTGGGCAGGATGGTGGCACCGCGTGCCTGTGTCTTGATCGGAGGGGCACGCTCGCCGGGCTTGGGACGAACGATGGGCAATCTGTGTGACTCGTCGTCAGAAAAAGTTCCAGAAGTGTTGCGCGCGAGTCCATGTGTCTAGGAAGTTTGCGACAGAGGATAGGCAAAAGTTGAGTCGAAGGATGCTTACGGGACAATGTGTGGACCTAGGCGAGAGATTAGTCTTTGTATGTGCAGTCAATGGAGCACGAATTACCCTTCCACACAGAGCGGGCGCCCTGCAGTATCGTTGTCGGTCTCATGATGTGCTTGGTATAATCTACACTCGGAGGTGCCTGCGGTCTTCATTACATCTCTCTCCTCCGCCAATCACCGAAGCACAGACCACATCTCGCTCGTCTACGCGCTAATACACGTCGACGACCATCTTTTGTGCAAGGCAGCAATCGGTGTTTGCCTTCAATTGCTGGCGAAGGGACGAGAAGGGAGTTCTACTAGAGGTGTGAAAGGTGTTTTGTCTTCTCTGCTTACCCAAAGGCTGGATCTTTACTACTCGTTTTGTTCTCCACCTTCACCCACTACAACTCCCACACCATCACACATAAAAGGCTACCTAACTTCAACATGCCTGCCAATTCTGGTAAGATCAAGTCAGATGGACGAGAAGATATCCGCTGAAAAGTTCGTAGCGGCGGATACTATCCGTATCATGGTATCAACCGATAACCATGTCGGATACGGAGAACGCGATCCAGAGCGAGGAGATGATTCCTGGAACACTTTCGACGAGATCATGACATTGGCACGAGAGCGAGATGTCGATATGGTCTTACTGGCTGGCGATCTGTTTCACGACAACAAACCATCTCGCAAGGCCATGTATCATGTCATGTCATCTCTACGCAAGAACTGTTTCGGCGAGAAACCATGTGAGCTTGAGATGCTCAGCGATGCCTCGGAAGCCTTTCAGGGTGCTTTCAACCACGTCAACTACGAAGATCCTGATATCAATGTCGCCATCCCAGTCTTCTCAATCCACGGAAACCATGACGACCCAACTGGAGATGGTCATCTGGCATCGCTGGATCTGTTGCAAATGGCTGGCATGGTCAACTACTACGGCCGCACGCCCGAGTCTGACAACATCGTCATCAAGCCTGTGTTACTACAAAAAGGTCGAACCAAGCTCGCCCTTTACGGTATGAGCAACGTCCGTGACGAGCGCATGTTCCGCACCTTCAGAGATCGGAAAGTCAAGTTCTACCAACCTGGCACACAGACAGGTGATTGGTTCAACCTCATGAGCGTGCATCAAAATCACCACGCGTACACCGAGACCGGCTATCTTCCCGAGAATTTCCTCCCGGCTTTCATGGACCTGGTTATCTGGGGCCATGAACATGAATGTCTGATCAATCCTCGTTACAATCCCGAGCAAACCTTTCATGTCATGCAGCCTGGTTCATCGGTCGCCACTTCCCTCATGCCAGGCGAGGCTGTACCAAAGCATGTCGCAATCCTCAGTATCACAGGCAAAGAGTTCAAGTGTGAGCCTATCCGCCTGAAGACTGTTCGACCTTTCGTGATGAGGGAAATTTCTCTCATGGACGACGCCCACATGAGAAAAATCGCGATGAAGGACGACAATCGCGCAGAAATTACCCGCTACCTTACAACCGTTGTGGAAGACATGATCCGAGAAGCTCGTCAAGCCTCGCGTGAAGCCCAGGAAGGGGATAATGATGATCATCAGGCGCCCGATTTGCCTCTGATTCGCCTTCGCGTTGAATACACTGCTCCTGAAGGAGGGCGCTTTGATTGTGAGAACCCCCAACGCTTCTCAAACCGTTTCTTGAAAAAGGTGGCAAATGTCAACGATGTGGTTCAATTCCATCGCAAGAAAACTGGCACCAGCAGAAAGAAGGAGCAACCTGACATGCCCGAGGAAGCTGTCCTGCAACAGCTCACCATCGACACTGTAAAGGTAGAGAAGCTCGTCAAGGAGTTTCTCACAGCCCAATCTCTTACAGTGCTTCCTCAAAACTCTTTCGGCGATGCCGTTAGTCAGTTTGTCAACAAGGACGACAAGCACGCTATGGAGGCCTTTGTGAATGAGAGTCTTGCAAGTCAGTTGAAGCATCTGTTGGCTGGTGCAAGTGTCGAAGATGAGGACATAACGGAAGCCATGCATGGGATCAAGACTCAATTGGAGGAGTCGTGGGCACAGGGCACGCTAAAGCGCGCTCCCAGAACAGACAAGTTGAAGCCCAAGCCAGCCAATTGGGACTCTGATCTTGATGGAGAGTGGGCTGAGCAGCCTGGTGCACTGATCCGTAGTGAGGAAGAGGTCGAAGACGACGAAGAAGCTGCTCAACCAAAGCCCAAAGCTACTCGAGGCAGAGGAGGCAAGGCCGCCGGAACCACACGCAAGACAGCTGCTGCAGCCAAGAAAGCAGCACCTGCCAAGAAGACCACAACTCGCGCGAGGAAGGCACCTATTGAAGAAGAGTCAGACGACGAAGAGGACGACGTTATTATGCTCGACGATGACGAGGAAGAAGTTCCCGACGCGAACGACGATGAGGATGATGACGATGACGACAACCTCTTCGTCAAGCCAGCGCCCAAGAAGAGAGCGCCTGCAAAGGCTGCAGCCAAGTCGATTGCTAAGCGTGCTGCTTCACCACCAAAGCGCAAGGCACCAGTTCGTAGCACAGCAAAGGCCCCTACAGGCAGACAGACAACACTGAGTTTCTCTCAAACACCTGCACCATCGCAACCACGTAATACCGCAGCTCGTGCAGGACGCAAAACTGCAGGACCTGTAGGTTATATCTTTCAGTCAATTTGCAACGAAATGCTAATAAGTTCACAGAGCGAGGACGAGATATCTGACGACGATGATGCTTTTGAACCTCCTCCAACAGCATCCCGTTCTGCAGCACGTCGCAAGTTTTGAGATTTAGACACCATCGTTCCGGGAGTTTCAAACGGTCCGACTTCAACTGGAAAGTAGGCTTCGGCAAAAAAACCAAACGTGCATGTTCACAAAAGCATCGAGATGGGGGCATTGATATCGAAATTACAAAAGCATAGCGTATGGAGTTTGATGGGGTATGGCTGGGGTGATGATTTTGCTCTGACACAATTTTAGCTTTTTACAAGCATTGAAGGGGAAGCGACAGGACTCTGCTATTTCCCAGAACCGATGTTGTGGCTTGCAGAAGTGATCGTCGAGGTTGCTGTCGAAACATCTGGGGTAAGTATACAGGAGAGAAGGAGCCAATAACCCAATCCGGGAAATGCATTGTTCTTTTACGTCGAATCCTCATCTCAAATGGCAACCACAGTGATGGAAAGAACGCCCAGGCTCCAGGCTTCTTGCTCGTTGTTCCCCTGACTCTTGGTCCTGCATCTCACACGACACCCTCTCCCATCAGCACCCTTCTTCCATCACACTCACACTCATTTGGTCTTACGACACCACCATTCCACCACCGCTCTTCTTGGATCACATAATACAACTGCTGCGAAGCAATAATACACCTCCGATACCAATCCCATACCAATCCATCGCCTGTACGCTCATCACCACACCCAAACCCTGCTGTTCTGCATTGCATCAAAGCTGACATTTACTCCACAGCAGCTCGAGAGCGCCTCTCTTCTTTCCACCCATATCTCCAGCGTTTCCTTCATCATCAAGTATTGTTTGATGTCAATGGCCCATACCAACATCGCCCGCAAGGCATACTCAGCAGAACAACTCTTGGCCCTTCGCCACTCAGCCTCGGACGAGACAGCCATCCAGATTGGAGCCAGAGCTCAGGACGGAGCTATCAAAGGTATGTTAATCCCCTTCCAGGCTTCTGGCTTCGACTCTTGGCTTTGTTGTTGTCCATCATCGCCCATCACCCCGTTCCATCCTCATCACCATCAACAACATTCGGTCCTTGTTTGTTGTCTTTCCATGTATCCATTCATTCACTTAGCCATCTTTATACGTTCATTACCATGCATTCTTTCAATACACCACAGAAGACAAGCTCATCATCCAATCCTTCCTTTTCTCATCACGAGAGATTTGCGAGTCTTTTGGTGGCCGACACGCCATCACCTGCTGAAGAAAGTCGCTTTATTAGACCAGATTGGCTAACAGACGATCTTGCAGACCATGTTGTCCGTAACGCACGCTCTTTTGCTGCGCGCTCATCTCGTTCTCTCGCCATATCGGACACATTGCACCCTCCTCCCCATCCAACGGAGCCACGTCAATCCAGCGCACCTGTTCTGACAGAGATCGACCCCAACAACCAGAACCTGCGCCCTGGTCTGGCTTCCAACCGTTACCGTCCATCTCCAACTCCGTCACTGAAGAAGCGCAAGGCTGAGCAGATTCTTGAGGATCATGGCTCTCCTCCTGGACTTCGCGTTACCGCTGGCGGACGCATCGTTCCCAGTGACCAGTCTCCTCTGTGCAGCCCTCGCTACGGATACAGCGCCATCAAGAAGAACGGCATGCTCATCAAGTTTGGCCCCAACTTCCCGGCTCCTCCTGGTGGCATTCCCATGCAGAGGGTTGGCTTGCCCAATGGCTTCGTGGCCCAAGACCCGGACGGCAGACTTTGTCAGATGGTCGATGGCAAGTTTCTACCCGTCGATGACATCGATGGCATTCCTCAGCTCTACATCGCCGCTCCCAACCTGACAGGCAGCACTGGTTTCCCTGCCGGCGAGAAGCAAGACGCTTCTGGCGCTACGCCGTTCGACAACGCTATCAGACAGCAGCAGCCCAACCAAAGCTTCGACAAGGCTCCTCCTACTGGTCCAGCAGCCAAACAAACAACCGTCAAGCAGCCAGTCATCAATGTCAACGTGCAGATCCAAGCTCTGGAAAAGCAGTACGCCAAGCTGGAACAGGAGTCCAAGGACCTTGACAAGGTTGAAGTCTTGCAACGCAGCTCAATGGGAGCCAAAGCATACGCCCAGCTCGTTCAGACACGTCGTGATCTCGTCAGCCGCATGAACTCGATTCGCGTCAGCCTCAAGTCTCTGCGTGAAGCAAAGTCGTCGACCGACCACTCGCCTCAACCTGTTGCTCAGCCACTGCAGCCACAGTTCAGTATGCCACCTTACGGACCAGCAGCCATAATGGGACCAGCAGGACCCATGCACGATTGGACCTTCGACGGTATTGGCTCGGATACTCACAACATGCCTCCCTTTCAGAGCGCTCCCATGCCTCATGGACTCGGCTACTACGGCCCACCTCCTGGCTATCCTGGTTCCATGGCTCCGTACCCAGGCATGTTCGGCCCAATACCACCAATGTTCAACATGATGGGTATGCCTCCTGTCGATGCGTTTGGCAACTTCATTCCCAATGCAGCGCACATGGATCCTCAGGCCTTCTCCAGCGGCAGCCCATCTGCTCCACACGCCAACGCGGTGCACGAGACCGGACCAAGCAACCGCAGACCGGCAGAGACTGCTGCCACGTCCCAGCCAGAGTCTCCACGCAAGAGCCACGCTTTGCAGATCAAGGATCCAGAGAACAAGTCAGAGTCGAGTCAGAAGTCGGCACTCAACCCCATGAGCCCCAGCTACCAGCCCGCCGGCAAGTCGACACCTGCATCCAAGATCATGCCAGCTCGTCCTGTGTCTCCGTCGCCTGCTCTCGCTGAGGCCGTCAGACAACACAACGCCTGGGTCACCGAGTCAGCCAACGTCTCCACTAGCAACCTGAACTCCGGTGGTTCTCAGCGCAAGCTTCGTTACGAGTCATCATCATCGAGCTATGCTACTGCCGACTTCTTTCCCAACAACCCTCGCGACCATTCGATGAGAAAGGATGCCTATCCTGTCGTTCATGATGGCAACGCAAGCCGCAGCAAGATGGCAGAACGTGCTTCGACATCCAGTGAGCACCCGATCACTCCAGACAAGGAGAACCAGTTGACAGGGTGGAACTTTGCACCGGTTGCTAGTGTCACGATGCCACCAACCATGTGTGATCAACCAACTGACCAGTCATGCACTCCGGAACTCCACAGCAAGGATCCAGTCCAGAACCGCTCCCAGATGAACGTGAGTCCGAAGAATCGTCGTTCAGACTACCCTTTGAGTTACAAGTCTGTCAGCGAAGTCACCACACTAGGATCTGAGCTTCCTTCTCCTGCCATCGGCTCATCTTCCCACACTCAGTTGCAGCAAGCCAAGCCTGCCCTTTCTTCGAAGGAGCATCTGAGCCTTGAGGAGGCCACTTACCTGGCTGGCTTCAAGGCTGGTCAGGCTCGCTTGCCTGTGGGTCTTGAGAAGAACAGCTTTTGGCTTGATGGATACTGTGCTGGTCTGCTTCAGTCAGCTCAGCCAACCACTGCTCCATCTCAGCCCAAGGCTCCAAAGCCAGCCCATGCAGCTCCAGTCATCATCAAGCCTTATCTTCCAGCAGAACAGAAAAAAGTCGTCTCACAGCGTGCTGCTTCTGCTGCCCACATCAACGCCACATCTATGAACACTCTCAAGGACGCCATCTTCTCGGCTCAGAACGAGAATGCTATCCTCACTCCAGACCCAAACGGTCCTTGTGTCAACGAGATGGCTGCTTTGCATCTCGGAAGCTGGGCAAAGACTCATCAAGCACCCACGGCTGCCGACTCCGATGCTGTCCTCGCGTCTGTACGCAACCGCGAGACAGTGTTGCCTGTACGCACCTCTTCGGTCATGCAATGTCAGATGTCAGGCGCCGATACTTCGACTGAGCACAACCGCACTGGCATGCCTTCCATCCAGACGACTGGTGTCATGATGGATCGCCAGAGAGTCCACGTGCCTCAAGACCGCCGTGCTACTTCTGCACAAGTGCAAACGACTGGTGGGTCCCCAACAGCCCACTACCAGCGCAACTACCCAGCTCATCGCGTCATGAGCTCTCAGCTCGAGTGGAAGTCGGGCTCTTCGATCGCACAAGTTGCCGGACTGGCCACAGGCTACTTTGCGCAGTACGACGGTACGAGAACAGGTGCCAACACTCTTGCAGACAGACGGCCGCTGACTCCATTGTCTGGCAACACAGGCATGACGACCCATGACACAATGTCAGGAGCATTGCCCGAGAAGCAGCCTGGCATGTCGGCTAGATTCACCGAAGAATCCATGACAGTCGACAACAAGACAGGCAGCCCATCGTCATCGCCTGGCAAGAGGTCGGCTCCCAAAGGCTCCCCAGCCAAGGTCAAGTTCGCACAGATTGCTGGCAGAGCTGGAATCAAGGTTCGCAGCGACAGCAGAGATGAGCAGGAGAGCGAGCCCAGCAGCCCTCAGGAGAAGCGCCGCTGGAGAGACGTTTGGACAAAGAGGTTCACCGAGACTGGCGGTCGCGAAGGTGAGCAGAAGCAAGGTGGTCGTCCCTGATTCGGCGTTGCAGACGTTTTGGACATGGCCGATGGATTGGTACATTATAGCTTGGCATCAGTGTTGATTGCTACGAGGGAGAGATTGCAGTGAGCATGTTACTTGGTATGATATGGACGGACTCCGGAGCCCAATTGGCACAAGCAGGGTTAACTACAGGCATGTTTTTGATCGAGTTTTATAACTGACAGCATACACAAAAGAAGCAGACAAATAGATTGGGACTGTTGGAGGATAAGCAGAGTATGATTGACTCCGATATATTCAGACGAATGCATGACTTCTTTTCCTTGCAAGGATGATGCACTTGTGCAATTCGATGTGTTGTGACATCTCAAGAGTGGAAGAAGTGAAAGCTGTATGAGCATCATCATGGTTGATGGACCGTGCGCGGGCGGAGAGCTGCCTACCGGCGGACAGCTGCGACCATCAATCATCATCGTCCAAGCAATCCACGCCATCTCCTGTATCGACTCTATCGCACCCACTCTTCATCTCACGCCAAATCAACCACCCGGCCTTCATCTACCGACTTAGCTCTCACATACAGACTCATCACAACCATCATGGTGCGTCACAGTCATCCGCCAAACAGTGCATACAGCTAACCACACTCGCTCCCACTAACAGTCCCTCCGCATCGTCCCTCACGCCGGCCACGCCCAGCAAACCGCCCTTGCACCCTCGGCCCCCTCGGCCCCCGGCGTCCACGACACCCTGCGCTCCAACCAATCCCTCAACACACCCCACAACGCCTCGCCCGCCTTCTCAGCAGTCGCCTCCTCACACCCTCTGGAGTCTCGCCTTTCCAGCTGGCGCTCCACCCAAGATGCACTTAAGATGAACATGCTGCGCCGCGAGTTTGGAGTCGCCGAGCCCATTCGTCGCGCGATGGAAGTCAAGATTTGTCAGGAGGGCGAGTGGAGGCCTAGGGTCCTGGGCTTCAAGGGCGAGGGTGTGCATGAGGAGGTGTTGAGTGGAAGGGACGCGAGCGTTGATTGGGAGGATGTGTTTAATGGTGAGTTTTTTGAAGAGGGGACTGGGGCAGAAGATGGAGGCAAAAAGAGGAAATGCAAAAGGGCTAACGATGTGGAAACCAGGCAACGAGACTCAGAATGCGCCCGACTTCCACTCGGAGATGGAGAACAGACTCAAGATGAACTGGTAGAGGATTGCTCTTTCGCAGATTCTCGCCACCGCCGACAGCCGAGACGGATTCGAGAGATGGGAGATGTCAATGTTTTGGGGAAGACAAGACGCGCATGATCCAAATGGACTTATGTTTTACTGTACAACATAAACCGCCGTTTGCTCCCTGTCGACGACAAACTTGCGAAGCTGAAGAGGGCACGAAACAAGAAACAAGAGCAAAGAGCATCGGCATCAAACAAGCATCACCTTTAACGAAAATCAATGAAACGCATCTATCCGAAAACAGCACGCGCTTGTAGGCTGATGCAGCGCTTCTTTTAACTCCTCATGAGCTCAATTCTTGCAGAGTTTATATAGTCGTGTATGTCTTTTGCCAATGATTTCAGCAGCAGCAGCAGCACATCGATCTCGAGGGATTCATCAATAAGAAAGCTGCGATTTCCTGATATTCTCCTGTACAATATTCGTGGGAAAGAAAAAGATGTGCAATAGGAAAAACAGATGCTTTCGACTCCGACATGCAACACGATCAAATCAAAAGATGAACAGAGAAGAAAGAAAGAAAAGAAGACGATGTATATGTTTTGAGGAAACAAAAGACCAGATTCACCTCCCTCCTTTTTGCTTATGTTTCCCACACCTTCCAGACCCAAATATGTGAAAGAGTTCGGTCTCCTTTTGCACCGTTTGTGATGAGAAGGATCGCCCGAATGTACATGGCTAGACGAAGAGGAGAAAAAAAAAGACAAATGTGAATTACAAGAAGGCGGGGGTTCGAGAGCGTATGGAGCGGCTAAAGAAAGGAGGGAGAGATTCGGTGATGGTGGAGGGGTATCAGAGAGAACGAAGAAGAAGAAAACGAGAATCGATGGAGGAGAACAGAGTGGAAATCACTGGATGATGCATCGGCAACCAGCGGTTGGCTCGTCGCCATCGCCACGGGCGGGTCTGGCACCACCGCCGCTGGATTTGCGTTTTGATGATTTTGCATTCTCTTCGTCGTCGATGACTTCTTGAGGCTTGACGCTCATGTGTACAACGTTGGGGGCCGAGTCACTAAATCGGCATTCTGTTTTGCTTGTTGTTAGCTGCCAAGGACCACGACTGGAAGTTTCAGGTGAGTGTACCTTTCAAGGGCAATTTGTCGTCTAGGAAGCGACCAAAGTGGATCAAGCGGATCGCTGCGGGAGATGAGGGCTTGGGTTCCCATTCTAGGAGCTTGTTAGACAAAAGTCCGAGGCCAGGCCAAAATCTGCTAGCACTCACCCTCTCTCCAGTCCCGCCAGATCAATTCCTTCAGAGTGTAGACGCTGATGACAAAGGGATCAAAGGCACCACTCTCATTCTCGGCCGTAACATTTCGCTTGGCTAGATACTTCTGATCTATGCGGTAGGGATGGCGCGTGCCGGTGCTACTCAGCAGCAAATTTATAGTGATGACGGGACCGCTGGGAGTTCCGAAGCCTGGCGTCTGAGGCATGGGAGTGGGCAGATCGGTCGAAGGACCTATGGGCTCAGCAGTCTCGGAGCGAAGAAGGGCGGGAGCAGGCATGTCGAGTGGTGTCGGCGGCAGAGGGTCGGTACCCTCGGATACGAAACGTGGTTGTGATTGCTCTTGAGGACGGTCTGTGATCTGGGGAGGCTCCGAATATGAGGTCGTGGCAGCAGTGAAGAAGTCGGGTTGTTGTGTTTCTGTTGATGCTCGTGCTTGGATGGGTTGAGTGGTAGTGGTGGCCAAAGGCAGCGACGTGGCTGTCGCATGCGTATCCGAAGTCGAGTCCATGATTTGTCTTGTTTTTACAGGGTCGTTCCTTGTGGTTATGTACAGAAAGATGGGCGTGGGTGAGGGTGCGGACTCGACGATTTGGCGGTTGAACCAGGCCAAGGCAAGGGTCCCGAGACAAGAGGCGGCCTTGGGAGGCGAAGACGACGTTGCAGGCGGACAGCAGGGAAACGAGTGTAGGCTACTACTGCTTATGCGCTACAGACCGGTGGGGAGAATAAAGCGGCGATGTCGAGGAGAGAGCGACAAGTGCGACGATTGCGACGATTGCGGCGACGACGACAACAACGACAACGACGCACCTGATGAGCAAGCACCACCGCAACCCCAGACTCGAGCCAAACTCTCCCCCAACTGCTCCATTCGCCCAAAAACTCTATTACCCGTTACTCCGCTGTCAATTCAAATCATCCTTCTGAAGCCTCTCTTGACCCACAACAAGACCTCTAGTTACAATGACTGCTTTTCCATACGTTACATCTCACAGTACATCTGTTCCTCTCCGTCTCAGCATGTGATGCCCACTCGTGTCCTGGTCTCCACTTTTTAGCCCTTCTACTCGCTCCACTCCGCATACTCGCCGCCCTGCTCCACTCTAACTCCCGACATCTCCTGCTTCACTCCCAGCATGCTGACCTTGCCCATACTGCCATCGGCCTCACCCGACAGCTTCCACCCAGACAACACCTCTCTCAACTTCTCTACCACCTCTTCCCGATCCTCAATCAGCAGAGCAATTGCATCATAGCCTCCTGCTCCGGGCACTACTCCGCCAACCACGCCTTCGACCTTGCTGCATGCATCCAGTAGTTCCGTCTGCGCTGGTGGCTCGATCGGCACTCCGCTTTGCTTACTCATCTCGCGGATACCTTGTCTGATTGCCTGAATGCGTCGCCTGAGCTCCGAGTAGTCCTTGGATCCGCTCTCTGCCAATTGGACCAGCTCTTGTGCCAATCCCTCATTGACATTCTGCAACCCTTCCCACACTTTCTCGCCCTCTGCTCCAGTATCCTTTCTCCATGCGAGCACCTGCTTGACCATACCAGGTGTCTGGCTGCCACAGCTGACGTCGCACATGACAAGCCTGATTCCATTAGGTACCTTGACCTGGTCTTTGACAATCTCAGTGTCCCATTTGCCATTAGCTCCGCTTTCGTTAACAATGTCCACGAGCTGTTTGCCAAATCCTGGTGCGCCCGGTTCTCCGTGTGCTGATAGTATTGCTGGCGAGAACCTTCGGTACAGACAGCTACCGTAGACTGCAGAAGCCACATCGAATCCAGACCCTACTTTACCTTGGGCAGCACAATGAGCTGCCTGTGCCAAGTTGTGTAGCTTACGCTTGCCAGCTTCCGTGGTCACGTCAAAGACATCCTGAGGTAGGTAGTAGCTGAGTACAGCAGCTGTGAATGCAGTCACCAGAGCAGCCGAGGATCCCAGTCCAGTCTTGTTTGCTTCCGAGAGAGGCACGCCGAAGTTGTGGAATCTTGCACCTGTCAATGATGCCGAAGAAGTTGAGTAGTAGTCATTGTCTGCCAGGATGGTGATTGATGAAGGCGAGATGTTGGATGACCCAACACTGGAAATGTAGCTCAGAGCATAAGCCAAAGCTGTTTCGACGAATGGATTGCGGTTCAGTTTTAGGTCAGCGTTACTAGAAGATCACGTGTGTTAGAGTTGTATCCTCTCAAGACTTCAAAGGTCATTCCACGCAAGAGTGCTGTTCGAGAGACTGCTGCGGGCATGCCGGAGGTCTTCTCGGACTTAGCGGAATACGCGGCTAGCATATGAGCCCGAATCTTCGCGAGCTTTCAATTGGAAACAGCCCACACGATACGAGGCAGACCCCATGTTGATATGTGACCTCGGATGGACACCTTGCCGGCGCACATCTGTCAGGTTTCTCAGAGTGCGGCAAGCCGGTGAACAAGACTTCCGTACGATACTCTCGTTCATGCAGTCTTCGCTGTATTGCAATTGATGACGAAGGAAAAAGAATTTCACCACTTACACTCTCAATTGAGTCACTTTGACACCTCCATCCTCGGCGGCCAATCGGTAGCCATATTCCCAGACAGCATTTTGGAATTGAGGTGATTTGACTGTAATCTCAGAAAAGGTGACCCCTGAACCCGAGGCAAAGGGCTTCACAGAGACGTGGATACGAGCATCCAGACCAAACACAAGGCCATTGTAATTTCTGTCGAGCACGAGATAACCGCCAGCTAACAAGACCTTGCCAGGCGCAGACACAGCGACAGCACTTGAACTCATGGTCGTTTCGAAGGATGCAGGGTGAACGATATGATGCGGATCGTCCTTGGAGGGAAAAGATGGCTGAACAGAAGCAAAAGTAGCTAGACAACAAGACCAGGACAGCGCGCAATTAGGCGACCCCTCTTGTTCCGCTCAGGGTTACGATGTCAGAAATCCTTGTCCCTCCTGAATGCTGCACCACAGCAGGATGGGCAGTACTGCAATCTTACTTTGGCTGCGGAGAGTCCACGGCTCGATTCAATAAGACCGGAGAGGACAGCAGTCAGCAGACCAGTAAAGAGGGAATTGACGGTGAAGAGCCGGGCTGAAGTGGTCGTTTTGGAAGCTTCTCGTCGTGAGAAGAATCGAGTTGTCGGGGGTCTGCGGTACGTTGTCGGCTCCGAGAGTTTCCTTTGACCGTTTGACGGGAGCTGCGGGAGAATATGCTAGTGGCCGATTTGACGGCGCAGTCCTGTAAGGCGGGCTATCGAGCAGTGCTCAGCGTAAGATATTCGTATTGGCCACGAGTAGAGTGGATTTGGAAACGCCGTCTACCGTATTAGGTCTCCGAAACATCTGAGTACTGCCATTTACCGGCAACCAAAGTTCCTCCGAGTGTCCGACCCCGACCCAAATTCGTGGATCAAGTCCATGGACGCGACAAGCTCCCACAATCCATCCGTAACCGTCATCCATCCATAATTCTGTTGCCTGAACATTTTCGCCGGGCAAAACCAGTCATTCACTTAGCTTCTTGATTCTCGCTTTATCAGATCTTCTTTCGCGCTTGCGTTTTGGTGCAATCGTTTCATTCTATCTTCCGGCTTCTCTTTCGTGACCTTTGTCACATATTACACCACCAAGGTATTCTTGTACCTTTTTCGCACGTTCTCGCGTATCTTCTGCCGATCCACTCATCGCCAGATGAACGTGTAATAACTTCTTTTTGAGAACCACTTGGTATGTACCTATATCTCAAGTCGCGTACCTCCACGCTTCGTTTTGCGATTGTATTCGCTGTTTGCCATAGCATGACTCAATCGCAAGTTTCTAATCATCTGTCCAGTCTCACATTTCCAACTTGAGGGGCCTCAACCACCGACTCGATGGTGTTCGTTAAGCCTACTGTCGGAATCTCTCGTCTTGCTGGTACAGCATTCAAATCTTTCACCCACGGATACGCCCAGACTGTCGTCGCCGCTTCTCAGTCTTCCTACGCTTCTCAGAATACCGGTGTTACACCTCTCGCGAGCAACTGGATCCATCGCATTGGCGGAAACACTAGCACATCTCAAGTTCAACATGTGCCTACACACGCTAGCACTCAGGCAGCCCGCCAGGACAACAACCACAACGATGGTCTAGCTCAGTACTACGAGGCATGGCACAAGCACCACAAGAACGGCGACCTTCGCGAATGGCAGCAGTTCCAGTTCCAGAAATTGATCGGATACCCTGGCACAGGAGCCGCTGAGAGCAAGGAGCTGGACGATGTTCAGGAGAGCAGCGCAATTGAAGAGGTGGATGAGAGCCTGGAAGATTCGCCGCAACGAGGAAGCCTGAAGCGCGCATACACTACCAGCGCCGTCGACAATTTTGACAAGGCCATCGACAATCAAGAGGCTGCCGCTCTCGCATTCGCTCAGGTGAATGAAGCAATTGCCGAGGAGATCAGCAAGACCAAGCAGGAAGTGGAGGCATCCGTTGGCGCGGCGATTGAGGAAGACGTTGTCTCTGAGAAGACCATCACAGCAACTCAGGATGTCCACGAAGAGCTTTCTGGTCTTGCTCACGACCACACCAATGCCGCCCTCATCTCCGAGGTCGATGCGTACACACAGGAACTGGAATCGATGCTCCGCGACAAGCAGTACTCACGCATTCCTAGTACCTTCGAGTCTATGCTATATGCTGGTGTCAAGCAACCCCCTGCTTCAGCTTACCGTGCTCTGATGACTTCGGCTATCGAGCTTACCATTGGTAGACACCAAAAGGTTCCCAAGGCTTTGGAAGTTTACTCGGACATGCTCCGCCGTAGAGTGGTCCCGGATGCAGAGACTTATGCTGCCCTCATCGATGTTCTGGCAAGCAGAGCTCTGGAAGCTTCGGCCACCAAGAAAGTTCTTGAAGAGAAGCGCAAGCGTTACGGTGGTATGGAGGCCGAGGACAGCTTCCTCTTCCATTCAGATGCGCTGGAATATGCCATTTTTGCAGAGGATGAATCCTTGAGCATCGCCTTGACTACATTCAACTCGGCATCAACAAAGGTCAACATCTCAACCACATCTTATGGTCTCCTGATTCACGCATGTGCCATGCAAGGGCGTGTTTCTGATATGACGCGTCTGTTCGAACACATGTCTGACAAAAACATCGTTCCCTTCGCAAACATCTTCCCGGCCATGATCAACGCGTTCTCGTCTGCAGGAGACTTGCGCAACGCCGTGGACTGCTACGACCACTACAAGAAATTGGCCATGGAGAACGATGCTGGTCTGAACAGCATGTCCAGAATGGATGAAGCTGTTTACTCTTCCTTGATCAAGGCATATGCTGCTTGTCAACACGCAGCCGGTGGTCAGAAGTTCCTGGGTGTGATTGAGTCCCAGGAGCCCAACGCCTTCAAGCGTCAAGCACTCCGTGACACTGTTCACGTCGAGTCGTTCCTTCCTCTCTCGCTTCAAGCTGGCAACTACAAGGAAGCTTCTGCCATTCTCGCTAACATCTCAAGCGCCGCTTCCGTCCACGCTCTCAACAAGATTGCCATTGCTGCCGCTGATGTCAACAACTCGACCGAGAGCACCAAGGCGTTCAACGCTCTGGCTTCGATGGGTGCGGACCTCGCTCCCTCTGCCATGGCCATGCTTGCGATGCACATTCGCAATGCAAACCTCGACGCTTCTGAACCCTACTGGCGTGTACTTGAGAACTCCATGGCTAATCCTTCCTTCATTGAGCCAACCACTATTCGCGCTCTTGCTCTCATCGGCGTTGGTGCTGCAACCCGCGGGCTCGCACAAACCCGCTACATGTTGAGTCGTATCAGAGCCACTCAGAGTTCGGCATCTGCAAATCAAGACATTGCTGAAAAGGTTGAAGAAGTCATCGAGGTTCTTGGCGACTTTGCACTGAGCAACAACCGCAAGCTTGAGATCGGTGCTAGCATCGAGCTCCTGCGCATGATGGTTGACAACGGTGCTCTTGTCGACCCCATGGCCGAGCATCTCGTTGCTTCCTTTGGTCCTCAGGAAATCTCGCAGCTCAACCCTGGTGACATTGGTCTGTTGACCAAGATCCAATCACGCATGATCCTAGATGAGTCCGCCCCTGGAATCGCTGGCGATGCCAGATTCGCTTGTCTCCTCGAAAACATCGTCTCTCGCACCATTCTTCCCGATGTCTCTACCGAAAACTTGATCGAGAAGACTTTGATCAACCTGGACCGTAGCGATCTCAGCCGTCTCTGGAACAACTACCGCTACCCTGTTCTTCCTTCTCCCGTCTACCCGCCCGTTGTTAACTTCAACCCTTTCGCCCAACCTCCTCCGGCACCTGTCTCGCCTGTTTTCGATGATGCGTTTGACCCTTACGCCGGCCGCACTGACAACAAGGCCTCAGTGGCCATCACTGATCTTCTCGAAAAGCCTCACGGAAAGTCCGCAGCCTACCTCAACGAGGCTCTGGCCAAGTTCCGCAACGTCCGCCGTGCTGGTCGCGTCCCAAGATTCTTTGCTTACGCAAAGCTGATCACAGCTGCCGCTAAGGAGAACCAATTCAACCTCTGCCGCGACATCCTCGAGATGGCCAAGCAGGATGTTCCTTTCCTTCCTCAGTACCGCGTAGTCAGATTTGGATGGGTCTCGATCCTTGATTCCATGCTCTCGGCCTGCCTCAATGTAGGTCGTCGCGACCTTGCTGCTCAGTACCACCAAGACTTGCTTGACATGGGAGCTTCTCCTTCTGCCAACACCTACGGCCTGTACATCACCACTCTCAAGGAGAACACCAAGACCTTTGACGAAGCCACCGAAGCAGTCAGAATATTCTTGCGTGCCAAGGCTGAGGGTGTCGAGCCTACCTCCTTCCTCTACAACGCATTGATCGGCAAGCTTGGCAAGGCCCGTAGAATCGATGACTGTCTGTTCTACTTTGCTGAGATGCGCAACCTCGGTATTCGTCCTACCTCTGTCACCTATGGGACTATCGTCAATGCTCTTTGCCGTGTCAGTGACGAGAAGTTCGCTGAGGAGATCTTTGAGGAAATGGAGGCCTGTGCCAACTACAAGCCTCGTCCTGCACCTTACCACAGCTTGATGCAGTACTTCTTGACTACCAAGCGCGACCGCAGCAAGGTGCTAAGCTACTACGAGCGCATGCGTGCTAAGGGTATTCAGCCTACCATGCACACTTACAAGCTTCTCATTGACACCCATGCCACTCTTGAGCCTCTAAACATGGCTGGAGCAGAGACTGTTCTCGCAGAGATGCGTGCTGCAGGCGAGAAGCCCGAGGCTGTTCACTATGCTGCTCTCATCCACGCCAAGGGCTGCGTACAACAAGATATGGCTGGTGCTCGTGCTCTCTTCGACACCATTGCCTCGGATTCAACCGTCAAGCTTCAGCCTTGTGTATATCAAGCCATGTTTGAGTCTCTTGTTGCAAACCGTCAAGTCGCTGATGCCGAGCCTTTGCTCGCTCACATGGCGTCTCGTAGAGTCGAGATGACTCCTTACATCGCCAACGCACTGATTCACGGTTGGGCACTGGAGAAGGACATTGTGCGTGCTCGCCAAGCCTTTGACCGTGTCAACTTTGCCGACCGCGAGCCTAGCACATACGAGGCTATGGTTCGTGCTCACCTTGCTGTCGAGGACCGCGAGGGTGCGCAAGCCGCTGTTGGCGAGGCGCTCAGTAGAGGATACCCTGCTGCTGTTGCCAACAAGATTGTCGAGCTCATCAGTGGTGGCAGACAATAAAGTCTGATGTTCTCTCAATACACCTCTGCAAATCTTTCACTTCAAAAATTTTTCCCTTTTGCGTCTTTTTGGAGCGAAACATTTACGAGGAACACGAATATGGGATGGTATGGGATGGCGTCTGTGGTTTTGTGCGCTCAAAGCATGGCGTCTGGGATGCGTGGGTGGGTGGCTATTGAGTTTCTTGCGGTGCTGGCATTTGTACAAGATATCCGAAGAGTAAAGGCGGACAGAAAAGTGTCTTTGCCCCTCTTCATGCGTTTTGTTGTTTTTATTCTTCTATATACATCTCCTCTCTGCTGGGTCGTTGATGCCATACACTCTGAAAGAATTTGGGTATGTGGTTAGATCTGGGGCGTGCTCTTCCACGAGCATAATCCAAAAGAAAGATTCTTTCTAACTTGACTGTATCTTCCTCTCTGCCATCGCGAGTGACTGCGTTCTATCTGACTGGTATCGAACACTCCGAACGCAACGATATGCAAAATTTCATGCTACTCCCTTTAAGCTCTCCCTGCCTTAACCTCTTCCTCCCCCGCTCTGCTCAAACCCTCAATCCAACAAAAATCTCACAAACGCCCTCGCGATAACCTCACCACCATGCGTTTCTTCGACTCTCTTGATTCCGTCTTCATAAATCTCATCTTTGAACACACCGGCATCGTGTCTAGCACCCAAGATATGCGTTACCATTTCCGCATTGAATTCTGGATGTCCTTGAACGGTGATTAAGCGGTTTTTGGCGTACATGCCTTGGTTCTCGCAGCGGGTTGTGTGGGCTAGGGGTAAGATGTCGGAGGGGTAGGTGTAGACCATGTCTTGGTGCATTTGGTGTATGCTCTGTTTTTTTTTGGGAGTCAGTCGTGCCACAGTGGGAAAGGTAAAGCAGGGGAGTTAGTTTGACACGCACCAGACTCTCCACGCCAAAGACTTGTTTACCCACAGAAGTGAGTTCGAGGGGTGTCACGCTGACTTCCCAGCCTTGATTGCCTCTGGCGACTTTGGCGCCCAGAGCACGGCCCACGATCTGATGGCCGAAACAGATACCCAGGACGCGGATGCGGGATTGAGTATCCAGAATCTTCTTTGTGAAGTCGACGAGTTTGAGGATCCAAGGGTCGTTGTCGAAGGAATTGTGTTCTGTAAGGAAAAGAGGAAAAGAGTTAGTTATGGCTTTCTTTTCTTACTTCGATTGGCAATAACATAGGGCCTTCTCTTTTTCTCGTGTTTCCTCTATCTCTTTTGAAAGAACGATTTCCACAATCTTCCCTCAAGAAACGCAAACGATTCAAAGTTTTCAGAAAAATACTTACTGCTTCCAGTCATCAGGATCGCATCTACCTTGCTCAAATCTTCGGGATATTCTTGCTTGCTGACGACGTCGTAGTTTGTACATTCCACCTTTACTTCCTCGGCACCCTCGGCAGTTACTTCCGCACTGGCTTGTTGCAGCAGTGCAGTGAAGATGTCGCCATAGCTGCCGTATTTGTCGAGGACTTTGTCGAGCGGTGTATCGCATTCGAGGATGGCTATGCGGAGGGTAGGCATTGTTTTTGTTGTCGTTGTTGTTTGTGCTATGGTGTGGTTTGTGAGATGCAGGGAGAGAGTGGGAGGGGAGGTCAATGGAGTTTCGTAGGTGAGGTGATTCAAAGGATCCCGATGTGTTTGTCTCTCAAAGGGCGTGGGTGTTGCGATTGCTCATAGGTCGGGTAGTATGTCGTCGTGGTAGTGGCCAATGCACGATTGGTGATCCACTCTCCGACGTCGCGAATCCTTATCTTTGGAGTGTGTTGGCATCGCGAAGGCATCAGAGACCATCCGTCACATTTGACTATGACACTCACGAACAAAAAGCTCTCTTTCCAAAGCAAAGACGACAAGTTGGTCAGGAGCAAAATCTTATCACTCTGGTTTCATTATTGTCCTTGTACATGAGACGACTGATCGAGCTTTTTTCCTTCCCATGTATTCTTTTGTAAACAGCAAATGCATTCCAGCCCATAGATTCGTAGGGACATACTGTACATCTTCCCTACGCTAACATCTCCTCAAAACTTGTACTTCGAACCCGATGCTTCGATCTGCGAGCCACGTTCAATGTCGCGATCTGAAGGTGGGTGCTGGTCAAAGCTGTACTTGACATCACCACGCTCGAGGTCAGAGCCAGCATCGAAACTCGACTGAGACTCGCGCGAGCTGTTGCTGGGTCGACGCTTCTTTTGCAGCTTGCGGCTTTGGCGTCTCTCGGTGCTGTCGAAACTTGCGGACCGCGCTCGCGCGTGCTGGCTGCCCTGTCCTGATTCTTTGGCTGCAGCTTCTGCTTCCAGTGTTCCTGGTTTGAGTACGGCGAAGCCAGAGTTCACTGCGCGTAGCACAGTCGGATCTGGGCGTGTGTACGAGACTCCTGAGCCTCGACGGGACTTGGACTCCGACGCAGGTGTCTTTGGCTCGGGGAAATCGACCTCGGGGTGCTTCTCTGACACAGGAGTAGTGAAAGGAGTAAGTGTGTTGTGAGAGCTGGACGATCCAGGCGGTGGAGGCGTTTGTGAGCGCGGAAGAGAAAAATTGTGGACTTCGCCTGTGGCCATAGGTGATGAAGACCAGTCGCCTGAGGTGCCAGTGCGGCGACTTCTAGGTACCAGACGTCCTGTCTCGGCTACTTGCGACATACGGTGAGTTTGAAGGGCATCGTCAAAGGCTGGGTTACCGCGTGAGTGGATAGGAGGTGGTCTTGCAAAATCTAGATATGACGCTGGCAGTTCGTTGCTTCCACTGCTGCCACCTCTCGATGAGCCCGAGGAAGAGCTATGATAGCTCACGACTCTGGCAGGATCTATGGATTACTATCAGCATTGAGTTCACAGATCTAGGGACGTGCTACGTACCGGTCGGCATGCCAGTAGGAACTCTAGTCTCAAGAGTATGAGCATTGCGGAAGTGCTTGGAGCTACTGCCTTCGTATCTCTGATACGAGTGTGGCGGGTAGCGGCGAGAGGCCGAAGCAGCAGGCTCAGGAGAAGATGGTGGATTACTTCCAATGCTACCACCGGATATGGAGCGATCCATAGACAGCGTCTGACTTGGTTCTCTCGACGAAGAGGCGATCGGCGAGGTCTCTGTGCCATTGTTCGTGAGAGTCATGCCGACATCAGTCATCGAGCCTTGTCGGCTCTGTTGTGAAATGGCTCTGTAAGCTGACAAAGAGCTTGAAGAAGGCTCACGTATACTCGCAGCTGGTGTGTTGTTGCGAGAGATCCACACTCCGTCAACTTCGATACCGCTTTCGATTGCTCGGATACCAAAGGGGATACTTGGTCCGTCGTCCATCAGACGTTTCTTCTGGACCATGGCCTCTTTGCCGGCCTTTTCTTTTTGCTTTTGCTTCTGCTTTTTCGGACCTTTGCGCATACTCAAGCTGCGGATGATACTCTTCTCACGGTTGATTGGCTGAGGACCAGCCTTTTCATATTGACGCAGTTTGCGGTGTGTATACCACAGCTTGAGACAGCCGGCAAGGATAGTGAGGACCTGTGATTTGTGTGAGCAATTTTTGCTAGTCAGTCAGAAGCGTGATACCACGTACAATGAGGCAGGCGAGAACCTATCACATGTTAGTCAAAGCTCAGCATTGATGTTCGTAGCACATACAAAGGTCATCTTCTCCCATAGCGCCCAACCGACGAAGAACACTTTGCCCATCTTGGAGACGTTCGTTCAAGCTTTGAAACAGAAAGGGTGGAAGCGAGTGATCAGAGAGGAAAGGAAGAAATTTAGGATAAATAGATGGGCGGATGTCGTGAATAATTATTCGGGTGCCAGGGTTTGTATTGTCGTTTGACTCGATAGGAAGGCGCGAGAATGTTTAGGATGGCGATTTTCTCTTTTGAGAGATCCAGTCTTTCAAGATCGCGGCCGGCCACAGATAGGACGAAGAAAGAAGAAAATAAAGTCGGCTTAACGAAAGGACGACGGTGGATTATTTGATAGGCGCGAGGCACGTCATTCCACGGCTACACACAGCATGGTTTGGGCCTGCTTTTAAAGGCAAGGAAAGAAGAGCACATCCAATGAGCCAGTCGGAGGGAAGAGAGGGACTATGGCCCATCATTATACATGCTACCGCTATCCTTCGCGTGCCGCTCACTTGGAAAAGGTCGTTCCGTCTCTGCTAAGAATAGAGGAGAAAAAATCAATGGGCCCTAGCAGCATCTCGGCCCATACCATACACTGGAGGTTTCCATGCGGCGCCTGTGCGAGAATGCACGTTTTCCTGGGTTGATGCGACCGACCCGTAGTCGTGCATGTGGTTGCATTCGAGTTGGCGCTTCGCTGAGTCCTGGCAAATGGATGGGTGCACAAGCTCGTCACCGCCTAGCTAGTTGGATGATCTTTTGTCCTCACATCCTGTCGGCGCAGGCGAAATTGCTCTTGATGATTGCCCCGCTCTACAAGATACCTCGCAGAGTGGTTTGCGATGCAGAAGGTTGGAGATGCTTCACATCAGACGTGAAACGTCGGGTCGTTCGGAGACTCTTGGTGAACCCGTTATCCCGCGTTTGAGAACGACGGCATGGGCGGGATCGACGCGCCATCAAGAGGCCACTGTGCTCAGTGCAGTCGGACTCACGCCGAACTGGACCAAAGGGCAAAAACGTGCGGCCTCGGAAGCAGACGTTGCAGGGTTCGAAGGACGGATAGGTGTTGATGCGATGCGAGCTTGCACAGACCCTAGCGTGTACCCGCAGTATGATCTCCAATACCAAGAATGCGATTGTTTTGTCCTTGGGACAAGCGAAGTGGAATACGTATGTCACATGCATACTTGAGAAAAAAAGGAACAGTTTAGACACATCTGGATGCCACCAAGGTTCGCTTCATCGAATATCAGTGCCGAGGGCGATGCAGGCATTGTGTGACGCTCGTAACACTCGTATCTGGTTCTCGCTTTGCATATACCAAGACTCATTTCTGGCAATAATACCAAGACCACCAGACGGATTTGCACCACAGGCGTTGTATCGCGTTGCAAGATCATTTCCCGACTGTCGTGTCATCGAAGACTCTGACTCTCCGTAGTTCACGTGGTCACTTGCAGTCAGCCTCCAGGGAGTAACCATGCGGAGGTTTAGGGCGCGCTACCCTAGGGCGCCAAAGGGTTCCAGAACTAAGGAACAGTCTTCCAACCCTGGTGGATGAATCGTTTGAGCAGAATCGAGCGAGATGTTCACGCTCGGCTTTATGTCTTTGCGAGCACAGACCGAAATGGCACTCCTCCTTAGCCACCGACTTTCACGAGCCGACCCCCTCACTTCTGAGCCGGGGTAAGTCACTCATGCCTATCATTCTTGTACCTGGCATCATGTAAATTCGCTGGCTTTCTGGTATCTGCATTATCACGTCAAGCTCAAGATGGCAACATTTCTATCTGCGAAATTGTCACTGCGACAGGGCCTCAAAATTACCAACCATCGTCTCTTCCACACCACACACAGACGGGACGTAGTCAAGCCATTTTTATTAGCGGACATTGGCGAGGGGACTCGAGAATGCCAAATCATCCAATGGTTTGTACAGCCGGGCGCTCGCGTCGAGCAATTCGATAAGCTCTGCGAAGTACAGTCGGACAAGACAGCATCTGATGTAAGGTCTTCTGGAATATTTCCTCATGATCATCTGTACTGACATGTGATAGATCACATCACCATTCGATGGAGTTATCAAAAAGCTGTACTATGAGGCAGATGACATGGCTCTCGTTGGAAAGGTGAGTCCACGCGAGACTTTTCATGCGTGTACTCGCGCTGAAGTTCGTCTAGCCGTTACTGGACATTGACATTCAAAGTGAAATCTCTCCAGAAGATGAGGCACTTGTCAAAGATACCGGCGGTGAGAAAGTGCATGTTCCACAAGAACCATCGCAATATCAACCCTCACCACAAGAAGCTCGCAACGTGGAAAGGGAGGAAGTCAAAGGCCCTCTGGGCAGGACGAAGAACCATGACAAAGGACTGGCGACACCTGCTGTACGACATCTCATCAAAGAGCACAATATCAAAGTCGAAGACATTGATGGAAGCGGCAAAGATGGAAGAGTGCTGAAAGAAGACGTCCATCGCCACGTCTCGCAGGCAGCTCAGATTTCCACGCAGCAAGACTCGGCAAAGGACCAGAAGAGGGCATTGACACCTGTACAAACGGCCATGTTCAAGGCCATGACCCGGTCACTAACAATACCGCACTTCTTGTATTCGAGCACGGTCGATACTGGCAATCTCAACAGATTCCGCACAAAGATCAACAGCACACGAGAAGCCGGAGACAGGTTGACGCCGCTACCTTTTATCCTGAAGGCAGTTTCGCTGGCAATGGGCCATCATCCATTGCTCAACGCCTGGCTGGACACATCAGATACCAAGAAGCCAGAGTTGAGTTACAAGGCGGCACATGACTTTGGAATCGCGGTGGACACAGCCTCTGGCTTACTGGTCCCGGTTATCAGAAACATCGAGTCGCAAAGTGTAGCATCGATTGCAGAACAGATCAAGATCATCTCGAGCAAGGCGCGCGAAGGCAAATTGAGCGCAAAAGACCTTCAAGGAGCAACGTTCTCAGTGTCAAACATCGGATCAATCGGTGGTGGCGTTGTCGCACCGATCATAGTGGAACCTCAAGTGGCGATTGTGGGTGTTGGCAGAGCGAAGATGGTGCCAGGATTCGATGGTGAAGGGAACGTGGTCAAGAAGGAAGAGATGGTGTTGAGCTGGAGTGCGGACCACCGAGTGGTGGACGGAGCAGAGTGTGCCAGATGCGCCGAGAGGGTGAATTGGTATCTGCAGAACATGGAAGCGTGGGTGCTGGAGATGAAGTAAATCAAACTGGCAGATGACTCTGCAAGTCAAAGAATGCTTGATCCAGTCGACGGCTTCGGAGGAAAAAGACCAGAGGTGTGGCTGAGGATTTGAGAGTTGCGAGGCTGAACCCAGGGTTGATGCTTTTAATAGTGTTTCGGAGGGGCAGCCGGTGGCTTGTTGGGCGCGTCCCTGGCAATGCGAAACGAATGTGGGAAGGGGACGCGCATCGAGCATGTGGATTGTGGATACCGCTATCAAAGTGTTGCGTACTCACATCTCTGCTATCGATTTATTGTCTCTCGCTCACCTCGGTCCGTCCTCTTCAACCACATAGCGTGCTGTAGCCGTCAGACCTATTGTTTCCCTCCTGACAGATCCTTCGGTCAATCGCCCGCCCGCACCTGAAAATCCCCCGTATACACAGCCGTTGGGACACCAACCTAAAGTACAAGAAAGAGCAGGAACATACGACAACCAATGCAGCAGGAGCAGCCCTTGGAACTGCGCTGAGGCAATGGCCGACGAATCGCCCACGGTCAACAGTCGCAGGCACCGTCGCAATCAGTCGACACCGCAGACGTCCATCCAGCTACAAGACCTGGGCCCCGCTCAACATGCTCCCATATCCCAGGAACCGCCATCCCCGTCTGCCCAGCCTTCACATCGCCGTACCCTGAGCGACCGTGGCCGTAGCTTGTTTCGGCGCAATAGAGACTCGCTTTTATCACATAGCCCCGGTAGAAATCCACCACCTCCTAATCCTCGCGCTTACTCGCCCATCTCCGAGAATCCTCCCAGTCCACCAGACATCCATCGCAATCTGTCACCTCTTGCCTATGTAACCTCGCCCACTGGCCATCGCACACGAGTCGACGACCATCCCGATGAGGACGAGCGCACTCCACTGTCTCCACATGAGGGGAGTAGTTTCCAACAGGCTATGGGCTTCGCTGGCCTTAGTATAGGTGCTCCTGCTCGTCCTTCGTTGCACTCAGGTCACGGTCGCTTAGGCAGCGAGCTCAGTCTTCGCACTGTAGATGCCTCGCCTTACGATGAAGAGCCTGATGATCCAACGGGCTTCTTCCCTCATGACGAGGATATGGACACTGTGCCCTTAACAGACATGAGTCGCCTTGACGCTCACTCGCCACATCGTAATGATCGTGGCAGCTTCCAGAGTATCCGATTCCTGTCGCCATCAGTTTCGCATTCCAACAATCCAGATGTCGAATCAGGAAATCTGACTCCTTCCGGTCGTTGGAGTCGTTCGCCTGATGGTCACAGTCGCTCGCCTGCCGACAGCCGTCGTTCATTGTCGCCAATGGGAGATTCTCCGTTTCAAAGAGCGGGAGATATGATGCGCAAGATGTCGATGCGTGTTGTCAACTTGAGCAACGAGCCCGAAGTCGCTGAGCGTATGATCAGGCGCAAGTCGTCTGTAAATCATTCTTCGCGTATGTCTGAAGCTCCTGGCTTTGCTAACAACGGTGTACCTCACTCTCCCGTCAGTGAGAAGATGCCTTCACCTATGCTCCGTCCAGCCGACAAGCTCGATTCTCGTGCTCCAGATCTGAACCCATTCCGTGGCAAGTCGTTAGGCATCTTTCCGCCAGACAGCAGGTTGCGTCTTTGTTTGGCCGACTTCCTGCTTCATCCCATTACTGAGCCCTTCATCCTTGTGCTCATCGTCTTTCAAACAATTTTACTTGCTGTCGAAGCTCGCAACAACGTAAACAATGACCCGCGCTCTCAACGATTTGGAACTACCTGGATTGACATTGCTTTGCTTGCATTGTTCATCATCTACACTATCGAGATCATGATTCGAGTCATCGTATCTGGCTTCATTGTCAACCCTGTTGAATACAGTACAATTGACCGCAAGGTCGGACTCCGCACAGCTGTCATGAGAAAGGCCAACGACATGTTTGCTCTGCATCGAAAACCCTCGGTCAGGAATCTAAATCCTCTCCCACCAGCAACAGCAGGCCCCCAACCTGGTATTCTGCGCAGCTTTACCACAAACACTATGATGGAAGTGCCAGGTGGTTCAAGACAAGCTCAGTTACAACGACTAGCATTCCGAGCATTTTTGCGTCACTCTTTCAATCGACTTGATTTCCTCGCGGTATGCGCTTTTTGGATAAGCTTCGTCATTGGCATCTTCGGTGTTGAATCTCAAAAGCACGTCTTTGTCTTCCGCATGCTAAGTTGTCTTCGAATTGTACGTCTCTTAGGTATTACCAGTGGTACCTTGGTTATCTTGCGAAGTCTCAAAAAGGCTGCTCCGACTCTGCTCAATGTCGCCTTTTTAACTGGCTTCTTCTGGCTGTTATTTGCGATCATCGGAGTCCAAAGCTTCAAGTCCAGTCTTCGGCGCACATGCGTGTGGACCAATCCTGCCAATACTTCAGAAACTTATACACAATCGATGCAGTTTTGTGGCGGATACCTCTTGCCTAATGGTTCTGCAAGACCTTGGATACATCAAGACGGATCGCCTGGTGCAGATGATGCTAAAGGATTCTTCTGCCCCATCAATTCTGTCTGCACCGAGGGCGAGAATCCCTACAATGGGACCGTCAGTTTTGACAACATATTCCAGTCACTCGAGATGGTGTTTGTCGTCATGTCCTCAAACACTTTCTCGGATCTACTCTACTACCTTGCCGATAGTGACTATCTTTCCGCTGGTATATTCTTTGCTGCCGGAATTATTGTCTTCCCACTTTGGCTGGTCAACTTGTTGATTGCCGTCATTACATCTTCATTCCAGGTCATCAGAGACGAGAGCAAAGCCAGTGCCTTCACCGCGCAAGAGCAGGTCAAGCATCTCGACGCGGGAGAGGACAGTGGTGACTTCAAGCAGAAGACGAGCACGCTGAAACAGTTCGTCAATAGCACACGATGGATTTGGATTGGCGTCATCACATACGGCTTAATCGTACAATGCCTGCGTAGTGCATATATGAGCCCGGATCGGGCAGCTTTCTTGAGTAAGTCTTTCGCCTCTTTATTGATCAGTGCAAGCTAATCATATTCAAGGCTCTTCTGAGTTGGGCGTTACAATTGCCCTGGACTTCGAGATCATCCTCAGATTCATGGCAGATTGGCGCCGATTCCATAAAAGCAAGCGCAATCTCGTTGATCTTGCACTGGCTATAATCACCACAGTCATACAGATTCCGATAATCAAACACTCCGGGCAGCCATATGCGTGGTTGACGTTCTTCCAGATCATCAGAATCTACCGCGTCGTTCTCGCAGTCGAGATTACCCGTACGCTTATTGTACGTATATGTCTACATGACCTACGACTCGCAATCCACTAACGTGCTTGACAGCTCACCGTGTTGGGCGATTTCTCAGGTTTGACTAATTTGATCATGTTTGTGATGTTGCTGTGCTTCCTTGCGGCCATATTCGCTACCCAGATCTTCCGTGGACAGATTCCTGAAGACAACGATGAAGGCGAAGCTATTCGCGTTCCGTTTTTTGACATATACAACGCCTTCCTGGGTATGTATCAGATATTCTCAAGTGAGAATTGGACAGATATTATGTACGACGTTACTTCGTATAATGTTTTGTACAACAACGGTTGGATTGGTGCGGCATTCTGTATCATGTGGTTCATCCTAGCAAACTGTAAGTCTGAGACCCTTCAATTGTGTCATGCGTATAACTTGCTGATCTACCTAGTCATTGTCTTGAATATGTTTATTGCTGTCATCCAGGAAAACTTCGATGTCTCCGAAGATGAAAAGCGCTTACAGCAAGTCAAGGCATTTCTTGCCAAGCGACAAGTCAACGCCTCGTCCGGTAGTCAGGGTTCGTTGTCATTGTCAACAATCTTCAAGCTCGGCCAAGTCCGTCGACAAGACCCACTCGACTACGGATCGGCACAAACGGAAATGCTTCTCAAGGATGCAGTGGTTCGAGACTTCCTTGATGATCACGGTGTTGATCCCGATGCAAGTCTTCCCAGTACATCTGAAGGCATATCAAACGACAGTCCACCTGTGAAGTCAGGCACTTTGTCTCAACGATGGGAAAAGCTGCTCAATCGCCTCTTCAATCGCGAGCCCAATCCATTCTATTCCAATGTAGAGCTTCAGAAGGCTCACGAGGAAGTGGATACTCGTCGCATGGTCAAAGAGGTTGTGGCAGCCAATGAGAGAGTAAAGAGAGCTCAGCGCGACTACTTGAGAAAGTACCCGAACTACAATGTCTCGCTCTTCATCTTCAGGATCAACAATCCTGCTAGAAGGTTGTGCCAGAGGATTGTCGGTCCAGGTCGTGGCGGTGACCGCATAGAAGGTGTCGCACCCTACAGACCTATTTGGTATGGCTTCTCGGCGTTCATCTACGCGGCCATTGTGGCCATGGTGCTCTTGGCCTGTGTCACGACGCCTCTGTATCAGAAGGAGTATTTCAAGACACACCACTTTCAAGCGCTGAACTGGTTTGTGTACAGCGATATGGGCTTCGCGACTCTGTTCACCATCGAGTCTGTTATCCGAGTTATCGCTGATGGGTTCTACTGGACGCCTAACGCATACTATCGCAGCTCTTGGGGTATTATTGATGGCATCGTCTTGGTTACATTGTGGACAGATATCTTCACCACAATCTATAACCCAGGCGGTGGTTCAAGAGCTGTTGGTGCTTTCAAGGCGTTGAGAGCCCTCAGATTGCTCAACGTCAGTGACAATGCTAGAGATACCTTCCACTCTGTTATCGTCATGGGTGGTTGGAAAGTCGTCTCTGCAGCGTTCGTTTCGATGAGTTTGCTCATTCCATTTGCCATATACGGTCTGAACCTCTTCAATGGACGGTTCATGGAATGTAATGATGGCAACATTGTTTCATCCTTGACAGACTGTACTGGCGAATACTTCAGTTCGCCGTACGAGTGGAACGTGCTTGCACCACGTCAAGTCGCCAACCCATACTACGATTTTGATAACTTCGGATCTTCGTTGTTCATCCTCTTCCAGATCGTCTCACAAGAAGGTTGGATCGACGTCATGTGGACTGGCCAATCTATCACCGGGATTTTCACCCAGCCCAGTGCTTTCTCGTCCCAAGGAAACGCTGTGTTCTTCGTTGCTTTCAACTTGCTCGGTGCAGTCTTCGTCTTGACGCTCTTTGTTAGTGTCTTTATGCGCAACTACACGGAACAGACTGGAGTCGCTTTCTTGACAACTGAGCAGCGATCGTGGCTCGAGTTGCGGAAACTACTTCGACAGATATCACCATCCAAACGACCCTCATCTAAGGAGGTGCGGGAGACTTGGAAAGAGTGGTGCTATCGCCGAGCAGTGACAAAGAACGGCAGATGGCAGCGTAGCGTTACCGCAGTACTTGTGTTTCACCTGCTGTTACTATGCCTCGAATGGTATCCGGACAACAACCGCTGGGACAGGGCACGAGACTATATCTTCCTGGTGCTGACGCTCTTCTACATCGTCAACATTGTCATCCGCATCATTGGCCTTTCCTGGACTCGGTTCCGAAAGAGTGCTTGGGACATGTACTCGATCTTCTCAGTCTCCGGCACGTTCGTTACACTGGTCTTGCTCCTGACCAACTTCAAGAACAGAGACTACGTCCAAGTACACAAGTTGTTCCTTGTATCGATTGCATTACTCCTGATTCCTAGAAACAATCAGCTGGACCAGCTTTTCAAGACTGCGGCCGCTAGTTTCACGTCCATTGCCAATCTTGTGGCGACGTGGTTCGTCCTCTTCCTGGTATTTGCTATTGCTTTCACACAGACTTTTGGTTTGACCAGGTTCGCCGAGGGTGAAACAGATAATCAAAACTTCCGCACTGTGCCCAAAGCTCTAGTCATGCTGTTCCGGATGAGTTCTGGAGAGGGCTGGAATGAGGTGATGGCGGACTTCGCATCGGTCACCCCGCCCTATTGCACGATCGGAGACCATTACTACGATGGTGATTGTGGTAGCGGCGGGTGGGCTATGGCCTTATTCATTTCCTGGAATATCCTCAGCATGTACGTGTTTATGAATCTGTTCATTTCGCTGATTTACGAGAGTTTCTCGTACGTCTATCAACGAAGTAACGGATTGTCGGTCATCAGCAGAGAGGAGATTCGACGATTCAAGCAAGCTTGGGCAGAGTTTGACCCAAGTGGCTCGGGATACATCTCAAAAGAGAAGTTCCCCCGCTTGCTAGGAGTAAGTCCACCTTATTAACAGGTCTTGTTGATGTATACTGACCTTTACAGGAACTCTCTGGTGTCTTCGAGATGCGTATCTATGATGGCGACTTCACGGTCCGCAATATTATCGCAGACTGCACTTCTCGACCGCACCGCGCCCACCCTCTTGGCTTGGACGGCCCAAAGGATAGTCCCCAGATCGACCTCGAAAAGCTCAACGAACGTCTGGCCGAGATTCCGATCGAGGAAATCCGAAGACGCAGGAGACGTATGAACATCTTCTACGAGGAAGTACTGGTCTCAGCCGACCCTGATCGTGGTGTTGAGTTCAATTCACTCCTAATGATTCTGGCCCATTACAAAGTCATCAACGATAACAAGAGTCTGCGATTGGAAGAATTCTTGCGTCGCCGCGCTCGTTTGCAGCGTGTTGAGGAGGCTGTACGCCGTAACGTTGTCGTAGGTTTCTTTGATACTCTGTACTGGGCACGTCGCTTTAGAAAGTCACTGGAAGCCAAAAAGAGCGCACGCATGACTGTGGTACCTCAATTGGACGTTCCCGAGATCTACATTCAGGACGACGGCGAGGATGCTGCGAACACTGGTCATAGGACTCCCTCGGCTCCATCTACGCCTATCGATCATCAAACTCCCAGCTGGCTTGGTGATAGTGACTTCGGCACTCCAACGTTTACTGTCGACCCCTCGGCATCTCGACCTAATATTGATCGCAGCAACTCCATCCAAGTTTCACCGTTAGCCTCGCCAACAACACGTCCACGGACATACTCGAACGTATCGCCGTCTGATATTCCCGAAGACTGGCATTTCGCGGAAGCACTGATTGAGGGCTACAACCGGTCTAGATCACCGTCACCGTCACCTCAACATCTCGACCCCGATGCTACATCAGATGCCTACGGTGGCCTGGGCCTAGGAGCAGGTTCCAGAAGTCGTGCACAAACACTGTCTGCCACGAGTCCAGAGCCCCGCCCTCGAGCAGGCACTTTGTCCGTCGCCGGTACACCAAGCGCAGGTGTTCGTTCGCGTGCCGCTAGCTCGGTCAATCAACAGAGCGTCCTCGACGTCCTGGACACCTCGGCATGGGGCGAGAGTATCAGGCGTAGCTTCACAACTCGTGGGTCGACTGTTGGACCACACTCTGCTTCGCGGGACGCAAGCGCTGAGCCTATGCCACATATTCCTGATACACGACCTTCGACTTCGTCGCACGCAGACAGGCATGATCATGAGCACACACATGATCGATAGTCCTATCAAATACCTAATGTAGAAAGATCTGTGAATTTTCTTCTTCTGTAACTTTGCATAGCGGGGGCGTTGTTTGAGACATGAGGTCTATAGAGAGGCTGCTTTTGCCGTATGATAAACACATGTCATCCATGCCCACGTCGTACTGTTCGCTTTTGGGACGTGAATAACAAGTGATATACGGCTTGTCAGAAGAGCTCGCCTCGACTCTGCCAGGCCTCTCCAAACTTGTGACTCTTGTGCTTCTCTCATGATGGTCTGCAGCAACGTTTCCACTACAGTGCAATGAACTTCGGAGCAAACCATGCATCTACTCATACACATCTACTTATGCTCATCCACTCATGCACATCTACCCGTGCTCATCTACGGGTATCTTCTGTCAACCAGTAGCTCGATACAAAAGTTAAGATCTGATTAGGGAATAATGTATCCCCATGAACAATGTGATCAGCCACTGTCCAAGCTACTGATACGACCAATGCATTTCTTCTCCTTCATACTCATCTGCTCATTGATCCTCGTCGTCTTCCTGATCGTATTTAGAACCACCATCTGCCTCATCCTCGCTACGAACTTCGCCTCAGAATGTGCGGACACCTCCTTGATAGTTGCGGCCATGACGGATCTGGTAATCATCAGAATCCTTGAAGTCCTTATGTTGACGATCTTTAGCTCCCTGTCGTGTGAGGCAGCTGGTCTTGAGCATCGTAACACGGTTGCAGTTGGACACGCCCCCTGCGTAATCCACAATGTCGGCTAGCGTAAACACGGCGTATGATCTAGATTCGCCGGCAACTTGACAGAGGCCACGTAGTTGAGGGTCTTTGCTTGTGTCCCACGCGTATGCAACAACTAGGATCGTGGCTCGATCTTGAGACTTCGCCCATGTTGTAAAGCGTTGCCAGCTGGCCGTTAGCGTATCGACACCCTGCACGACGAGTGTACTCGGGCCTGGAAGCTGTAGAAGCCTCTCAATTCCAGTGGTGAGGATCGCTACGGTGTTGTGGGTGCCAATGTATCGATCAAGCCCTGCTTCGTTTTGCTCCTTCCGAAAACCTTTGTTCTACAGCACGGTTGGCGATTGCCGACACCTTCGCTGACTTGCAGTTGCATGCAGATATACCTTCGATGCGAACTTTAGAATAGTTGATTCCCAACTTTTTTCACACATCGGCAGCAAAGAATGTGTAATGAAACGGTCGCACTGTGGTGTAGCCAGGTGATGCGCGGTATGTCAAGACGACATCACTGATGTCCACGTTGGATAGTATATCTGGCCTGAATCACCTCTTCATGTATGACGGACTTGGCTGAACCTCATAAAGGTGGATGTATGGACTTGATGGCTGTGTTACAACCCCCTGGTGTGGTGTCAGCTGTTGCGCAAAAAGCGTAGTAAGGAGGATATATATCTACATGCACGTATCACCTCTACCGACACACTTAGTGCATGATTTGCCGATGTTTCGGGGGTTGACTTGCATGACAACCGCTTTGCTGTCTTCGGCATTCTGAGCACTACAGACTGTGTATCTCGATGGGCATCATCCTGTTTCTCGAGAATATCGTGCATGTTTATAGCTGTACCCGCTGTATACTTTTGCACGGAGGAAAGTGGTGCACGTACAAACTGTCGTGATAGATTCTGCAAACCTCGGCGCACGGAAAACAAGATCAACGTACCAAGATACCAGGCAACAGATGGAGGGAGATCTGGCAAAAAAGACAACACAAAAAGTGCAAAAAGAGATAGCTAAGCTCGGTTTCGATCCGAGGTCCTCCGGGTTGGCATGTTTATGAGCCCGGCGCGCTGCATTGAGTTAGTATGGTGGTTTGGTGTGTAGTGTGGATCATTGTTACGAACCTTCCGCTGCGCCACTCAGCTAAGTGGATGAGAATTTTCCGCCCAAATAATATATATTGCTCACACCCAATAGCACACTTCGCTATCATACGATCGATCGCTACAGAAACATACGCGTGTCATCATAACTTCGCAATGTTTGTTGTTGGCTAGGTAGGTAGAATCTGGCAGCTCCATATCCAAAATCTTTGGCGGCGTGAGTCGGATTTGGATGGACATCACGCACCTTCCTCTACGCTGTTACACGACCCTGGGATCTTGGACAGCACATCCTCGAACCATTATCAGAGGAAATGCCAGAAAAGTCTACACGTTGCAAGCAAGTACAAACAAGTAGTGTCATCGATATAAACGAGTGGTGTGAGCGTTGCAGTCGTGTCACCAGCCTCCAACTTTCCAAGCGCGTACGGACACACGCTGATGTCATGACTATGAAACGATGAACCGCGAACAAACATCGACCTTGCAGTTCCCATCTGATCCACTCTATCGACATCGTTGGAACCTCAATCATGGAACACTACAAACCTCACCATGGCTCGACATTCGAGGGCTATTACTCGAAGTTCCGGTTGCCATCTGGCGCACATCTAGCACTGATCATCTGCACAGTGCCAGGAGCTGAAACGCGACCTCACAACATCACCTTTACATATGTACCAGAAGGAGACGTGACCAAATGTTTTCAACGCGAGGTCTTTGTCGATGAACTGAAGATGGTCAAGGGAGAGGGTGACATAGCATTCGAGCAACATTGGAAGGGGGGCCACGTCAAGGTGTGGAACGATTCAACAACCGAATACAGCATCGACCATCTGGAAGACGAGGGCTTCAGCTTCAAGGGCAGAACAACCAGCCACACACCATGGATGCCCGACATGGATACGCCAGAAGGCGCACTCGTCTACCTCCCTCTCCCTCTGCATTGGCACGTGCATTCGGTGGCTTCAGACTGCGAATTCGAAATGAAAATCAACAACTACGACTTACCCGAGGAAGACAAGAAGGGTGTCGCATCCGTTCACCAAGAGAAAAACTGGGCCAACAGTTTCCCTTCGGCTCACCACTGGGTCCAAGCCCGCGACGGCGACCGCGGTATCTGCATTGCCGGCGGCGAGATCCTCGGCATGGAAGCTTACCTTCTCGGCTACCACGCCAGCGACCCCAAGTACAGTATGGCCTTCCGCCCACCCTTTGCCGTCAAAGCCGCTGGTATTGCTCCCTTCATGAGTGTCGAGCACAGCTGGGACACGCGCACCTTTGAGCTCAGCATCCAAAGTTTCACACAAAAAATTGTGATTTCAGCGAGGGCACCGATTGGTTCATTCTTCACTCTGAGCTCGCCGTTCCCTGATGGCCATCGTCTCAACTTCTTGGCGGAAAGTTTCCAGGCTTCGATCAGTGTCAAGGTGTATCATGCTGGTGTGTTGGGACCTTGGGAGTTTGTGCATGAGGACAAATTTGAACATGGCAGTTTGGAGTTTGGTGCTGGGTACTATCCTCCTGCGGGTAAGGAGGATCGCTTTTACTGAGACAGTCTGCATGTTGCTTTTCTCGTGCTGTAATGCATACCATAATGGAAAACATACTCATACCTTAGAATGAAACCCTGAGAACCAGATAACGAACATGCATCATACCCAGGGCTCAGTCTTTAGCGCGAAATATCCGCAGCCGCTTACCACAGGTCTGTGCTCACAAGCCAGGGTGCTACCCTCTACCACCATTTTCGAGGTCGATGTGCATGTTTCTCCGCGACGTGATGCCTATGTCGTCTTCAGTATAGACCCATATGTACTCATGGTAGCCTCCTATGCCTATACTGGTAGGTGAATCATTTAGGTATCTCTACCAACTGTGATGTACAAATTTGAAGAATCTGGACAACGACTTTAGCAGATGGTCCCGATCTGTGTGCAAAATCATATCGACCTTCCAAGATCATGATCAATTCTAGCACTTTCAAGGCCATCGAGCACCGACATGAGCGCTGAGCTAGACAAACTCGTCATGCATGTATCTGTATTTGGATACCAGTAGTACGTAAAGATAGATCATGTGAGCGAGCGACCGCGAGAACTTGGACAGGGTCACGTTTTGACTTGATCATTTGACTACTGACCAGCCCCACTACCCCACATGCCGAGTGGGGAGCAGTATAAGAGCAACCGACCTCCCGATCAATCAAATCAAGAACCACCTTCAAATCGAAATGCCTGAACTCAATCACGACAAACTGAACGCTACATTCGTCAGTATAGATCTCGATCCCTGCTCACAATACCGAGGAATCCAATACGGAACCATCAGCAAGAGATTTGAAGAACCAACATTGAAGACCGATTGGAATGGACAACGAGTAGATTGTCAGCAGTGGGGACCAAGATGTCCTCAAAACAAGTATGATATCGGTCATCTTCTACGAGCACCAGAAGGTGACATCTTCTACGACGAAACCGAGGACGAGTTCAAATGCTTGAATCTGGATATCACTATTCCTGCCAATACGCCGAGTGATGGGGCTCGACTGCCTGTTATGATATGGATCCATGGTGGCTCTCAGATTATCAGTTTTGGGAACGGAGCGAGCAAAGCTGGAGATACGACGAGGATTGTTGCAGAGTCAGCCATACACTCAAAGCCCATGATTGTGGTTTCTGTGCAGTACAGACTGAACATGTTTCATGTTGGAGATGGCATCGGCAACAAGAATCTTGGCTTCAAAGATCAGCAATTGGCTATTCAATGGGTGTCTCGGTATATTGCTGGATTTGGTGGCGATCCTGACGATATCACGCTTGCTGGAGAGAGTGCAGGAGCTGTTTTCGTGCATGCATTGATTGTGAGTGGAGCTCCTGTTAAGCGTGGTATTCTCATGTCTGGGTCCTTGCACATGTCGCCACCACAGCCGGAGGCAAGGGCGAAGATTATGCTCATAGACCCGGTTCTTGACAAACTAAAAGCGAAAGGATACACGTCTTTCGGAGAAGCCTCAGTACAAGCGATGCTAGAAGCACAAGCCGAGATACCTATACCATCAGTATTTCTCCAGGACGACGAATGCTTTGCAGCCTGGCAAGAAAACACAGGCAACATTCAAGAGCTGATAATCGGAGACTGCGAGTTCGAGTCAGTCCTGTGGCGTAACGGCGTGGAAGCAATGTCAGCAGAGCAGATTGTAGAATGCTTTGAAAAAGCAGACTCTTCCAGCAACAGGCTAAAGGAACTATATTACATCAACAAGTTTCGAGCACCACAATGCAGACACGGCGCATTGGACTTTATGAACGACATTCGCTTTGCATTGCCAGTACCGTTGGTCGCAAACAGATATGAGAAAGAGGGGAAGAAAGTATATAGATACTTGTTTGATCAGGCCAACCCATGGCAGCCTTCATCCCGAGCTCACCATGCAGTTGACCTACTCTACCTCTTCAATGGATTCGACATGACGATGAACCCATCAGCGGAGGAGCTCGGCAAAGAGTTGAGGAGACGCTTCATCTGGTACATCAACGGAGAAGCACCTTGGACGATACGCAAGACCATGGCATTTGGACCGTTGGGAGACACTAGAGAGATTGATGATGGAGGGGTTGCAGCTCGCAGACGCACACGACAGATGGATGAGGTGAACAAGCTAGATGCCAGCGATGTGGCTGCAGTGTTTGGAAGCCTTGCAGCTGGGAGAATCAGTCTGCACAACTAGAGTGTTTCGTAGCGTTAGTTGCAACACATCAGGCCATGAGAGGTCGCAGTACAGGTCTGCCCCGCTCTTGCTGTGCAGTGTAGCATGCGTTTGCCGAGATACAGCTGTGCTTGGCCTTGAGATCGGTGATGAGATGTTGACGACAAGGACTTCTGGAAAGCTCGTGCTGGCTCAAGACGACACGACAGAGATGTTGATCTCTATCTCTATAAACCAGTCGACATGATCAATCAACGATGTGATAGGATTACGGGCAGCTGCCACGGACGACCCTTGCTTCCACCTTTCACCTTCCACGTTCGATGACTGACACCACAGACGCATGTAAGGATGCACGTCAACGCACGTGAGTCAGCAAGCCGAGCCATCGTTTGGCGGCGGGGATGTGTTTGGACACTACAGCCTGGATCCTATGAGCCAACTGCATAGACCCAGAGTTTGCGGTCTAAGGACAGCAGAGTGACAGGATGAGATGTCGTCACGTCGTCCTGTTCCCCGCTGCCCCGCTGCTCTTGCCATCCATATACCTGTCTGGAGTGTCCTCAGCAGTGCAGAAGCCCCCCAGCCAGCATTGGACTTGGACTTGGTTGTTGTCAGCCGTCAGTCTGCTCATGAGCCGGCCTCTGCCGCAGTGTGCCCCTCACGAAAAACAGCCGCGTCTTTTCACTCAATCGGATCGGCTTGTCGCGCTCACCGAGGGTCTGTGCCAGGCGCGACTAAGCTCGGAAAAAAGCGCAAAGCGCAAACGCCAAACCACTTGACGGCTTGACTGTAGTAGATTTTCTTTCCACTCGCTTCTTGCGGCCCGAACGAACAAAGTGACGGAGCTGGCTCGCTGATTGTTCGCCTTCTCGTCTGGACTCTGGTCGTATTCTTCTCTCGCTCCAAGAAAGCCCTCTCTGCTTGCACTTGTCGTTCCAATTTCGACCGAGCTCGTTTTACGTGTGCGAAGCCAACGCCTGTCTGCCGCGTCGCATCTGGAGCCCGGCATCCAACACCGCCAACTACGAGTCCCCGACTGACGTCCTCTGTCAGCCTGCGCCTGTTCAAGTCCAAGCCTGAGTCGCTTGTCCTGGTGTATATCGTGCGGGGAGGTCAACCTTGAACCTTCCCGGACAAGTTGAGACTGCGCGACAGCTCTCAACTAATTTCTTTGGAACCGCCCAACCGGGCCCACAAGACAGCTCAGAAAGAGACGAGAGAAATCTCTGATTCTACAGCCATGTCTTTCTCATACGCACAAGCAGCCAAGGGCCGCTCTGCAGCAAAAGCATCTGGTACAGAAACGCCGTCTTCCAACTCAGTAACCGAGGATCCTCATGGTCTCACAGTCGACTCCAAGGCCGAGGCCCATGCAGGAGGAGACACATCCAGTGTCACATCTGCTAACAACAACGACGATGGCTTGTCCACACCGACCAGAGCCTCTTCCGAGTCAACATGGGACACCAAGTCGCAGAACTCGGATCGCCCCGCCAAAGCAGAAAACTCCGACTCGAAGACCGATGCAACCGAAGCCAAGGAGGAGACTCCCAAGCAACAAAAACCCAGATACCGCGAGGCTCTCATCCCGTCCGTGAACATCTGGGAGCAAAGAGCATCGACCATGACTCACACCAAGCCCACATCATCGGCACCTGTCACCACCAACGGCAAGCAGGAAAGAAAGGCCGACAAGGCAAAGAATTCAGATACAAAGAAGCCCGTTGCTAGCAGCACAAGGAATCGTGAGCAGCGTCAGACCTCGGAGGTACCCAAAGCTCGGGCAAACGGTTCAGCTCCTCCACCAACAAGCGATGTTGCATGGCCTACCATGGAGACCGCTCGCGAGGAGGAGCGCAAGAAGACTCAAGTTCAGGAGGAGAAGGCGCCAAAGGAGACCAGCACCGCACCGGCTACCAAGAAGACCGAATGGGTTAACCTCCCTTACGTGCCTACCGCTGTCTTCGAGACCACCTTGCCCACAAGGGGAGCTCCCCGTACTGCTACTCGTGGAGGCGCTCGTGGTGGAAGCAATATGACTGGCCGCACAACTTACCAGAACGGTCAGAATGGAGAAAAGTCTGCGTCAAAGCCTGTCGACGCTGCTCAGGAACAGATCGCTGCTGCGAATGCCGAGGCAGACCGCGAGTCCATGCCTCCACCGCCCAAGCCCGTCAAGGTCGAAGAACCCAAGGATGCTGCCTCGACCAATGGTGTGTCTCACGAAACCCCTGTCACCAATGGCGCCTCCAAGGGTCACACTTCAGCTCGTCGCAACAAATCCCCTCGCAAGTTCGAGCCATCCGCTCGTCGCCAGTCTGCTGCCTCGCTACACGCAGACGCTCCCAATGGAGCTCACTCAGAGGCCACAAAGACTGCCAACAAGGAGCGCTCCTTCGATAACCAGTCATCGTTCCGCGAGTCCAAGACAAGCAAGCGTGGAAGAGGTGGACACCGTGGCGGTCTTACCAACGGCCACTTTTCTGCTCAAAACTACAGCAATGGCTTCCCTGGCGATTTCACTCCTGCAGCCCCTTCCTTCCCTCCTCGTGGTGGTCATTTCCCTCAGCAGAGCCGTGGTGGCTTCCGTGGAGGCATGCGCTCCCAATCCATACCTTTCGACTATGGCCGTGGCCAGTACCCTGGCTACCCCATGATGGTTCCTCAAGGCTTCGCACCTGAATTCTATGGTGGTTACATGCCACCCGTCCCTGCTTACCAGCCCGGAGCTGAGCAGATGTACATGGTTCCCGCAATCTCACAGCAAATCGAGTACTACTTCTCCCTGGATAACCTGGTCAAGGACACTTTCTTCCGCAAACACATGGACTCCCAAGGATTTGTCTTCCTGACATTCGTTGCTGACTTCAACAGATTGAAGTCTTTGACCACCGACTACGAGCTGTTGAAGTATGTATGCCTTAACTCGCCAAACATCGAACTCCGTACCGGCCAAGATGGAAAGGATCGTCTACGAAAGGCTGGCGACTGGGAGATGTGGGTTCTGCCCATGGCTGAGCGCGACCCCTCTGCTCAGAATGACGGCCCAGTGTCGTTTGAGCGTCCTGCTGTTCCTCACATTGGAATGGCTGCACCCTTCTTCCCTGGTGGCATGGAGCAGTTCGCCGAGAATGCTGGATTTGAAGAGTTCAGAGGCCGTCAAGCCAAGTCGCCTCACCGCGAGAATGGCATGTCGCCCATGGGCAGCTACTTCATTCCCGCTGAGGACATGGGTGGTGAGCCAGACAACTTCCCTAGCACACAAATTGACAACCTGACCGTCGTCGTCCGCAAGCATGAGGAGACTCCTCGTCGTGCTCCGTACCATACCGCAGGAACCAGGACCTTTTCCGATGGATCTATTGACTCAAAGAACATCTACGAAGAAGTCCAGAAGACCAATGTCCCTGAAAGCAAGCCTCCTACCAGCCAGCCCGAACAGCAGGTCGCTACCAACGGCGATGCCGCTGCTGTCGACGGTCCTGCAGTAACTCTGTTCTGGGTCAAGGATCAGAACTCACCTGTCGAGACCCTTCCCGAGGACACCACGCACGAGATGTACAGCCACCTTCGCGGCAAGGCCCTGTCGCAGCGTGAAGTTGCAGCCACAGGCACCTGCCCTTACGACATGGACGTTCTTTACCAGTTCTGGTCGCACTTCCTGATCCGCAACTTCAACTCGAGCATGTACGCCGAGTTCCGTCACCTTGCCTTTGCCGACGCTGCTCAGCGTCACAACTCTACCGGCATTGCCAACCTTATCAAGTACTATAGCGAGGCTTTGGCCAGCCAGATCCCCATCCGCGAGCATGTGGGACGTCACTTCATCGAGCTTCTTCAGTCCGAGAAGGCCGGTGGTGAGCGCATTGCTTTCGGCCAGCTTCGCGAGTCGTGGCGAAGCTCTTCATTCAACGTCAGTAACCGCAAGAAGTTTGGTGAGATGATCGACGCAGACCTCAAGGCGGAGCTTGAGGCATAATTTCATTATTACTTTGACTGTTTTTTTGTTTTTCGAAAAAGTCACATATGCTATGGGCGTTACTCAGGGCGTTTTTATTTCAAGCATGGGACAAAAGCCGGTGATAGATTATCTTCCAGCATGGGCGGGCAAAAAGGCGCATCTTTGTGCTTCACCAAAAGCAACGTTTAGCTGCAGGGATGGGTAGGGAGACGGGGGTTCTTGATTGCTTTCTTTGCACACACACGCCGACATGGTAAAATTGTCCTGGTTATGGATTCTTTTCTTTCTTTTCTCTTTACTTTTCCTTGATGCCTTTCCTTCTCAATTCTTCTCTTTTCTTGATTTTGATGTGGTTGAAGTTTGCCCCGTTGCATTTGGGCAAGATTGCTGTTGGCAGGATTAGAAGGTGGATGATGGGGCAGAAAAGCTATGTTTATGATTTGTAAATACCCGAAACCCTTCGCTCATTGAATGATCCAAACATGATTACAGTAAGGAAGTGAAGTTAAGACTGACAGCAAGCAAAGCCTGAGAGACCCGAGATAAGATTAGATGATCGCGTCTTTCCGAGTCGCCACCCGTCTGCGCCACCTCTCCCCGCATCCTGCCCTGACTACTTAGGCAGCTGCTATCCTGCACCTTTCTCTTCTGGTCACTCCTACTGCTCGACGAATCACATTCATCATGCCACCCATAGCGGGATACTGGCATAGCCTCTTGACGAGGCATGCCAAAACATGGAAGGCAGTTGCCAAACAAGTCCAGAAGGCTGTCCAGAGCAAAGTAGCCCAGCCGGCACGCGCTGAACTCCAGCCTGTCCTGGCCCGCAGCTCTGCAAGACAGCCACTTCACCCTGCTGCTCGCATCAGACAGCAACAAAGCCGTTGGTTCAGCAGCTCCTCACGCTCCACCTTCAAGGACACTGTTCGTCGCTTCGCATCGATTGCCGAGCAATCCTCTGGACACCAGTACAAGCGCAGCTCTCTGCCCAAGTCTAGCGTTGGCAATGCTGTCATCTGTCATTCTGGCCGCGCTCCTTTCGCTTCCACTCTGAGACCCAACCTCACCGGAGGCACCCTAGGACGCACATCTGGAGGCTACTCGCTCGGAGGCGGTCGCGTTGGAGGCCAGAGATACTTCTCTCACGGCCCCGCCAGCCAAGCACAAGTCGTCCAGAACGTCTCTCAGGCTGTCCGTGCCTTTTTCGTATCTGGAAACAAGGCTCAATTCAATGGCGTCAACCCTCGTGGAGAGAAGTCGTACAAGACTGTTACCATCACTCAGCACGACACCGCCAAGAAGCTGCATTCGCTCCCCAAGCAGACCCCTGGCTCCTACATCTCTTTCCCTATCAACCCCACCATCACCGCCTTGACTTCTCTTGAGGCTGTTGCCGGTTACGCCGATACCGAGCACGTCAACTCCGACGGTCTCCTCGATGGTCTCACCGTCGATTTCTCCCGCTCACTAAAGGATCTGGCCGCTGTCCTCAGCGACCTCAACAAGCTCTCGACCCTAGGAGACTTGCCCATCACATACGAAGGCTCATCACTCCGCATCCATTTCCCCGGTTGCGATGCCGATACCGTCGACAGATTACGCGACGAGCTACAAATCCAGCGTGGCATCACTGCCCAAGACGAAGACTTTGACGACTACGTCGGCTCTGAGATTGCCCTGCTCTTCCCCTTTGCCCCGAGCGCACAGGAATCCGAGTCTGGCAGCGAGTTCTACGAATCGCCATCGAGGAGTTATACCAAGCCCATCGACTGGCAAACGATGATCACACCCTCAGAAAGCAGTGTCGCCTGCGATCTGGCAATCAAATCAGATACGCTCTCAGAACTGGACTTTGAATTCGATAGCCCGGGTGTGGCTTCAGACTATGAGTCTCTGCATTATTCTAGTTCCGGCGAACAAGAAGATACGCAGAGTCCGCTCGAGTATCAGAATTTCGAGGGGATCTATAGGTTTATTGAACAGTGTGATTCGCATCGACACTGATTGATGGATGCTGTGGTTTCTCTCTCTTTCTCCTCTCCTCTTGCTTCAGATTGTAACGATACGATACCCTTGGCGTTTTTGGTCATATTGCTTTTTTCCCCTCTTCTCATACCTGAGAGGCATTCCTACGTAGCATTTTGTTATCATCGAATACAAAATATATATCTCATCGATTCTACTGCCCCGTGTCCATTTGCGACAAGAAATCCACACGGATGAAACGGTTCTTTGTCCTGCATGTCTTGCCTCGATCAGAGTTTCAGATTCGGCCACACGGGGGCATTTTTACTGAGATGAACAATCTAGAGCATCAGTAAGGGCATGTGGCACCATGCAGTCAAAGGATGTGTGTGCAAGTAGACATGAATTCAATGATGTGTATAAAGCAGTTTAGTCACGCAAGTCTGATCGGTGGTTGCACCCAGTCATCAGCTTCCTCGTCAAACACATTGACCCGTCTAGTCATCGACACTTCATCATCAGGAAACCAACTCTTGTTCTGCAGCGACCCTACCCTCGCACCTTCCATTGACCGCGATTGCCGAGTCATTTGTTTCAACTCGTACACTTGATTTTGCTGCGTTCCACGCTTCAAATCACCGACCACGCTGGTAAAGTTTCCCATGTTGCTGTGATGTTTGGCATCATCGTCCATTTGGAAATATCCGCGTTCGCCGAATCTGGCGCCTGAGTAGATGGGTTTGCGTGAGGAGCTTTTTGAATTGTCGCTGGGTGATGATTCGCTATTCGTTGTGTTTGTGGCATTGCTGCGGACTTTGCCGACCATGTTCTTGAATAAAGGGCGTAGTGTAGCTAAACATGCTGCGTTGAGTCCTATAGCTGGCTCGATGAGACTGAAAACGCCTATGTTGATGGCGTCTGTGAAAAACGCAGGTCCGGTCTTCAAGCCAGGGATGTAGGCAATCCGGACGAGAGAGATGATACTGCCCACCGCGCCGAGGCTGAGTAACAGGCCAGCGGATATCTTTGCAGACCGTGGCATTTGAGAGTTCCAGAGTAGGAAGACGGGTAAGAACGCAAATGTCCAGTCGCTGACGGCGTTTAGAGATGCGTGAATGTAGTTCAAGGGTTGGAGTACATCGTCTTTGATGCAAATGCCGACTGCTTCTTTGATGAGAAAGTTGGTTGGAATTCCGCATTGGAAGACGGCGACGAAGGCAAAAGCGGTCGCGTAGATCGTGTAGACTGCCGTGGTTATCCAGATGACCCTTCTTTGCCATTGCCGAACGACGATTCGGAGGAAGAAGATGGCTAGACTGATCTTCAATGCGACGGTGGTCAGGATATATAAGCCCATCAGGGATATGATGTACTGAAAGCATAGTTAGCATTAATGCAAGAGACATAGCAGCTATAACAAACCTTCATCAAATAGTTGAGCAAGTCTATTTGAGCACGAATGCCTTCTTCCAGTGCTCGTTGCGGTCCGTCACCGTTCTCGATTCGCTCAATGCACATCAGGAGACTGCAACACGTTGTGGACAAGCATATTGTGAGCAGCATCGTCCAGTCATCCCAGCCAAACGAGCGTAGCAAAATGGCTCGCACATAGACCCGCAGCGCAAATGAAGTCCATGAGAAGATGAGAAAGACCACGGCTACGATCAACATGACGACTGTACGAGGCCCGATCGCAGCCACTCTCTGTGCTGCGTCTGCTACGACGTCCATGTTGGTAGTGTTGGCGGAAAAGAACAGGCAAGGAAAGAATAGAAGGTAGAATATCGCTACAAGCAGTAGGGAGAAAGCGAATGACCTACAGCCTGGATCAACGACTCCATACGATAGAGTTTGGCATAGGAAGAAACGATGGTTTCCGATATCTTTTCGAGGCTCTGATCACCTCGCTTACCGACTACGCCGCCCTTAGGGCTTGACTGTATCGGCATCTTTGAGGCTGCTTTGAGGACCATGCATGAGCCATTTGTCGATGCGACAGGCAAAAGATGCGATGGAACATATTCGGAAGAGGGCTTTTAGGTGGAGCTTGTCGACTCACTGAAAGACCTGCAGCTTATGATACCTTTGTGAGGCTGCAAGCATTGATGCACGTTCCAACACGAAGTTGGTTTGACAGTCAAGGGTCCTTTGACATAAGGAACCATTGCGTCGGGTTCATTTGTCTCCACTGTTCGTGTTTCGTCCGACCTCAGGTGACTCCAGGCTTTCAAGGCGGTAGTCCTGAAAGAGCGAGCTGCGTGCAGTGTTACAGAAAATGCCTTCGCTCAGCTTCAAAGTTGGCTAAAGCGAAGTCTTACGGATTGAGGTTGAATTCATGACAGCATAATAGCTGGCCGTCAACAACCGCAGCTGCTCAGTACACCGACGCTGGCCTTCGGCGTGATGTTCGGAAAATCGCCGTTGTTGAAGAATGCAGCATTGCAATTTAGCGACTCACCTGAGAAGCCGAGATAAATCGATCAATGTAGACAACTCTTGACTCTTCCTCAATCTCTGGGCTCATTGCATGAATGAAGGTGAAAGTGTCTGCAACTGGCCGGAGGATGAGCCCTAGTCAATGGTTGAGAAATCAATCGAAGGAGGATCTCCGAATTCATGTCGTAAAGCGAGATGGATCACTTTACTGGAAAGGCGCAATTCGGACCGGCACGCTCCTCGGGGTTGGTCTTCCGCGGCGTGATGGCGAGGCAAAGCAGATCAGCGGCGTGATGGCGAGGCAAAGCAGATCAAATTTTCATGATAGAAGACTGACGAATTATCCATATGAAAAGGCATCTCGATGTGAACGGTTGACAGCAGTTTCCTTTCTGGACATGTTTATGGATCACGTGGCAGCGTGTGGTAACCACATGTCAGACACGATCGCTCTTGCCTGTGCTTGTGGCGATTTCCCCACGTTACAAAGGCTACAATCGCGCTAGTCGCGTCTGCCCTTAAGGATGACTTGACGATAAAATGTTCGCCTCCTTCTGACATTTGGTCTTCGACAATCACGCTCCTAACACACCCTCTCTTCCCTGAAACAGACCAAGACACTACCACAATGAGTGCCGAAGGACAAGAACTCGCATCTCAGTCTGGCTACGAAGATGGCGCCGCTGGCGGGCCTGGTGCACCCACGCCACTCTCTGCTCTAGAGGTAAGATATTGCCATGTGTGTATTCCTTTGATCACGGACTAAGTAAAGTACAGGGAATGGCAGGTTTGACCAAGAGAGATATCCAACTGTTTGTCGAAGGTGGTTTCCACACTGTCGAATCAGTGGCGTACACTCCGAAGATGGTGCTTGAGCGTATCAAGGGTGTGTCGGAGCAGAAGGCGACCAAGGTTCTTGTAGAAGGTATGCTATTGTTGTTTCTGATCATTTGCGCCGTTGCTAATACAGCTCCTAGCCGCAAAACTTGTGCCTATGGGCTTCACGACCGCCACCGAGATGCACGCACGTCGCAGTGAACTCATTTCTATCACGACTGGTTCCAAGCAGCTCGACACGTTACTCGCAGGAGGAATTGAAACAGGATCCATCACCGAAGTCTTTGGTGAATTCAGAACGGGAAAGAGTCAGCTGTGCCATACTCTGGCAGTGACGTGCCAGCTACCCTTCGACATGGGTGGTGGTGAGGGAAAGTGCCTCTACATCGACACCGAAGGTACTTTCAGACCGGTTCGTCTGCTTGCAGTGGCGCAAAGATACGGGCTTTCAGGGGAAGAAGTTCTCGACAATGTCGCATACGCGCGCGCATACAATTCGGAGCATCAGCTTGATCTACTCAACCAGGCGGCACAAATGATGACCGAAACACGCTTCTCGCTCTTGATTGTCGACTCGGCAACAGCACTTTACCGCACCGACTTCTCAGGACGTGGCGAGCTGTCGTCAAGACAGACACATCTGGCAAAGTTCATGCGCACACTGCAGCGCCTGGCAGACGAGTTTGGTATTGCAGTGCTTATCACCAACCAGGTAGTGGCACAGGTAGATGGTGGACCAAGTGCCATGTTCAACCCGGACCCGAAGAAGCCTATTGGTGGAAACATTATCGCACACGCCAGTACAACACGTCTCAGTTTGAAGAAGGGTCGTGGCGAGACCAGAATATGCAAGATCTACGACAGCCCCTGCTTACCCGAGAGCGACGCCATGTTCGCCATCAAGGAGGACGGCATCGGCGACCCTAGCCCCAAGGATCTCGACAACAACTAGGCGACGGAAAGAAGACAGTGTACATGAGGGACGAGGATATTGCTTTTGAGCTTGCTTTTTTGTTTCAAGATACCAGGAGGCTGGGAATAATGGTGTTGCATTTTTGGCTTGGCGTTAGCAGGACGAGCATTTGCGGCATGACAAGATAAAGGTCTGGACGATGGCTCGGAGTTACGCAGAGTAGCTGAGTGACAGCACAGAAAAATTACAATGTTTTTCTTCTATCAAAGTCAGTTTCGACCAGATGTGTGTCTGGTGCAAGTGAAGCGATGATGGACGAGTGAAAGTTGGTCTCGGTCCCATGCAAAAGCCGGGGCAGCTCCAGTCGCGGAAGTTTGGAAGTTTGGTCTTCTTCAGTGGCAGCTCGGCGCGCCATCATCACAGCAAACGCGCATCGAATTTCTTCCGTCGACCAGCGACAATCTCAGGTCGACATTACATGGAGATACAATGGCATTGACCGTGACAGCTCCACTGGCGCCCTGTCTGTACACCGAGGCCTGCCTGAACATCGAGCCTACTTACGCCAACTCGACCCTACACATTCCTACCGAAGGCCCATCCTCGTTCTTTTCGCGCAAACGTCCAAGGGCCGATGACATCCTAGCCGACGCCGATGAAGATGCATACGCGAAACGTCACCTGGCCACCGAGTCCTCCATCTTCTTCCGTCGCCAGAACAGGAACCCGCGATGCTTCCTCTGGCGCGTGCTCGAGGAGGGCAAGCTGCTACACATTCAGAGTGTCGACCTGATCCAAGCCCGCAGAAACACCCAAGAAAGCGTCATCACCTTCGCTCTGAGCTTCAGCAACCCCATCAGGGCCAATGGAGTCGCCTTCGCCGATGCTGTCGAGCGCGACGCCCTCGAAGTCTTCGTCCTGACCACCAGCAACGAACTCTTTACCTTCACCCTGCGCAAAGACCTCCTCCTTCGTGGCTCGCTGCCCTCGCCTGCCGAGTTCGATCCCACCAGCTGTTTCAAGGTCTACCAGTCGCCTTCTTTCAGCTTCCGAGTACCTTACAAGCTCGTCGCTCTTAGTTCGATGGACTTGCTCGTTTCCCTCGGCGATGGTGGCCTGTTGCGCCTCACAAGAAACGTCGGACAGGGCCAAGGATCGTGGCATGAGACTTCATTCAGCGAACCTGGCTGGGGATCATCCTTCAAGACCTTCTTCTCTATGAGAAGTAATCCCATAAAAATAAACGGCCTGGACCTCGAGCCCTCAACCGCCGCTGCTATTGCCTTATCCCCGGATACAGCTCATGTTTTTACCGTGTGCCTGAACCATACTCTGAAAGCATGGAATACACAAACCGGAAAGCTGGGTGTCCAGACCGACCTTCTCAATGAGAACAATAGGGATTTGCAATCTGCCTCATCCCAATTTGTGATGAACACTGCTCCAGGAACTCTTCTCAAGCTTCTTCAAGTCGACGGTAGTCCCGACGGCGACATGTACTACGCTGTCACGAACTCTCCAAAAGATCACCAGTTCAAGTTCTGGGCAATCATGGATGCTGATGATATCGAGTTTGGCATCCGTGACGTTCAACCAGACACTCAACTCATCCCTCCTCTTGACGAGCTGATGAACACAAACGCCTGGCAACTTGTTGAGTACCACGTTCGTCCATCTAAAGGCTGGCGCAACACTCAACTGTGGATCCGTGTCAGATCTGGTACTGTCTGCAAGATCTTCACTTTAACCTTCGATCTGCTTTGTGGACCTGAGGATCTCGAAGATGCATGGCGCAACAACTGGGCCTTTGTCGACGATGGTTCTCTGACCATTGAGGCTCTAATGGAAGACCCCTCATTTCCAGGCGATGCTGATATTCAGCTCAGGGTAGAAGATTGTTCCAGTCTCAGCGATCAATGGCTGGACTTCTTCTTTTATCCCGGCAGGTTCAGCGTGTCTATGCTTGAAAGCGCTTTGCACATCTACAAGAAAGGCTTGAAACTCTCAACTGATTCATCTCGATCGATCAAGGAGATTCCACTCAAGGGGAGAATCTGCGATGCGATTGCCGCCAAAATCAGTGTCGATCAAGATTCTGAGGGTCACTTAGATTTCGACAGGTACCAGTCCGAGATCGCTGCGCAATGGCACGTCTTCTTTGGTCTAGTTCGACACCTTCACACTAGACGTGGTGAATCTCTCTCTTTGGCATTCGACATGGAAACAGACCTTGCTTGGTCAATCAGAGCAGATCAAGTCGGCCCCGTCAGGCAATGTTCCGAAGTTGAAGTCATGAATCTCAACAGGGATGTTTTCCTTACTCAAGAAGACTCCTTCATCGTCAACTCCATGCCCCTTGCTGACCATCTGACCGACGAGACTAGCGTGCACATTGGCCGTCTTCTTGCTGGTGCGAGAACTTTCAGAAGAGGACTTTCTTCAGAATTTCAGACTGTCTTTGAAACGGCGAGTGCCGAAGATGCTCTCAAGATTGGCGCCAACGACACGACACCAAATGGGACCCAGGATAAACACCTCGGAGACTTGCGGCAGCTCTACGAACTCTGTGCCCTCCACACTGAAGTTTCGGATGAGGATTTCAACCAACTAACAGAGTCGATGCAAGAACTTGGTGGACTTGGTGACTTGGACAATGAGCTGTTTTACGCTGCTGTCGAACGCCTCGCTGAGCCCGAACAAGGTGGTGAAGGAGACCAAGCACTTACCCGCTACGGCGACAAGGCAACGATACGCGGCGCTCAGGACACGCTTACCTTGACAAGAGATATCATTCTTGACCTCCTCGCTTTGGTAGTCTTTATGGCTGGTGATCTCGAGGAGGAGGAACTTTCGCCTAGTTTCAGGCCTTCGGAGTTGTACGAGCAGCTGGTTGTGAAGCTCAAGGAACACAATGTTCTGTTGTGGCTTGCTAGCAATGTGCGAGAGGAACCAACGAAGAAGGCTAAGGATGCCCTCGACAGCCCCGTCTCCAAATCTAACAAATCACAGTACCATCCCACTCTGACGGTGCTTGAAAGCATCTTCATCGGGGACTGGCATAGCTTGCGATTCCCAGCTTCGGAAACTCTACCGTTCCTCATCACTTACTGGTGCCGTGCATGGACATATGGAGCTAACATTTCCAATGCCTACAATGGTGTTGTCTGGCATGTCTTGGGCAACCTCTTGAAGCATCAGGACTACGATCTGGCCATGGACTTCCTCAAATTCGTACCTGAAGGATCCTGGGCTTCCTATCTTCGAGGAAGACTGAACCTCGCAATCGGAGAATATGCTCTGGCCGCCGAGTATTTCAGACAAGCAGCCGAGAAACTCGCTTCCGGAGAGAGGGATCAAAGGATCGATGAACTGGATACGTCAAGCTTGATCGATCCTCAGGCGCGCAACTTTTTCAACGATGGACTCCCTCGTTACTATCTGCACATTTCGTACCTATTCGAGCGCAGCCGGCTGTATTCTTACACGGCTGACTTCGCCTCGCTTGCTGCTCAGGAGTTTGCAGTGAACTTTGAGAACTTTGACGACAACTCGTTGATCGACCTAGACACACGCAAGCAGGGAATGCACGGTAGCCCTGCGGCCACAAAGGTCAACTTGGCGATGGAGGAAATCAAGCTGTTGCGGGTGCGCGAGCTGAAGGAAGACATTCTGATGCGCGTGTTCAACGCCTCGTTGCAGATCTGCCGCTACAGGCCTGCCTTGGACGCTCTGCTTGTCTTTGGAAATCCTGCGCTACGCAAAACTTCACTTCAAGCTTTGCTACAGTCGCTTATCGCCACAAACAGGATGAACACACTTCTTTCGCTTCCGTTCCCTGAATATCTTCTTCCCGAGGTTGACGATATTCTGCTGTCATTAGCACGCAAGCATCTGTCCATCTCTCCAACACCGACACCTGGTCAGCCTCAGTACCACCAAGTCATGTACACATGGCGCATCCACAACAACGACTTCCGTGGAGCTGCTGAGATATTGTTCGAGCGTCTGCAACGCCTAAGACACAGCACGGCCAAAGTGTTTGAACCAGATGATGAGACTTTGGTCGAGGCATACTTGGTTCTCATCAACACACTCGCATGCTGCGGCAAGGACGAGGGGTGGATTCTTGCAGAGAAGGTCGAAGAGGAGTACCAGCGTGGCAAGAGCGTGTCAGCCAGCCACAGCAAGAAGCGCAAGATCGTTACGCTTGAAGATGTGCGCAAGGAGTACCAGGCAGAGCTGGACCGCAGAAGCGAGATGCAGCAAGGCAGATTCGCATTGACTGCGGGAGATGAGATGGACATGTTCTAAGGCAGTGCTTTGTATTCACTTGACTGTCAAGACGGCACCAAGATTAAAGGATTTGAGGACGATAAAAGAGAAATGGGCAGGAATCTGGGCATAGCGCAGGAGTTTAGGGTGTATAGACATGTGTAAAGATAGTCGGTTGCCAACTTGTATCAAAAGAAGACTTGGACTTTGTGTGAGCTTGTCGTTGCCCTTGGTTGTGGTGAGTACGAAGACAGAGGTATGACGAAATGAGGTAGGGCTGAGCCGAAACGACCGAGGGCGAGATTGGCGTCGGTCACATCACCGGGCAACAACGACGAGCATTGAGCTGGACAGCAAGCAACCAGACGACAACATGTCCAAATCGACCTTCTGTCTCGTGTCGCTACCGACATCCATCTCGCCTTCAAATGACGCCGACGAAGCTCTGACGGCGCTGAGAGCCGTCGTGTCGACCGACAACGGCACGACGTATCCTTTCAACCTGCCCTCGTTCAAGATTGGCACACTGGACGCCCTGGTGCAGCAGGCCGACGACCTGCAGAAGCTGGAACAAGGATGCAAAGGTGTCGTCGAGAAGGTCGCCGACTCGCTGAAGAACATCCTCGAGGGCGATGAGGACAAGATGGCCGACCAGAAGAACGTCAACGACAAACCCGTCGACCACTATCTGCAGACCTTCCAATGGAACAAGGTCAAGTACCGCGCTGAGAAGCCCATTTCAGAGCTGGTCGACATGCTCCAGAAGGTTCGTGTCTTGCGTCTCTGTCCGCATCGTCGCATTTGACTAATGAGAGCATCACAGGACATTGCCAGCATAGACAACGACGTCAAGACCAAGTTCAACCAGTACAACTCTACAAAGACCTCTTTGGCCACTGCTCTGCGCTCGCGCACCGGCAACCTGTCGCAAAAGTCGCTGTCCTCTGTCGTCAACCCCAACAACCTCCTCGCGCCAGACGCCTCCGAGTACCTGCAACAACACCTGATCGCCGTGCCCAAGAACCAGGTCAAGGACTACCTGCAGAGCTACGAGTCTCTGTGTCCCATGGTGGTGCCCCGCTCGTCGCAGGAGTTGGCCAAGGATGACGAGTTTAGCTTGTTTGCTGTCACCGTCTTCAAGAAGCACAGTGCCGAGTTTGTCCACAAGGTGCGCGAGAAGCGCTGGACGCCCCGTGAGTGGAAGTTCACCGAGGGTGGGCGCGAAGCCGAGGAGAAGGAGCAGCAGAAGCTTGAAAAGGACGAGCGCCGTGTTTGGGGTGAGGCTCTCCGTCTGGGCCGCACTGGATACAGTGATGCTGTTATGGCTTGGATCCACGTTCTTGCTCTGCGTGTCTTTGTCGAGACGGTCCTGCGCTATGGTCTTCCTCTGAGCTTTGTCTGCGGTCTTGTCAAGGTAAGCAGTTTAACTACAATGCTGAGCTATACACGAGAGCTAACACGAACAACAGACGGACAAAAAGGTCGTCGAAAAGGTAAAGAAGAACCTCGACGGAGCCTACTCACACCTCGGTGGAAATGCCTTCGGTCGCGACAAGAAGGGCAGAGTGACCAAGGACGATGCTCAAACGGCCAACGAACTGCAAGCTACCGGTCACGCTGGTGGTGAAGACTACAACGCATACGTCTACTACCAGTTCGAGATTGCATGAGGCAAGCACAAAAATAGATCGATATCGTCTTCCTGCTTCCCTGCCTTAGTCTTGTTCTGGCCAGCGTTTTCTCCTCTTGTTATTTCCAATCTTTTTGTTTTTTCCTTGTCCATAGACACTCTATACCCAGCCCAAACATTGCAGGTTGTCCATACATCAAGTAGAAGTAAGACAAAACATGATCAACTTGGTGTACTTTTTAGTAAATGTCCGTTGTACATGAGGTAGCGTTATATACAAATTTTTGAGAATGCGAAAAAAGGGTATCAACGATCATCTAGCCCTGCTTGAGCAGACCCTTCTCCTCGAGGTACTTTGTGATGATGACGACAGCCTCCTCAACACTGGTGTTTGCCGAGTCGATGTGGATTTCAGGCTTCTCGGGGGCCTCGTAGGGAGCACTGATGCCGGTAAAGTCCTTGATGACACCGGCGCGGGCCTTCTTGTAGAGACCCTTGGGATCGCGCTTCTCGGCCTCTTCGACGGAAATGTCGACGTAGACTTCGATGAAGGGGAGAGGGGTCTCGGTGTTTTCGGCCTTTTCGTGGAGTTCGCGGGCGGTTTGGCGGTCAGCTTTGTAAGGAGAGATGAAGGAGGTTAGGGCGAGGGTGGACGAGTCGGCGAAGAGCTTTGCGACCTGGAGCAGTTCATGTGATCAGCTTTATTGAAACTCATGTCGACTTGAGAGTTTGGGGGAGAGAGAGAGCAAAACACACCTCTGCGATACGGCGGATGTTCTCGTTACGGCTCTTCTCGTCAAAGCCAAGGTCCTTGTTCAGGCCGAAGCGGACGTTGTCACCGTCGAGACGGTAGGCGGCGAGACCCTGCTGCAAAAGGTGCTGCTCGAGAGCAGTGGCGATGGTCGACTTGCCCGAGGCAGAGAGACCGGTGAACCAGATGGTGGCACCCTGCTGCTTGCGGAGCTCGCTACGCTCCTTGCGGGTGAGACCAGCGTGCCAGGTGATGTTGCTATATGTCAATTCAGGTCAGCATTTGAATTGCAAGAAGTAATGATTAGAACTCACGTAGACATTTTTGAAGATTGGAGATATGGTATGGAGGGGTTGGAGGAGGGGAAAAGATGTCTAGCTGTGCTACCAATATGCAAAGATTCAGGAATCGCCGATTATTACCATTGCGCATCCCCCCACCGACAACGCAAGCACGTCAACATCAACCCAAGCCACAGCATCAAGGACCAAGAGCCGCTTCGTTGCTCGAACGGGTCGGTCCGGGTGGACGCTAGCCTGCCCCTCGGGGTTGTCGTCGGCGATGGTCGGGGGAAGCTCCTTCCTATGTGGGCGCGGTTACACGAATTCATGTGAGCTCCCTTCCGAGAGCCTCAATTCTTATCGATTATCTGTTCAATTTCTGTCCTTCTGGTGACTCGAGTCCCCTCCTATAGTCAGAACAATCTACTTTGACGTCTTCTCAAGCGTCCGAATCACATCAGTCATCCGTACCTCTCCCATACTGTTGTCACTTCAAGATGTCTGCCATTCGCTCTTCTATCCGAGCTGCAACGCCGTTCTTGCGCTCTGCACGGCCTAATGCTCTGTATAGAGCACCCATTGGACCTTGTGCTTCGACTGCAAGACTACGAAGATCACCAAATCAGATCTGCCGAGTTACACCAGCGGCAGTACGATCCTATGCCTCTTCCAGCGAGCAAGCCAATGCCAAAACAAGTCTCTACGACCTTCATGTTTCTAAGGGAGCAAAGATGGTTCCTTTTGGAGGGTACATGATGCCTGTTCAATACAGCGACCTAGGCGTTGGTGAATCGCACAAGTGGACCAGAGAAAAAGCTAGTCTGTTCGACGTCAGCCACATGTAAGTTTGATCTGCTCGTATTTTTTGGACTACATCACGTCGGCCAACACAATATTTCTCCGAACCCAGGGTGCAATATCACTTCACTGGACCCGGAGCAACTGCTTTCCTAGAGAAGATCACACCCGCAGACCTGCAAGCACTACCACCTCACCAATCCACCCTCTCGGCTCTGTTGCACCCGCAAACCGGCGGTATTGTAGACGACACAATCATCACTCGCCTGGACAAAGACAAATTCTACGTCGTCACCAATGCCGGTTGCAGAGAAAAGGACGCCGCCTTCTTCACCGCAAACCTGGATGCCTGGAACAATGCAAACCAACCCCGTGTGGACAAAACCGAACTCAAGAACCAAGGCCTCGTAGCTCTGCAAGGACCTTTGTCAGCTGAAATTTTGCAAGGTGTACTCGCTCCTTCCTCGGACAATATCGATCTCAAATCCATCCACTTTGGCACTTCGAAGTTCTTGACCCTGAGATTCGCATCTGGCGAGGCTTCCTCACCCGTGCTTGCCTCTCGCGGCGGTTACACCGGCGAAGACGGTTTCGAAATCTCCATCGCACCCGAAGACACAGTCGCGGTGACCGAACTCCTCCTCAGCGCGGGTGGCCCCGAAAAGCTGCGTCTTGCGGGCTTGGGCGCCAGAGACTCACTCAGACTGGAAGCAGGCATGTGTCTCTACGGCCACGATCTCGACGACAGCACAACACCCGTGGAAGGTGCCCTAGGTTGGATCGTCGCAAAGTCCCGTCGCTCGGCTCCTCGCAACGAATTCAACGGTGCGGAAGTTATCTTGCCTCAACTGATCCCCGTAAGCAAAGGCGGAAAGGGCGTTCCCCGGCGTCGCGTGGGACTGCTCGTCGAAGGCGCCCCTGCTCGCGAAGGCGCCCAAATCGTGGATGCCGAAGGCAATGCCATCGGTGTGGTTACCAGTGGCTGTCCTTCTCCTACGCTGAAGAAGAATATCGCCATGGGATACGTCAAGGATGGTCAACACAAATCCGGCACTGAGCTGGGTGTTGTGGTCAGAGGCAAGACGAGAAAAGCCACCGTCACAAAAATGCCCTTTGTAACCAGCAAATACTGGAAAGGAGGAATTTCGCCGGCTTAAAAGATGTGTTTTTCTTTCTAGTCTGCCATGTTGATACAAATGGAAAATCAAACTTCCGGCATAGGTCTGCTGACTGATCATCTATTCTCACTCATACCCTTTATATACTGGTCAAGTCATGTCCCCATCTCCACCATGATGGTGCAATGGTCAGGCACACCCGATCCCACACTTTTTCTACAACTCTCTCGCTTTGTTCTAAACTCTTTCTCTCGCTTCTCTCAAGGATCGGGAGGTCGGCAGGTTCGAATCCTGTCCATGGTTGTACATGCTTTTTCTTTTCTTTTTTTTTTCTCACAATCCCTTGCTGAACATCGCCGCTGTTGCCCTCCTTCACAAATGTGAAAAGAGCTATCCTGTATTTCGTTTCTCCAAAACACGAAACTTTTGCAAGGCAAAAGACAAGAAATGGTAGCAAGTGAGGATAAAAACTTCGCAACTACACAAAGATAGTAGGAAGGGTGAGATATATATTTGGGACCACGGGCATCACAGCAACAATGATATTTGTTTCGCATTCTTTCATTTTTTTGATCAAATCTGCCATTTGTATAACCTTCCTCGGCCATAAGAAAGGAGCAATTTTGTTTCTAGTCGGAGCAGGTTGATTAGTTGTGTACTGTAAGTGAGAAGACAAACAGCAATGGACAAAACTCGGATTTTGAGCGATGCCGTGTTTGTTGCACTTGAAAAAAAAGAGCTCCACCAGCGCCACGCTATACCGTGCAAGAATGCAAAACCAAGAACAAAGGAGAGTAACCAGCAAAGAGGTGTGTAAGTAGTAAAAGCACACGGAGAAAGTAGACAGCGATTCTTTTGACAGAGGTCAGAGGATTGGAAAGAAAGAAGGACAGGAGACAGAGGATAGAGCACAGAGATCAAGCACTCTGTGGCAGCAGCAAAGGGGCAATGTACCTCAGATCCCAGCTTCTGGGATCGGGTCCAAGCTCGGACAATGGTCTGTCTTTGGCTCTGAGAAGATCGTATGCAGAGACGTTGGTACGTTCTATCCAAGCCGCAGCCAATTGCAATTGTGACTCGGCGGCAGGGCCTTGGGTCTCGGAGCTGTAGGCTTTGTTGTGTGTGCTCGGGATGACGACTAGGCTGCCAGTATGGCGGACCAAAGTGGCTGGGGGCAGACCACGCATGCGGAGGAGCAGATGGACGAGGTTGCTGAAGGAATCGCCCTGGGGCCAATAGTGGTTGGGTGCTTCTTCCAAGAGCCAGTCTACTGGACGGTCTGAAAGTTCGCCTGGAGAGGCGACGGGCTGATGAGAGGATTCCTCGTTGTTGTCGTTAGCCGTGGTGAGCTGGGCGTGGATGTCATCGTTCGAAGAAGGGCCAGCAGGGTCGAACGACCTGTATAGGCCTGTCATGCGCTCGACGCAGTTGAGTAAAATCACGGCGGCAAGGAAGGTAAGGAACGAGGAAGACTGTTGACGTTGCAAGAGACGGCGTTCAAGCTCGTTCATGACGAACTTGGCCTGCTTCTGACAGTACCTCTCGGCGGCGTGCTGCAGCTGTGCATAGATAACAAGATAGTCGGTAGTGTCTGGTGGGAAAGCCTTGCGATCCGAGTGATCCTTCTCTCGAGTAGCGGACGCACCTTCCTCGGCATGCTCGCCGTGAACAGCTTCCATGACCGGAGGATGGTTGGGTTCGTAGTAGATAGACCAGATGGGCTCGTTTGAGATCAGAATGTTGGTAGCAGCCCAGAGGTTAATAAGCTTCCCCAGAAGAACATCGTTGTGATCAACACTGAGCTCAGTAGCCACCTCGAGGGTGGAGCGCATGAAAGTCGAAGGCTCGCGTGAGATGCATTGCATGATGACCATGTGCAGATAGCGCTCTAAGGTAGCGGCTAACGTGTCAGGGTCACGTCTGTAATTGAGCATGAAGACGAGCGAGGGAGCTGTAGGCGGCGTCATGAGAGCAGGGAAGGTGGCGTAGATGTTTGTGTCAGGGAAAAGAGTGACCTCGATTCTGCCAGGCAATTGCATAGGCTCGACACGCTGCAGGGCAGTAAGGACGGTGTGGTGATCTTTGGCATGGAAGAGCGAAGACGAATAAAGGGTGAATTCTTCGGCGATGCGAGAGCGAATACACGCGTTCTTCCAAAGTCTTGCGCTCTCAATGTTCTGGCAGGTGCCACAAGGAGTTCCCTCGGAGCAGGGCTTCTTCAACATGCGGCAGCGGAGACAGGCGCCCTTCTTACGCACAGTCTGGACCTCCTTGCGTCTCTCCTCGGTGAATCTGCCCCGCACTTTGTTCTTGTTGGCGCGTTGGAGCAGACCAAAGCCACCATGGTTGACAGTAAAGGCTGGCGACTCAGCGTGGCTTGGCGGAATGCCATCCTGTGTTCGTTGTGGAGGTGTCTGTGAGGATGGTCGGGAGACATGCGAATTCTCGTCAGCAGACTGTGCTAGCTGGTGTGTCTGTGGTTGGCCTAGGTAGTGTGGTGCTTGCTGGGCAGACTGCTGCGGGAGTTGGTGTGATTGCTGGTGCTGCTGTGGCTGTTGCGACTGCTGAGGCTGTTGAGGTTGCTGGGACTGAGGCTGGGGCGACTGGTGAGCAGAAGTGTCGTCGAGAGAGTGGTTGACGAAAGATGAGTAGTCGTCATGCTGCTGGAGTTGGGGATCAACTGGTGGGTGTGGGGGTTGACGCTGCGGTGGAGCGACGTCTGATTCGGCTCTGCGCTTTCTCGATTTCATGGGAATGTGGTGAGCCATGTCGTTGGCTACACTGGCAGCGTGTAACAAGGGGCCGTTGTCCTTGTTCTCTTGATCCATGTGCTGTCGCAGCTGGGCTACCAGAGCCTCTTCGTGCTGCCCATTAGCCTGCAGTTGGCGGGAGACTTCGGCGAGCGCGTCCAGACCCGAGGGTTCGCGGCGTGGCATCAGAGGAACGTGTCCCTCGGACTGAGGAGTCGAGTTGTTTGAGGCCATGTAATTGTCGGCAGGCTGCCATAGAGCGCGTGAGCGGTCCTCGTCGGTGATGTTTGGGCATTTCTCGAACAAGTGGCGTGTCAGACTGTCGGGTCTACCTTTGGGGAACTGCTTGGATCAGTAAGAGTAGACGATACAGAACAGGATGAATGCTCACGACTTGACCGCATCTTTTGCAGCTGTGTTCGTATCTGTTGCTCTGGTCGGCCAGTTTGGCGCCTCTCTCGAAAAACTCGAGGATCAACGCGTTCGGCTTGCGTCCCATGGTTGCGACAGGGAGCGGCACTCCACCAGGGAGGATACAATTCGTCCTTTGGAAATTGTTGTTGACTTGATCTCGAGGTGACGCGCTAGACCGGGCGGTGAGCTAGGCGGTGAGCTGGGCGGTGAGTTGACCCTTTCCAGGCGAGTGGATGATTGATGGCAACCAGAAGATCAGCCACTAATACGATGGTAACAGAGTGTTCCGACTATGTGACAGACTATCGACCGGAAGGCAACACGTGTGCACGTCCCACCCGCTCCGGTATTTCCTCGCTTGAACTCCTCCTCTTTCTGGTCATCACAATGCACCTTCTTCTTCTGGCAACTTCTCGCCATGTGCTGGACCTTAACAATCTCACACCGCAAAGCAACAAAGTTGTGGTGTCTTGTCAGGTGTCTGGCAGGAGAGTATTGTCTGCAATTGTATGACACTGTCTAAAGCTTCGACTTTGCCTGGTCTGCCTGAGTCTGGCTCAGAGCCTGCAAGAACCCATCAGACATCTGACTTCTCTTCTCTCGTGGAGTCGCTGCCCGGAGAGCCTCAATTTGTATGTACTCGTCTTTCCATCGCTTCAGTTCCTGCAAAAGCCATCCGCTGCATTGCTCGGCTGTCTCCTCCACTCGCTCCATGGGCATTAGATGTGATCCTCCTTGCATCGTAAACTCCTTGACTCGGTCTCTTGCTACACCTCCACTGCCACCCGCACCCACTCCTGTGACCTCCAGCTTGTCTGCTTTGGCTTTGGATGTCGACAGGTCAGACTCTGTGCCGAAAATGTACAAGACCGAAGGCCGCAAGTACGGTAGAAGCTTGTAGATATGGAAACTCTCCGCCCGGTAGAATGGTGTGACCGGTGGCAGGGCGATATCAACATCCGGATGCGTTAATGGGTTGGGTGCGGTGTCTGGAGCAGGATTCAAGGGCGTAACAAAGTTGCCTCTCATAAATGTCATGACCTCCTGATGCTTCGTCGTCTTGAGCGTAACCGGTACTTCGGTCTTGCGGTCTGGGGAGATGGTACTGCCAGACACATCTGCGCCTAACGCTGGTACGGTTGTCGATACTGCGATTTCCGGGTAGAGTTTGGTTGGTAGGTCTCGTAGAGCATGTTCCATCCAGCGGTCTAGCACACGTCTATCCCAGGATCTGAACATGGGTGACTTGTCGAACGCTTTTCGTGCTACTGCACGACTCGGCCATTGGTCTCTTCTCTTTGCAGACATTCGGCCTAAATTGTAAGCGCCGAGATGAGTGGCCCGAATAACCACAGGATCAATCAGTACCAGCGTGCTCAGCAGACGAGGGTGCATCAACGACAGAGATATCAAATGTGCTCCTCCCATGCTATGCCCTACGCCAACCAGTGGCTGTGGCATCTGATCACGGAAGTGGTTGATCATCAAGAACAGGTCTCGAGGATGGTCGTTCCATGATGCTGGAAGGATCCAAGGTTAGGCTCGAGATCGTGGAAGAGTGATTACCATGAACTTACGATCATTTCCTAACTTGTTCTCATTGAGCACGCTCGACTGGCCTTGATGTGCTACATCGGCAATCCAGATGCTGCGGATCTTGATACCACTGGCTTTCATCTTCTTGTACATCTCATCCCACATGGGTTCGTAGAGTTCCTGAGTGAAGTGTCAGCAATCTTTCCATCAGTCTATGAAACGACTACGCTACCTTCGGGAAGCCGTTGGCATGTGCTGCAATAATTGTCACATCTCCCTTTTGCGGTGACAAGTTGTCAAGCGGGGTGTATTGCTTGATAGCAAGATGAAGCGTGTCTTCTTGACTATCTGCCGTTGCCAGCGGATATTCTCTGATGTACGAGCATGGCAGCGTGTGCTCACGTATTCTGAATACTGAGTTCGACATATTTGATGACCTGAATGATACACACGCAGGAAGGAGCGTAGTCTTAATGATCGAGTCGTCGAGGACTTGACCGAGGTACCCCAGGTTTGCCGAGGCGTCGGTTGAGGCTCCTTCTGCATGTCACCCTGTTCTGATCACACACATCCTCGATTTATCAACTTGTCAGAATCGATAGATGTTTAATATTTCAGCAGTATGTGATTCGAGCTAGAAGAATCATGGCTCTGAAACACTATTCGGGAAGAGTTATACATGAGTGTTTGGTTGTTCTAAAGGTACTTTCAGGGAAACACGTCTTCCCAAGCGCGTGCTCCATGTAATAAATCCAATATCTTCCGACTTTCTTCGTTCTGTTATCAAGATATCAACTTGTAGCGGAGGAAGACATGCAATGTCCCGGCCCGCTCAGGGAGACGAATGGTGCATCAACTCAAGGCACCAAACGTAGTCGCACAGACGAGACAACCTAAGTCACAAAGAAGGCTGCAAGACTGGGACCAACCACCGATGGACACAGCTTAAAATGGAGCCGTAGAGCCGACGGAAACAGTCAACCAGCAAAGGATGACCAAGAACAACGTCCCTTACCGTCGCACAACATTCACTCAGGGGTGCCAATGACACAGCAGAGAAATTCACTGCTTCATGGCTTGGTCTCGGGTCCAGATTATGGCACAGTACAAGCCGAAGGACAATCTCCACTCTTAAGCACAACATCCCCCCGTTCAACAATACCCATCGCAACATATTCCACCGTTGGACGTCCAGCCAGGGTCTGGAAGGGATACACACGAAGGAAACGAGGACGGCTCCAGCGAAGAGAGTGACGAGGATGAATCTTGTGCAGACCTCCTAGGCTTCGAGGGCAATACAGATCTTGTCGACCACATCCTCCACGTCCGATACGCAAACCTGGGGGCTCGCAGCAAATGGAAGTCACCCGCGAGGCTGCAGACGGTATCCGCGAGATGATCGAAAACATCGCTAACCAAGTTCAACCTCGCAATCCTTACTTTGTGAAACGCAGCGCCATGTTCGCACCATGCAACATCGGTATACTTGTAGCCGAGGCGGATGGGTTCCTGGGAAATAAAGTGAACAATCACTTAGCATACGATCCCGTATTCGTTGAGACTTGTCAATCACTGTACAATCGAATGACCAAGACACAGAGAAAGAGAATTGGCCGTGACTGCTTGGAGGACCTTGAGCGACTAGACAAGAAGCGAGACTTTTGCTTCGAAGGATTTGACGACATTGTGAAGCAATTTAGAGAGGCCTAATCACCGACACAAAGCGAGGAAGGTACGAGGAATGGTGAGATTGCCAGAATTGACTTGACTGCTTGGTATGATCGATATCACATTGTCTACCACACCACTGGCTATCGAGCTGCATCATTTGACTGCCATGTCAATTTTCTCTTGGCCCGGGTCCGGACTAGAAACGATTCTATCTCTGCTCTGCCGCCTTATGCCATCACAGAGAAAGAAGTAGAGACCAGTTCTCTGGTAGCTCTGAACTTTGTTCGACTTGTAATGCAAGCCGGCTCCGGCCTTTGATGGGACAAGCATTAGAACTTATCAGAATCAATGCCTTCCGAGTGTGACTTTTCAATCTAATTAGAAAGACATACATGTCAATCATCGTCCATATCTCAACGTTGGTTTCCAAGATATCACATTTCGAGGGCCTGCTTCCTTCTTCCGAGGACCCCTTGTTCCCAGCCATCTGAACGCGCAAACGTCATACCCACGTAGCTGTCCTCCCTTTTCGGATAATCTAGCAATAATTGCACGAGTTATAGACCAGACCACACTTGGCACAGGCAGGGAGATGCTGTCGACGTACGATATAGAAACTTGCCCGTACTGGTCCGAAGGCTGGGCACTTGTGTGGGTACTGGGCAGCAAAAAACAGTGACAGCCGTACCCACAACCTACACCATCATCCACAGCTCTGACTCCCGCGTTCATGTGGGAATCTAGATCGTGACTTGCTTGTTATATCCCCACCAGTGGTTCCCAATCTGCCATGTGCTGCTATTGTTCCGAACTCTCGTGAGTCAGTATTAATCATGGCTTCCTATGGTCGCGGCATCAGCCCGCTGTCACGGATAGCATTGCAGTGCATGCGAGAAAAGCCAACGGCATCCAAGTTAGCCAGCACCTCTGCTGGATCTCAGATGAGACATTCTAGACCATCAGGAGCGAAAGCCTCATCGCGAGGAAGGTTTAGCCCATTGACGGCAGATGAGCGCGTTGTTCCCGCTGTCAATGCCACGAGATTTGGAGAACCAGATTTTGAGAGACACTCTTCTTTTTGGGTCAACGCGACGCGGGATGTCTTTGAGGCCTATGACTCGTTGTGATGCTCGACGACGACATGGCATCAATTTAGCCGATGCCAAAGGCAAAATGATGACATGTCGTGAAGTTGCCGGACTCTGTTGACATCTACCAGTAGGTGCAAAGTCTAGAGAGAGCTCGCTGACTGACAGTCTCAAATTGACCTTTGATGCATAAGATGGATAGTCATACGGAGTACCCTTCGAGAAGTGGACCCTACGCGTGCTTCGCTGGTAGCTTGAGTGTTGCCCGAGTAGTGCAGCAACCAAATCAGTCTTTTGCAGCTTCAGCCACCGTTGCATTGTCTAGTGCTGTCGAGACACAATGATGGGTATCGTGGGCTCGGGGCATCGCTTCGTCGTTCTCAACACCTCCTTGAAATCGGATACTCGAGTAGTTGAGCTGCGTTTCGCGTCGCGAAACCCAAGTAAGAGTAGTGCGAAGTTCGCTGTTCCATGGCGGCGGAAACCAACGGTGAGATGATGATGGGCCCCCGGTCTGCAGGCCCTAATATGGACTACCGATGATCATTATTGCTAAAGACGAGAAGGATATTCTACCAGATCGAAGATTTGCTTGCATGTAGGGATTCCTCTAGATGCGACACCGTTGGCGAGGATTGTACTTTATGCAGATATCGACTGCATATAAGAAAGAATATAGCGAGTGAATGCGAGCGAGACCAATCAAGCATTGGTGGGATAACCTCCGTGCTCTGAAAGATTTCCAGAAACGAACACATGCAGATAGCTACCTGTTCAGCGGGTCATGGGCTTGCCAGTCCTCTTCGCTATTGAGAGACACGCACGTAGAAGAAGCAAAAAGCGGTTAGTGTCGACAAGAGCTGCAGACATAAAAGACGAGCCGCCGGAGAATTTCTCCAAGGCTACTGCAGGGACTTGCCATTTGACAGGTCTGCAGTCGACCCTCACAATCCAGGCGCGCAAGTCTATTGCTTGCTTGCTGCAACGCAAGGTGTAAACGTTTCTGCTAAAGCCTATAAGGATGTCCACGGACGAATAGCAATTGGAAAAACCAATCACTTGCATAAACAAGCTTGCATTCGTGCGGTTGCCCTTTTTTATGTGTGTGCTTTGGCCTTCGGGGATGATGAGCCGGCGCTAGTGATTAGCGCCAGAAAAGGCTCACTTCATGCTGCGAAGCAACAACATCACTGCGTTTGTCTGAAAGCCCCGAAGCCATATTCTGGTGACGACAACGCGTGGAGAAGAAGAGGAAATTGACATGTAGCGTATGAGAAACCGCGAGCTGCGATAATAAGCAGTGACGAGCAACAACCATGTCGACGAGACCGGCGCCAGTGGCGCGCAAGTCCAACAAGTCGGAATACATTGAGACGGTAAGTGCGAGCGGCATCTCTTTGCCATCGAGAAGACGGAGACTGCAAATTAGCATGCTTCCATCTACGAAAGTGTCCATATCCAATTTGCATGCATCGATTACTCGATGGGCTGCTTCCTCGTAACAAGTCACTAAAAATGGCTTTCAGGATACTGGAAACAAAATCTCTCGCAAGGCCAAAATCGAGGGCAAACCAAACATCATGCTGGGCGGCAGGACCGTGATCATGGCAGATGTCTACATGCGAGGCGACCTGCACCGCTTCTCGAGCTCCGGCGACGGTGGAGCAGCCCAACCTACCACAGCCATCAGCATTGGACGGTGAGTTTCTCCCATTCCAATCCCTCGGATTGAACCAACTGACAGTGGAAACAGATACACAGTAGTCGCTACAGGCTGCACTTTGAAGCCGCCGTCAAGAATCAGCCGCGGCCAGATGGCATACTATCCCATGCGCATCGGCGACAATGTCTTCATTGGTAAGCACACACTCGTCTCCATATAGCAAAAGCACGCAACCAGCTAACCAATGCAAAAGGCCCCAACTGCCACATCTCAGCCATTGCGATCAGTTCACACGTCTACATTGGCGCCAATGCCGTACTCAGCCCCTTTTGCATCATCAAAGACAACTGCAAGATTCTTCCTAACACGGTGGTGCCTCCCAATATGGTGGTCCCGGTTGGTAGCATCGTTGGCGGTAAGCCCGGCAGAATTATTGGAGAAGTTGGTGAGGGATGGGGTGTCGGAGGCGGAGCTTCTGGCGAGACTTGGGTCGAGGGAGGTGAACTGCGTGATCTGGTCAGGAGTATCAGATGAGAAAATACGGTGAATTGCATCTTGAAACAGAATGAGATGATGATTCCAAAATTCAAGTATCAAGCATATGGCAAGTAAAATTCCTCCAAGATGTTCTGAAATGCTCCTAGATCAAAAGCAAGGGGCTGGCACTCTCTGTGCAATGTCCCAATTTGTGCCCGAAATAATGCTTCCAGCATATGACCAACCTGTCTGACGGTTTCCCGATGTCAAGGCTTTTCCAAAAAGTGCCCCACTCTCAAGCTTCGTCCAAGTCTCCAGCCTCAAGGGCGGCGCCGCAGATTGGGTTGTCAATGCCATAGCCGCGTAGCAGAATGTCAAAGCCGGATGCCTGGAGGGCGCCAGCTTCTTCGCGGCGATCAATGAGCATGCAGCATCTGGCTGCGCCAAAACAGCTGGAGCAGTGTCAGTGAGAGACGGTACACGTTGTTTGGGCGGAACTGCCTCCGTGATGGGAACTGGACGGGGTGAACGGAAGAGATCGACGGTACAGGTGGTACAGAAAAAGAAGGTGCAATATAAGCAATACGAGGGGAGTGTCAAAGGATAGGAATGACTTACACATCAGCCAAGTCTGGGCCCAGCAAGCCTTCGTCGCTCATCAGTGTAGCCAGGTCGAGCAGATCTCCAACCGTCTGTTCGATTTGGGCGACCGACAGGTCTGCAGAACCTTGCTGTATCTGCGTCTTGACCCCTTCGACCTTGTTCATCAGCGTCTTGATGTCCCGGCGGCCAGACTCGTCACGGCCGTCGGCGCAAGCAATGCAGGTGCAGGTGAACCCCCACATACTCAGCTCAGCACGTCGCTCGGAACGCGACTTGCCCGCGCCGTTGATGTAGGCGGTGCACAGCTCATCTCCAGCGGCAATGGGTTTCACGGCCTGCACAGTCATGTATCCGGTTCTGCTGTTGTAAGCAGAGTAGACGTTTGGAATGCATGAGTGGTTGAGACGTGAGGCAGTCAGGCCGACGCCAGCAGAGTCAAGAGTGATACCGTCGTCGAGCATGTAGGAGTTAGTACGCCAGATGTTGACAACTTGAGCAGCAAGTGAATCGGTCATTTCGCAATCAACTGTATTGTCGTCTGGGGCATCCACACCGTGTTCCACATCCACGTCAATGGTTGTTGCTTGGAGAGCCTTTGTCAAATCTTCGACGTCGCAGACTGGCGAATCAATCCTGGACTCATGTACCGGTGGTTTGGATTTGGTGGCTTCGAGTTCCGACAGCTCGAGCTTGTATGGCTTTTTGAAGCTGTGATCGTCGCTGCCGCCGAGCGAATTGGGAAACCTGCAGTTGTGAATGTCAGAACCGCTGATAAGAGACTGCACGTCGGAGGCACGACTGCGACGATCAACTTACTCAGATGGCAATCCTTTTCGGCGACTGGAGGGTGTGAGAGTTCTGGGTCTGGCAATTTTGTTGCACCTTGCTCAGCCATTGACGTTTCATCAACTCTGAATTGTGTCTTTGCAGTGCACGTAGTATAGGAGCTCAAATCCAGGTATGCCGCACGCTGCTCCGGCTGTAAGTGCATGAAGCTCTCGACGATGGCTGCATTCATAGTGTCCGTCTTGGGAAGGATGAAGACTGGAATTTCCTGAATCAGACGTTCCCCAGCCATGATGTCGCGGCTTGCAAACAGGCCGAGGCCTTTGCCTTCTGCGCTACGGGTTTCAAAAGCAGGCATCTCGACGTCTTCGGTGTCGTCGGTCTCTGTGTCGTCGTCAGGAGAGTCACACTTTTGCCGGCGTTGTCTCTTGATATGCTCCTTCTTGCCGCCGCGACGTCTCTTCTTCTTCTCGGTCTGCACGACGCCCATTTGAGGAAAGAGCAGATCGGTAGCTGAGTGAATGCTAGCAATGTTCATTTCTGCTGGTTTCTGATAGGAAATTGGAGAGAGGATGATGGGAAAGGTGGAAGGAAGAAGGAGTGATACCTGGTGTGGCAAGATCTGTTTGCTTGTGTAACCACAAACGCAGAGCTTTGTAGCCAGAATTCCGTCCTTGTGTGAAAGCGGTGATACGTCTCTGCTTCCATTGACTTACATCTAAGGGTAATCGTCTTGGGGTGAAACCAGATGGACGGAACAAATTGAAGATTGACGTGTCAGAAAGTGAGAAAGTATCAGTTTGCCGCTTTGGAGTACCAAAGGCTCCCAAGTATGCAGAACAACCATCTACTTACGAATACCTTCTATGCAAGGTCATTGAGAAGTAGTAGTGGACTCGCCTACGGTCCTGTAGTGTAGCATGTCGAATGGATGGCCACTTGCTTCTGCGAGTACAGGGTCGCCACAGCGGCATCGATCTTCCACACAAATATGTCGTCAACGAAGGCGGAGTCGCTGTGCGCACATATTAATCTCGACTAACAGCCGACTGTTCATTTGAGGTATCGTTGGATGGATCTGCTGTAATGATGAATGGCATGGCATTCTGAGGTCGTGGCGCTCGCACAGCCCCCTCGCTACCATCATGAGACGCAATATAGGTACACACAACACGCGTGTTCAAACCAGAATCATTGTAAAAGTTCATTTATGCCTCATGGCCGTCAAAAGTGACATGCTTGAACCACAACATGTCATCGAGCGGCTATCCGAATTCTTCTGTCGCTCTGACCAGCATGATTCAGTGCTTTTCGACAAAGCTCCGATGTTGTCCAAGGTCCAGTGCCAAACCCGAAATCGATCTTGATTTGATCCAGATGGCAATATATGTGGAAGATTGATCTCGCACAGAGCATGCGCAGTTTGATCCTTGCGCCGACTCTTGTCGTGTTCGTGTCAGTGGACAATGAAAGTTAACAAAATTAGTTGAGGGACCAGAGGCGGGACAGAGCATATCGACACGCAGGAGCGTGCAGACGGCCTTTGCTCGATAGAATCCACAATGTCAGCCTCACCGCCACGGGTCCAGGAAATCCTTTTTCGAAGAGCAGCAACGAGTCAGTCTTATCACAGACCATTGACCTGATTATATCGAAGCTGTGTGACATGTCGGACATGTTGCCGGGGCGGTGATATTTGCATATCGTGTCGTTGTGAGCTCAAGCTGAATCTTCTCCGGCAGAACGAACACCTAAAAGTTGCAGAGGTGCGTTGTTGGTGTTGAACTTAACCTCAGACTTCAGCTTGTCAGCATATGCAGGCACTGGAGCTACACACCGATGGTGGCTTGATTCTGTGCCACGCACCAACGGGCAAGGAGCAGATCCAAAGATCTAGCGATGTTCCATAGAACTTGTGTCATCGGACGGCGTCCTATCCACAAGATTGACGTTGCATGAAGGGGTCTTCTCATTCAGCGGCTCCCCGCACGACAAGGACCCTTCCAATGTTTCGTGCGCATTGCAATATCTGCCCCTCGAGTCGGACACGATCGTGAGGAGTAAGATCAGCCTTTAGTCATCTAGTAGCTACGAGTCTTCGCACCGTCGACTCAGGCACACAAGAATAACAGCTGGAGATTGGATTCTGCTCTGAAGGTGCCGTCGGCTCTATGAACAGAATAGAATACGATGCTGGTTTCGGAAGCTAAAGTGGCGGCCGCACGCACGCAGTTTGGACCAAGACACAACGTCCGGGTGAGGCCGCTTGTGCCGCGTGAAACGGTTCTCGATCTTGAGGTGCAAATGATCTGTCTAAAGATCGCGCCCAAATATGAGACCGTCGTTGATAGCCAAAGTTAGCCAGATCTGTTGACAACAAGAATTTCCGACTGACCGAAGTTCAAGTGGAAAAAGGCTAGCTAGAACTGCTTAGGCATATCGTAATGACGATCTTGATCAAAGGATCGCACTGGGTATCTTGTCTTGGTTGTCCAAAACTTGACAGTCGGACCCTTCACAGACGTCATGAGTAACGACAAGTATCCATCGAGTGAGACAGTCGCATTCGCTAATTGTGGTCAATCAATATATCCACATTCGCTTGCTGAAGCATAGCGAGCGCAACCTCACATATTATGAGGAGGGTATTCTTCTTGAACCGAGTAATCGCGCTCCATATATCTGAGTTCATATTTCAGAGATAGCGTGCGATCATCAGATAGAGTCTCAGGCACGACTTTGATCGGGCTGTAGACCGGGAGGCGAACCTGCATGAAGACATGGAGAGATTGATTCAAAAAGATCCCTTCCTAGCGCATGGTGAGAAGCCGGGTGGACCACAGGTGGAGGCTTGGGAAGGCGAATCACCGATGCATCGTGAGCCTGTCGGTATTAGGTCTGCCGGTACTTAAGCGTTATAGGTCAATGACAGGCACACGCAGAGATCCCTCGAGCTGGCACGTCCACTGGAGATTGCTTTGTTGTTTATGTCCATCAATCGCGATCTCACACTCTATTCCCACCCAATCAATGAGATTCGATGGCCTAACTCGAAAGTTCACGGGCGCTCAGGATGGCGAGGAGCCAGGGTCTACACAGCTATGCAGCCAATGAATCGCGCAAGCCACAAAAGGCAGAGCGAGGCGAAAGCAAGCGACCGAAGCTCACGACACGTGCGCGCTTCCCTCGAAGCAGAATGACACGCCCTCTCGGTGCCGAAAATCCACCTCCTGTCCCCGTCTTGGGGCTTGCGAGCTGTTAGATTGTCTTTGCGACCGTCACGGCGTCGCTTAGCCTAGCCATCCGAGCTTGTGGTCTGGTAAGCAGACTTGACGAGACTAGTAGAATAGGGAGCTGCAGCAAAGCGCAGCTGGGCTTGGAACGCACGGAGCGTAACTGAGACAGCTGTTGGGCTGTGGGATTCGGTGACTGGTCGTCGTCAGGCTACGCCGCGACGGTGACGTCTCCTTGGACCGACGGTCGGGATGCCGTGTGCATGTAATATATCATCATCCATTGTGGTGCTAGCGTGCTGTTGCAGGTGCGGGCAGCAAGATGAGGCTTTGTCGAAATGTGGACTTGGGTTGCGAGCCGGGGCGCTGCTGCAGAGGTACAAGGGCGAGTACGGCGGCTGCGAGGCTGCGATTCGCTGTTGCTGATGGAGGGGGATCTGGCAGCAGAGCAGACTGAGATTGAAACCCGATTCCAAACCACAGATTCGATCGACTCCACGGCCCACGGGACTTGGTCGCGAGATAGCCCGAGTCACGGCCGCTAGCCGAAGCGGGCTTGAGGGCATCACGATCTAGGATAGCTAAAGTTTAGGGCCTGCAGGCGCCTGTACGCACGCACGCAGCGAGTCCGGGCATTGGCTATTGCTCTGACCAGAGGCCACCGGAGAGGCTTGTGGCCGTGGTGTCATGTTGGTGGACAAGAGACCCGACTGGAGGCGGACTGGTCGAGGGCTGCCGTATCGTAGCCGACGATGCAGGCGGCACACCAGATCACGCATCTAGCTAAGCAAGGACGATAGGGTTTGAGATCGGTGCGTTAGAGGAACGTGATGTGCATGTTGTGTGGCAGGAAGCGAACGGACGCACGCAGCGTCTGCAACCGCAAGCTCAACGGCATGGACCATGTCATGGCTGTTCGAATGTCTCGCTCTGGCGGTAGAAGGTTATGCGTTGCCTGTCCTAATCGAAAGGCAGGCCCACCAGTGGCGGCAAAAACCCTGACAAGCAAGAAGACACGAGAGCGGATGTGCCAGCGGTGGCGGCCATCCCTGTCACTTTATGCCTATGTGATCGTCGCAGACCGTGCACGCCCGTCAAGTGGTGCTAACTCAACTCAACTCGATGTTCGCTCGCATCAGTGTCAGGCACGTCTCTTAAGTCTCTTTTCCGACCAGACCAACGGCCTCCTCCCTCTTTCGCCCACAACGTAGACTCCTGCCGCAAAACTTCACCCTGCACCCATCTGTACATCACAATCACCCGCGCTCCTTCCGAACTCTCGACACCTGCTCTTCGCTCTTGCCGCACCACGTCTGTCATCCTATTTTTCGACTCGACCGCAACTGCCACATCCGGACCTCGCGCACGGAATTCTCGCTGAACGCATGGAATTGACCCCGCCGACACCAAAACTCGACTAGACTCGCACACCCAAAGGAATGAAAATCGCCATCTAAACAATTCATTACCACTCGTTCCGCCCGGTCTGCAATACCACATATCTCTATCGTCGCGGTTATCGAAAACGAACATGGAACCCAGCGACAGACAAAGGCAAGACTGGGCTCACCGGCAACCGAGTCCCGTCGAGTCTCTGGCTAACAAGCAACCCAGAGCTGCATTGCCGCCCATCAAGATGCTTGACTTTGTGAAAGCAAAGCATGAAGAGGCCGACTACCAGGCTCGTGGCACAAACATGTCCATGGCGCCTTCTGCCACGAACAGCCCCACTATCGCCTACCCTTCTGGTCCTCCGCCACCATACAGTCGTCCCTCGTACCCTGATGCTCGTCTGCCTTCGGAAATGCGTCGTACTTCAAACGAAGACCCCTCAAACCAGGCCAACAAGCAGTCGCTGCCATCTATTCATGAAGCTCTCGGCGTCGAGCAACCTGCTTCCTATTCATCCGCCACTCACAGGCCTTACTCATCTGCACCTCAGCCTGCCTACCACGCTCCGGTCACTGCCCCTTCACCTGCTTCGCCCGCCCCTGCTAGAAGGTCGTTCGCTGCCATGGACCCTCCTCCCCCACCGCAGCCCACCTTTTTCACCCATGGTCCTCGCAGCCCCCACTCTCAGCCTCATCAAGAGATCAGTCCTCGTCAAATGCCTGAGCATGATCGCCAACGTTCAGTATATGCGCCTCAACCAATTGCAACACACGCTGGCCAGTCTCCCATGAACCATCAATCGCAGCACCCTCGTTCATATCCCGCCGCTGCTTCTCACGAAAGGACCGCTTCTCACCCCCTCAGCATGCCTCCTGTCGCTCCTCCTCCGTCGGCACCTCAGCATGCTGTTCCTTATGGCTACGCTCCTGCTCCTGTCGCGGTCCCTGCTCCTGCACCTTATGCATCTCATTACGCCTATCCTCCACCGGCCCCGCACTCCGCTGCACCTACCTCATCGATATATCAACCATCAATCACCCAACCAGCTCCCCCTCAGAACAGCGACCCCGGAAGAGCCCCTTTCGGTGACTCTGTGAAACGTCATTTGGATATGTGGGACTTTGGTGAAGCCCTAAACGAGGTTTGCTTGCCCCGCAAAATCATCATATCTACGCGTCACTAATCAAAGCACCAGATCGCTGACTCCAGCAGCCATATGCTGGAATTCAGCAGACAGTGCGGTGCCCGTCTGCACCAATCCCAGAGATCAGAACCTACTCCTGGCAACTTGCCTCAGCTGCAAGAAATTGATCATTTGATGGAAAAGTCGCGCCGTCAACTCGACTGCTATGCTAAGATGCGAGAGTTTGTTATCGCTCAACAGACCGCCTACTTCCACCAGGCTCAAGAACAACAATCCAGAGCCCAGGAAGGCATGAAGCGTGATTCTGTTCACCAGAGTGAAGAGTCAAAAGCAGGCGGATTTGCCGGTGCCGAGGCCAAGAAGCGCAGAGGCGTAAGTATTTATCCTTATGAAAAATTGGTGGAATCAGAACTAACACTACTTCACAGCGTGCTGCTCCTCCAGGCAGATGTCACAGTTGTAACAGAGCCGAGACGCCCGAATGGCGTAGAGGTCCTGACGGAGCTCGCACCTTGTGCAATGCTTGTGGACTCCATTATGCCAAGCTAACCAGGAAAGCTGGGAAGAACGCAGCGGCCATCTCCAGCTCCAACCTCCGTCCAAAGGCTGACGAACCGCAAAACTGAAGTTTGCAGAGCGTAACAATCGATCGTGGACCAATGAGCCACTCAATCGACGCATCGTTTGTTTACCTTGCTCGACAAAACAGTACCGGTTGATCAATACGAAAACAATACGTCTCTTTTCGGTGTTTGCATTTTCGAACTGGTATCTACAACAATAAAAAAAAAAGCGAGAACATGTGCAGGCGTCACATGCGTGGGGCCTTATTAGAGGCCGTATCTCTCCGGGACAAGGGTCTGACCGGACAGTGCATCAACAGGTTTCTGCGAGAGGTTTTTAGACGTCTCGACTGCATATTTCGCATACGAAGGATCACGGGACACGCATACGATGGCTATTAGGCCATCCTTCACGACACTAGCATTGGGAGCACGGAGTTTTGCAGGATGCTTGCTTGGTGGGAGTTTATTTTCTGATTGCAAACTTTTTTTCATTGCGACATGGCTCAATCGGCCATGTTAGTGGCTCGACGAGCACGAGCTATTAGGCTCTCATTGGTGTTTGGCTACCAGACTGTCACATTCAGGCAGATGGTAATGGGGACGGATTGTCCATTTCTGATTCGAGTGTTTGCTACTTGAGAGACGGCGAGTGGTGGAAAGTAGAGAGTGCCACATAGTGGCACATGAATATAAGTCATGTGTTTGTACAGGCTCGCTGCATAACATGGTGAAATCTTGACAGGCGTCAGTCGCCCGATGGCAGAAAGATCAGGCATCATGCCATCATGGCCAATAGTATGAAGACGGCAGTGAGAGACGAGCGAATGGAATGCAGATGAGACTAGTCGGACGGTTCTGCATGCAGGGTTCGTTGGACATGTGTAGTGACAATTAGTAGTCGGCAGGTGCAGTTCAGTAGGTTGCTGTGGCACGCGGGATGGCTTTTGGGCGGATGGCTGCATCTGACAGGTGCGAACGTCGAGGTGCCGTGGCGCCTGCCCTGAGTTCACAGCTCTGGACAGACACTTGGCTAGCAGGGAGCCGATTTTGAGAGGGCGGTCGTGTATAAGGAGGACTTGGAGTGATTAGGGTTGATGCCCCGCGATCGGGAGCGGCCGTGGGATGCTGGCAATGGCGTGCTTTGTCCAGTGGTCACTGGCGTCGAGCATTTGTAATGCGCATTTCACATCAATATCCGCCAGCTGCCATATTGTTTTCTTTTCTGCCTCTACCCGCTGTCCGCTCCTCGTCGACCTACCAGCACATCTCCACAGGCTCCACTATGTGGTAGCCGCCCACACGACTGCCTATCGCGGCCCATCAACATTTCTGCCATCAATCAACAATTCTTGCAGCCGCGCCTGCAGCTGCTCTCGTTTCAGCACCACTCGTCTTGGAACCCAATTGAAGAGCCCGTACTACGTTGCGCAGACCACAAGCCATGGGTCTTCTGTAGGAGCAACCACAGCCCTCGATTCGACCACCACACACGCTAACCACTCCCGCCTACAGAGCTCTGGGAACGCCGCTTGCCTGGCCCGAAGCGAAACAGGTGGCCGGACAGGTTCGCGAATGGGGCATTGAGGTACGTGTACCCGCTCTAGCCGACGCACACAAACACAAGAGCTGAGAAGAGCGAATAGCAACTATTGGCGACATGGAGACGAGCCAAGGGCAAAGAGCGCGATGCCCTTCTCTGGGGAGACGAGATCGAGTACCTTGTCGTGACATACGACCATGACAAGCGTGAGGTCAAGCTCTCGCTACGCCAGGCAGATATTCTCGAGGCTTTGGCTAGCGATGAGAAGCTCCTCGCTCAGGGTGGTGGTGTAGACGAGATTCAGCGTGGTTCAGCCAGGTACGCTTGTGTCTGCCCTACTCTGCCTTGTGCAAGTCGCAGCCGTACTGATGCGTGACAGATCTGGCAAGACGGCGCCCGTCTTTCATCCCGAGTTCGGCCGTTTCATGCTTGAAGCCACTCCCGGACGACCATGGGGAATTGACCTCAAGGATCTGCTGGACGTCGAACCAGACATGAAGTGGAGGTAAGCAAACAACCCAAGAGACATTGATGAGAAGACGGAGGTACTGACCAGCTTTCCAGGCGCAAAATCGCAAAGGAGCACATGGAACCCAGCGAGTTTCCCATTACTTTGACCACCTTCCCACGACTGGGTGCTAAAGAGCGCTCCATCACTCCCGAGTACCCACTGAACGGCGACAAGCTCAGGTCTCAGTTCCTGCCCGATGAGATCGCAAACCCCCATATACGTTTCCCGACTCTAGCCGCAAACATTCGCGCTCGCAGAGGCCGCAAGGTCGAGATCAACGTACCCGTGTACAAGGATGAGAAGACTACATGGCCCTTCAACGACCCAACCGTCGATCACGATCTTCACACTTGGCCTGAGGATGACGACGTTCGCAATGGAGCCGCCAAGGAAAATCATATCTACATGGACGCCATGGCCTTTGGCATGGGAAGCTGTTGTCTGCAAATCACTTTCCAGGCAAAGAACATTGACGAAGGTCGTAAGATGTACGACCAACTTAGTCCTATTGGTCCAGTTCTGCTGGCTTTGACTGCTGCCACACCCATCTACAAGGGCTTCTTGGCCGATACCGATGTCAGATGGAACCAGATCAGCAGAGCCGTCGACGACAGGACCCCTGAAGAGCTTGGAGAGAAGGTTCGTATTTTTGCCTCTTTTGCACACGATTGAACTAACGAACTGCAGCCATTGAAGAACTCGAGGTGGCAGATCCCCAAATCTCGTTACGCTTCAAACTCCACATACATTGCTCAAGACCCTCGCCTACGCAAGGAATACTTTGACCCTAACCTCGTAGTCGACCCGGAAATGAAGCAAAAGCTCGTAGACGGTGGCATGGACGACCTCCTAGCCACCCACTTCGCCCACCTCTTCATCCGCGACCCCATCGTCGTCTTCAATGAAGACCTGCAGGAACTAGACCTCAACAAAGTCGACCACTTCGAAAACCTCCAATCCACAAACTGGCAACACATGCGTTTCAAGCCTCCGCCTCCCGGCAACGACATTGGCTGGCGAGTCGAAGTCCGCCCCATGGAGATCCAAATCACCGATTTTGAAAACGCCGCCTTTTCGGTCTTTGTCGTGCTCATCACTCGCGCAATCCTAAGTTTTGATCTTAATTTCTACATTCCCATTCAGAAAACAACCGAGAATATGGAAACGGCACATTTGCGCAATGCAGTTACAGAGCAAAAGTTTTGGTTCCGCAAGAATCCCTTCCCGGCAATGAGGCAGCCTAGATCGGGTACTTCGACGCCGACCCAGTTCTCTAGGCCCCCTAGTCCCTCGAGCCCTGTGGAGGATGAGTACGAACTCATGACTGTCGATCAAATCATGAATGGCAAATCCGATGGCTTCCCCGGTTTGATTCCTTTGGTGGAACGCTACCTCAGCAGCATCAACGTGGACGTTGAGATCCGCTGCGAGATGGCCAGATACCTCAAACTGATTCGTCAGCGTGCGACTGGCGAGTTGTGGACGGCGGCGAAATGGATCAGACATTTTGTGGCCGAGCACAAAGAGTATAAGAAAGATAGTGTGGTGGGTGAAGGCATCACTTTCGATCTTGTCAAGGCTGTTGAGCAGATGACTATCAATGAAGGTAAAGATGGGTTGGGTGCTGAGATGTTGGGACGAGGAAAGTAGAGGGGGAGAGGAGAAAAGTCTGTGTGTGCATATTCATCCTGCATATATCATCCCCTTGGTTGGCGGGCGCCCTATCGAACATATATACTCTAGAGCAGAAATACCCCTAGTACATGACACCTTTCCGAACATCATTCAGGAACATTAACATTCCCTTCAAATTTGGTATCTCTTTGGCCATTTGTGTGTATAACACACACATCCTCTTCCATTCCTTTCGTAATAACAGAAGACCATTCGCTCGCTCGCTCACTCACTTCAGAAAAAGTCAAAGCCGGGATTCATCGTCGTACTCAGCGGCTCAACCTGCGTAAACGCCTCGAACGTACTCGGACTCATGTCCAAAAGATCGTAATCCAAGCCCGAACCTCCGGCCACATCACCACCGCAGTCCAAATAGCTCGCATCCATAAATATCATGTTTTGTTCTTCTTCTTCTACTGGCGCCAACACTGATTGTTGCTGATTGAGATTGAGGGGGAGGTTAGCAGAATGAGATGGAAGTGAAGATGAGGATAAAGGCACGAAACGGGGAGGGTGGAAGGGACGTGATGAGGAAGGGTCAGTAGGTTGAGAGGCGGTGGTCAAGGCGTGGATGTCTAGACCCAGGACCATTAATTCTTTGCGGATGAGCTTTGATGCTGTTGCGATGACTTTGGAGGGGGTTTTCGAGGTCAGTCAGGTTCTTTCAAATGTAAAAGTGTGGTTTCTAGGGTGGAATGTGATGATGTACCTGGATTGGTCTTCTTGACTCTTTCAAGCGCGGAGAAGCAGTAGGATAGTCTTTCCATGGTGTATCGTTGTGGATTGGTCGGGCTTGCCTGTAATTCGAGCAGGAGGATTGAGGTGGCGGTGTACAGACTGTACGCTAGACTCAACACCACGTGCCCATCGCCAAAAGTGCGGACGAAGAGGTCAAAGAGCGCTATGATTGAGGTTGCGGAGGATATGCATTGGATCAATGGATTCTGATCGATTGTCGTATTCGCGGACGCATGATTCGAACTGCTGAGTCTGAGTAAAGTTCGGTGGAGGAGGATGTTGATTGTATGGTAGAGGCAGCTGTATGCAGGTCAGCATATACAAGTCAAGCTGTACAAGCAACTTACTTTAGTGTGACGATATGTGAAGGCGGTGCTAGTTGTGGTAGAGCTCCGACGTTGATCTTCAAATGCTCGGGTAAATCTCTCCACCAAGCTCTCATCTTTGAGCTTTGCTCGAGAGCACATGCTAGAGCACTGGCCGAGGATAAGTCACACGTCGGACTGTAAAAGTGGATGAGCACCTGGTTTAGTATCTCAGCGAGTTCACACATGTGTATAAAGCACGAGATCGAATGTGCTTGTCTGGGAGGATAGTTGGAAGAGGCTAGGCCATGCGGCACCCATGTCTCGATTTCTGCTGTGTCATCCACTGTTCATATCATCAACACACACTCTCCACAAAAATCTGCATCTATGTAGTGGGAGCACTTACTGATGACTCGCGGAGGACTGACGTGTGAGTTCTGCAGCATGGGTGCTCGTCCGAAGTATAGCGCAATCAGCTTATCCCAGAAATAGCAACTCCAGAACAATCGATTTCTGATCTCGACATCCTCTACAGAAAACTGAGTGGAGTCAGTGTAGTGTCTGCCATCAATACACATGCCCATGTCGTCGATCAGACGGAAAGCCATGCCACTGTACAGCCAAGCCTGTGTCCTATTTCCACGGCCACATTCTTGAGCACTGAGCAACAGCAGACTTTGTACTGTAGGCACCTTACTCTGTCCATTTCTGAGGTCATCAAAGAGATTCGTGACGGCAGTTTGGAAAAAAGCGGCTCCTTCGTCGAAAGGAGCAAGCAGCTCTTCCATTCCAGGCTCGGTCTTGCACCAACGTACGGAGTGTGAGAGCATTGCGTTGAACAGTGCTGACGAGTAGTACTGGCCTCCAGTCACCATGTCGCCTGACAGCTGTTAGCAAAGGATCACTGGGCGCAGTCTGACAAAATGTACGCGTAAAAGCTGGCCGGTATACAAAATTGAACAGCGGCTGTATCCAAGACCAATGCGAATCAAGTAGATATCTATACGGCTCCTGTCGACAAAGTCAGTCTCTGATACAATCGTTGCCAATCACAAAACGCAATCTTACCGGCGTAACAGCGAGCTTCTCATACGCCCTCTCACGCCATGCGTTATTCAGCAGACTTTCCCTCTTGAGCACATTTGCCTGCTCTGCTTCTTTATCTGTCGTCCTTGTCCGAACGCTTCCTGGCAGTTGGAATAGACTCGTGGAACCGTGAAAAGCAACAATTTGATCGTTGTCACTCTCGGTGGGTTTGGAAGTAATCGTCGAATTCGCAGTGGTGCTTTGCTCGGGAGAAACAGTCTGGGCTTGTGATGTTGATGAGGTGGAAGCCTCGAGCTGTGAGGAAGTCGCGAGCAAGCTTTCAAGCTCCGCAACTCGCCTTTCCAACTTTTGCGTGTATGACAGAGTAGGAGCGCTTTAGTAAAAAGAATCAGCTTTGCCAATTTTTTCCATGCAGTGTCAACCGTTCTGGCTGCTGTTCCGAGAAACATCTTTGGGTGTGTGATTGGAAACTCACAGTAAAAACTCGCAGGTCTCCGAACGCGTTTTACAGCGGTTACAGATGGGTTGCACTCCGTCGCATTTCACCTAGAGAAGCATTGGCAATCAATAAATCCTTGTGGTCACCACTTTTGGTCGGGGGTGTACCTTTCGCCTTCGGCAAGGCTCACAAGAAAAGGCGCTTTTCTTGGGGTGGCGGCTCGCAGTGGCAGGCATGATGCTTATCACTCCATAGATAGCACGGTACTTCCGCTACAATGAACTCTCTCGCTGGACCATCGCCAGTCGATCGGTGTATCCGGTTGTTAGGGCTAGTTGTGTGGAGAACGTGGATGAAGGTGGAGGGTGCGGACGAACACGGACAGCCAAGCTTCATCCCAGAGTCTAAATATCAAGTTTGTCACAGTGCAAGCTTTACTAGACTCTAGAAGTAGGTTGGGAAGAGTATACCTCTTTGCTCATTATCACATATCTAGCTAATCATGCAATGCTATACTCCCATCCAAGAGTCAACCATCCTCGGGTCGTATCTTATTCTCTCCTTCTGAATCCATGAAGCTCATCCTACTCGACAACTACCCAAAATCACCTTCGTCATTCGACACGAACATACAGTACTGTTTCTACTCAAGACCGCCCAGAGCATCATTGACAATATCCATAAGAACAGGCCTCTTGCTGTTTGTATTCTCTGTACCGAACAAAGCCTTCGTCCCTACCTTCCCGACCTTGCCAGGCACTTTGAAAGGTTTGTTGACCCTCGAGTTGTCGTTGTGATATAGACTCTTGTCAACTGGCGACCCGGAGAGAAAGTCTTCGATACCTTTACGTTGAGCATGAGGGTTACGCCTGCGCTTCTTGGAATCTTCGCCGCCCTCGAGGGCGTCAAGCAGATCCCTCTTGCACGGCGACTTTGCGGGTGTCTTCTGTGTAGCCAGACTTGCAAGCAGTGCATCTTGGAAATTGTGACCACGTTCCGCCAACTTGGGAAGATTGTAGATCCATCCTTTACTTTCCACCAGTTTGAGAAATTTGTCGAGTAGTTCGTTGGAGGCCAGTGTCTCTTTGCTTCCAAGTACGACCATCTTACTTCTGGCACGCGTGAAAGCGACGTTGAGACGTCTCCAGTCTCGAAGAAGATCACCGACGTTCCCTGTATCGTTGCTGCGCACGCAAGAGATGAACACAACTTCTTTGTCGCGGCCTTGGAACTTGTCTGCCGTGTGCATTTCTACGCCCGAAGCTTCTGGGTGTGACTTCAACAATTGACGCAGCAGGGCAAGCTGAGAGCGGTAAAAGGCTATCACTCCAATTTCGTTTGGGGGAACGCCCTGCGAGATCAATGACAGCACCAGTTGAGTGAGGAGTTGGGCTTCTGCGGCATTTACAATGCGGGAGCCGACCGCTGTTTCTTTTGGCACGGGACAAAGAGTGTCTGTGTTTGCGAAAACCACTTTTCGAGATGAAGATAGGACTTCAGAAAGCCAGCAGTTTCCGTGAGCTGGGCCTAGACAAAGATTTCGATCTAGAGACCAGGAGCCTTGGGGCTCGGAGTGGTATCTCATTATGCCGTCAGGGTTAGAGACTTTGAGGGTTCGGGAAGCGACAGCGCCGTTGCCACACTTCAGGCGGCCAGAGTAGATCAGAGTCTTGGACAGCAGTTGCACTTCCTCGCACATGCGATATTGATGTTCCAGATTGACCACACTCTCTGGGTGGCGGTCAGACAACAGCTTGAATAAACTGATATCGAGGCCTCCTTCTTGGGCCTCACGATTCTGCACCAGAGGCGGGAGTTGGTAGTGATCTCCAACGAGAACAAATGTTCTTGCCATGCGGATGGGTCCGAGACAGACTGGAAGGGTGATCTGTGATGCCTCATCTACAATGCAGTAGTCATAAACTCTGCTCTGGAAGAGCTGATGATTGACGCCTAAACATGTGGTTGCGACAACTTGAGGCTTCATGTATGTGTCTTCCAGCTCTTCCATGCTTTGCTTCGGTGTTGCTGCCAGGTGAGCAAACTCCTGGACCTCTGGGTGAATCTTTGCCAAGGTGCCCAAACGCAAGATAGATGCATCCGAGTCTCGCAGCTTCAACAAAATATTGTCCACAGCGGTATGCGTGTAGGAAGTCAAGAGCACACTCTTACCACGAGCAACCAAGGCTCTGATAATGTGCGCGATAGTAGTCGTCTTCCCCGTACCTGGCATGCCAAGTACAAGGGCATAATCTTTGGCAGACATGACTTTATCGATCGCAGCATGCTGATCCTTGTTTATCTGCAATTGACTAGCCGGCCCAGACAAAGCATAAGCTGCAGGCTCGGGCTTGAACACAGGGTCAGTGTCTTCGACGACTAGCTTGCGCAAGTCTGCAGAGCGATAGACATTGTCATCCATCAAGGCCAGGAGGTTGTTGCGAACAGTAGCCATGCCGTTGCTGAATTCGTCCTTGTCGAGACGATAGACAATGGGTGTTTCCTCAACGCCTTGAGCATCTTGGCTGGGCTCGTCTTCTCTCCCAACCTCCATTATACCCGAGAAGGTCTGGTTCGTGTTGGTGTCAAAATCAGCTTGCTTCTGACGTGCATTGTGTAGTCTTCTGTCAACCGCAACAGTAATACGCCCTCTCGACACCTTGGTTACATAGCCGTTGGCTAGGGCAAAGTGGCCCTTTTCGCTAGATATGACGATCGGTTCTCCAGTGGTGATTTGAGACTCGGTGAAAGAGAAGCCTGGCGGAGGTTCTTTCTTGATGAGAGTGTAGCGGTACCGGTTGATCTTGGTCATGTCGTTGAGTTCTCTCATGGACCCCTTCTCAATAATGACTTCTGAAAAGCAGCGCCCGAGCTTCTCACGCTCGGTACTTAGCATGGTCCAAAGCTCGCGGCGGAACTTCATCAACTCAGACTCTTCCTTAGTCAACAGATTGTCCCATTTCTTGAAGAAGTCTTGGTGAACAGGCTGTAGCTTGCCGACGAGCTCATTGAACTTCTCCTTGACACCAGCACTCTCTGTCGTACCGTCTTCCGCAAGTTTGTGATAGAGGAAGCACTCTGTCTTGGCGTAGCATCTTCCACACTTGCGCTCGTCTTGTATCATGGGCGGAAGCTGGAGACGCTCACGAACATAGCAAGCAAGCTCATTCCGTTGCATGATCATGTGGCGCAGTTCATGGCGTATCGCTGGAATGCGTGTAACACTCGAGTTCTCCATGTAGTACAACAAGCCATAGATGACGTCCAAGTCGTACCGATCAGACAACAAGAGCGTGTACAATGCTGTCTGTGCGCGATGCGAGGTGTTTGTAGTATTGCGTCCTGTCTTGACTTCGAAGGGGACCGTCAACGCTCGCGTCCCTTGTTCGTCCTCCATGCGAACTTGAACGGTAGCGTCAATGTTACCTTTGAGACCATAGGTTGGCGACCATACGTGTTCTTCGACATCAAGCAGCTTGGTGATGCTGACACGGATCTTCTTGCCGCCTCTGTCTTCTGCCAGAGCGTCGGGCCCAGGGTTGGCCTTGACGAAGACTTTGGCCCAGGAGCTCATCTCAGGCATCTTGCTCTTGAGATGCTCAAATGCTTTGTTGGTGTCTTTATGCCCGAGTTCGAACAAGCTTTCCAGGTACTTGCCTACTGTCTTGCCGACAAGCTCGTCCAGCGAATCTTGGTCCCATTTGTTTGTCTTCATTGCTTCCTGGAAGATCTCATGAAGCATCGAACCGTAGACAGAAGGCTCACTGGAGCGACTTGTTGCTTTGACTCTGTCCTGAAGAACGGCTCTGCGGATGCATTCAAAAGAATCTGCAACAACTGTAGCTGAAATTAGATGGTCAGGGTGAACGATGATCAGATTTTCGGCGTCATCAATAGTGATCTGGCCGGCCACGTTGAATCGGCCAACGACATGCACATAGGATCCAGGCGCGCAATGCGTTTCAAGCCATGACTGTCTCAAGGTAATGGACTTGTTGCGCTTTTGGACTTCATCCTCAACAAACAAGACCTGAATGGGGGTTGTCAATTCACCAGAACTCTTTTGGGGAAGGAGCGATGGCACAACACGTGGCTTACCTTTTCGGCCTGTTGACGACCACGAGGGTCGATGTACTGACCGTCTACGACTTGCTTCACCAAGTAGCGTTGGATGGCGCGAGACTTTTGAGTAGTCTTGATGACACTTAGCTATCTACCCCCTAGGAAGATTCGAGATACGTACAGAGCTAGCACTTGTACTCGCTTCCAACGCCTGAGTAGCATCCATTTCAGCTTGAACAAGCTGATCTTCATCGAGGTCGGAACCACCAAATTCGTCGTCGTCATCGTCATCAGAGAAGCCAGTAAGATCGAAAGTTTGTGGCTGTTGCTGAGGTGGCGGTGCTGGTGTTGGCAGCGGCTGTTCGGGCTGCGCGATAGCACAAGTGTTTGGTTGTGAATCAAATTGACCGTTAGAAGTACCAGGTCTGCTTTCGAAAAAGGAAACGGCATTCTCGATCTCTTCATCGTCAAGATCGTCTCCAAAGTCGTCGTCTCCAAACTCATCGTCGTCTTCGTCGATAGTATTCATTATCGTCGTGTCGGTCAAAGAATTGTTCCGAGTGGTGCTGTTCGGTTGGATCTCTGCAATAGCATCCAGTGTAATGTCATTGTCATCAAATTCTGTATCATCATGCTGATACGAATACTGCTGTGACGAACGTGCTGAAGTTGGTTGTGATCTTTGATGGTCTGACACGGGCCTGTGGATACGAGGGAAATCGCCCTTGTCAGGCAAAGGGGACGAGCTCGAAGGAATGTCCTTGTGGGCAAGAGATTCTTGGACTTTCTCGACCAACATGCCCACCCGTGACAGCGGCTTTGCAACAGCTGGGTCTTGAGGAATGCTGTTGTCCCGGAAGATTCCATTGACGCGGCGTCGTTTGACTCGAGAAGACGGGAATTCCAGACCACAGCTCGCCCATCTCCTCAAGCCACCCACGCTACCGCCAGGTGTTCTAGGAGCTGATCGAGGTGATGAGTCGTTCATAAGATGGGCGAGTGAGGGTATGCGTTTCTCAATGGGCGTATCGTCAGGGTTCCTGGCAGTGGCATATCGTGTCCACAATTCGGCGGCTGGATCGGCTCTCGGAGTCTTGAAAGCAGATTGTGGTAGCTTAGGATCGGGGAGATCAGAATCATCATTTTGAGAAGAATTGACGGGCGATGAACTCTGTGGACGTCTTCTTCTCTGACGGGGAGTCAGGTCTGGATGTGAGCTATTCGCTATCCAACCGATTTCTTCAACGGGCGACTCTTCTTGCGGCGTGGGTCTTCGTAAAGCGTCCTCGGCATTTCCGATGAGATCAGCAAGAGGTAGGCGCATGGCCGGCGTCGAAGGTAGAGGTCTATCCTGGGCGAGCTTGTGAGGTGAAGATGGAAGTATAGCTTGCTTGACAGGCGACAGCGGAGCAGCGGTGGTAGTGGTTGGATTTTCCTTGTCGGGGTGGCGGGCGAACTCGAAGGCTTTCAGTTTGGACTTGGCCTCGGTCGAAGGGTGAATTGGAGGCTTCGTCGGTGGAACAGGTCTGTTTGTGGACTCGTCGGCGGAAGGTTTCTTGTCGAAGCTGCGATTACCCTGCCATCGCGGTTTTGACTGTTGTGGATCAGTATTGGATGACGCGTTGTGAGAAGACTGATTGATCTCACCTTGGAGCTGTGATCTTGCTCGAAAAACGACTTTTGCCTTGAGGACATGATAGGGTAGACAGGCACGTTCAAGTGACTTGATTGTGTATAGCCGACGACTGCTGTCCCTCTGCAGCGATGCTTCCTGTCGCCAGAACCAGTTTCGTGTCGGCTTCGCGACACAGAAGTCGCGTTCTACCGCGCCTTCCCCACAACTTCTTGGCGCTCAAGATACGATAAGATAATCAAGGACCGAGAGGAAAGCATGGGAACCCAAGCTTGTGCTTATACCAATTGCAACATACCATATCGCTCCCATTATCAACATGTCCAACACTGATCGAACAGGATTGAACTCGTTGCCCGATGAAATCAAGTCTCAAATCTTGACGTATCTCATGCTCCCTCCACCGTCGTGGAACTGGCAGAAGAATACGCTTGACATCAGTTTAACCCGCTCGTCTGACTTGACAGATAGACCTCTGAAATCCTTGATATGCGTGTCCAAGACCTGGTATCGACTGGTCTCACCGCTACTGTACTCGCACCTGCAAATTCGACTCCAGACTCTTACAAATCAGGCCGAGCCATTGCTTGCACCAAAGATCAAGATCATCACCCAAAGTTTCAAAGAATGGCTATTCCGAGACGCTGGCTACCCACACGATATCCGGTTGCCGTACCGACATGTTTGGCAGAGCGAACCAACGCCCAAAGCTGCGATGTGGACGACAACATTGAACGAACAACTGTCCAGCTTGATAACTTTTCTCTATTCGCAAGCCAATTGCAGCGCTGGTGATGGCGTGCAGTCTCTAACTATAATCGCCACTGAAGAACTCAACGACGTCAATCTAGACTATATACGTGATGAGATGCATTGCTTGATTGCTACAGCCGCTTTCTGGAACCTGCTGTTCGAGAAGCTTGATCCTGCGAGGATAACAATCCTAGCGCCTCCGAGCACACTTGCTTGTCTGACCAGCTGCAGTATGAACATGATGGATGCATGGGCGTTTCCAGGCATGGCTATGCAGTTGGTCTCGTTCTGGAGAGAGCCCAGGCCTGTCGAAGTCGCCGATCACTGCCGCTCGCCAACTCAAAGTGATTACGATATGATGCAACCAGTCGAACTCATCCTGGAGCCGAACGAGTACGGCAGACCCGCCCCGTCAAGTCCAATCTACATAAGACCTTGGACCCACCTGGCTGTCAACGAAGGGTCATTCCTCGAAGCTTACTCGACGTACGAGTATTTTCACAAAAACCCTCCCGGTATATTGGCAGCAGTAGGTAGAGCATTCAGGCTCGAGATGGACATGTGGTCAGTGGAATACAAGGCAGTCTTCCCTTTCAGCAATCATATTGGCCCACCACTTGACCGTATCACATACAAGGGCAACTCATCGAACGTACGGAGACTGTGCGTCAAGTTAGCACCCGACCCGGATGACAAAATCCTGGATGACCCGGCCCAAGTTGGCAAGGCAGACATAGCCGATTGCTGGCGCGAAGTTGAGACGACTTACAGATTTCTCACTGATCCTGCGCTCAGGGGCGAACCAGACTTTGCACAACCTGGGCCTGCCGGAGAGCTTGAGATGTTTGGCTTCGGTGACAGTAGTATCACTTCGATCAGAGAGACTGTCAGCGACTCACTAGCCACTGCTGGATGGCAAGAGGTGACTGAAAACGAGTGGCACAGCTCTGGACTCGTATCACGTTTGAGGCCGTCAGTGACTGGCGAGATGGGTATAGTAGAGAGACTGGAGACTACGTAGGTTGAGCAAACTTCTCTGTATAACCAATCGAAGTTGTACAGCCGCTTTCACGTCAACAGTCAGTCAGGTGAAGCTGAAGCCATCAAAATGCACGGTGTCTTCCAGATAGTAGCAAAGGCCACAGAGAGGCAATGGTATTAGGACTCTCCATGGACGCTGATCGTTTACTGAAGAGACTGTGCGTTGCTATAGCTCTCTACACAACATGACTGTGCACATGAGAGGGGAGGTACATAGTAAGTTCAAGTGGATGAGCAAAGACATGAGTGAAGTTGTGGTACGTGGAGATGCCACTGTATGACGAATACAAAGACGATCAAGAAGCAGCTTAGGCTTAGAATCTAAGTCTCTTGATGCTTAGTTGCCTTTATTGCCATAGCCTCTGACCATACCCTCACACAATCTGCAATCGCACTCGGAGATCTTGTTGTTAAGCAGGTGCCAGATGTGGTAGATGCATTGATCGACAGACGGGAATCTTCCGCGTGGGTGGCCATAGAGGTAGATGTCTTTGCGAGGAGGGTTCTGTTTCCAGACCGTGTAATTGATAGGAAGACTAGTAAAAACCAGCTTCACTCCATAGACGTTCGCTGTGGGTTTGTTAAGGCTCGCTGGTTCAAACTGTGTATAGATCAAACTAGAACATACAGTATTTCTTGCTCAGAGCATCCAGGTACTCGGTGGGGTCTTGTTTGGTCATCTTAGCGGTTGCGCTGGGGACTTTGTCTGCTTTGCCGTCGCTCCAGAACAGGTAGTGGAGAGGAACTTCGATTTCTTCATTGTTGTCTTTCTTTGCATCGATAAGAGCTTGCTGTTCTTTAAGCCATTTACCAAACACTGCTGGATCCATGGTCGCGTACTGGGTCCAGCATGTGGCACGTGCGCAGCGTGGTAAGTCGTGGCGTTTATGTGGGGAAGGGAAGTTGTGGCGGTGCTGGTTCACTATATACCAAACATCAACCAACACGTTTGTAGTGTTTGATTTGACATAATGTCATCAACTTTCCGGATTATTCTTCTTCGGGGCTTCTTGCTACTGGATCTTTCTCCTAGGACTTGAGAAACCTTGAACATTGTTGTTTCCATACACCGTGTTGGATGTTTCCATCGCCATGCTACTATAACCCGGAACATACTCAACTCCATTCAACACCCATACAGCAACACCCTAACGCACTATCAACACTACAACTCCAAAAGACATGTATAACCCAATACTTGGGAAATGGATGCCCACGCCAGAAACAGACCCCATGATGCGACCACGCTCACCTCGGCCCACACATCCATCAACGACCCAGCAACGCTCCAGACTACGAGCTTCTAATCAACTCCAACCTCCCACCTCACCCAGACTTCTCAACTACATCTACTTCCCCACTCTTGCCGACGAACTACACGAAAACATCGAAGCAGGCTACTCTCTCTCAAACTCCGACTCGGACTCGGACTCGGACTACGAATTACCACCCCAAAACATCCATCGCGAAGGCAAGCAATTGCCTGCTTGGCGGAACAAATGGTACAAGGAGGGTGAGCAGAATGCAGCCAGAGAACTGGCTATCTATCTAAAGCCAGCGCCTACGGACCAGGAGGATTGGTATGGGTTTGTGGTATTGCCGAAACCTGAGTCTGAGCCAGAACCAGAGCCAGAGGAGGATGATGCGGAGTTGGATTCACCGTCGAGACAGTTGATGCTGGAGCTTTCGCAGTACTCGCAGTCGGAGTCCCAATTGCAGTCCCAATTGCAGTCCCAATTGCAGTCTCAGTCGCAGTCGCAGTCTCAGTCGCAGGTGCAATCGCAGAAGGATGCTAGGCGTGTGGATGACCACGACGATCCCATGCCGGAGTATCAACCGATTGTCACCCCAATACACGAAGAGGTGTTCTTGTGGGTAACTCGAGATCCAGCTCCTGCCCCCGCCGAGTCTTCGAAGGTGTCGGAATCCTGGCTCAGAAAAGACGAGCTCGTTGCGTTGGAGAGAGAGTACGGTCGTAAGCGCAAACGCACAGCACAGGAGAAGTTGTTACGAAGACTAAGAGGCAAGTATGCGCCACGCTGAGCCTTTCTTCCTCGAGGACACCACAACAAAGTAAGAGGGAATCCAGAATCGCCACAGGCCATCGCAGATTCATTTGGAGTACACATCGATCAGACCATCTAATCAAACTTCTCGGCTCCGCTGATTGAAAATTTGATCCATACTCCACGATGTAGATGGTCATGCATGGTAGATGGCGCCCGACTGGACTAAGCATATGGATGAGGGCGGCGAAAATTGGTTTGGCTGGGGGACAAGGAGATCAGACTGAATATTCACGCATGGAAGGATCACCTGCCTAGTAGTTGATGACAGGTACAAGAAGAGCATGCTGATCCCAGAGTACGAGATAATGCATATTCGAGCCACTTTCTACCCACAACGCCATGAGTTCTTTATACAATCCTCTCCATCTTCAATCCCTCTTCTTCTCAATCCTCGGAAGCGAAATCCAGAACAACCAAATAACAACCAAAAGTGCCAGAATAATGGGTTGAAGAACCTGTACGCCCTTCGCTTGCGCAACAACACCAGTGACGAACGGGAAAATAGCTGCCCCAGACCCACCAAACGCAGCAGCAAACCCAATGCCACTGACATGCAAATGCTTAGGCAAAAGCTTGGTCGTCGCAACCACGGCAGCGGGGAACAGCGGTCCCAAAAAGAATCCTTGCAATGCGACCGCAACAGCAGAGACGTAGAATTGTGGGACGAGCCAGAAGAGAAGTTCGAGTCCGGTGGCGATGGGGAGGTAAATGGCAATGGACAGCTTCTCACCGATGCGTGGTGTGACGAAACCAAGCACCAGTCTGCCGACTGTGATGCCGAGCCAGAAGCCAGTGGCAGTCATGCCAGAGGCGAAGGCACTGCCTCTGCGTTCTCTGATCATGAAAGTGACGATCCAGCCGCCAAGTGCAACCTCAATTCTACAAGTGAGGGTACAGTTAGCATGCTTTTTATACAAGGGTAATAAAAGTACAGGCGAAAGTCGAAAAGCCATCAGATGGCTTTTGACCTGCACTATTTGTACCCTCGGCTTACGTACCCTACGTATCCTAGCAGGAACAAGGCGCATAGCCATGTGACTCGCGCACTAGGCATGGTGAATAAGGCCTCTTTCATCCGATTACCGGACTGATCTGTAGTTCTGGGGTGTGCGAGACGAAACACTTCTCCGGTCTGGCCCCAGAAGGCCCAGAGGCTTGTAGCGAGTTCAACGGCGGCAAATGCGATCTGAGTAGGGTTGTTGTCAGCTAGATCAATATACAAACTGGCCGTTTGAGATCATTACCATAAAGTAGTACCACGTCCACCAAGGTTTGTCGGCCTTGGTGATCAGCGATGTCGCAATCAGAGGAGCAATAGTCGCTCCCAAGCCATAGACTCCGTGGAGGAAGCCCAGCACTTCGTTGGCGTTGGTCATTGCACCCATCCAGGCATTCCAAGCTGCATCTTCCAGTCCGTTGCCAAACCCAGCGATTGCAAAGACCACGACCAGAACTGGATAAGGTGGATGTACAGCAATGACGATGTATGCCAACAGGTGGCAGAGTGGCCCGATGAAAGCTACACCTCTCTGACCGAACCGGAGGTGTATGGTATTGTTAAGTAACGCTGATGCGTTGTAGCCAATAAGTGGACTGAGGAAGATGAGTGATACGATGGTGTACGATAGGTCATAGTGTATTTCCAGCTAGTCTCGGTCAGCTTCGATGGGAACACTCGGTGCCAGCGGTCAAACTTACGTATGGAATGATCGCTCCATAAGTAGCATCATTCATGCCTGTAGATGCGAGCATAGTCAGCATATATCTTATGTGCCGACGGTCTCGCGTAAAAGCCGAGCAGCCATAGGATTTTCCTTACCCATGATAGCAAAGCCCCAGAAGGCAGCAAAAGTACGCCAGAGATTCGTCTTGGGTGCATTCCATCGCTCGGGAGCTTCATGAGAAGCTACGGTAGGAGAGGGCAGAGTCTCATTCTGATCGTGCTGCTCGCGATCATCATCGGAATCAACGTGGGCGTGGCCGAGTCTTTTGCTTGACTCGGCTGGAAATCGTTTCTCAGACCCTCTTGATGGAGAGCGGATGGACTCGAGTTCTATGTCAGAGCGAATGGGGTTGATTCCATTCATGGCTGTGAAGGATTTCCTTGTAGTTCTCGTAGAAGACATGTTCGAGTTGTACGACTTCGCAAAGGCGTTGTCCAATGTGGATGTATGAGGTGTCTCAGCGAAGCTCAATTCATCAGAATAGCAGAGCCTTTGCTGAAACTTCTTGGTGATATGTCGATGGAACTTGGTAAGCTGGCATCATCTCTGTTCATGTGAAGGGCGTCATGGAGGAGGACTATCTCTGCGCTTCGGTCCGAGGACCTCGAAACTCAGCTCTCCACGAAGGAGCGCGTGGAGAAATGTGGAGACGGGCAGCCACTTCGGCAAGACGGACCGTAACTCCTAAGAGGACAATGTCCTGGCTAAAATAGCACCAGTTGAACTGCCGATCTCATCAGATGCAACTTCATCGAGATGTGGTAGGCAGCGAACTACGAGCTGTAAGAAACAGTGGTATTGCAGGGTTCCCAGTAAACATGCTGTTTCGATCAGAGCTAAGAGCCCTGGTATTGGTTCATCAACAGACAAACCAAGAGTCATCGTGAACATATGAGCATCTTATCTTTCGATAAAAGTGTGCTTTAAAAGTTATTAGACTCTATCCTTCCCTTTCTCTTCATTTTCGTCCCATTCAGCGAAGTTCCCTTGCCAACAGTCCTAGTCTACCTGCCCTCGCGAGCACGCTCCTAGTCGTACTCGTCGTATGAATAAGACTGTCTTTGTGTCAAACACCACTCCTCGCTCGCCAATCCATTATTCTTCCTAATCTCCAGCCCTTTCTGATCCTTGCAGTGATCGCAAGCATAGTTGCACGGCACCACAGTCTTGTCTCCGAAGTACTCCGCAACCATCCTGTGTCTACAGACTCCTGTTGCTTCGCAGTACTTGGTCAGATACAGCAAGGAGTTGGCACGACCATTGCTATCGGGATGCGTATTCATGTTATCGTAGTCCGTGTTGCGGCCTCTGCTCATCTCTTGCCGCATCTTTTGCTCTTGGGCTCTGGCCAGCATGTTTGCACCGCGATCGCGATCTTCGCGCGAATAGTAGACTATGCAGAGTGAGGCTTTTCCATCTCTGCCTGCACGACCTGCTTCTTGATAGTAGCCTTCGAAAGACTTGGCAATCTGCCAATGCACTACGAAACGGACGTTGTCTTTGTCAATGCCCATACCAAAAGCAGTGGTGGCCACGATGACATCGTAGCCTTCTCGGTTAGCTACCCAGCCGGACAGATGGTCGTCTTTCTGCTCGTTGCTTAGCCCAGCGTGATATGGCTTGGCACCAATGCCATCGTTGGTCAGACGTTCAGCCAGTATCTCGCAGTCTCGGCGATATAGGGTATAGATGATGCCCGGTACGTTGGTTGATCGTTCATTACGAGCAGCCAGTTCTGCAGCACGTTCTGGGCTTCTACGTCGAGCATGAGCGGCTTTGATCCATGCGAGGAAATCGTCATAGTGGTCTTCATCGTCTGATTTGTACCGAACTTCGTAATGTAAGTTTGGCCGGCTGGTGGTCATGGTGAAGTGTTTCAGGTTACGCTTGTCGAGCTCCAGAGTTGCGATGATGTCGTCTCGCACCCGCTGTGTAGCAGTGGCAGTGCAGCAAATCATTGGCACATCTGGGAACTCTTGCTTGAAGAAATTGAGGTCTTTGAAACTCGGGCGAAAATCGTGACCCCATTCAGAAATGCAATGTGCTTCGTCAATTGCAATCCGGGCGAGCTCTTTCTGTGCGTGGACCACTCGTAGAACGCGACGGAAGTGGTCTTGGGCGCAGAACTCAGGAGTGACGTATAGAAGTCTGGTTTGAGGGTGACCAGTCTTTAGATCGGCCATGATAGCATCCTTGACGGTCTTGGGTACAGTGCTATTGATAGTAGCGACTTGAATGTTTGCTGCACGCAGGGCAGCGACCTGGTTATTCTGTAGGACAGTCAATGGAAGACATAAACCGAAGAGATCATGTAGAGCACATACCATGAGTGCAAGAAGAGGTGATACGACGACCGTGACTGAGTCATATTAATACATGGGTTTCATCCACTTGATGTGATCTTTGCTTACTTCCGTAGTCGATGCATGCTGGCAGCTGAAAGCATAAACTTTTGCCAAACGAAGTGGCGGCTTGGAGAAAGACATCATTGCCATCTAGAGCAGCTTCAATGACTTCGCGTTGTATAGGTCTAAATTCGGTTTGGTTAGATCCGCCGAAAAAGAGAGATAGAAATGAAAACTGACCTGAATGAGGGCTTCCCGAAAACTTGTCGAAGAGTAAACTCAAGATCAGGCTTACTGCGCTGTCTTTGCACAGGCATTTTTGTGTTGATCGAAGGCTTGTGTTGGACGAGAACAGTTGGAGGAGGCGATTGATGTGCTTTCGCAAGGCTTCAACCAGATGGCAAGATAGGCAGCACTGTGTTGACAAACAATCCCAACATCCTAGTCAATATTCCGTGCCCGTGATCTTTGACGCGTCACAAGGCTTCTTGGTAAGTGAACTCAAACAAAATCAGGAAGGAGAAGGTCAAGAGGATGATCAGGCAAGAGCGGCCTGCAACACGCGCTGGCGCACGGACAATCTTGATATACCATTTCCAAATCAGGAACGAATTCCACACACTAACTATCGAGGTAGTAGGTAGGATATGTTGGACAACTCTTTGACAGTCCGATGATACGAGATGCCTTCTTATACATTTCCTCAAATCTTGTTAAAAATTCTTCTTTGGTTCTTAAAATTCGTTTGTACATGAATGGTTACATATGGTGTTACAATCTCTCCTGATGAGTGCTCAAGATCTAACCAAGCTGTATTCCAGCTTCAAGTTTACATGCTCTTCGTCTTCCTCGCTCGGTCTCCAGACTTCTTTAATTTCCTGCCACACTTTTCTTGTGTTCTCTGGGCCAGTGACCTTGTGATACGCCATGAGGACAATTTGAACCATGGAGACACTGAGGTAGCAGCCTCTATCTTCCTCAGACATCCAATCACCGTGGTTCTGTTCGATTTCTTTGTCTCGCTCAGCGAATTGACAGAAAACCTCCCAAAAACTGTCTAGCTTCTTCTTGTTCCAGGAAGAGTAACGAATGCCTCCGTGAATGCTGAAGCCTCGTATGATCTGGTAGAAGATGGACCCATGGATAGTGTGGCCAAGTTGTTGCATCTCATCAAGCAGTGCGCTGATACGATCTATGTTACCAGACTCGCGGGCATGGTATTTGATCAGCAAGCGGTAGGTGTGCAGATTTGGTGTGATTGGAGTGACGTTCTGCACGACAACACGTCTTTCTGGATCCTTGCGAAGTGTCTGCCCTGCCCGATCTAGAACTTTGCCCAGGTGGCGCTGAGCTTTCCACCCTTTGAACTTTGCGATAGGGGTATTTTCTGCACCGAGAGCTTTCATTTTCTCAAAAATGTATTCCGCCGCGGATGGCTCGCCAGCATTGATCAGACTCGCGATCACGCAGTTCAAGACTACCGTGTCAATGATCTCACCGGCATCCACAAAGTCCTGGTAGGCCCTTCTCACAGCAGCACCGTCGCGCTTGAGGCCATGACAATAGATGATGTTGGTGCGAAAATAGCGATTGGGCTCAATCTCTCGCTGCAACATCTCTTTGACCACAATATCGGCAAGGGCGAACTTGCCTGCTTTGGTGGCGACATCGAACAGAATACTGAAGGTGGTAGCACTGCTTGTAATGCCAGCTTCTTTCTCCATGCGCAACCAGATCTGGGTGGTAGTATCGACTTGGACATCACCAACTTTGCGAAGATAGCGACCTGCGAAACTCATGGCGCTATTCCACTCCGGCCGGGTCATGGGCACGTCTGCAGTCAACATATCATCGACGACACTGAGGTAGCGCTGCATTGTCCGTTCATCTTTGAACTCGACGATGGCCAGGCGATGCATCAACGAGCGAATAGTCTGATTTTGGAGATATTGCGGCCGCGGTTGTGGTATGGCCTTGTATGAATTGTAGAGTGAGGTGTTCGACGTGCTCTCGTTTTGTAGAAGGAGGTTGAGATAGTCAATGGCTTCCTGATCGGGAAGCGATTGGGCAACCAGGGGCTCCCTGAAGGATATCTGGTGGGAAGAGTGAACAGGGGCGCTCGGTGAGGGATCCTGGTGAGAGTCCCTGTTCGGAGGGGCGTCTTCTTGGTAGCCTTCATAATCGTATTGATCGACGATGGCACGCAGCTTGTGGCGTGAAAGGTGAATGGGTGCGGGATGGGAAGCTTCGGCGGACAAGAGCTCGACAGCAGATGTCTGCGGTGGCCGTTGCGTAGATGTGGATGTGGTAAAGCGGGCGGAGCGGGTGGATGGAGAGGTCTTGGATTGAGAGGGTCGATTTGTGGTAGTAGATGATTGACGGGCATGTTTTCGACACAGGCTCGCACGCGAGAGAGCTTCGAGGAAAAGAGATTCGGCAGACTCGGGGGTCAGAGTGCGCGAGGCAGGAGGTACGGGACGCCTGGAGAGGATGTGAAGGTCGCGGCGATGGCGAGGAGAGTCTTTGTCGAAGGGATTGGCGGTGGACAGGTGGTTACGGCGAGGACACAGGGCCGTCATGACCGAGGCCGTGGTGGGCTTCTTGTGCAGAGAGGAACCGCTCTGGGTGCGGGAGAAGGAGCCAAAGAGGGACATGAAGCGGCGAGCATTGTGTCAGACGAGCAATCGACATTCCCCGAGCATAGCAGTCAGTACATTCGGCACAAGTTGGCCTCTGTTGATACTCGAAAACTAAAAGTCCGCGACTTTCAGCATTACCGCACGCTTCGACCGCCCGCTGATTGGCTGCCGCACCTTCTTCTTCTCCGCTTCCGCCAAGATCTCTCCCGCTTCGCGCTGGAATCTCGAATTATTCATGGAAGGAGCGACTGTTGATTGACCTGCCACACAAGACGCCAGCCATGGGTCGGTACAACTTTGCGCCTCAGCGAGTACACCAGGCTGCCACACGTCTTCTCCAGGCCCGCGAAACCGGCAGGGCTACCATTGCCTCTCAGCCTCCTCCGCCGTGGTACACTGTCATCGGCAACCTGCCGCCATCAGAACGTCTCGTGCGTCCACCATTGCAACCCGCCCAGCGCAAGGGCAGGAAGGCCAGCAAGCTCTTCCAGCCTGTCAAACTTCAATATCCGGAGGACCAACTCAGACTCGACTTCTTTGGCGATCACCCATGGGAATTGGCAAGACCTAGACAGATCCTCGAAGATGACGGCAAGGATTACCAAAAGTTCGACTGGAGCCAGCTAGATCAGCCCACCAAGCAGGTCGACGGAGAGAGGTGTGCACATCTCATCAAGACACACAAGTGCGCACTTGCTGACCATCTATAGTCTTGTGCAGAGACAAGCATGGCTCATGGGCCTGGTCCGCCATGAACTCGACTTCTCCGCCGGCCCACAAATGCTCGACTACCTACGCTCCGACCATTTCCACGAGAGCCTTCAACCCCTGTTCAAAGACGAGTATGCCGTCGATCTGCACACCAGCCAGCTGCCGTCAAGGACCGAATACACCGACGTCGATGCCAACGTTCCCGTCAATCTCTACCTGACATACCACCCCAAATACCCCCATCAATTCAAGGATGCCGTCAAGCACTTGAACCAGGTCCTTGCTGCACAAAACCTCGACACATCCTCCATCAACAAGCGCTCCTTCAGTATCGCCCTCATAAACTCCGATGCCATCGCAGAATCACTACGAAACATCGACCTCGCAGCCATCGGCAAGCAACACAACATCAACTTGACCGTCCAGCCCGAGTCCACCATCAAGCCCTTCGCCGAAACCCCTTTCAACGTCGTGCCCATCTCCTTTTCCTACTACCGCAATGCGTCCGCAAACGTCGCTGGTCTTCTCTCCACCCTCGCCGCCACCCTCAACCTCAAGACCACCGACATGCTTACTCCCACTCTCCCAACCGCAGAGCCAGACACATACCCGGCTTACACCAAGGCAGGTGCCTACGACAAGGCCCGCAAGGAGTTCTATGAGGTCCGCCACACACAGGAGATTGAGCGCCGCGTTGCTCGCGAGGAAGCCCTCTGGACCGGTGCTGAGTTTGGGCCTTCGCCATTGACTGTCGGTATGGAGCTCGAGGACCAGAAATACGAAGAGTGGCGCGAGTGGGCTGCCAAGGAGATCATGGCCTACAAGCAGCTCTCGGGCTCCTCAGGCAGTGCTCTTGATCAAGATTCTCCTCTGGATCCCGTTCTTGATGCGGATGTCTTGTCTGCTATGGAAGAGGTGGAGCCTAGTGTTCCCGGCAGCAAGAGGGGTCAGACTGCTCAAGGTGGCGCCTTTGTCCACGCATGAGCAAGTGTAAATTTCAAATGTAAACCGAAAGGGAGTTTCATGTATAGCTAAAGCTTTTCCTGTCTTTTGAGAGACATCACATATGTATTATCACGTCACATTTCATAACGCAGACCAAAGAGAAGAAATTGGAATATGTCTGGAAAAAGACAATTCATTACCCAATCGAAATAGATACACCGAAGAGAAGGTCGTAACGAGCGAACAAAGAAAGAGAGAGCATGGCATAAACGTACAGACAAAGACAAAAAGTGCTGTGCGGATGGCGGATCAAACACCTCCTGGAGTCAATAGGACAATCAGAAGGAGTGGTGGAGTATTGAGAAGACAAAAACACAAAAAGACAACAATGTGGGCTGATAAAACAAACTCCTGCAATCCCTGTCCGTCCAACGCCTGTTCCTGGCCTGGACTCTTATCTGCACCACCTTGGACAGACTCTGTCATCCTATCACGCCGTGTCTTGTCGCCAATTTCCACAGTCAGAGTCTCGAGTGTAGACTCCCAAACCCGTGGGTCAAAGGCGCAAACAGACATGTCCTATTGACGAATGGGCACAGCGTCACTCTCGGACGAAGGCGAAAGACCCGACGACACAGAAGCAGCCTGAGCACGCTTCTCCATCGCACTCTTGATTTCTCCATCCTGGTCGTCGACACTCATGCCCCTCTGTAGGATACTGCCTTCCTTGACAGGGCTGCCTGACACGTAGGAGGAGTGGCTTTGGGTGGGCTGCAAGTTGAGACCAGGGTTGCCGTTGGGGTTGCCGGGGGTCTGGGTGCTCGGTGATGAGGAGAGGTGGGGGATGGTGTCTGGTGAGGGGTGTTCGACGCCGATGCTGGTGACGCCGACGTCGCCTGCCTTGCCGGCTTTGCTGAGGGCGTAGTCGCCGCTGTCGAAGTATTTGCGCTCTTGGCCCTGTTTTGTTTGTCGCGTGTGTGAGTTGTTTGCGATACCAAAAAGATGGGAGATGGGGAAAAGAGGGTTGTACCTTGAGCTTGTTCTGCAGCAGGTTCTTCTTGTCGGGGAGCTTGCCGTACATGCGGAATAGACGCTGCTCGTCTGGTGACATGGCCTGTGTGGATATGATGAGTCGGGAGGTGCATTTGGCAACAGAGGGAGATCTCACGTTGATGTCGACCTTGTTGTTCTGGTGGGGGTTCATGATGGGCGGGCTTGTCGCAAAGGTGCTTCGACCTTGTTGTCTTGCGGAAGATGGGTAGAGGGTCGGTCTTTGCCAGGAGAAATTGAAGTCGCGTTTCTGACTGTACGCAAGCTTGATTCGCAGAGGAGAGAAATGCGATTGGTGGTAGATGCAAAAGATTGGGGTCGGACACTCTTTAGATCGGGGCTTTGTTCACCAGGGTGATGTCGTCGTTTTGCTTGACTAAGCCCGGCTCTTGCGTGCGAAAGCTGGGGTTCTCGGGTTCGGGACAAAGGGGACTCTTGATCTGATACGAGCAAAGAGCTGCTTTTGTTCTTTTGCTTGTCGTTGTTCCTTGGGAGAGAGAGAGAAAGGCCTTTCCAATGTCAATCGCTTCGGTCAAAAGGCGGCCGCAACGTGTGAAACGTATGACGAAACACTTTTGACGCACGTTCCGGTGTTCACTGCTGCCCTTGCTTCTGCTTGCGGTTTCGTGCTTGCTGCTGGGAAGCTTTGAGCTCGTGCTTGGCAAGCAATTGACTTGTTCTTTTGAATGTTCAGTGGATCGAAGAGGTTTGGGCGACTTGCGATAAGAGCAGTGAGGTTTTGAAAGAGGGGTTATGGTACGTACGAAGAGCTCCCTAGCTTGTGTTATCGTCTCTTCCGTGCCTTTCTACAACGTTTTGCCCAGCCCTTTCACTTGAGCTCTGATCCTTTCTTCGTTCGTTTGTGGTCATGCAGCACCTCATCCTTGGCTAAGCTCTATGGCTCGTTCAGGAGCCTGGTTGAAGCTCTCCTTGGGCCACAGTGTGTCTGGGACTAGATAATGAGGAATGCCTTCGCCTCAATGAGTATAGACTGTTATACAATCCTTCTCATTATTGTGGTTCTTTTTGTTCAATGACCGGAGCATAAGCCTAGCTTGCTGCGGCTGCATGCTGCAAGCTCCCCCACGCGAGGACTTCGCTATATAGCACAGCTGGTCTGCTATTAGACGTATGATTGCTCGGCCTCTCCAATGATTGGCCATGTGTTGTGTAACAAATTCGCGCCGCTGCTTTTCTATTCCCCCACGATGCTTGTTCCTCTCCGCAGAAACCACGTCAGTCTCGGCTTCGCGTCAAAAGTTTTGGAAAATCACTGAAAGCAATTGCTGTGTTCATCCTCCCAACGACGACCAATACTCTCATCCCACTCTTACCATATCAACATCAAAGAGTTCTCTCACTCTCTCTATCTTCTTTGTCAACACCTGGAAGTGAAAACCCGCAAGAATCGAGTACCAGATCGTAAGTCTGCAACAAAACTCGAGCATGCAAAAGTTATGATAAGAGCATATCTGATCAATGTAGAATATGTCCGGTAACAAGACCTTCATTGTCGAGCATCTCGACCCTGAGCTCGAGCAATGGTCAGCTCTCGAGTACAAGTGTATCGCTAGAGAGACTGCCGCTTCAGGCTCCCAATTCTTCCTCACGTCTGTTCCTACCTCGCTCCAACTACCCGAGTCGCTCAAGAATGTCTCTGAGTTGAAAGTTGAGCACCGAGGTATCGAGGAAATCTACGCAGACAAGAAGGACCGCGTCTGCCTGCTTGATCCTGCAGCAACCAAGGAACTCAGCCCTGAGGACGGCGACAACTTCGATATCTTCCTGTTCGGAGGTATTCTTGGAGACGACCCACCAAGAGGTATGCTACAACACCTTTACCTGGGTGTAATCCAGTGTCTAATGTCTTGATAGATCGTACCTCAGAACTTCGCAAGAAGGGCTACCAAGGCCGTCGTTTGGGACCCGTACAGATGACTACCGACACAGCAGTGCGCACCACCAGAATCGTTGTCCAAGATCACATCGAGCTGGAAAACATCAAATACGTCGACCACCCCGAGATCAAAGTCGACGAGCATGAGAGCACCGAGATGCCTTTCCGTTATGTGCTTGACAAGGATGGCAAGCCCATCTTCCCTGATGTACGTGAACTGTTCTTACGCGATATCTTTGTCACATACTGATAAGAATTATAGGGCATGATCGATCTAATCAAGAAGGATTCTGAGCGTGGTATTGATGATCTTCTGTAGGGGGACCACTTGTGATATCTGGTTTATCCTGTTCCTCGCTTGCACCTTCCCAATGTGCATAGTCAAGATCGCATTTTAAAGATTTGATTTTCCCCATAGTCAATGATGGAGAAAGTCATGAAGGAAATTTCTACCGGCGCAAGGAACAATCTCGAGAAAAGTGGACATGCTAAACTTCTCGTATCTCAACAAGCACAGTTTAACAGAACTTTTAACCTTTCGCATCACGAAGCCTTTGTTTCTTTGACTTTATGTACCACTGCAAGATTCGAGTTCTCTTCATCCGAAGTTCGAATGCTTCCATGTCTCCCATATTCACAGTCTGATTCACTATTCCAAGTTTCCAGTGAGATACACAATCAGTACTCAAGGTCAGTCCATTCAGTCGGACCTGGTTCCTCTGGAGGAACGAACGTCTTGGCAAATTAGTCTCGTTCGAGCCAGCCGCTCCCGCAGATCTGGTTGCATGGACGAACCTCACTCCGCGATGCGCCCGTTCTAAACTGCTGGCAATCGTGTCATGTTTGCTAATTTTGAGCTTTCTTCCGGCGGATTGGTTGCAGCGGACGTCAAGCCCAAGCGTACGCGTACAGATCTGGGCTGTCTACCATGTACGTATCTGCCCCATTACCTCACACGATCTCACGGGCCTGTTCGGATCAGTTGCCATATTGCGGGGCGATTATATCTCATGTGTACTCTCGGGCTAACACCATTTAATATCAGGTCGGAGAAAGAAAAAGAAGTGTGATCTTGCGAAGCCGGAGTGTGTGCGCTGTCGGAAGAGCACTGGAACTGTTGTCTGCGAGTGGCCAGCACATGCATCGTCGCTGGGTTCCGAAGATGGCGGTAGATACCAGCCGCGTCTTGATGTCGATTCCAGACGGGATCATACCCAAATGTCGATAGAATCCGGATCTCCGTCTCGAACTACAATGGTACTCCGGAATGCTGGACGCAAGAGCAATCATGGTACCCTTCCTCGAAATACCTGGGAATATGGATGGGAGGCACCCTCACCGCAGAACAGCATAGAGAATTGTATCACTATCAGTCTCCCGCCCGGAGTCAACAAGGTATCTCCGTAAGTGCTTTGTATCTTGATTACGCAGATCTGGAAGTGATGGGACTAACAGTCCCAGCAACATGACGTCTAGTCAATTGATCCATGTCACGACTGCGTTCGACAAGGCCATCATTTCGCCAGATAATGGCAGTCTTGATCAACCAGCATCACAACTCTGTCTGCCGTTATGTCTAGAGAACTCTTCGCTCATGCATGCCTGGCTGTCCTGCGGGACAGCGTTCGTGAACAAAGCTCAGCCGGGAGGTATCCAGAAGGCACTTGTTCATTACCAACAAGCGGTCAAGGGCCTTGCCACTGCTCTGACCGAGACTGGGTTGACCCAGCCGGAATGGAAAGTTGCAGCGACACTTCTATTACATACATTTGAGGTGAGCGGTTCTCTGCTTCCAGAGTACTGGTTATTTAAGCTAATCCATTGTCGAACAGTCGATGAGTCCAAGAACCGATGAACCTGCTAGCATGCGAATAGCTCATCTCAACGGCGCTCACAACCTAGTTCGCACAGGCATGATGAACAAGCCACCAACATCGATGCATCAAGTCCTACTTCTCGAAGCCTATTCTTTCCGTACGGTCCACAACAGGCTCTTCCAACCTGCTCCTACACTGCCCTACGACTACCTCGAAAAGTTGTATGGGACTATGTGTCTTCCAGGCAGTCCTCGGCAAGACATGTATACGTCATGGCGCAAGTGTCCTTGGGTGGGCATGTGCGCGCCTCTCTTCGACATGGGTTTCAAATTGTGTTGGCTCAGAGACAGACTACCACTCCAAGGCAAAGATCTGATCGACGCAATCTCACTCTCGAACGCCATCATGGCTTGGCGAGCACCAGTCGAAGCTCCAGAAGATCTGTTCGATGTTGACTCCGGCACTGCAGATACATTCATGATGAAGAATCTGCTCTCAGCCAAGGCATGGTACTACGGATGTCAATTTCTCTCTCACAAACTGTTGAATCCCATGAATGGTCCTTTCGATCCGGAGCTCATTGCTATATCCAGACAAAGCCACAAAGTATTCCAGCAGATGGATCTCTTACGAGGCGCATCTGCGCTTCTCCTGTGGCCGATTTTCTTGCTTGGGACAGGTGCTGTAACACCCGCTGACCAGACAGCGTTCACCAACGCTATTGTATCGTGCGCCCCGAGATCAGGTCCGGGCACTATTCAACGAACTACGCAACTACTGCATTGGGCTTGGGCGCCAGATACCGAGCTCGAAGCGGGGTTCCTGGGCTCGGACATTATCCTTCGAACAGATATCCTCAGAAAGTTCTTCATGTGAGGAACAATCTTTCGGCCGTTTGTGGCCCTTCCATGAAAATTCCGTACGATCATGTTAGGACATGACTATCTGCTCTTGACGTGATCGCTGAAGAGCTCGCCTCATCACGGTCCGATTCCATCCACCAAACGGAGTTCCCAAGCTCAATTGTACATCATACAGCCGATTGCATGAGCTCCTTTGCCATGGACAACCTCGATCGTAAATCTTATGCGACGTAATCTACCTGCAGCATACAATCATGCATATGCAGAGCTCTTATCTGTACATCAGCTACAGCCAAGAAGCCAGCAGAGCACCATCAGCAGAGCACCATCAGCAGAGCACCATCAGCAGAGCACCATCAGCAGAGCCCATGAGCAGGATGTTTGCCCACTCCAACGCAGCGTCGGGATACAACCAAGCATCCATCGCCCAGTGCGGGAATTTGCTGATCTAGAGCCAACTACTAATCAGAGGTCCACTGCTCTCCATACCATCGGCCAGCGCCTTTTGGCTGGCTGCCTTCGGAAGGCGTCCGACTTGCGTTTGTTCGGAGTGATGAACCGTTTATATCCTTTTGCCCGCGAAACACCCGTCGATGATCCAAAATCTTGCAAACGAGAATCCTTTTTTTCGCTCGAAGGCCGCAGACCAGAGTTAGTCAGCATATCACCTCGTTGTGCCAAAAGAAAAGTCCCCAGAGGTCCGCGTTTTTTGATCAAAAAATCCGTCGATAAGAAAAGAAAAAAGATTTCGCAAAGCTCGAGAAAAGAAAAGAATTGGTCAAAACTGCAATGCAATGCGAATCCAAAAACAAAAACCCGTCCGTCATCAACGATTTTCAGACCTGCTTTGAGAAGAGGAAAAAGAGGAAAAAGAGGAAAAAAGCGTTTTCCCGATCCCTACGTCAATCAGATCCATGGTGCATAATGCAGAGAAGTACCGGAATGAAAGCACTTTTTTTTTCCTCTCGCAGACCATTAAATCATCATCGCAAAAAAAAAGAAGATGATTGGGGATGCCAATCTCTCATTAGTCCTCGTTTGCCCTGTTACACAGCCTTTATTCCAACTACCCGAGCTCATCGCTTCGACGGTTCATGATATTGGTTGAAGGCGAGCTCTAACCAATTACGAAAACAGAAGAGTGAACATGTAAAGCACGTGTCGCAATAGACGGATGATGGTGTTTAGACTTGTGTATAACGAATATTACGGATTCCGGAAGTGTGATTGATAAACTCATGATAATCGAGCTATCCGATCAACTTGCAAAAATGTACAAAGAACACTTCTAGTCTCTACACCTTTGCCCTGACCCTTGCTTCTCTCCACATCCACTCCATATCAACCCTTACTTCCAAGCACCCAACCCAGCCCAAGGATCAGCCTGCCCCTGCCCCTGCTGTTGCGAATGCTGCTGCTGTTGCTGCTGACCATACCCCTGCTGTTGCCCATACTGCTGATGCGGCGGCGGGCCCGGAGGCGGAGGCGGCGGCACATAGCCATGCGGCAACATATTCTGCTGTTGTTGTCCCATCTGCTGTTGTTGTCCGTATTGCTGATTCTGGTTTGGCGGAGGAGAAAAGTATTGGTTTTGAGGTGCAGCGACTGGTGGGGAGTTGGGCATGCCGTAGGAAGTTGGTTTGTAGGAATAGCTTTGTTGTGGTTGTTGGGAATGCTGTTGATGCTGCTGTTGGTAGGATTGCTGGGGTGGTTGCTGGTGTTGAGGTTGTTGGTGTTGAGCGTAGTTTTGTTGTTGTTGTTGATGCTGCATGTAGGGTGATGGTGTGGGTTGCATGCCATAGCCTGAAGTCACTGGTGGTGAGGCGGCAGGGTTGTAGTTGTTGTACGAGTGCTGTTGTTGCGGTTGCATAGGTCTTGCAGGAGGCTGTGGTTGCTGTTGTTGATGCGGCGAAGATGATGGGTTCATGGACATACGATTCATCATCTCCTTGAGACGCTGCTGCTCTCTATCCGCGCCCCCACCTGATGAAGCCTTACCACTTTCGATCTGGTTAAGAAGCTGGCTTCCTTCTGCCTTGCGGTTGCCAACAAAGCCTTCGACGTTCTTGTACAGACTGTCGACTGTATCTTTCATCTCAGAGTAGAAATTCTTGGCGCGCTCAAGGCCAGCTTGCAGATCCATGAGTGCTTGATGCACCTTCTTATACTTGGACATGACAGTGCCACGTTGACGCGAGAAGGCTTCATATTTGTTTTGCTCTTGACGAACGCGCTTGTCCGACAGCAAATCACTGTAAGTGCGAGTGAGCTCCTTCATCAAGCTGTGTTGCTTGTGTTGAGCTTGCAGTAGTCGCTGTTGGTGCGGTCGGAACTTCTCGAGTTCGGTCTTGAAGAGCTGATTCTCCTGAGACATGGCCTTCTTGTTCAAGATCAGAACGCTCGAAATGTCATCGTTGTGAACCTGAATCGGGGATTAGCACGTAATTCTATCGATGAGGCCTCAGACAGACGAACCTTTTCTTTCAAATCCTTGAGCACCTTCTCACGCTCCCTCTTGATCAGAGTCAACTTCTTCAGCAAATCCTCGACAGCGGCTATCTGCTCAGATACGCTCGCCTTGTCATCATCATCAATGTCATCAATCAGGTTGCCTTCTGCCGCTGGACTCTTCGCGCCGGTCTTTCTTGCGGCGCCAACCTTGATCATGGCGCGTTGGTAAAGGACGTCTGCTTCGTCAGTCTCGCCAGCAGAGCGCATCTCTTCCATATCCGATTCGTGCTGTCTAAAAGAGCTATACAGCTGCACATCACTCATGCTCGCCTCTTCGACTGCACTACGGTAGTTGCGGATATCGCTGCGAAGCGTCGTGGTAAGGCGCGAGCTAGGTTGCTGGGTCCATTCGGCGCCGTACTTGTTCCTCATCTTCTCGCAAACACTCTCTTCCATGTCTAAGCTTTTCTGACACTGGTCGAGTATGCCATGGATGCTAGACTTGCTAGAGTCGAGTTGCTCAAAGTCTTGGGCAAACGGAGCATGGCCGACAAAGTCTTCGCACCACTTGCGGAAATCAGAATCAACAGCCATGTCTTGATCCAAGCCTCCCTTGAGGATATTCAGACTGTTGGGCAATTTGAGATAATCGAGTGAAGCGGCCATCTCGTCGTTGGCAATTTCGACGCGCTCGCTTTCTGCACGTACGAGTTTAGCCTTCTCCTCATCGTACATACTGGCAGACTCTGTGACGGCCATGGGAACAATTTTTTGGAAAATGTCGGGACCAACAATGCGATGAATATCCTGGCCTTGATACAACTCGCTCACTGGGATGGGCTTGGCCGCCGGAAGCTTTGGAATGGCAGGAAGAGCAGCCTCGGCGGGAGTGGACTGATGGTAGATGAAGTCGTTGTCCTTGTTGAATTGCTGCAGCTTTTCGTCGCATGCGGTCAGATGAGTCTTGGCCATGTTTGAGAGGATAGAAGCAGTATCCCCTGCCAGGTTGGAAGAAGCAGGAATGGAAGAAGGGAACGAGTTTGCGACCTTTGCAGCTTCGCGGGCAAGATTGATGGCGATTTCCAGACGAGTGATGGCGATACCGTGGGAATTGGCATCATCATCAGCAAGGGCCTGATAGTAGTGGGCGAGCGAGGTCATGTAATGTGTCTTGAACTGGACAAGAATCAACCAGACGCGCTCGAAGATGGCCTTGGCGACGTTCTCCTGTACACCTTCGAGTGCCTGGGTGTACAAGTATGCAGCCTGACTGGCGAGCTTAGCCATGAGGCCAACCTTCTTGCCATCGGCGATTTGCTTCTCCAAAAAGACCTCCTGGCCTTGGGCGAGCATGACGGCAATGAGGGTCTTGACTGTGTCTCTGCTCAAATCGGTCGAGGGAGCGTGTAGGAAGTTCTCATTGATGTAGGTGAACATGCCGGCCGAAGCCTGGAACGAGTGGTAGGCAACCTTAAGCATGGTTTCCTGGTTGCGGTCCTGGTGGGCGGCGTGGCAGGAGAGGACGGCCGAGATGTTGAAGATGATGGAAGCTTTCTCATAGGCGAGCGAATATTGCGAGGTGGGTTTGTGTGTAAAGGCGTCGAACCTGCAGAGGTCATGGTCAGTAGGGTATACCCATGTCTTAGTAGGCAGAGACGGACCAGGTAAAGGAGATCTTGATATGATTTTCATCGACAGGGAAGCGCAAGTCCAACAGTTCCAGCTGACCGTAGTAGCGGTAGAGCAGGTCTCTCCCAGCAGCCGAGTCCTTGCCGGCGCCTCGCATGTCCTGGCGGAGACGGTTCAGGGCGGCGCATTCGTCGGCATAGCGTTCCGGGTCGTCGCCGTAGGTGGTGCGGATGTATTGCTTGAGCGGAGCTATCCAGTCTATCTCGTTTGTCACCTTGAGCGGGCATGACAGCATTGGTGTTTGCATCATCTTGTCGTGGTTGTGTGGCTATGTGGCCGCTATAGCATGGCTACGCGGGTGGGGTTGATCGCGCTTGCTGCAGTGGCTGCTGTTGTTGCTGCCTGGAGTTTGGTTTGGTTTCCGAGTCTTCGTTGTCGGTCTCGGATCCTAGTTGTTTACGCGGCAGCGAGTAGATTGCGCAAATATGAACTCGAGTGGATGTGTGTGTGTGTGTGTGTGCAAGAGATGCAGCTAGATGGCTAATCAATCACGGCCGCCAGCTGCAACTCCTCCGATGCCCAATCGTCATGCTCCCGCCCGCTTTGACGCTCGCCCTACTAACATCAATCTGACACACCCGCAGACACCACTCTATACAATCTACAGTCAACCATCAAACGGCACTCGTCTCGAGAGGAGAGTCTATCTGTCTATTCTCTGTCTGTTGTTACATTCCTCTAGTCAAAATGTACCACTCCACCCGAGCTTCCTTCGCGCTCAAATGCTCCAACCCAATCGCTATAATATACATGATTTGTACAATTCTCTTACATGTCGTCCCCTCTTCTTCTTTAGCTTGATCCAGACTTCTTCTTGTCGTCCTCTTCTTGCTTCTTGGCGTCTTCGTTCTCCTTCAGGTGGTCGTGCTGGTGTGTAAGTCTGTGCCATGCTGACTTGAGAAATCCTTCGTTCTTGTGCAAGTCTTCTTCGCTCGTTGCTGTATCTTTCTTGGCGTCCTCTGCCATCTTTCCGAGGTTCATCACGCGCTTGGCCGTCTTGTCGCTCATCTCGTCTGCGAGCATTTCGACAATCGTCCTCTGGTTGACACTGAGATACTTGGGCATCTGCACCTTATACTCAACCCGTAGATCTCCGTTGTTGCCGCGTCGACTGTTCAATTTCCTCATACCCATGCCAGAAAGTGTGATGCGGTCGCCGGTTGCTGTGCCTGTCGCGACCTTGACCTTGACTTCGCCATCCAGCGTAGGGATGGGGATCTCTCCTCCGAGAATTGCTGTCGTGAGCGGTATCGATGCTGTGTAGAGTACGTCTGACCCATTGCGGCTGAACTTTGGATCGGGTGCGACTCGAACAAAGACATACAAGTCGCCATTCGCCGTTCGTGCCTTGGGGTTGGCGGCCTGACCTGTCGGTGGGAAGTCTCCTTCTTGTGACACACGCATTCTCATGCCATCCTCGATACCTCCAGGAATGTCGATTGACACGGTTCTCTTTTCACGGACTGCACCCTCTCCCTTGCAGCTTCCGCAAGCACCATTTTTGGGAATGGTCTGACCTTGACCTCCGCATGCTCCACAAGTGCTTGCCATCTGGAAGCCACCCTGCATAAAGTGTACCCGTTGACCAGAGCCATCGCAACTCTTACACGTCGATCTTGACTGACCCTTCTTCAAGCCATTCCCTTCACAAGTTTTGCACTTGACCAGAGGGTTGATGTGGATGTCCTTGGTAATGCCTTTGGCTGCGTCGAGGAAAGAGATGTTGGTCTGAACCTCGATGTTCTCTCCGACCAGAATCTCTTCCTGGAATGGCGAGGCTCTTCCGCGACCTCTTCTCGCACCTCCTCCACCAAACGCACTGAATAGATCCTCGAAGTTGATGTCGCCAAAGCCCTGAGCACCTCCAGCACCACCGCCTCCGAAGCCTCCAAATCCGCCGAAACCGCCACCAGCAAAAGGATTGCCTCCAGCGCCGGCGCCGGGATTGAAGCCTCCACTCTGGTCGAAAGCGGCAGAGCCGTAGGTATCGTATGCTTCCTTCTTCTTGGGGTCGGAGAGAGTCTCATAGGCGGCCTGGGCTTCGGCGAACTTTTCCTTGGCACCAGCGTCCTTGTTGGTGTCGGGGTGGTATTTCTTGGCCAAACCGTAGTAGGCCTTCTTGATTTCTCCAGTAGAAGCAGATTTGTTTACTCCGAGAGCGGCATAGGGGTCCTTGGCCAGCGTCGGAGCAGTGGCGTGGAAGGTCTACGGGTTCGATCGTGTTAGCCATCAGTGGGTCGGCAATAGCAGTATGTCGTAATACTTACCCTGGCTTGAGAAGGTCGACGGGGCACATGGCGGGCAGATCTGGTCGAGGGAGCAGTGTGTAGTTGTCTGGATTGGAGAGTCGACTGCGAACGTTCGGGATAGACTTGACAAGACGGCCTCGATGCAGCGAGGATACGGAGCGGGGCGGCCGCCTTGGGAAGCAAGCCTGGAGCGGCCAGACTCATGGCGATTGTGCTGACTTGTGCTTGTGCGAAACGTCGGTGTTGCGACAAGAGGCTGAAGGAAGTCGACAGTGATTAGGATCAATTGGTGGTCTCGCGGAGAGATGCTCGCGGTACGGAAACTTTTGGGCATGCGGCAGCGCGAAACATGTCAAGTCGGCTTGGCAGTGGTCAGCGCATGCCCGCCGATGCCCACCGAACCTTCGAGATGCTTGTCACAAGAATTCCACCGCTATGACCGGCACCGGGGAACCCTGATGGCTAGTGTTTTCGTTTGCAAACATGTTCAAAGCTGATATTCTGTTCCTTGGGTATTCTATTCGTGCTGGTCTCGTCAGAATGCAAGCCAATCCTCACTATCCTCCGGCTATAAAGTCCTCCACCTGTTATTATCCGGCAGCAAGCAAAAACGCCAAAAACTCCGCATGGTGATGATGATGGTGATGCCGCCTGGTCCTGTTCGTTCAATCTATCATATATGGTATATCCAAAAGACGCCGTTCTTCGTTCATATGCTGTCTGACACGTGAGGTCTTGCTTCACTTGTTACTTTTGTTGGGTGCCGATCGAAGTCGGAACGCCTTGTCTGAAGAGTATTCGCGTCAGCACTCTGGGAAAAAAAATGAAGCACTTTGCACGGCAAGACATACCCTGATTGCGGACTTTGTACAGCAGATCGACCATAACGTCAATCTCATTGACAGCCGCATCGTTGAAGTTTTTCCTCACAGCCAAGGCGAGTTGTTCTTTGGGCACCTTCCTCTTTGCTTTGCGCCGTGCCATGGTCGGCGACTGTCTGCCAATGCCCGGGTTGCTGAGCAGGAACTGGTTGCGTATCGAGTTGAATGCCGAAGGTGTTTCCATGCGATGTGCGGCGCGGTATTGCTGTAGCAGAGACAGGTCTTCTTGTGCCCATGTGAACTGTGCCTTCAGGTCAGCCTCTTTGTCTACCGACACAGCGTCTGAGCCCTGACGATGGCACTCACTCCGTTACTAGACGAGGCACTCTGTGTCCCGGTCGCGTCGTTCACGCTCTTTGCATCACGTAGGTTGCTCGTGCCGTTCGGGCGCTTATTCTTCGCGGCAGTGTGGTTGGTCTTTGAACTCGAGCCGTCGGATCTCGAGTCGTTGTCGTGATGCACGACGCGCGATCCTTTGGGAGGCATGGTGTCGTTCGTTGTTCAAAGATTCGAGGGTAGTATACACGTCGTCGGCGAGGTCAGGTGCATGTTTGGTCGGCGGTGATCACCATAAGGTATCCACTCGGTTGTTGCGCCGCAGACACCAGAACATGACTGCACTTTTCTGAACCAGTGACGCAATTGGCGGGCCGTGCTTGAACCCTTCTCCATCCTGCCGCCTCGGCTCTCGCTCTGCGCCATCTCCGACATTTAATTGCAACGAAGATAAATAGAATCAAATCTTGACGTGCTTGCTTCATTCTTCTCCATAACTTGTGCTAATTCAATGGCTAGTTCCATTCTTACCACTCGTGTCCATTCTCCTATCACTTTTACATCCAATTTATCCATTGAGGTAGTTTCTGATAGCTCCTGTCGCTTCTGTTAGCTGCTGCCCAAGAACTTCATCAATCCCACTTGTCTTACCTTGCAACTTGTTGGTTCCTTCTCCCAACAAACTGGTAAGATTCTCAAGATCATCTCCTGCAGTGATTCCAAGCTTGCGTACAAAGTCCTTGGCTGCAGTCTCAATATCTCCGTACTCGCCCTCGGGCATCTCATCCTCGGGTCGTCCAAAGTATGCGTTAGATGAGATAGACTGGGCACCCTCGAACCCTTGCAGGCGAGACTTGGCTTCTTGTTGCGAGTTGGAGTCGAATGTGCCTCTTCCAAAGAATTCGTCCGATGAAATACCCTTCTGTGCTCCAAACTTTTGGCGAGCAAACTTCTCTGAGTCGTCTACAAAGATATGTGTCAGCTTCGTTTAACACACATGATCGCGTCATCTCTTACCCTCCGTTGCCCTAGTGGTGGAACCAAAGCCCATCTTCTTGGGCGCTGCGGCAGCGGGGGCACCACCGCCAACCTGACCGAAGCCAAGCTTGCGGACAGCCACGTTGAGTCCCTCCACTTCCTTTTCCTTAGTCTTTCCGGTTGCGCCAAATCCACCACCTGATCGGGGATTGACAGGCTGCGGGCTCACAATGCTCGAAGTGGAATCTGGTTGTGCTGAGGTGATCTGGGCCTCGACGGGAGTAGCTTCGGCGTCAGGGTCGTAGCCCAGTTTTGCAATTCTTTCAGCCTCCTCACGAGCCTTGCGCTCTGCTGCGTCGAAGTCAAGGGCTGCCGGGTCGACCTTCTTTGCTCCAAGCTTCTTCTTTGCGCCTAGGATGTTGGCCTTGCGAGGAGCGGCACCGCCCACAGCAGTCTTGCGAGCAGCTGAGGCGGGAATTGCGCGAGCGGTAGGTGCTGCAGGGGCTGCTGCGTCGGCGGTCAAGGGCGACTTTGGTCGTGCAGCTCCATTGGCGGGAGCGTTGAGGAAGGGTGAGTTGGTACGGTTGATGCCGGGTGTGCCGGTACGAGACGGAGGGTTGCTAGGACGCTTGATGGTGGGCTTGTCCCAAGAAGAGAAGAAGTCGTCGTCGTCGCCTGCAGGGGTGCTCGTGCCGCTTGCGCCGGCCTCGTCAGCAAGGTCGGTGATGATGACCTCGTCGGGGTATCTAGAGCTCGTCAATCTCTGTCGCAAGCTTTAGATGACAGCGGTCTTACAGCTTAGCATCAGCTTGGCACCTTCGTGTCAGCTCGTCCTTGTATTTGTTTGCGGCATTGGAAGTGTATTTTGTCTTTGGGTCTTTGCTGGCGAGAGCGGCAGAGCCACCATGGCTCTGGAAGTATTTGGTTGCAGACTCGTTACCGCCGACCTTGAAGGTGCGAAGCTGCTCCCATTGCCAGACTGGACGTGTGGTGTCAGTATAAGTGGGTGGGGGGGTATGCGGAGAGTCGGACTACGCACTGTCGAGGTTGGTGGAGCGAACGAAGGAGATGTGGACACCGAGGTTTCTGTGGTGGGCGGAGCAATCCAGGCAGAGATAGATGCCAAAGGGAACCGACGACCAAGTAGGGTTTTTGGCGCCGCAGTCGAAGCAGATCTGGATGGCGTCAATACTGTGGGACACGTCGAGTGTTTGGTGGTAGGCGGCGCACCTTGTTGGCCTGCTTCTGCTTCAACTTCTCAAAGATCTTCTGCGACTGCGTCTTGGTAGCAAGGGCGGCCATGTTGACGTCGGAATCTTTGAACAAACAGACAAGGGGCTACGTTGTAGCAGATCGAGTATTCTAGAGGTGAGAGTACCGTGCCCCTGTGTGGAAGAGGGTCCAACAAAGCCCAACGCTCGAATCGCCCATGAATCTGCACAGCTTGACTATTATTACATTTGTCTGATACTGTCTATTCGTTCTCTATTCGTCAGATCTCGTCTTGGACTGACTAACGCATCTGTCTCTAATGTCTGCCTCATCAATCGTCTTTCCTCGGGTCGTGTATCGAGGTTATCATGTAGCTCTCTCTCTCTCTCTCTCAGCATCCCGTATCAGCTGGCCACCTTCTCCGTCGTTGCCGCAAAAGCCGTCCGTCCTTACAGTCATCAGCGTCCTCACTCCTAAAACTTCTACCATGTACATACACTGCCAATTGGCAACCTGAACATATTGAGCTATGAACACCAAGCAGTCGAGTGTGTTTGTGAACGATCTTGGACAGGCTGCTGCGCTTGTAAGCTACTTTTGCAATGTCCACTATTTATCAGTCACTGACCATCTTCCAAGATAGCAAAGTCGTCTTGGGAACGTACCGTGTCCGCATGGCTCTATGTGCCTCTCGGTGTGACCTGTATTCTGGCCGTCTGCTTTGGTGTCCACTGTCTGATATCTCTGAGCTCGGTGTCGTTCCCTGCGTCTGTGGCTTGCATGATCGGTCTGTTCCTCATACTGGTCTTGCTCCAAGGTATACTAGGCGATCGCAAGACAAAACAAATTGTAGCCTTGATTGAAATTCCGGTGAGTTTGTTTTTGAGTTCTCGTTTCTGAGTTGTTCTTATTCTTATCAGTGCGGCTTCGCTTTACGATATATCAACATCTTCTTCTGTCCGGCGTTCGTTACCTTGCCTCTCAGTCCTGCCATAAGCGGTGTCGAAGTCGCAAAAATCATAGCCGTGTTTAGTCGGTGTCCCCCTCCCCCTCACGTTCCATCTGACTCCTGCTAACCCCGTGCAGTCATTGGATATGTCGCGGTTTTTGCTTTTACAGCATATATGGTCCGAGGTCTACAGCTCGCTCTCGGCACATCCAAGCGTGCCATGACAGAGCGAGCTGAAGAACTTGGGCGTGAAGATGACAACATTCCACTAACTCAGATGAGGCATGACTCGACCGCTAGCGAGTTGCCCGCTGTGCAATCGCTTTCAGCTCAGACTGCTCTGGACGAATCATCTACACCATCTCCTCCGAACGGGATCGCTGATATTCAAGCGCCTCTGAAGGCCATGAATCCAGACTCTGTGATTGGCACTGGTGGACCACCCGTGGCCAGTAACGCAACTATATCCTCAACCGTTGGCACATCAGTTCGTCACAACGCTGCACCTTTGACCCGTCCGCAACGCTGGGCTGCCTTTGTCAGCGTGAACTTTGACATGCTAACTTATGGCGCTCTGTTTCTCTTCGTTGGCATACCTATATACTATGGGGTCGGGTATGCTATGCCAGTCCAGCTGTCTCTTAACGTCGTCTTCTACTTTGCCGCCCTACGCCTACCTCCCAAATATAGGACATATCTGCATCCCGTTTTGGTCTCATCTGCATTCACCATCCTTGGAATCTGGATTCTTGCCCTCATCCGACGGAACAGTCTCGCGGACGGATTACACGCATACACAACAAGCACAAAATATACGCAACTTTGGGACAACGACCAAGGCCTTAAGCCTCCAGGAGCAGGAGACATGTTCGGCAGCGTCCTCGACGTCAGTATCGTGGCCTTGGCTCTTCCCATGTACAGATACAGGAACGAGCTCAAAGCTCGATTCGTGAGCATCATTGTGCCCAATGTGATTGTCTCAATCGGATCACTATTTGCGTATCCGGTGTTCTGTTACCACATTGGAATATCTGCGCCGCGCGGTCTGGCATTTGCATCTCGAAGTCTGACGCTTGCTCTGGCGACACCGGCTACCAATAACTTGGGTGGTGATCCGTTTACTATTGCGCCTCTGTGTATTTTCAGTGGCATAGCTGGTGTTATAGTAGGACCAATTGGTCTGGATCTGCTCAGGATTCCTAAAGGTATTTGCCCGTATCTTTCTCGGCCAACACACCAATGCACGAAAATGCAACGAGGATCATTCCAGCTGACTCTGTTGTTCTTAGATGATTACATCACTCGAGGCATAACCTTGGGAGCTAACAGCTCTGCTGTAGCGACAGCGCTACTCCTGACCACCGATCCTCGAGCGGCTGCTTTCTCAAGTCTGAGCATGGGATTGCTGGGAACTATCACAGTCGCACTTACTTCTGTGCCGCCTCTCGTCCACATCATCCGTAGTCTTGTAGGCTTGAGCTGAAGTACTGACGCAAATCAGTCCGACAGCAATTATCATTCTATCAGCTGCACCATATACACAAGTCGACAACAGATTAAGGCTATCATCAAAGTATTTTGCTTTGATTCGCGGTTGTTACGTGTCAGAAGTAGACACGATAAAGTCTATAGGCAGACAAGAAATCCCAGAAAGCCGTGAATCCCACGACTCTTGAAGGGAATGCAACATTTCTATCTTTGGCGAAATTATTTTGCATCCTTGATAGCGTGCTGGAAGCCTTGTACAAGGCAATATGCAGAGAAAAGTGCTGCATCCCTCCCTCGTTCTCTCCTCCAAAAAAAAAAAAGAAAAGAAAAAGAAAACGCATGTTCTGCAGATCGGTACCGATAAAAGCTGCACGATACTCTTGCACGTATGTTCAGGATTTCGGAAAAAGAATACTCAGCAACCAGGGTAGGAAGGAAAGTTGAGGTCTAGTCTTTTCTTCGGCATATAGTTCTTTTTACCTTCCTGAATTCCGATCTCGTTTTGGACAAAAGCTCAAACTCAAGCCTAAATGATCATGTCATGTTCTTGCAAATCTGGTTTGATGGGAACAGGATCGATTGAAGTACAAAACTATCGTGTGCTGTCTATCTACACCAATATGCTGTGCCTCTCGAGCAAATGCAACAAACACTATCTAAGTTTATACAATCAACGAGGCATCTCACCAAACACAAAGCTGCCTCTAATGGACAACAAACCCAAAAGTCTTTGTATGTCTCTCTCGAGAAGTAGGGAATCGTGTTCAATATATGAGACTTTTACATGTAAAAAAAAACAAAAAAACAAAGGTCGTTTATACATATCTACTATTACATCATAAACCTTCTCTACTTTTTTTCCTCTACTCTGCTTTTCCTGCAACAAAGGTCTATAATTCTCTGGTATAGTCATATTTCTATAGCTATAGTTCTTGGATAACGTAGTAAAGTGTTCGTCGTCTTCTCTTTCTCGTTGGGTTCGATATATGTGGAATATATGTGAGCGTGTTTGATTAACGAGACTTTACTAGTAGTTATTTCTATATCTTCATTGATGGGTATTCTATACTAGGGCAAGAAAGTTAATATAATCAAGACCAAACCCTTTTTGAGTCTTCTCATCTGCCAGTGTTCTAGTATTTTGAACTAGAATAGACGTTGCTCCAACAGAAACAGACTCTGTGTCTTAAGAAAACAGATGTCGCCAAAACAAGACGAATATGATTGCAGAAGATAGAAAACATGTAGGATACTTACACATGTGCTCTCCTGAAGAGGGCAAGTATGTCAAGACCTCTCCTCACCCCTAGTATATTTTGAAAAAGAAAGCTTGTTCTAAAGGTATGCATAAGCAGGAAGAGACTTGGGTATACGTGTCTAGTGCCTTGACGAAGAAACTCTTGACACATGAAGCGATACATTTCTATGACTAGACATATCAATGTGGCTTTTTTTCTATTGGTCAATCTTTGATGGACTCTTTACCATATGGTGGCAGCATTTGCTATACACTACCTGTCGCAACTGCGAATCAAGTTCTGTTTGGAGTTGCGGAAGTCTGGAACTTGAACATGCTTCCGGACTCAATTACCTTGCGAGAACAGAGGGCATCACACGAACTAAATCAATGTGTGTGGTATTGAAAATGGTATTCGCTCAAAGGAGAAAGGACTTTTGTGAGATGGTCTCGTCATCATGATTCCCAGCCAACACCTCTTGTTCTTGAGCCTGTTGACGCTGGATTCAGTTGGATGCTGTGTGGAAGCCACTCCACCATCTTCAGCATAGCTAGGGCAGCGCACAGAATCTTTAGTCACTAGAGCTTAGAGCAGATCCTACAGTATGCCTCTTACGCAACACGCAATACAAGCCCATTGTGCGTGCCCTGCGATCTGCGGATCAGATGCAGCATTGACTTATCACATCAGTGCAGATCTTAATGAACATGTTCATCCTGCGGATTGTAGCTACCTGCCATGACATGTTTGCGTCCGCTCGTCTGTAGACTGTAGCCTGTAGCGTACCGAATTGTCAATTACACTGATCGATTACAGTGGGATCTTCATGGTAGTCGAAGCGTGCTTCAGAGCTCTCCCGCTCTCGACCGTCTGACAATGCAGCTTGTGATTGTATGACCGAGACTTGATGTTCGAAGCGATGAGCAGGACATAAGACGGTCAATGTTATGGAGCGAGTCCGAGCGGTATGCCTGAATCAGTACGGCCAAGCCAAGTGTTCGTGTGGAGACTATGATGGAAGTGTCGTTCATGCTCCGCCCTTTTCAAGATCGTCCAATAATCTTAGCTCTTCCTTGTATGACCTACATTGATTCAGGAATCGTCATTGCTCTCGCGTCCTTGCTCGGTCTTCGGTGTTCGGTTTAGTCCGGCGCTGTGGATTTCTACTGATCTAGTAATGTTCATCCTGAAATGTTGTAGCGGTCTTACATGTGTTGTGTCGCCAATCGTCGTCAGATAGCCGCGGTCGATTTCACGGTTCCAGACGCTTGGTATCGGACCGCAGAGCAGTAGTAGTGTCGGCGGAATATACCAGAAGTAGCCAGTGCTCAAGTATTGGCAGAGACATTGGTGGTGGTGAAGAGACTCCTCAGTTACGTGCGTAGAGGTTCTGGGCCGTGAGTTTCCGGGGGGGGAAGGGGAAGATATTGTTTCCACCTAGAATCCTATAATCGAGAAATTGGATTCTAACATCGATTGTCCGTTGTCGTTGTGAAAAGGTTGGTCGATCCGGCATCGGCTGTCCTCGCGGCTAACTCGTATTTGAAAGACAACGTCAAAAACATGCAGTCGTAAGCGCGTGCCTGATCAAAAGAGGCCAGACAGAAACGGCGTTGCTGCTCGATGCGAAAGGGCAGGAAAACGGCGGCGGTCGAGGCGAGAACGCCCCCAAACGCCACGATAAACGCCTCTCACTCAAGGAGGTCGAGCCGGGAAGAAGCCACCAAACGGTATGCCCGTTATCTCGCCCTCATCAACCCTTTGCGGAAAATGGTCGCTCTTGATTGTGCTTCAGGAAACAAACTGTCATGACTCGGCATGGTATGACTCCGTATGTCTGATGGCAATCCAATGGATATGCGTTGCAAAGTTCAGGGTCAAAGGCGACAGAACTCAAATCCTTCTCGCAACGTTGTAAACAACAGACGCGATGCATGCCGACGTCAGCCGGGGACGAATCAAGAACACGCCGAAGACATCATTATGAGTTCACAAACCTGGCTCGGCATGATTCAATACCGTATGCCGGCACTTTAACCAGCGAACGGGCACGAAGGCTGGTTCTCGGCGGTCCGACGTTGTTGGTCCTCCGGCGACTGCGGCGAGACAGGACAGCCAATCGCCAGCCATGGAGTCAGCAAGGCACCGATTCGGGAGAACGCGGTCGAGACGATGACAGCGATAGCCCTCTTCTGGATAGCGGGTATTCTTTCTCTCACCGGGAGGCAAAGTTTCGGGACACGGTTTGTTGGTGTCAACCCTGCGATTTGTGGCCGAAGCGTACTCCGGAACATGGAGGCGGAAGCTTTAGGTCAAGGTATTTGAGATAAATGTTCATCATCATCGCGCGAGGTCAGCGGCGATGACAGTGGACATTGTTGACTCAACTATGATGGAGTTGGCGCAAAGCTCGTTGGGACAATCGGTCGCCACGGTGTTGCGACAGCAAGTGCGAATCGAGAGTTTGAGGAGGCAAGAGCAAAACACAAATCCAAGGCAGGAACAATGCAGGTCGCGCTGTAGTTGCATGAGAACAGAAAATTCACAGCTATCTGATTCCGACAAGGGGGTATATGGATATAGTACTCAAAAAAAAACAGTGCAACTCAGATGCAAACAGGAAAAGAAAAACACAAGAGTACAAGTAAAGGGAGGGGTAATCAACATTAGTACCAAAAACAAGGAATCCAGCCATGTGATGTCCTGTGCAAACCCATCGGCGTCGATACACGTAAAAGCAAAATGAAGGAAATCTAAAGATCAAAGGACCAAAGCCTGCCGACAGAAATCCCGCCCCCCAAGGTGCCTTCCAGGACTCCTCGCTAGGAATGATCTGTGAGATAAAACTGAATAACGATTAAGCAATTGCGCAAAGGCGTAGCCGAGCGCTGGGTATATAGTGTTGTAATGGTTGTGAAGCGGGTATATGTAGACGAATGCGCGCGTGTAGTGTGCATGTGTTTGTAGTGTTCTTGTTCGTTCGAGCTTCAGCAGAAGTCATATTGGTGTCCAGCCTGGTGTGTCGTGGCTTGCAGCATGGCTGTATTGTGAGCATGACTGTTTATTGTTGGCCCTCATCGTGATCGTTTTTGGTATCTTCGTGAAAAGAGTCTCGTCTGTGCTGGGGGGGGCTCGTCATCGTCCCCGACTCATCCTTCTAGTATGGTCTGGATTGATCTGGTGGCTGAGTGGTGGGAAAGGTCACTCCTCCGGACGTCTGATATGGGTTGGCCAACTCTCCAGGATACTGCTGGTGCTGATGTTGGTGCTGATGCTGATGCGTTGAGGCGTACGGCTGTCCAGGCTGCGGAGGACGGATAGCCAGGTTTGGATGCGATTGTGCCATGTACGGACTGGGTTGTTGTGCTGCACGCAAATCGATAGGGTTTCCTAGAGGTTGCTGAGGATGGCGCCCAATCTCGTGATTGGGATTGCTTGAAGGCTGCTGTAGAAGCGTCTGAGGAGGGAGGGGCTGGTATGCTGATTGTCGATATTGCTGGTACTCGAACTGCGGAGCTTCTGACATGGCGCCGTAAGCCTGTTGCAACGGTTGCTGCTGCATAGAGTAGGCGGGTGCCGCCTGAATCAAACCGGATCTAGTAGACGAGGCGGGGCTCGCAACTGAGTGAGCTTGTGTGTGTTGTCTAGCCATGGCCGTAGAATCTTGTTCAGTGCTGTAGGTAGACGGTCCTTGTAGGCTGCCACTGGTCGGAATATACATAGGGCCACTAGGACCTTGGTACGGGGTAGTTGGGCTTTGCTGCTGAGCCAATGACATGTATGAATCGGTACTCCTCCGCGAGTAAGCAGGGCCAGTGTCGTGCCCCATGGGTGGTGCAGGCTGCATTCCATAGCTTGCAGCTCCTGGACTTGGAGCAATGCCCTGCGCGGTATCAATACTGCCCTCTAAGAACCTCGCTGGTGCGGGTATAGAGCCGTGCGGAGTGTTAAATACCTGGGGGTGTGACCAGCCAGGAGGTGCAGTCGGGGTGCGCGAGCCAAACGAAGTCTGCGGAGATTGCAGCAGAGCTTGTTGCTGCAGACTGTAGGGGGCAGGAGGCATGTTCTGCGGAGCTGTGCGAGGATCGTATGCTAGAGGGGGTCTTTCTGCGATCGAATAGCCCTGTGACGGGGCGTGGTCGTTTGAGCGATGTCTCTTGTTCGGGTCCTCGTCGTAGCCAAAAAGCGAAGGTCCTGCTTGAGCATTGGTTCGGGGAGAATATGGAAGAGTGCGTTTAGAACTGTCGTCGCTCGTCAGCTCTGGGGGTCTTCTTTTAGCACTTAAGCGTGTGCTTACCCGGCTACATTGCGATTCTCTTTGCGCAAGCGGAGTCGCACGCCCTGGTCCGAGAAGGTTCTGGAGAGATGCGTGGATTCAACAAGGCCCTGCCACTGCTTCGCCTGCACCACGTTGAAGGGCTCGGATGTGATGGACTTGAGGAAGACAACCTCTCCAGTATCCTTTCTGAGCTCGAACAGACTGAAGTTGAGCTTGTGCCTTCCCAGCACACGGATTGAAATGTCTCCGAACACGAAGAAACCGCCATCTGACGTTGCGCAAATGGTTAGCCATGAATGTGTCACACGTCCGAGTTGATCGCGCGTGCTCACCTTCGTTATTAATGTCTTTAAGTCTGTGAAGAGATGATACGCTTTGGCCAGTGATCTCCTGACCAGCAGCGACTTGTGAAGTGGAGCTTTCGCTCGAGTTAGATTGTTGTTCCACCTGAAGAGTGCATTGCATGAACAGGTAGGGGCTTTGTAGGAATTGCCTACAAACAATGTTAGCTTTGCACAAACGCGTCATGCTGCTATGCTGTACGTACTTTCCAGGATCCGCGCTGGACGTCACCTTCAATTCAATGATCGGTGGAGGATCCACCGGTTTTCTGTCTGTGTACGCCATCGTGATTAGCGAAGCTCAAGGCGGCTGACGTGCTGGGACGATTGCTTACTTTTTTCTTTACCTGTCTGTGTTACCAGGGCTTCCCTTGGTTGTTGGCGAACCACGAGCTCATAATCGCCGCTGTGGGACAACATTGTTAGTTTGGACTGTAGAACCGTGGTAAAAACAGATGTATCGCTGCTGGGGGCTTGGCGCGACTGTTGCAGCCTTACCTATCCAGCGCTCGATTGCTGGAGGGTGGTTGCTCTGGCTGAAGATGATATGGGTAGTTCATCAGAATCCAGCATGTGAGGTGCTCTCCGACCGAACTGCACTCTCAAATCGACCTGGCAGAGCGTCCTGTTGCAATCTGGCCTGGACTGATGGACGAGGTCGGGAGCTTCCAGTTAGATGAAGACAAGACAAGAGGCACGGGAGCAGGCGAGTAACCACTCTTTCGGGCCCTGCTCGAATGAACACAGTGGTCCTGACTCTGTACTCGTTGATTGGGACGCGTCTGGCGGGAGAGTCGCGTTTAATCGATTCCGGGTCTGACGTATGAGCTTCGGACAGGTAGAGATGGGCCCTTTCGCAGCGCGGGGAGATGAAAGGATGATCGAGTTCGCGGAGAGGGATTGTCTCAGCGATGTTAGATGCGGCTCAGAGGTTTCCATGCGCAGCGACAACAGAGATGCAGGATGTTGTGATGATCAGTGGTGGTGGTTGGAGGTCCGTAAACGTTAGAATGGCAAAAGTCGCATCCAAGCAGGTGAAGAAACGGTTCGCGTGATCCTTCCTCTGCGCACGAGTATGCGGCGTCGAATTGGTAGAAGCTATCAGACGTTCGAGAGCGGGTCGGCAACCTTATGGGAAGGCTTGCAGGTGACGAAGTCAGGACCGCAGAGCAAAAGGCTGACAGGCAGCAAATAGTTACGTCTTCTCGATCGACGACGAGATGGTTGCGGGTGGCCTATAGATGAGGGCTGTGACCGGGACGAGCCAGCGGAACTGATCCGTGGGAACGTGGTGAGCAAAGCGTGGTCAACTGGCCTGTGCAAAAGACAAGCTGAGTCGAGTCCTGTGGTACGGGGCTCGTACAAACGCACGCCTAAGCTTCACAGTGCTACTGTATCTGGATCGACAAGTGCAGAGCTGCGGTACAGCAGTTGGGTTGCAGGCGGAGGGTTAATGCGGGCCTAGGGACGCCGTGGTTCGCACAGGCGGGAGGGGCAGCAACCGTCGCGGACAGGTGCGAAATGGTCGAGGCGGCGCCGGGGAGCGGTGCTTGTTGATGGTAGGCTGGCCAAAAAATGAAAAAAGGGCTGAAGAAAATGGCGGCTGCCGAATGGTATTTCTCGTGCTGCGCAGGAATGAGTACTTGAATCGGATGGTAGCTTCAGCACGAAAGGGCACTAACCGTGGGTGATGTTTGGAAAAAGTACCGGCCCTAGGCGCTGGTCGACGATCTGACTGGTTCAAAGTTGCACTCTTCCCGCGAACGATGTCTTTTCGCTCGATTCGCTACCAAAGATTCAAAATCCCGAGTCCTTGCAAGCGTCTCGGGAAGGCTTCACTGCACCCATATAATAACCCCCAAATGCCGAGTCCTACACAGTCACCGGATGTCGCTGAGACCTGACAAAATCCACTGTCTCAGACTTGAGACTAGGCAGAATTCATTCGGAGTCAACGTCTTGCCTTATGACTGGGTGGCGGCAATGTCCCAGATGGAATTAACGGTTTTTTGTCAGCCTTAAACGCAAAAATTCATGGTCAGACCTGGAGTTTGGCTGGTGGTTGCTGAAATGAGAAGGGAGATTGCGATCATTTCAACCGATCAAGCAACAACAGCAAGCAGCAGCAACAGCAGCAGCAGCAGCTCCAAGCCGCCGTGGCATGCTCCTTCAGGAAACGCCCCCTCAAAGAAGGGCACACCTAAGCATTCAAGAAGCCGCATCGCGCAGCGCAACGTGCCTTCCCTTCGGTCGCTCCGTCCGCTGTCCCTCACATGCAAGCACAAAAAGGAGGCGCCTCGCTCAGACTCGCTCCCTTGTTCCTGTCCCTGGCGCGCATCTGCTGCTGCTGCTGCTGCTGTTGCTGCTGCTTCCCTCTCGTACATGTATATCGCATGGACGAATATTGTCAGGGTCTCTAGTCGTCAATCAATCGCGTGCCTTCGGGAATCTCGCCGGGACGCGCGGGAGCTGCTGCTGTCAACGTGGGACGGCGATATGAGCTGCCCTCTCCCGCCGTCCATAACAGGATAGCCTACCGCAATGATATCAGCTCCAACCTGCCAAGATGCAGCGCCATCACGTCTGTGTGTCATGCAAGACATGGCCGTTTCGCACCGCGCTGTCCGGTCTCTGCGTCCTGACCTGTCAACAACATCCCTTTGCGCGCTCGGCCTCTCTGTCTCACTGCTTCGCTCGCACTTCGTCACAGCTGGATCGAGTGCCACTTCCTAGACAAATCATGCGGCGAGCCTTTTGTGCAGCCTAGGGTGCATCTAAGCGACCTTCGCCATCGCCGTCAATCGGGAGGTTGTGCATTCAACATAGCGCTGTCCCCTGTCAAAAGGACGTCGACATAGTGAACACAAAGCGCCACGTTTCCTCGCGGATGCGCGCAGTCGCGTGGCATCCTGGCTTACAGCTGCAGGTCGCCTGCAGCTCACAAGTCAGGCATTGTCATGGTTTCCGTTCGTCTCGGGTTTCGCAAAAGAAGATTAACGGTCAAAGACATTTCTCACTCAAATCTCCACGTGGGCTTGGACATAAATCTTCAATTCCGAACAGCCCTGCTTGACGTGCATTCAACCGACAGTCATCATGTTTATTAAGTCGTCTTGTCTGCTGTTTTGCCCCAAACCGCTTGCCCTCCACAACATCGTTCTATTGACAGATGATCGCATCGATCGCATTAATGCAAACAGACCGAATCACATCACCAGGATGTTTTCCAAATCTGTATGTCTATCCCACCGGGTAGCGCCTGAGGCTAACCCGGAAAAGGCCTGCATACATGCTTAAGCGATTATGAGGATTATAGAGGCCTTGTATCTGTGATATTATTGCTCTCGCTATCACCACCCATGCATGAACATTGCATAAGGAACATGCAGTGTGCTCACTGACGGTCAGTTGCTATTTCAGGCGAGTATGCAACACATCCCTAACCCCTCTTGCAAGATACTGTAGATGCACACGGCACTATTTTGAGACACGACTGTTGCAAGCGAGGCCTGTTTGGGATCTTTCTCCACAGATAATACTCCGTACGCATGTCATTTGACGAGTCAGGCTGCGGTTGACTTCAGACTTCAGCTATCGATACTCGTGCAGACCCGTCACATCTGCAGTTCATGCAGGACGCAGGGCAATCCAGGTGCTTGAGAGGCTCAGTCAGCAATCGACTTGATCGCTGAAGAATACGCCGCGCCAGACGCCTCTCCGACCTGAGCCGCTCCCCGCGTTTAGAAAGCGATTCGCAAAGACCACACGGGCGCGCGTCTTCCCCTCGTTGTCCGAGTGTCAATCAGGGAACCTGCATTTGTACTTCCACTCGAAACCGTCGTCGCTGCTGCAAGGAATGTCAATTGGGCCCGAAGCTTCCTCTGTTGAGAGGCTGGTCGGGCTATCACGAACAAAAAGGTTTGAGCTTCGGAACAACGTCCTTCGACAGCGTGCGCCAGCATTCCCGGATCGACGCCTAGCCAAGCTCAAAAGCACTGTACCTTTTGATGGCCTTCGCTTTACTTTATGCCGGACCAGCAAGTCCAGCACATCTCGTGCGTGAAGGAGGGAAGGAAGGTTTCTTTCGATACACGTGCAGCGCGCGCGTCTCACGAGATACATGCTTATTCTGTGTGACTCTTGCTTGCGGCTCGCCCGCTCGAGAATTCGACCTCGGCTATCGAGACGAGATTCTTTCGAAGCGCTCGTGTTCGTGAATCTTCTTCTTGTCACCGTTCTTCCAGTCTAGCTAGCACAGACTGCACAGCCTTGTAGATGTCTTGAACACTAATCTATCATGACCTTACGAAAACAAGTATAGATGTCCATATCAACCTTCGATCGACTATTGCGCACTTTTCCGCTACCGTTCGGTAGAACCTTAAACGCGCGCCGCGCTCCCGAAGCCAGCAAGAGCAAGCCTCGGTGTGTGGAGAAGTCTTGGTGGAGTCCACAGCGTTAGCACCGGTTTCCTTGCTCGCACTTTACCCACCAGACAAGCGTCGCGAAGTGTCTCACTATATCATATTCTGCGACAATTCTACGTTGTCAATCCCGTCGAGACATGTCTCTGATCCTTCTTCTCTTCTACGACGCGCCCACGCCGAAGACGAGGACCGGACCGGTTTCTTCTGGAAGCAAAAAAACGGGACGTTGCTCGTGATCTTTTCAGCCTCGAGGCTAACAGTAGAGACCCTCATGTCTTGAATCCCTCACAGCGAAAGATGCTCCACCGTAAGGGGCGCCTCGGCTTAGCACTATCGACTCCAAGGACCGATTCGGATGTGCTTGTCATCGGACATTCCTCTTATGGCGGCGCGTTCTTCGTTCGTCTTTGAGCAGCACGTGGCATCCGGATTCCGAGATCAGCCTCTCGTGCATGGCCGTCATATGACATGCTGAAGCCTGAGCCTCGCTGTCATGGGCTTGCGCGTGAAGTTGCACGGCGTGCAATTGACTATATGAGCATTGAGCATACCAGATAAAACCCGAGACGAGAAGCCTATCTCAGGTACTGGTCATGTCTTGTGTAACTAACATGTCTCTGTCTTTTCGTGCCGTGCCGGCGACGTCACCCACCGATGAAATGCACAACGCGTGTACGAGTAGCTTCCGCGCGAAACAATGGAATGGCTCCTCGGCCCGCCCGAACAGGCAGACCGTTACGCACAGTGTTCAGCATCTTGAGTCACGTCTTGTTACTGCACAGCAGGGCGTACGGTCGGTCAGCGCTCTTGCAAGCTCCGGACACGGTTCGGAATACCAAGATCAAGCCATTCATGGTGGGAATGCCACCGACTCGGCGTGCAGCCACTTTCAAGATTCAACAATCCAACAGGCTGGCCGCTGGCTCGTAGTCTTGTTCAACAGCCTGGACTAGCCTGATTGCGTACACAGGGCCGATGTGCGATACGCAAGCTATGATGAAAGGGCTTGTGGTTGAACAATCTTAACACTGGTCAGCTGAGCAAGCCAGTCAGTGCTCACGCGAGTAATGATGCTTCCTAAGGCCTGCCGTGAGTCCTGTCAGGGTCCTGTGATAGATTCGTCCTGCGCGGGTGTGCGCGTCACAAACCGTCTTCTCCCATGGTTCTGAGCTTCCTTTGTGTTGAACTTTGGCCAACTCCATCCACCTACAACGGTCGTGTCCTCGGGAGCTTTGCGGCTGAGGACACCAGAGCATACGATCACTCTGGCTCGTTGTCATTTCAATGAGAGCTCATGGAAGCAGCCAGTCTCAAGGTTACATGTGTTTTCCAGCCTGTTCCTTGCCGTTTGGTAGGGTTTCTCACGTCCAGCACAGCACATAACATCACGGGGCAAGAAACAGAAACATCCTGCATACAAGTGTGGTCCAAGTTTGGTTCAAGGAGATTGGCACAGGATCGGAAACGGCTTGATCGCGGGAAATTAAAGGGCACAACTGGTCATCACCAAGATAACGACGACTTTTGATTCAGATCTTTCCACAACGCAAACGTAGAAAACTGCCATCTGAAGCACCCCGCGGCTCAGCTAGGTATGCATCAACATGTTCCATGCCGGCATCGTCAACTACCGTCGTCTCAAAGTTAGACCATACGAGGGCCACAATGGCCTTCATCTCCAGCACTGCCAGGTTGCTCCCGACACACATTCTTCCGCCAGAACCGAACGCCCAAAACCATCGTGTCTTCTCGCCACCGCCGTCCACACCACCTTGCTCGTCGAGCCAGCGCTCGGGACGCCAGCGGCCGGGTTCGGGAAATACCTCGGGATTTCGGTGGAGCGAGTGTGCTGCTGAGACAACTCGTACACCGGCTGGAATGCCGTGGACTTCGTCGCCTGGTGGGCCCAAAGTGATGGTCGCTGGTGTCACGCGCGGTTGCCCTCCTGGGATTGCCGCGTGGAGGCGCAAAGTTTCCATCACCACTGCGTGAAGCAACGGAAGCTCATCGAGTTCCTTCGAGGATGGCAAAGCTGTGGAAGACTCTGCAGACGTGGGAGGATGAATTGGCCGTATCGAAAGCAGCTCCTTCCGCAGTGCTGATTGTACCTCGAGGTTGCAAGGACGACTGAGTTCCCAAGCAAGGTAGGTCAGTGTAATTCCAGACGTATCGAATCCAGCGGCCAGATGGTCCAGCATCTCAGAGGCCAGGTCCAGCCTCTGCTCTTGGCTGAGCTGGCTGTTCAGCTTCTCTGCGCTCTTTTCCTGCTTCTTGAGCATGCTTCTCAGTTGACCGTACACAGTGGGATAGTATCGAGCAGATTCCGCCGCTTTCCCCGAGAGTATTGCAGCTTCTGCAGCATCGCACCATTCCAGGCATTGTTCCTCGATAGCCACGCTCTTTCGGTCCACCCAGTCCGGGATCAGCCATCCACCGAGACCGAGTTTGGAGAAGAGTTGGAACACATTTGGCATCTCTTGGATCCAAAACAAGTACGGCTGGCGGCTCTTGTAGTCGTGAAGCCATTTTGCGCCGACCTCTGGATGGTCGGTGAAGTTGGACCCCTGTTCAAGACCAAAGATGTACGAGGTCACGACATCCAAAGTCACGGCGGAAAAGAGCTCGTAGGCTTCCAAGACACCTCCAGGAGCAGCAGCGATCCTGGGAAGCATGCGACCGCATAGAATCGTTTCGCCGATTTCGCGGAGTGCCGGCGAGGCTTGAAGCGACGATTTGGCGTAGACGTTGCTAATCATGCGTTTCCGCGCAGAGTGAATGTCGCGCTTCTCCATGGAGAACATGTTGTGCACTCCTCCGTACGCTGAGAAGGCGTTGGAGTACCATTCGCCCTTCTCGAACCCTCCAGTGTACACCTTGTAGGCATCGTGTCAGCGACCGTCGAACCGCATCGTAGCATTTTGTCCAGGTGAATGCAGGAGCATAGGTAGCAGGGTGATACCAGAACCGAGAATCGCTTCCTCCGATGAGGCGTGTTTCGGCTCCTGAAAACCACAGTGTTTCTGAGCGTGCTTGCCTCGCTCGCATGTTGTAATCGCTCCACAAGCTTTCTGACAACTGCACTGATGCCTCAAAGCATCGTGTGTTGCGACAGCGCGATCCGATATGTTCTGTGTGTTGCTAGTCCATTCAGATCCATTATCTCTAGGATACCTTGGAATAATTGAGTCGTCTTATAATCGAGCAGTCTCACATCCCCGTCGTAATCTGCTATGCGTATTCGTACTTGGTTGGCGATGACGGACTTTCGAGGCGCGGTCTATCGACAAGAGCTCCGAGCAATCACGAAATAGCTTCGAGCACCGTGCATCTTGATGGCCTTGCAGACTGTGCAAAGAGAGACTCGGTTCTGGCATTGACTCCATACTCCTACATTCACGTTATACATGTCAGAGTGACGTGACTACTTACCGTTCTAATGCCTCCATTGACACAGTTCACGCTTATCTCGTTAGGACCAAGACGGATCAGGGGACCGAGTCGTTCATGAGCGGCAAGAACAGTCGTGTTCTCTCTGCTGCACCATCGTGTCCATAGTATCCACGCAGGAGTGAACGATGCAGTCGGATGAGCAGCTGGTATCTTCGACAGCGGGGAGAAGAACACGGGTGCGATGACAAAGCGATATAGAGCATACAAGATGGCAGCTCCAAAGAGAACGGAGGCTAGCATTCTAGTAACTATACACCACAGAGATGTTGGGAAGATGGCGAAGGAGAATTGAAGTCGAAACAGCTCCTGAGCGGGGTCGTTCAACAGATCATAGCATCCCCATCTGCCAAGGTATATGACTCTTTTGTTCTTCACCCGTCACGCGGCTCCAATGGTCCTGACCTATAGATCCGCACCATGATTTCTTAACTCATCTCTGCATGCGTTGAGGTAGCGTTCGCCAATCGGCGACTCTCCTTGAGCGAAACTCGTTCAGATCGAAAAATAATCTGACTCCGAACCCTCGTCTGCAACAAGTCCTGGAGCGAGATGACTCAATGTTCCATACGTTGAACTGACATGTCCGCCAAGAGATAAGATGATTGGTGCCTTCCGAAATATATATCATTACGTCAGTCCAGCCTCCGATTTCTTTGAGAAACACAACATTATGAATCCCAAGAACCAGCAACTCAGCGTGCGACTGAAAGACCAGAGAATACCTACGACTACACTGGTAGACTTGCCAACCGAGCTTCTGAACCAGGTCGTATCACACTGCGCGGCCACTTCAGTGGGCCACCTGTCGAGGACATCAAGATCTCTACATGAATTTGTCGAAAAGGAAGGCTGGCGAACATTCACCCAGACTCGGTTTGCAAATTCAAGCCCTCTAGTGCACTGGCGAGATGCTGCACGCTCATTGACTACTTTGTCGCGCAACTGGCAAAGGCGGGCATTTCTTGCAACGTACCTTGAACCCTCAAATGATGCCTCTTCACTGCCTGGTGGACAACCGATAAAGAAATGGAGGAGACCAGCTGGCCAGACCATGGGTTTCCAGCCAGCGGTCGACAGTTATGAACACTTTATCGGGAGTCGCTGGACGGACCGACGACAAGTTGTAGCTTGGAGTGCAGGCGCCACTCTGATGATTCGTGTTCGAGTGAGGACAGCATCAACTGAAGAAGAATATCGAACGGCATCACCGCAAGATGTACGGGACAAATTTGAAAACAACGGCACGCGAGTGAAGTGGTGGACTTACAAGCCCCTGAGCAGTGTCGAGGGCCGCGACGACATCACCAGCGTACGAATTCTCAAGCCAGACGATCAGCACTCACGAAACAGCATCGACAGTAGCGAACAGATCATTGTCGGAACTGCCAATGGAGACCTGCAGCTTGTCGAAGTACCACCTGCTTCGGACAGCGGTGTCATCAAGACATATTATGTCACGAATGGCATATCTGTGCGATCCACATCGCTATCTACAGATGTTGAGAATACTCTGGATCAACTTCAGCACTTGGCTGCTAACCTATCGGACTCACGGATTGCTATTTATCGAGTAGACCCTTCCCAGTTCAAGGTCGCGCCCGTCAGTGAGATCGATGCAATACCTCGAAGCCGGAAGGGTTGCCGAATCTGGTCAACCAAGTTTCTGGATTCGAAGCACCTGGCTGTCGGCTTGGGGCCGTCTATCGAACCCATCAACATCTTCGAGGTTCGACCGGAAGGTATTGTGGAAGAACCTGTGAGAAAGATAGGCCTTACCGGAAGTGCGGATGAACTGGATCCAGTCAAAGCCTCGTCAATATACCCGATCGAGCCGCTGATGGATAGCAACGGAGGCAGAAACGGAAATCTTTTTTTGAGTGGCGGTTACGATGGCATTGTGAGATTGCACGATATGCGATCGCCGTCACCGTACACAGCTGTCTACCATGATCCCACAGACGACGCTGCGATCTATTCTCTGCTATCCAGAGGCAGGGATCGGGTTGTAGCGGGTGCTTCACGCCATGGATTGCTCAAGATGTTCGACCTCCGCATGTCAGGGGGCAGCATATATGACTACGCCGGAGCACCAGACACAAATGACTCTTCTATAGGAGATTGGAACGTCTTCATCAACCCTCGCGACAGATACGTCAACTCGTCTTGGAGAGGTCCAAACAGCTGGATGCGCCGAAGTGCCGAAGGCTCTGTTTACAATCTCTCCTCGCCATCACCAACCTCACCCTTCATCTTTGCAGGAGTAGAGAATGCCATTGTCGAATTCAATTTCTCTTCCGTACTCGACAAGCACCCGGATCCGATATTCCTCGGCAGTTCTACGAAGGCAACGGGTAGACGGGACAACACGCCTTCCTACCTCCAGCACAAGCAGGATATTCTCAACTTGGCAATGTACTCACAGGGCACGGATGGCTCTAGAGAAGGCATGAAACTGCGTACTCAACGCAGTGTAGACGAGACGCTCGGTCAAGACATCAATCCCGCTGGTCTAGACGAACGCTGGAAGGAAAACCAGTAGAAACGCTTTTCGAGTCAGCATGCCATCTCCAAATACAAGCGACACGGCTCGGTCGCCACTACTAGAAATGGACCTTCGGTCTTAGCCGAGCATACAGTCGCAACAATAGACATATGCATGATGCATACAAAAAGTTCTGTCAATCAATCGGTCCTTCGACCTTCTGACGTTTCGACATCTTGGGACTGTCATTTCCTCTGATCCGGTTGCCCGTCCGGGCGATCATTCCTATGCAGAACCGCGACCTTTTATACACACTAGACGGCTGAGAAAGAAGGTTGATAGATCATGTCAAGCTTATGCACGACGGAAGATCGACAAGGATATAGTGATGCTCGCGAGTCAGGTCGGGCACTTTTTCGAAGCAAATTATAGACTTAGATCTGTGAGCAGAGAGACGATATCTAAATCTATCAGGCTTCTGTACCGTATCACTTAGAATGTTGTGACGGTGTATGGCGTTCCGTTGCCATGTTTCATGCACTGTGACAGCTTTTGTCATCAGTGGCTACAGTTGAATCAGTGTTTTGATGTCCTCTACCTGGACCTGAACACCGTTTGTTTCTGCGCTTCTCATATGCTGTATGTTGTTCCAGTGCGTCCTGCCTCTTCCAGTTGCTCTTGCGTAACTAGACTCTTGCCTGTGCTGGTCAAGGACAGGGTCGCGATTATGATGTGTCTCAATTAGCCACGTTTTACTCAAATGACTCATTATGCTGACAATAGCTAGTAGAGTATGGCTCTCACATCCATTCAGCACTACTGGTGAGCATGAATATATGAAGTAGCATGGTTTTTGCGTTTGGTGTTTGGTGAAGAAAGATCTCAAAAGACAGGGTGATACCCAAAGCAAGCATTATTTTCACATATATGATTATAGCACCACGAAGACACGTTCTGATAGCTTGATAACACACCCAGATCGTCTTTGTGGTATATTCCACCTTTCATACCGGTATCAGCTTAATTGGTCTATTATTGGGCTTGAAGTGTCCAAATGATGGGTTTGAAATGGTCTAGATTTGGAAGACAAGAGCAATTGAATGAATTGCACTCGGTGTTTTGCCAGATAACAGGATATACACGAACGAGCGACATACAAACCGAAGACACAGGCAAGAGATAGATTGAAGCTTCCAAAGTGCCCTGAAGACAGACTACGGATCGTGAGAATGGTTGCTGTCATCACTCGAGTCGAGAATAATGAAGACAGGGTGTGTCATGCAGCCAAAAGCTGCGTGCACAAATTTGTATAAAACTCACGACAGGTCGGAAGAATGATTTTACCGTAATCAGACGACGTGAAACGATACAATTGTGAGAGCCTAGATGTACGCAGTGATGCAACCAGAGAGAAAGGTAATCGAGAAATCGATAGTGATGGAAGCAGTGATGGTCTAAGGCGATGATTGTGATGTAGGTGACGAGACGGCGAATGATGGCGACTCAGATCATGATGGTCGATCGTGATGAGCGATTGTGATTCGCTCTTCTCAAAAAAAAAAAAAGGCAATAGCATCTCGTGAAACCCCGACAATTCTTAGCACGTTATCTGATCAGCCGGCTCAGATCACAGATGCTGATCTTGTCGCCTGTGTGACGGATGTCATACAAGTGATGTAAGGAAAGATGTGTGATGGACAGAAGGAATGATCACCGCGGATTTGAGCCTAGAAGGGAGCCAAATACGAGATCGAGCTCACAGCACTACTGATCACAGGGCCGATGATTTGAGTGACAGTATACGAACATACCAAAAGGAAAACTTGTGCGACTCCCTCTGGACGCACCGAAACAACCAGGTGATTAGTAAACTTTACCACAGGATGCCAAGACCAATCAACCAAGCACAGAACCACGAAAGGCCCTACCAGCTCAAAAGACTGCCTTCCAGAAAAGTCACTAGAACAGGAAAGTCACCGCGGTCTTCAACAGAGTCGTCCAGCAAAGTTTGGAGAACAGGAAAGTCATTGCGTCCCTCAACCAGAGGTTAGTTCACCATCGCAAAGCGACAACGAGCTGAAGACGACCATACGATGCTTGCATAGCACCGAAAACCAAAGCATCCACAGAGTCGTTCCTTGGGCTCAAAGTCTCGGCCATGAATCGTCTGTATGTTCCCCTTTGAAACGTCCGCAAGCATCCGGCAGAGTTCGCAGAACCGTTCGTGGCGTGGACTTCGTCGCATGGGCCTTGAACGACGACTTCGTATAGTAATCGTTCGAACGTCTTGCGCCGAACTTGGTGCGGGTATCCGAGACACTTTCGAGCTTTCAAAGTCATGATATACACACGCGGAGAGCAGAGCAGTCCTGCCGGCTAAATGAGAGAAGTATGCCAAGACTGTCTACAGTGAAGGCATGATCCATCAGTAAATAAGATCGGGTTACGAGAGGAGCTTCGATACACTTTCAGAATTTCACAAGAGATATGCTCTAGAATCATTGATCGTACGAGTACTCCGTTGAAATGACTGGGCACGCCACATACCATAGGGCCAAGGCTGTGAGCATCGAGACTCAAATGCAAGATGATGCATCCGCTAAATTAAGCAGAGTTTGGGACCGAGGCTTGTGTGGCAGGGGTCTAGGTACTTTCACGAGAGCGGCGTTAGTTCCGAAAGTTAGAAAGTTCTGGCGGTAACACTTTCCCATCTCTTGAGCACAGCACGTGTGAATCGTATCGTATGCGGAGAGGTCAAGATTCCAAGATCGATAAGGCCGAGTAAAAGATGAGTGTAGACCAAAGTCGACCCTCTAGGCCATGACAAATTTGAAGTCACTGCAATTATCCTCAACGAATGTCGATTACTGGTCGTCCCTTCAGTCATTGACAGCACGGGAGTCTGAACGTCCTGTCGGGTGGAGATACGGGTAAATCGGAAGCAAAGTTTGTACTTCTCAAAATCGTTGTTGGTCACTAGAAGGGCCACAACAACCGACGCTGAACGACGGTATACCTCCTTGTTTGAGCAGCAAACGGAAAAGTGTGACGCCGTCCAGAGACCCAGTATGAAACACAGAGCTGAAGTAAAACACACTCTCAGTCAGCATACATGCTGCCGTCATGTCTTGGATGAGTGAACGTTTGAAAGCACCAGGGTCATGTCAAGATATGCCGTTGGTCTGAACTGACACATGTGCACCATCGTAGGGACAAAGCAACGATCGATGGACAAATCAGAGCTGGCAAGCCAAGATCCGAGGGATAGTATTTGAGACAGTGTCTCGTATAAGCTGGGGGTACCAACGGCCGTAGCCTTAGGATCGAGGTTCTTGGCCCCGTGTTATGACGGCCAGAAGAGTCGACAAGAAGTTGCCTTGGAGCGAAAGAATTGACAGCAGAACTGATGGTAGAGATCGCTGACAATGCAAATAGCTTCGATGTCGAGTATGTCAAGGTACTCGAGTACGAACAAGAATAGACAGGCACCAGCCGTGCGGCAGATCGTCTTGATTGATCGTGGACTGTTGGAAGAAGCCCAACGCGCAGCGGTCGACGGAACCGTTGGCAAGGCGAAACCCGTGGTCGTGGGCTCGCACTCGCAGCCCCATGGAAACGTCCTTTCTGCCTGTCCGCTTGGCGTGGAAATTCAGCTTTCCGTAGAGGCCGAGTATGGGGCATGGCGTTGGAGACTGTTTATCAAATCGACTACGCCAATGTCTCAGATGCGCCGAGTAAGCCCTGGCAGTCGCGAGAACATCGGTGCCAATGAAGGCTGTAAGCCAGACCACGCTCCGTAGAAGAACAGCCAACCATGACATCCATCATGAGTCGCGACACGCTTGTGCAAGTGGTGCATGCCTGGTTGAAGTGGACTACTGATTGAGTGTGGTCGAACGCAGTCGAGCGATGACCTCTTCCCGCGCGCGCCGAGCGAATTAAGCCGTGTCGGCAGATCGCCAGTAGCCGCCCGAGGAGTTATGGAAGCCCACAGCCTGGTCTTACGCCGATTACAGTGTTTGTGCGTCTACCAAGTACAAGCAACATGAGTGAGGAGAGCCTCTGAACAGGCAAATTCCATCAGATGTCTGAGCAATTGTTCTTCTGCCAGAAGACACTTTACCGTGTAATCTGATAGGGGCATGATGCTACTCGAGAGTCGAGGAAGGCACGGGTGCGATTCTACGACCGTGCAGTCGTGCTTGGCAACTGCTACAACGACGACTGCAACGATTTCGTCTTCGTTTTCATCTGCTCGGACCGCTGCACAACGACTGCAAGCTTCGCGAGATCGGTAGCAAGATCATGCACGCTATTGGGAACGGTCCAGCCTTCTGACGAGTCTTCATGGTATAATGAGTCTGTGGCTTTGGGGCACAGAGCATCCAGTACTGCAGTCACGGCGTATAGACAACATCGCCGACACGCAAGCAAATCTCGGGACCTCAAGCCATTCCGCAGGATTCAATAGTTCAATGTGATGGCTTCTGCTCGAGATCTGGAAAGTTAAGCTCAGGTGCGGAAAGTCCATACCACAAGCAGAAGGAGACAGCAGTACAGCAAAGCCGGATACAGGGTCCTAGCGTCTGAGACATCTCGAGAGACTGGCCCACGACCATGGTCATGGCGCTTGCCGACCGACGATTCTACGCTTTCGGCTCTTGGTTTGAGGCCTCTGACATCTCCAAGCACTGATGTCAAGCTGTCTAGACCTGCCGAGTGCCTACAGCCACGAGCGAACGCCAACGAGCTGCTCAAGTATATATCTAGTCGTCGCCTTCCCTTCATAGCACTCTTTTTCCATCATCAGCATCTCATTCATTTTCTCAGATCCCACACTCTCCTTGATCATCGCTCTCACCCAATTCACTCACTACAAAGCAATCATCCACCAACTTTACCACTTTCTCTAACAACCCAATCAATCGATCATCATGCGCTCTGCCGCAACTTTCATCTCGGCTGCTGCCCTTGCCGGTCTTGCAGCCGCGTCTCCTGCTCCTCAGCAGCTCGACTTTGACCAGCTCGCTGCTGCCCCCACTGTTCAGACTGCCCCTGTCCTGAACGGTGTTGCCACTCAGACCGTCGTCATCAGCAGCGCTGCTATTGCTCAGTCCATCTCCGCTGGTGTCAGTACCACCGCCACTGCCGTCTCAACTGCCCCTGCCCAGGTTGTCAACAAGCGCAACATTGACAAGCGTACCATTGGTCCCGTCTACAACTGGTGGAACTGCTTCTTCTTCGGTACCCAGTGCGGCGACTCTGCTCCCACAACCACCTCCTCCAGCTCTGTCAAGTCCACCAGCACTAGCAGCACCAAGACTTCTTCGTCGTCTTCGGTCGCCGCCAGCGCCACTTCCGTTGCTGGCTCGTTTTGTCTGAAGGACGGCAACAACAAGTTCCTCGGATGCTCTTCCGGTAACGATGGTGTTGCCAGCTACGTCGCCAGCCAGTCTTCTGCTGTTGCCTTCACCATCGACAGCAAGACCGGCTACCTCTACCAGGCTGGCTCTGCCTACGCTGCCAACCGTGGCTCCAGCGCCAACCCCGAGTGGACCTACTTCAGCAACTTCAATTCTCAGTACAGCTTCATTTCTTGCTCGCAGAACACCATTCAGGGCTGGTTGGAGTGCAAGGCCAACGGTGTCTTCCAACAGGCCATGACTTGCAACAACGACGGCAAGCTTTACTTCGGTCCCACCATTCCTGCCACCTGCGCCTGGGTTCCTCTCTACTACGGTCCCTGCGGCACTGGTGCCTCGGCTTCCAGCTCTTCTTCGGTTGTTGCTTCCACTTCCAAGTCCTCTTCAGTCGTTGCTTCCAGCTCAAGCTCCTCTGCTTCCAGCTCCAGCTCCTCCTCGGCTGCCTCGTCCTCGGCTGCTGCCTCGTCTACCTCTTCGGGCTCTGCCACCATCAACACCGTCTCTGGAACCAGCTCTTCCACCACAGCCTGCCCTACCACCCCCGAGGATGGCACCTACTGTGGCTTCATCAACCCTGAGGACCCTTGCGCTCCTCAGCCTGACGGAAATGGTCCCAAGGTCACTCCCGACACCACTGATGCGTTCCTTGCCTACGCTCCCTTCCACAGCATGGCCTCTGCTGCTCCTACTGTCGTCGCCAGCAACAACGGAGCCGGAAACGCCTACCAGCAGACCTTCCGCGACTTGAACGCTTCCTCAAGCGCCAACTCGTACCTCGGTCTCTACACCTTGAACTCGTACAGCGTTGCTGACTGTGCTGCCCACTGTGACACCACCGCTCTCTGCACTGCCTTCAACATCTACATCGAGCGCGACCCCAGCCAGAACCCTACCAAGAACGACTCCACTGCTCCCACTGTTTGGGGTTACTGGTGCCCCAACCCTTCGTCCATCACCAACTTCAAGTGCACTCTGTGGGGATCCAACCTTGAGGCTGCTACCGCTACCAACCAGGGCGGCTGGCGCGAGGACTTCAACGTTGTCGTGACCGGATCCAACGGATACGATGCTACCAACACCACTCTTCCTCCTAACGTTGTTGACACTACCGGCAACTCCACCTCGACCGCTGTTGCCTCTGCCTCTTCTGTTCTGTCCACCGTCAGCGTCAGCGCTTCTTCGGTTGCCTCTTCGGTTGCTTCTTCGATTGTCAAGTCTTCCAGCACTTCGTCATCTGCTGCTGCCGCTACCACCACCGCCTCTTCTGGTCCAACCTGGGGCAGCCCCAAGGGTTGCGGTGGCAAGGCCATCAACGCTCCCAACTACTGGATGGGTTCCAAGTTCTTCCCCGGCCCCTTCAACCCTCAAGTCTGCGCCGACTACGCCTCGTACCAGCACATCCTGAACAAGCAGTCCGCCATCTTGGCTGGCAAGTCTTACTTCACTCCCTGCAACAGCTTCAACGCCTACTACCTCCACAAGAACGGCATTCCTCACGGTACCTACTGCGCTCTGTACGATGCTAGCATCAGCATCAGCTACGCTACCTACACCGGTGGCTGGTCTGGCAGCAACAAGTACGACTGCAGACAGTCTTACCAGTACACCCGCCAGACTCTTGACCAGGGTCGTTGCTAAGTGCAGCGCTTCTTGATCGAGTCATGATGAGTTTACACATTAAAAGACAATTTACAATCAGGAGTTTCAATCATAGACAAGGGCGCGCGCAATGGGTCATCCCCTACAGGAGCGGGGATTTTTTTCTCTTGATTTTTCTTCTTTCTTATCAACACTGCTCTTCAGCAACTTTTGGATTTGATAAAATTTTTTACGATGCTCAACACGATCACTCCTTTACAGCAAGGTGTTTTTTTGTTTGCCTAGATAGCGATTTGTATATACCACAGAACCATGTTTGTTTACCACACAAAAAGCCGCCTTCTACTCTTCCATCTTCTCTTTGCAAATGCGACCTCACGAGTCACAACCAACAGTGACGCAGCTTTGCTCTGCACTTCCAGGCTGTTTGTTGTCTCAGCCCCTGCGCAGTCGTGGCACTATGTCTCAAAGCCACGAGGCGTCTGGAAATTCGATAGAAGCAACGGCGAAAAGGGACCACCACCACCAACGGCGAAAAAAGAAAAGTTAAGCACAGGCCTTCAAAAGTAAAGTTGCATCACCTTTTTACTTTCTGTCCAAAGTGGATAATCGCTACGAAGGGTCTTGTGGAGAGAGATTGTTTGGAAGTAAGACAGTTTCTGAGGTTATGAGAGTCGACTTGGATGAGAGGTTGTTGTGGTGGCGAGGGTCGGTATGCGTTTGTGTGTTAGATGATGTTCGGTCAGAGTTTTGGATTCACGAGGCAAGAATATTCCTTCGAGGAAGAGTAGATGGCGCGTGTGTGCTATCTGTTTCGAAGCAGGAACAACACAACATCCAATTCGAAGCTCAGGGAAAGCGCTTTTCGATGCACAACGAAGAAGCCACGACCTTCTCAAGTAAACGTCGGTACAATCCTCCTCGCCTTCCGATCCTCCAATCTCTCCACCATAACCAAGCCATACATGTCCTTCACCCACTCACAAAGCACACTCCTCGTATCCTTGGGATCGATAATCTGCTCAACACCAAACGCATTCGCCGCTCTCACTGGGTTCATCAAACGCCGATATTCTGCATCCAACTGCTTGTACTTTGTCTCTGCAGCTTCTTTTCCCTGTGTCTTTGCTATCGCAGACAATTCAGCGCGGTGAGCGACTGAGATGCCTCCCTCCAGCGGCAGAGATCCCCACTCGCCACTTGGCCATGCGACGAGCGAGCGAGGGGAGCGGGAATCGATCATCACGCCTCCTGCGATACCATAGCAACGTCTGGTGACGACGGAAAAGATTGGTACGGTGGTGGTGTAGTAAGCTTTTGCCAACTCGACACCCCACTTCATGGTTGCTGTTCTCTCTGCTTGCGTGCCGATTGCATAGCCAGGTATATCCACGAATTGGACTATTGGCAAGTTGAACACATCGCAGAATTTCAACATGCGGGTTATCTTTTGGCTGCCCGAGGGATCCAAGGCGCCGCCGGTCGAGGACTCGCAGTTGTTGGATATGATGCCCACGGGATGGCCAGAAAGGCGCGCGAGACCGGTTATCGCGGTCGTGCCCCATAGAGCACCGATCTCGAACCAGGAGGTCGCATCGACGGTGGAGGTAATTATGGTGTAAGGATTATACATCCGTCCTTGTTTCCTAGGTATGATGGTGCGGAGATTCATAGTTTCCCTTCCTGCATCATCTCCAGACCAGTCCGGTGCCAGAATAGGAGGAGGCTGTAAATCTCCACAGTCAGGTAAGAAACCCAAGACGGACTTGATCTGCTCAAATGCAGCAGCCTCATCAGGAGCTAAATTGTCAATCGTGCCGTTTCGACAATGCACTTCTGGACCACCTAGATCTTGCAGCGTCAAGCCTTCTTCAAAAGTAGCTTTGGCAACAACATCAGGGCCTGCATTGAACAAGCTCCCTACATCAGCAGCCATGACGGAGAAATGACAGCTGGTCACTCTTGCAGCACCCAGTCCAATCGCGGGTCCCAGTACAGCGCCTAAATTCGGTATTCCTGCGTTGAGCTGTTTCATCACTGCTGGAAAACTCGTCAGAGGGGGTAAATAGCTCCAACCCTGAGTTTTTATAGTAGTCACACTGCCACCTCCTGACGACCCATCCACGAATTTCACGACTGGGATTTTCAGTTTCAGTGCCGTTTCCTCGCCATAGAGTGTTTTGAAATGGCTAGATCCATCCGCATGACCCGCTCTGATGGCAAAGTCGTCGGCGGTAATGTACACTCTCCTACCCTGCTTGTTTGCCGCACAAGCAACCAGTCCAAAGCCTTGGGGATTATTGCTCGGCACAAAATTTGTGACTTGTTCAGAAAGAGCATTCGACGGCGATAGTTTCCAGCTCGTTGTCCCTGACACAGCGCCCACTTCGCGGAAAGTATCTGCAAGTAGAAAGAGGGAGATTCGGTCGCGGGCAAGCAGTTTCCCAGAGGCGCGCTGGCGGGTGTGGCCTTTGGAGGTGGCAGGGTTGGCGGCGATGGATTTCATGGTGGTGATTTGGGACATGAGATCTGAGTAGTCTAGGGGAAGCTGATTTTTCGGATTGGATCTTCGTTCTCGCCGTGGTTTCGGTGATGATGGTTTCAGGTGTGAGGATAGTTGTGACAATCGGGAAGCTGCTTTGTCGGATGCATCATTAGGGTCTGAGGTTTGTGGTTTGCCATCCTTGTGATTAGAAGCACTGCTAGATGTCAATATGATGGATAAATTGTGTTATGGGAGACGATGAAACCACCTTCTTGTCTTGTTGTCTTCAGAGTCTGCCATACTATCTGACTTCAGAGGGTATGGACTTTCTAGCTTGACCGGTTGCGAATATTCGCTCTCTAGATATAAGCATGTATCGACTTAGAATAGATGATGGCAAGTATTAAGATGCCGAGAGGGTGATGTAGCTCCATTGACGTGCCTCGGCAACCCCGCGCTCCTGCTGATCAGAACATTGTATACACATCTTCGACAACATCACCTGCCTGCCATTCAGAGAATCAATATAGATAGCATCAAGTCACTGGAGATTCTGCTCGGCTCGTTGTGGAAACCGAATCAAAGTCTTCTGCCACCTTATCAACGACTCCAATATGACCACCACCAACCCACCACAACGACCCATCGAAAAGCTTCTCATCGCAAACAGAGGAGAAATCGCAATCCGGATCTTACAATCTGTTCGCGAACTCTCTTCTCCGCCAGAGACATACTGCATCTACACAACCAATGACTTTACACACGTCACTTTAGGCCGTCCGAATCATGCAATAGAAATTCCCTCACCAGCAACATACATGGACATCTCATACTTGGTGCAGTTAGCTCGCGATCACGGTATCGATGCCATACACCCGGGTTATGGTTTTCTTTCCGAAAGCGCCGCGTTCGCTCACCAGATGTGGGAGCAAGCAAACTGTATAGTCATTGGACCTGGCTCCAACATTCTCGAAACCACGGCCGATAAACTGGATGCCAAAAACCTGGCAGCGCGGTACGATGTACCCGTGTTACAAGCTATGCAACAGCCTTCACAAGATCTCGAGGATATTGGAAGCTTTGCGAGCAAAGTCGGCTTCCCAGTCATGATAAAAGCAGCAGATGGTGGAGGCGGCAGAGGCATCAGATTGGTGAACAAAGCAGCAGACCTACATACATCAGTACAGAGATGTATTGCAGAAAGCCCTTCAGGAAAAGTGTTTGTAGAAAAGGCAGCAGTGGATGGCTTCAAACACATCGAAATCCAGATTGTTGGAGACGGCACAGGCGGTGTCAAACATGCTTGGGAAAGAGATTGCAGTCTGCAACGACGCTTTCAAAAGATTGTCGAGGTTGCGCCTGCTGTTGTTGCAGATCGAAGCACTGTGGTTCGAGTGATTGCAGCTGCGGTACGTATCGCACAAGGAATCAACTACCTCGGTCTAGGCACTTTCGAGTTCTTGGTCAATGTCGACAAAAAGGAATTCTACTTTCTGGAAATCAACCCGAGAATTCAGGTGGAGCACACGATAAGCGAGAGTATAGCAGGCATCGACTTGGTGCATGAGCAACTGCTACTGGCCCAAGGACTGACAGATTCGAATGCCAATCTTCCTACCACAGCAGATGCAAACCCACCCAACAAATTCTCTGTACAGCTGAGGTTGTGCGCCGAGGATCCGACTACGGACTTCTCACTTAGCACTGGCAAGATCAGCGAAGCGAGGTTTCCAAGCGGAAATGGCGTTCGTGTGGATACGCATATTATGCGAGGGGCTGTTGTAGGATCAGACTTTGACAATCTTCTGGCCAAGATTCTGATCACGGCATCAACATGGCCAAGCGTGGTAGCCAAAGCTCGCCGGGCACTCGAGGATACTGAGATTGTCGGTGCCAAAACAAATCTCGGTCTCCTCCGTGCGATTGTCGCAGACCATGCCTTTGAGAGCGGCAAAGCAGATAATCAATGGCTGGAGAAGAATGTGCAGAGGCTACTTGGGATTGGCGAAAAAATTGGCGAGCGCGTACAACAACTGAGTTCCAACTTACATACCGTGGATGAAGCTGCAAATCGATCGAGTAGCGGAGGAGCCATGGGAAGTGTGATGCTGCGAAAAGGCAACGCGTGGTCTCTGAGCTTGTCACCAGTTGAAGCCTCGACAGAGAAAGTCCAAAGCCATCAGTTAAGGATCGACAAAGTGCTGAGGAACGATTTTCCAGACACGTTGTCGGCTGAGGTCTCAGTCAGCACGTCGGGTGCAGGATTACAGAAGTTCAAGATGTCGCTGGAAAGCACGAGTGGATCTCAAGCGACAGTCAACTCAAAACACAGAAAGGGCGACGCAAGCGACAGAAGACACGTCATATTGCCGATGAATGGCAAGCTGGTTGAGATGCTTGTCGAAGAAGGAGAAGAGGTGCAAGAAGGTCAAGTGATGGCGTTCGTACGACAGATGAAGATGGAGTTGGAAGTGCGAAGTCCGAGATCAGGAACAGTGACATGGGCTCTAGAGCTGGAGGATGAAGGGGGTGACGACGTGGAGCAAGGAGTCTTGCTAGCGATTCTCGAGGATGCACGTTCGACAGACGTGAGGACGCACAAGCTCTAGAATGTGTGAATGCAGTTGTATGCACAGATAGAAAAACAGTAGATGGAAATGAGGGTTAATTAATCCACATTTGGTCGATATCGAGGTCGAAAGTTTAACCCGAATTCTCGGACTTTCGGAGAGATTTTTGGGCAGGAGGGGATGATTGCCCCGCCATGCATGCGCTTCTACTCAGTGCTATCTGCATCCACGAACATGACACTTTCTATCACGCGATTGATGCCTCGTTTGAGTAGTTGCACTCGGAATTATGTGCTCTCGCATAAAATGACTGTGGATAAGATAGATTGAGCAAAAGAGCCGAAGTTATCCGCTTACCAATTGCTCAAGTAATCAAACAATTACAGCTCGCGCGGCGTGGTCGGGGAAGTGCGACAGTGCAACAGTCATCGGCGCGAACAGTCCAAAGCACCTTCCACCTTTGCGCCAATATACTCTGACGTAGATCCACCATTCTTTTACTCTTGCGACTTTCCTTCTCAGCTGCATATCCTTATCTACACATACATACAATGGCAGACTACTCGGATGACCTCGTCTTTGACGACATTCCCTCGGCCATCAAGGCCTTTGGTAAATCTACCCGGCGCAACCCAACCACGCCTATGTCACCCACTAATACCTTCTTCTCACAGGAGCCGGCGACTTCGTTCTTGTTCTCGACAGCCCTCACCGCGAAAATGAAGGCGACCTCATCATCGCTGCCTCAGCCCTCACTCCCGCAAAAGCTTCCTTCATGATCCACCACACCTCGGGCTACCTCTGCGCCGCCCTGCCCAATGCCCTCGCCGACAAACTCGATCTACCGCCCATGGTCGCCGCCTCGTCAAACGCAGATCCCAATCGCACTGCCTACACCATCACCATCGACGCAGCCGACAACGTCACCACTGGTATCTCGGCGACAGATCGCAGCACGACATGTAAGCTGCTCGCCAATGAAAATGTCAACGCAAGCGATTTCAGGAGACCCGGCCATGTGGTGCCGTTGCGCGCAGTCGCCGGTGGTGTAAGGCAACGACAGGGTCACACAGAAGCTGCCGTAGAGTTCGCAAGACTTTCTGGTGACAAGAACAACGTGGGTGTGATCGCAGAGATTGTAGAAGAGTCAACCGAGGTACCGGGAAAGGCTGAAAGAGGAGGTCTGCACATGATGAGGGCGAAAGAGTGTATCGAGTTTGGAAAAAAATATGGTATCAAGGTTGTTACCATTGAGCATTTGAAGAAATATGTCGAGGACACCGAGGGCAAGCTGTAAGATGCTGCACAAAAAGAGAGGGCTATGTGTTGTACAAGTAAAGCATGATGTTTCACACATAAGGAGAGACGGATACTGTCAAGATATCATTGTTGACCATACGAAGCACCGAAACAGGACAAGCATTGTGTCACTCATCGCAACTTTCCTCACAAAATACTAGACCGAGTGAGGAAACCTCGAACCATTCACTTCCTACTTCTTTCTGATCGAAATCCGCTGCCTCCCTCGTTGACTATCCACTGTAACAACTCTTCAAATCAGAGTCCCATTTCCTACCTATCCCAACCACAATCTGTATCGTCGCTGCAATGTCTGGATACACAGTCGACGAGAACAGCAAAGCGGTCTATGGCGAGAGTTACGCTCGCATGAACAAACTCCACGAAGAAGGCTACCCAAAGAGCGCCGCCGACGCCGAAGCAATCGCCATCAATCTCATCTCCTATGCCGATCTTCCTCTACTCCACAGAACCCACGCCCACATGGTTTTGGGCTGCGGTAACCAAGACAACTTCCTTTGGCATGCAGAAGAGGCTGTCCGCATAGTCAAACAGGACATAGAATGGTACGGAGAGAGTCCCGTCCCTCCTGCATTGCTGTCAGACGCCCAAGATACGTTCAATCATGCCAAACAGGATTACGAGCAATTGGAGAAGATCAAGGGAGAAAGGGAAGCTCAGGGCTGAGAATACGTGCCGCCCAGCGAGGTCGAGGCCGGCGAAGAGATGGAGATTGTCAGACATGGCGAAGGCCACCGTGAGTCTTGAGATACTCGCTTGGCTGTGATGCTGACGACGAGCAGATGAGCCTTCGAGCGCCGATGCCGAGAACGCTCATCTCAATTCTGAGGCCTCCAGGCCACAACTCCCTCATCTCCCTCTTCCTCGTCCTGAATCTGGAAGCCCTCAACAATCCTCCGATTCCCTTGCTCATCGCAGTCCAAGCCACAAGCCTTGAGCACCGCCCACCTGACAGCCTCAATACCAATCTTTGCGCCTCCACCCCAGCCTTGCAGTCCCTTGATCTGTTTCTCAGCACTAGCAGCAAGAACATCTCGTTTCTTTTTCCTCTTTCCTTGGTCCAATGTAGCTAGCTGCTCCTCAACCCCTTCGTAAATCTTGTCCAATTGAGCCACTTTTCTGCCGAGTTTCTCCGCACCGGGCACTTTGGAGTCAGTCATGACTATCCTATCCACTTTGGACAAAACAATCTGATAGGGAATGCCTTGCATCTCGAAGTGCTGCAACAGCACCAGATCTCTGGGCTTGACACCGTGGAGAGCGTCGATGAGCAGAAACACCATGCGCAATTGCTTTCTCTTCTCAAAAAACTTATTGATCTCCGGTCCCCACTCCTGACGTGAGTGGTATCCATACCCAGGCGTATCAACCACAACCAGCGCCCCCGACTGCAATTGCTTTAACGCCTCTTTAGCAGCAGTATCCCTTGTACCACCACCCACTCCAAACGCGTTAAGTGTCTTTGTGTGTCCAGCCTTTGAACTAACTCTTGCAATCTTTTCTTTTGGGCGTCCGAATACAGCGTTGAGAAGGGAAGACTTGCCCACATTGGAGCGGCCCACAAAACACACTTCTGGATATGGGGAACGAGGGATTTGGGAGAATTTGGCGGCGGTCCACAGGTGGATGGGTGGGGAGGCTGGGTTCTGGAAGTAGCGAGTTGCGTAGGTTTGTTGGGGTGATGTGGGTGGGTTGGAGACGTTGTAGCGTTGGAGGGCTACTGGTTTTGGAGGCGCGATTTCCTTTGCTGTCGGTAAGGGCGAAGGTGTGGTGGGTGAAGGTGTGGTGGGTGAAGATGCGGTGGAGAGAGGTGTCTGTCGGTTTTGCAGCGGCGCTGTGGTGGTTGCGGTGCTGGCATAGCGGAGACGCAGTATCCGACTGCGAGCGACGTGCGCTAGGCACCTCTGCCGTACAAACAGATCCATACTTGAGAAGCTGAACATTGATTGCGTTTTTGAGAAAAGTCGAAGTGGTCGAAGAACGTCAGAGAAAGCAATTGTTCAGTGCTGGTCCAAGCTTCGATTTTTGGATTTCACCTTGATGGGAACGATCATGTCAGATGGAAAACAGTCGGTTTGATTTATATCTGCAAGCATGCTGTTCGCCTCATAACCCCTCTATACTCGTGTGGCATGTCCTCTAGTTATCCCCTTCTCGTGCTCATAGATATCCATATTGCTCATGATTTCCTCCACTTTTACAACGTGCCCATTTGAACCCTTTTCGTCTAAATGCAAAAAGACAGTACCATCTATGCTTGATCATCAATCCATCTCATCCTCAAGTAGGACGCAGTCCTGGACTGTTCAACCCTAGACGTGGGCTGACGCCTCCATTGCGTTCTCTTCGCAGACTACGCAGCTGCGACTCGATCTGTCTGCGCTGTTCTTGTTCCGCCTATTGCATTCGTTAGCTCTTGTCCAATTCTAACACTTTCATCTTGGTACTCACCCTCAACAGCTTGACGCCCTCTGCCCTCGTCTCTCTCATCATCTTCTTGAATTCGTTTCTCAACACCATTGTGCTGGTCGTCTCCCTTCCAGCACCCAGTTCTGGTGTGCCTCCAGGGCTTCTGACACCAAGCCATCTGACTCTCTCGTCACTGAGCTGCACCTCCAATTGGTCGAGCTTGTCGCGAAGTCCGTCAATGACGCTATCGAGCTTCTCACGCTCCTTCTCCATCTCGACCGTCTCACGCGTGAGTTCCTGGTAATCGTTCGCCATCTCGCCGAGTTCCTTTTCTAACGCGCGCATACGACCGTCGTCGCGTGCACCTGAAGCCTGGAACTCCCGCAGAGTGACGATTTCTCCTTCCAATGATTTTGCTCTCGACTCCGCGTTCTGGTGCAAACCGAGCATTTCGGCCATCTGACTTTCGTGTTGGCCCTTGTCACGTCTCAACTGCTCAAGCTCTGCAGTCAAGCCCTTGGACTTTTGCTCCAGTTCCTGGAATTCAGGGTGCGATGTCACCTCTTTGGCGCGCTCCGATCGACTGCCATATGCACCGTCCAGCTCTGCCTTGGCCATTGCCAGTTCAGTGGTAAGACGAATAATCTCTGTCTCCATGTCGTCCATCTCTTCTGACTTCAGAGCCAAGTTGGCTTCTGCCGTCTCTCTAGCTACCTTGGCCTGGTTGAGAGATCCGTTCAACTCCTCGAGACGATCTTGGTGATCGCTCTCCTTGTGTTGTGCTTCGATGCCTGCAATACGTGCCTCGTCTTGGTGCTCGGAAATGCTGTTCTCAAGTTCAACGATCTGGTCCTCGAGTTGTTCCACACGCTTTCTGTATCCTTCGATTTCCTCGAGTGCTTCTTGCTCACGCTCCTTGAGTTCTTCTAGCTCACTGGCACGAGCGGCGTCCTCATTGTCAGATTTCCCGGCGAGCTCGCGCTGTTGCTCAATCTGGCGCCTGAGGATACCAGTCTGATTCTCGAGGTCACTGTGGCGAGCGAACAAGTGTTGGACTTTGGATGTGAAAGCTTGAGTGCTGAAAGGTTCAGAATCGGTTCTCTCCAACTTCTCATCATCCGAGTCAACACCCCTGTTGGCAGCAGCAGGTTCCTTGGAAGACATGATACCCCACAATCCTAGCATGACTGCCTCATGTTGTGCGGCCTTTTCGGCGTGAGTGTCTGCCTTTGCGTGAGCCTCACCCAGTTCTCTGGAAGTGGCATAGTGAGCGTCCTGGAGAGACGCATTGTGCTGCAGCAGGTGGTCGACGTTGGAGAGGTTCTCCTCGAGGTAGTCAATCTGATCCTGGGTACTTTGACCAGTAGGTTGCGGTGGTGGCTGTATGCTTTCGTGGCCAGAAAGGAAAGTGAACAACTGATGGTTGACGCCCTCCAGCCTCTTTTCGACCAGATTCTGATCCTCCTTGGAGCCACTGAATGTGTCCTCGCGCGACTGAACAATGTACTTGTGCTCCTCGAGCAGGGCGAAAATGCCATCTTGCAATTGCTCGAGTTGATTGTTGATGCTAATCGAAGGCTCGTCATCTTCCGGATAGGCAGAGGGGATGTCGTCTGGTGAATTGTCGATGCTGCCTGCACGTCCTTTCTTTGCTTGGGAGATAAGAGAGCGCATCTGGCCATTCAAGAACTGTAGCCTCGTGTTGACGTCGTTCAGCTCGCTGGTGTGGATGGCTGATTGTCCTTTGGAGACATTGTTGTAAACGCTCTGATCATAGTCGCGAATGTGAGGCAGAGAGTCGGGTGCAAGGTGGTCGGCGGAATCGGCTTCACGCTGAAGGTGAGATGCTTGCAGAACAGCGGCCGTGTGACGCAGCAGCCTACTCTCAATGTATTGTCTGCGATTCTCGAGACCGACCAGGATCTGAACCAGCTCTTCAACCTTTTTCTCGCTCTGTGCCAGCTCATCGCTGGCCTGGCCAATGCTGTCGCTTTTGACACTGGACGAACTAGACCTTCTGTCTCCCAGCAAGCTCTTTCTACGGCCTTGCGGCGGGCGACCCTTTTGCGAATAGAGGCGGTGCAGGGAGCGGGCGGCTTCGCGGACCTTGCTCTCCAGGGCGAGTTTGCGACGAGTTCCTTCGATGCGGGCGTCAACCTTTGTCTTTTCCTTCTTCAGGGCATCGACCTCTTCAATGGCCAGGATATCGAATCGCGAGCTGTCAAACATGGCAGTCTCGACTAGCAGGTGTCTGTGAAGTTCGTCGCCGTTGGCGAACGAGTCGGCTCTTGGAGTGGGTGGTTGTTGCATTTCGGAAGGACTGATCAGAGAGGGATGTTGGTGGGTGTAAACATTCTGGGTCTGCGGTAGCATAGCCATGGCCTTCCAGTCTGTATCAGTGTAGCCCGGTGTGCTGGGGTCGAGGAAGGATGTCCGAGGGTAGTCGTGAGCGGCGCTGAGATCGTCGAATGGATCAGGCCTCGAGTGCGCTGACGACTCTTGCGAATGTGTCGTGACTGCCATTGACGACGAGAGAAGGTCGCCGGGAGAAAGGGGCTCAAGGCGGGGTTGATGATTGTCAATCTCACTCTGATTTCTTCCGTGTTGACGACTGGAGTGCTGCCTCGACCAATTTTCAAACTCGGACAGAGCAGGATCACGGCTTCATCATTGCTAACAGGAAGGAACGAGGAAAGAAGAAAGTACGAGACAACAAGAACAAGAATCGTGAATTTGAGGTGAGCTGAGATTACTTTGGCAACTGCTCCACACGGGAGCCGGGAGTGCCACGCAGACCGAAGCCGTTGCGCATCAATCGCTTTCCAGAAGCAAATCACCCCCTGTGCTTTTCCCCTTTCACGTGCTCTGGCCGTCAACAGGAGGCTGTCCATACTCAACACTTTGACTGTTGCTTCTGATAGCTGTGTTTTCTCTACTTGTGTAAATCATGTCACGCACTCTTCCACTAAATCTCTGTCTCGCTCCAGCACGATTTTGAACCCTAGCCTCTGACTCGGGTCTTTCTCGTGTCACCTTCACGAGAGGTAGAGTACACTCGTTCTTACGGCATGCCGCATGAACATATTCATGATCTTAACTCGAGGAGCACAGGACCGCGTGAAAGAATGTCTTTGTACGAGTGCTACCCTTTTGACACTCTCCTTCTAGAGGTCGTCCGCTGGGAAGATTAAATATCGCTAGCAAGCTGTGGTGAACTATTGAAAAGCCAACTCCACCATGGCTTGATTGACAGGACATTCAAAAGTATACTGAAAAAAACTTACCATCTTCTCCCAGAACCTTGATGGCCTCAAGATCAGAAACAACCGCCGACGACCTGTGGCCGGCCTCAGGCTTGATCAAGCAGGGTTGTAGTTCGAACGTCTCACGAATGGGACTGCGAAAAGTAACCTCGCACACCCGACTGCAATACATCAAAGTACCTACAGTCAACAAAAACAATCTTTTACAACAGTGCTGACAAGATGTCTCAATGCCATTACACAATCATGCGCGGAACATGCTCACTGCGTGGGTGAGAGTCAGCTGCTGGCAATTTCGAAGCATTCGAATGTGCTGGCAAGCAAGCCACAAAAATGGAAATGCGGGCCGCCTTGTCCCTGTCCTCAATACCATCACAGCACTCGGCCGAAGAGCAGAGCAAAAGGTCGACGTTATTGTTGTTGAGAGAAGTGCCCAGCTGCGACTCATGCGCATGAGCGGTGAGAGACAGAATGGGGAAGTCGGGCTTCCTTCCTGCGCGTCTCAACCAACACAACAAGCTGTCCAGCAAACAAGAACATCGCTTCCAAAACTTCTCACAGCTCCAAAGTTGCGGATAGAAAGTGTGATGAGCACGCACAGAGTGTGATGTCGCGCTCAAGATGACGAGGTCATCTTGTTTATTGGCATGTTTCCAAAAATGTGCAAGACAGGCGAGGGAGGAAAGGATTGACAGGTCCGCGATAGATTAAAAGTTACGCCATCATCTTTACCGCCCAGCTAACCATTCGTCGGGGAGCATCGGTGCATCTCTGGCAAAATGCTCTTTGACCATCGAAGCAGGTTTGTTGCAGGCACGGGCGTTCACCATCAATGCACATGCTGGCCAACCACACACTGAAGCCATACTCCTGACTATCACCGGCAATCCGCACGCGTCTGTAGGCGATCACTCCATCACATCGTTACTGCAACCCATCGCTCATCCGACCAATCTCATGCTTCATCATCCCTGCCGGCAAAATTGCTCACTGGCGCTTGCAGAATCCCCGCTTGCCGGCCTGACCTCTGGTCTCGCATATGTAAACCCGCTTGCTGCCCAACTCGTTTTTGCCTCTCTCCTTCTCCAACGATACCCAATCCGCTCCTCTCTACTTTACCCTTGGCACTCTTCTGTCTCTCGTGCCTTTTGCACATTGTTTTGCTCCAAGAGACCATCTCAAGAACACAATCAAGTGTAGCAGGCTTATATTTGAGCCAGTTTACCATACTACCAGGATGACATATCGCACTCGCGAGGAATATTTGGACAGGTATTGACCCACGTCTCACTGTTTTGTTTTGCTTTTACAATACCTGGATGTTTGCCCGACCGGGCTTTTTTGCTGTTCTTTCTTTGCCTTTCGTTTGCCTTTACACACTTTGGATCCAGCCAATTTAGGAAACCATTTGGATCATCCCAGGACTATTCATACCCAAGATACTATACCCTGCCAAGGAAACCTACCCGGATAGAATGGATCACCTCCAAGACCAATCATGGACACTTTCCGGATCATTGTAGCACAACATGCCTTTTGGACCAGGGTAAGTGTTTGAGAGCCCATGCTCGTCAGCCAGCATCATTTTGACCCAGGACACTTCTGTTGTATGCTTCTTGCTTGCTGCAATGACAACTCTGTTGCCAGTCATCTTACATGAAGAAGACATGTCTTGAGTTTGTTCGTAGTATTGCTTTTGGAGCAGATATCCCACTGCCGGACATGGTCCTTCACGTTCTTCGCAAGTCGCTACCAGGCGATATCCAGGCGTCCGCTAGATAATGCCCTTGGATGAATATCTGAAAGGGGCTTTCGGACTCAACGCAGTACAGTCGGACCATCTGAGCCAGGCATGGACTATTCTTTGCTTGTTGATATTCTGTCGGCATACCAATCTCGGATACCTTTCTCTCATCAACACGACTTTTGTACTTACAGTGCTCCGACTCAAGCCATATCACTACCAGCTGTCTCATTCAACAAGGTCCTGGACGTATCCAACGCATGTCGAGACCATGGTCGTTATTCGCTTCCAACATCTTGATAACTGACAGGACCTCTATGATCACTCTGTCTCCATCTTCTGTGTCGCATGCTGGTCGTTCTTGCCTCTGCTTGACTGGATTTGGGGCAAGCTTCCTATGGTACATCCGCGACTGGACTGATCAAAGTTTCCGACCACACTGCAGTCTACACGGACGGTCAAGTCAACAACTCTCGAAGGCTGGATGTGGATCCCATCTACTACCCGGCGACTGACTGGTCTGTAGCAGATTAACCAGCTCCAACTATGATATGCTAACGTGAAGCAGGCCTTTTGTTTCCTTGTCTCTTTTTTTTCTTACCACAATCTCAATAGCTATCGCCTTACAATTAGCTGTTGTCGCTGACTTTTTCCTCCTCTCTAGCAACTGTCGCTTTCTTCCACCTACTTGTACAAACTCTTTGTTCGCTTCACCTTCCGAGATCTGCCACTGGAACTCGTCTGTCTGGGACACCACCTCTCTGACACCTCCGTCTTCACCAGCGGAATCCTTGGAAGACACTTCTAGCCAATCCTCGGGCTCGGGAATATTCACGTGTGACTCTATGAGCTCACATAGTATGAATCACACCACCTACTACTTGTCCAGGTCACCGGAATCCAAGGCAGAACACATACCGGAGGCTGATTTCTATACCTCACCTGGATGGACGGACAGTTTGTTCGTGTCAGGAGCCACCCCATTCTCTCCAGTCATGAGTGACTCGAACCAGAGTGCCTACACTCTCCCCGCGTCGGATGTTAGCTTCCCGTCTCTTGGATCATCGTACTCACAGGAGGTATCTGGAATGGACGCCTACCATCCTAACAACTGGACGGCTGAGCAGCCCGGTTTTAATTTCTTTGCGGAGCCTGCCGCAATTGACACGGAGATGTTTGCTTTCCCTGCCCAAGGTATGGACATTCCTCAACCCACTTTCAATGCCTGGTACACCCCGATGGAGACTTCTGTACGGACACATTTTGCCATGGATATCCCAGGTCAACCGTTTGCCGGTATGGCTCCACAAACAGCCGGATTTGTAGGCAACCCGACCGCCATGGCCCCTTCCACTGGATATGACAACCCGAACCTGCGTGCCGGTCACGTCAGAGTTGACAGTCTATATGCTCAGACTTGTCCACGAGATGCTACAGTAAGTCAAAACCATATTGCACCGGGTACTGGGAGTCAGGAGACCACTGTATACCGCCGGATGACTCTGCCCGTGACCTCGAACGAGCCTATTCAGACGGCACAATTGCCAAACGCCGAGCAGAATGTGCCATATGGAGCCCCGATTCAGCAATATAGGACCCACATGCCAGGATACCCAAGCGGACCCATGTTACCATTTGCCGGACCGCACGAGATACCTGTCCTTGGAAGTAACGCTTCAGTATCTTCTGCTGGCAGTGTTGTTCCTTCCGGATTTGAGGAGATTCCTGGAAGCCCCGCTTCTTCCATTGCAACCACCAGGGCACGAACGGAGGATACCGATGGCCGTGCTCGCACTGACCCACTGTACTCAGCTAGACCTGGTAAAGATGGTAGCTACCGATGTCCGTTCCTGGTGTCCGACGGATGCCAGCACAAGGCCACAAAGCTCAAGTGCAACTACGAGTGCGTAAGTCCTTTCGTCTTCAGGAACAACTTCTAATATGATATCACAGCAAGTACATTGATTCTCACATCAAGCCTTTCCGCTGCAAGCATCATAACTGCAACAACAATCGCTTCTCCTCCACCGCCTGTCTTCTGCGTCATGAACGCGAGGCCCATGGACTCCACGGACATGGTAACAAACCTTTCCTCTGCGAATTCAAAGACTGTGACCGATCAAGCCCGGATAATGGATTCCCAAGAGCATACAACTTGCTTGATCATATGAAGCGTGTCCACGGATACCGTCCGGAGAAGACAGCCAAGACACCTCCCGCCTCTGCTACCGGAAGAGCTGGAAAGTCCCAGGACAAGGTGAAGAAGAGAAAGACTGTCGGAGAGGTCAAGAAGGAGACAATGTCTCCTAGGCTTGGGCAGAAGCTTGCCATGGATTCACGCAAGCAACAGATGACTGCGCAGTATCAGGCTCAGGCGGACCAGATGCAACGAGGCTCCCGTCAGTTCGGATGAACGAGGAACCAGTTCTAGGATGGACGACATAGTCAGAGACCAGATACCAGCCCTGTATACGGACGGAACTACCCCAGGCCAAAGGATGGATGTATCAGATGAACACCCTCCTGCCGGATCACATGGACCCAGGACCACACCAGGAGAGTCAGCCGGCTTCGAGGATTGAACATGAATGCAGGATGAATGCCACCAAGTCTGAAAATACTTCACCGAGGAAGGATAACACGAGATCGAGATACCAGTCTCTCTCAAGCCGGAGGATGTAGAACTCAGATTGGACCTCACTTTTGGAGTTGATGCAACGACTTGTTTCACACAAGCTTCCCGTCGATGCATTTGCGATAGCCTTTGTTTCTTGTTTGTTCTTGATTTACTTCATGTACTGCTTGCTTTTATGTTTCTTGGACTTTACACGACTGCTTCTTATGCCAGAAGTATGGTTACTGGATAGATGGATTTCTCATACAAGATTGATTTTCGCAAGATGACGAGATGACCACCACACTGCTCGTATGACAGTCAGCAATGAATTAGATGACTACATGGACAAATCGTTCGCACAGCGTATTGTTGTATACTTCATGGCATCCTTCGGGAATGCATTTGGCAGCAAGCAGAATGCAAATAATCAGATTGTTGCTATGTGCTCGCGAAGATTGCCCTTCGCGTTCGATACGAGAGAGTCAAAAGCAGATGAAACAGGGTTCTGTCAAGCGAAAGCTTATTTGGCATCGGACCTCGGCGCGAACGAGCGGTGCAGGGAGGTCACGGCATCTGCGTCATCCGAGGGGAAGGTGGCATGTGAAGGAAGGCGCGCTCTCCAGAAAAAAGGCCGTGTGATGGCGCTGCTCACAAATCATTCCTGAGCTGTCTGACTGATAAGTTTACATGAAGCCTGTTGTACCGCGATCCTCGGCTTGTTTCCACTCATCTCGTGCAACCTTCACTTCTACGTACATCAACACTGCGACCAGATCCTTCTTCAACTTTAGAAAAGCTACTTTGTCATCGCCTGCGAACATGTCTTCTGCTACCAGCTTCCACGAGTTCAAGCCCCTGGACAGTACGTTTGTTGACTCTATGTTGCGACAATGGTGTGCGCGACAAGAACGCTGACAGTAGTGCGCAGAGAAGGGCAATGTCTATGATCTGAGCAAGCTGAAGGGCAAGGTCGTCCTTGTCGTCAACACCGCCAGCAAGTGTGGCTTCACCCCTCAGTTCGAAGGTCTCGAGAAGTTGTACAAGGGTATGTGACATCTCTTACCTCTTCCTCTCCTTCTGTCGCCCCCTCCCAGTCCTTGTTCTCATTCCGTCACCCCTCGCTAATCTTCTATCTGCCACAGAACTCAAGGCTGCCCACCCCAACGACGTCGAGTTCCTCGGTTTCCCCTGCAACCAGTTCGGCTCCCAAGACCCCGGCTCCAACGACACGATCCAGGAATTCTGCCAACTCAACTACGGCGTCAGCTTCCCCGTCCTCGGCAAAACAGACGTCAACGGCGACAAGGCCGAGCCCGTTTTCGAGTGGATGAAGTCAGAGCAGCCCGGCCTCATGGGCCTGAAGAGAGTCAAGTGGAACTTTGAAAAGTTCTTGATTGGCAAGGATGGAAAGGTCAAGGGTAGATGGGCAAGCACCACCAAGCCTGAGGCTTTGAAGGCCCCTATTGAGGCTCAGTTGAAGGCTTAAGTGTGTGCTCTTTTGGCTGAGCTTGAGAAGGGAGACTGAAGAAGGGAGATTGCTGGAGGAGGCATGAGAGAGTGTTTTTGCATGAGGGCTTGCATGCACAAGTCTGATCGAACCCCCCGATACCCGTGTGTTTTTACCAAGCAAGACATAAATCTTATCACGAGAACGTTACTGCGACAATCTGTTGCGACTTCACGAATTATTTTGGGCTACTGTGACCATGCTTAGAACAGGACATCTCCATCGTGACGAATCTCGCTTCTCACAGTTGATCCTGTACATACAACGCAGCATCGAATAATCTGCTTACTCGATATCACGAGTCAGGGGACCTGTATATGAGCTTGTGGCTTGTGGAAGTGCCCATCGGGGTCTACATATACAGTGCGTAGAAGGAAACGGAAAGCGAGCCTCGGATCGTGAGTGACCCGAGGGGAACACTGACCGCCTTCGTGAAGCCTCAACCACCAACCGTCATCCCTCCTGTACCGCTTGACTCGAGTACACTGGTATACATAGCTCTAAGCGAGACTCTGCTTGTTCTGGAGGTAAGCATCGCTTTCCTGTCTGTTTTCTGGGGTTCCAGTATAGCTTCCCTTTGCGTGTCCCATCGTCAGTCACGGGTTGCGGCTGGACACGTTTCCCAACTGTCCATGTCCCGTCTCTCTATCTCTTTGTATCATATTCAGAATCAGAATATAAACACCACGAAAGAACAAAACATATCCGCACTCCATCACAAATATCTCATCGGACGCTCCAAGCAAAATGAAAAATACAATCTCCCATCTTCATACCCATCATCCTTCCACCCCTCATCTCTCCAGCTTCTGCCCTATGCACAAAGTGAGCTGACGAACAGTCCACCTTCAGCTCATTATTGGACAATCGTACTTGACTTGACGTACGAGAAAAATTCTTTCCTCTCTCCCAATGTGGGGCAACAACATCCCAGTCCCCGGCGGCCTAAACTCCTTCAACGACAAAAAAACCTCCCTCTCTCACGAAAAAATGCTACGCACCGCCGCATCCTCTGCCACTAAAAAACTCCACATCGGCATCATCGGCGCCGGATTTTCTGGTCTTCGTTGCGCAGATGTATTGCTCTCCCACGGCCACCGCGTCACTATCCTGGAAGCTCGCAATCGCGTAGGCGGACGCGTGGGCCAGAGCAATCATCTGGGACATACAGTAGATTTGGGTCCAAATTGGATTCATGGCACAGACGACAATCCAATCTTTGAGATCGCGAAAAAGACGGATACGCAATTGCATTATTGGGATGAGAGACAGAGAATTTTGGATGTCGAGGGTAAAGCTGTAGAGAGCAAGGAAGCGGAAGAATATGGACGTATACTCTGGGACGATGGATTGATCTCTCAGGCTTTCAAGTATAGTAGGGAGAACACGGCGACTATTGATCCGAAGCTGTCGCTTATGGATTTCTTTGCTGAGAAAGCCGAGACGCTATTTACTGACCTCGAGCAAAAAGAGGCAGAAAGGAAGAGAAGGACATTACTCCAGATCTGCGACTTTTGGGGTAGTTATGTGGGCAGTCCGACTACCGCGCAGAGTTTAAAATTCTTCTGGTTGGAAGAGTGTATCGAGGGTGAGAATCCTTTTGTGGCTGGCACTTATACCAAAATTCTGGAATTTGTGGCGAAGCCTGCTTTGGAGAAGGCAGAGGTGAAGCTGGAGACAAGAGTTACCGCTATCAAGGGCAGGAAACAAGAGGGGGGCAAGGTAGAGGTGCGAGTGGATGGAGGTGACAGGTATGAATTTGACGAGGTTGTCATGACGGCACCGTTGGGTTGGTTGAAGAGAAACAAGGATGTCTTTGTCGACGGCTTGACGAAAGATTTGGATAGAGCTATCAATGCGATTGGATACGGTGCTTTGGATAAGGTATGTCTCTCCCTCCATCCGTCTCTCACCGATCACACTGACCATATAACTCAGATCTACATCACCTTCCCCACCGCCTTCTGGGAAATCACCTCAGAAAACGCATCAGAACCAAAAGGCACCGCCACCATCAGCAGCTCAAACACACCAAACACAACAGCATTGACAGCACCTCTACACCAATCCTCCTCTACCACTTCCCCAACAACCTCCTATCCAGGATTTACCCACTACCTTTCACCCAACTACGCCACCGCCACAAATCCACAGAAATGGGACCAACAAGCCATGAATCTTTCCGCCTTGCCATCTCCTTCCACTCACCCTACCCTCCTCTTCTACATCTATGGCTCTTGCTCTGCTCACATCGCTTCCCTGGCCCAACTCCCCCAACCCACCCGTGATGAGAAACTGAACGCATTCCTCGCACCATACATCTCTCTTCTCCCCAACTTCTCACCCTCTTCTCCCCACTGCAAACCCTCAGCAATATTTGCGACTGCATGGGCAGGCGATGAATTAGCTGGCTATGGCTCATACGCAAATTTCCAAGTTGGATTGGAAGATGGGGATGTGCATGTCGAGTGTATGAGGGAAGGAATGCCAGAAAGAGGTATCTGGATTGCGGGGGAGCATACGGCGCCGTTTGTTGCGTTGGGCACGGCGACGGGAGCGTATTGGAGTGGTGAGAAGGTTGCATTGAGGATTTTGGAAGGGGTGGTTGTTGAGGGTGAACGTGAGGGCGAAGGCAAGTAGTAGATAATGGATACTGATATCTGAGTTTGCTTGAAAGAGACAAAGAATGGGGCATTTGATTGCTCAATCTTTTATCTATTTCTTTTTTTTTGTGTAGATCGTTCGGTTGCGTATAAACAGTACTTATGCTCAGACCAAGGTCAGAGGATTTGAGAATGTGGAACCATACACCTAGGTTTGTCTTGTAGTCATCGGCGCGCATTGACAAGCTGAGGGCCAGCCGACTTATAGAAGCGCGAACATGCCTGTGATATATAGTATGATGAACATATCGTCGACGACCGTGATAGGTGGACCCGGCAGCAAAATAACCAGTGTACATACTGCAGCAGCATCTTTAGAGATGGAATCATAGACGGTGAATTGTTTGGGGATGTGAAGACACGTATAAGTCGGCGAGCTGACGGACAGCTCAATTGAAGGGAGTGCAAAAGATCCTTTGGTGTGATATTAAATAACTGATAAATGCTATCAAGGCAGACCGTAACAACTAGAAGTGATTATGTCAAGAGGCAGCTGCCTCTAGGTGACCGTAGCCCAAGCATTCATAAACATATGCATATATAAGTTTATGCTAGACGTCGCCAAGACCTTGGTTTTTTCTGGCCTTTTTCTTCGCCCTCCTACTACACTCAATCTTGGAGCTGAGATATCTCACGCTATACTGCACCGATTGCGCTTGAACAAAGGGCATAATGATGGTAATTCTCTGGAGATATGCCACGTGTGCCAATCCGAAGCCGTCCTCGGGGTGATCGCACCAGGGGAGTGGTATACACTGGACAAGGTCTTACAGCCATGAAAATCCACTTTTCTCCACCAAAACTTATTCGAATACAATAATTTTGACGGCAGATAGAGGCTTGAGTCGATGCCGTTGTGGCCGAGTGGTCTAAGGCGGTGGTTTTAAGTTTACGAATCAGATACAAGCGTTCTGCTTTCGGATTACATAAACACCACTATCGAGAGATGCGTGGGTTCGAACCCCATCGGCGGCAATCCTTTTTGCTTCTACCACTACCTTCTACTCCTGTGCAAAAGATGGAGGGAAACGGATATCATTTGAGCTCGCTAGAGTATTTTCTGATCAGCAGTAGGAATGAAGCTTCAGGCCGCGATATATCAACAACCGTTATGTGGAATTTCACAAAACTATGGCATAACATAGACATAATTGTATATAAGCTACACTCCGAAAATCATACTATATGGATTGATCGTTGTCGAGATATTCATAGTTTCGTCCATGAGGTTGGTTGAGAGAGATACTATGAGGTTTCATAGATTCATAAACGTATATCTCGTAATTCAACAAAGCATTGCCAGTGTGATACGGCAGATCTATAAGAGAACCCTAAAACTGAAAAAAAAATCGAGGCCCAGAGTAGCCAATCCTACATCTGTCGCTAAAATATACCGCTAGTGTTAACGTATACTTATCAAAGGGTAGCTTAGGCTGATAGATAGCCTATATCCATAGAGTCTGCCAGATATATAGAATAATGCTAGTAGATAAAGAAGGAAATTTTGCATATTACTATCTGTACCAATCTAGGCCTAATCCGATTTAGAGAAGGAATAATCCAAAGAAGAGGACATTTTGCCGGCGCTTAGCTATAGCTAAGTGTTGTAGGTATTAGAGTAGGCTTATCGAGGTCTCATGGGACAATGATATAGTCACATATGACCATAGTGATAGTGATACCTACTTTTTCTAGCCAAAGAAAACTGCGACTGGTCAATGTTTGCATGCAAGTATGCATCAAAACAAAAGAACGGCGGTCACTGTCACTATGCGCAACACTGTACGATACAGAACTGAGTCAATATTCCAGGGATCTATGTAACCTATCTCGATGAACTTGCTCTATGTTCGACCTCCAAAAATCCCGATCTCAAGCATATCTGTTACCAACGACCGGTGGTGAAACATGTTGACTGGTGAAGGAGCAATGTTGAAGGCCAGAGCTATGGGCAGTATCTGTCACACCCCACATGACCTCTTTCAAATGCGCTTCGTAATCGGTATCTGGAGGATGACAGGCCGCGCTGATGATGGCGCTACAAGAGGCACCGAAAGGTATATTCTCTTGCAAAGGCAGTGTGGCAACGATATAGGCCGCCATGATGATTGAGCCAACCACCGAAATCAGCACCAAGCAACTGAACGAAGAGAAGCCGCAGGCCACGAAGGCTTTGCCAGTATCTCGCACTCCGGTACCTGACTGAACGTCGATTTGAACCATGAAAAGAGTTTGCGATATCAGCCAATGGAGAGAGCCGCTCCCTATTGTCAAAGGAATTGCCCATCTGTAAGGGAGCTGGAGAAAATATGTGCTGCGTTGAGCCTTTTCCGGATGAGACACCCGTAGACCTTTTCTCTGGGAGGCCATCGTGTTCCACTCTTTCGCCAACGCCATCCTGGTGAAGATGCCGTTGAGATTGAAGTATGTGAAAGAGAAGAAAAGTTGAGGGATGTTGGTCAGCCAGGCATTGAGCAAGATACTTGCTGTGCTGAATTGTGATTTCAGGAGCGTCGTCTGTGAACCCGTACCCCATCCTGCGAAAGTGTCCGCAGAGCCAATGAGCATCCCTCCACCAAGACTAGAAGCAATCAGGACGGTGTTACACCACCAGAGCATGCGAGCACTCATTATGGCCGAGCCCAGAGGAAGTTGCTCGGGAGCCCAGAGACATCCCTGCACAGACGGACGTTGCCCTGAAATCGGTCGCAGCGTATCACTCTTGCCTTGGTCAAAGTCCCCTGACCCAAGCAATACTTTTTTACTCGCAGTACTCAGACCTACAGTGTTGGGGTCCGGATAAGCCAGAAAAGAGGCAACGGCATCCCCACACGTGACGAGATATGAGGAGCTCTCGACTAACCCAGCCTTCAACACGACCAGACCCATGACGATCGCTTTTACTAGGTTTGCAACAACCACAATCAGCATGAAATGAAGGCTGAGCTGAACCGCATTTTGAGACCTTGCTGGGCGAGCGAATCCATTGACGGCATGTACGTGATATCCGTTGCTGGTCCTCAGCCATTCTTGTCCGGAGACATTGAGATATCGTAATCCAGTGTTTGTATCATCAGGTTCTACCCAATAGGGCTGTGGCCAAGGGATATCGATCCCTATCTTGATCGGATCAGATAATCCAGTCAAGTTTGTCATGGTTCCAACTGCGTCGAATACGATTTGCAAATCAGTGTAGTCGTAGAGAAGTTGAGAACCAAAAGTCGTTGTCCAATGGTCATTGGATAAGAAAGACACTTCCTTAGACGTACTTAGCTTGAGATAGTCTGCGGATCGATAGTTGACAAAGCTTGCGTCGTACTCATAGGCGACTGTGTACTTGAAAACCGCAGAATTGTAGCTGTCTTTGTGAGCTTGGTTCCTTCCTCAGTAGTTCCAGCTACGTGTGCTTACAAGAGATGCAACGGGACCGAAGAGGCCGCAAGCACACACCAAAGTGCCAGTCTCTTTCTGTTGATGTGTCTAAGGTTCCGAGTACTTAGGAGTCCGATATCCAACCACTGCCCGTTGTTATGAGCTGCATCGACCTCTGATCTGGTGGGCGAGCTCAATATCTGCATGGTATAACTGCTAGAGCTCAGCAGTATGGTGCTGAACACATTGATCAGGAGGTGATATGCAGTGCTTATTGCTGCTATCGTATGTTGTTCGCCACGTGCGAGGGTGGCAATTCCGTTCTGGAACCCCTCATAGCGAAACGCAGCCACCAGCAAAAGCACGAGGTTGATGAGGAAGACAAGACCAGAAGCGAAGCATCCTGTCAATACTCCTATGCGCCATCCCTCAAGATCACCGAAGGTCTTTCGAACTTGTTTACGGTATTGATATCCAAACTTGTCCAACAGCTTACGAGCTGCAGAGAGGGTCTTTCTCGCGAATAGGAACAAGCCCTTGCCAGACGGATCATTTTGCTGTGTGTAGATTGGATCGAGATGCTGCGAACTTTGAGTCCAGATTAGAGCACGAATCAGCACAAAGATGAGGATGTCCTCACCCGATATCCTCACGCAATTCAATGCCGCCGACATAGTCTGTTTCTGCGACAAGTGGGGTGGCACTGTTAGAAGATGGAAATCTGAAAATGGGGCGTTCCATGTTCACGAGTGCTGGTAAGGGTTTGAAAAGAGCCAATGTGCGACTTCAGCCATCCAGATATGTCTAGCGAGCGATGAATCAGGAATATGTATGCTCTAATACTCGCGGCAAGCCCGAGGAGCGCAAACTGGCTGCATGTGTTGCTGCAGCCGACATGCGTGTTATCGCTGAGTAGGGCAATTCTCAGCCGCGAACGACGCAGCTATCTGCTGTAGCTTGGATCTGATACAGTACATAGCGAACCTTCCCACTCCATCGTGGCAGTAGCTCATGTTGAAGCCTAGTGTATACGGAACGAAGACGATAAGCAGGTGATAGCGGCAGACTCGAAAAGTGAGGCGGATTGCGATGCAGGAGTTCGAAGAGCAACACTGATGGAAGGGACGGGATCTGCTCGACAGTCGTGAACACATTAGACCTCCTTCGGGACAGTGCTGGACCAGCAAAATATATCCGCAAGTCATGACCGGGTATACATACATGCGGCATGTTCAAGAATACCAGCCAATCGGAGATTGCATAACGTCGGCGGTACGCGGTTTTCACATCATTTGTCAGACGCTAGTGCAAATGCATCGCAGCCAAAGCTGAGGTTCAGGACAAATTGCAGCAGCTCGTGCGTCGGCGTCCGTCGTGTTGCGATGTCGAAGATTCATCGCGATAATCAAATCACGGTCCATGCGGAAGGTGCTTCTGTCAGACCGCATAATAGACCACTAGCAGAAGCGTAAGAGTTATAGAGTGATACAAGGCAACAAGCAGCGGTGTCAAGCACATACGGCCACAGTCAGCTGAAAACTGGGCATCCCGTCCGCTCTGCCATACATAAGCAGTTGAACGGCAGATTAGTACTACGGTGGGTGACCACGTGGGAATCCCTGCTGCTGTATGTTTAGGTCTTCTTTTTGCTCTTGCCTACGTCTGCCTGTGAAATCGTTCTTTTTTGCGGTGCTGCCATCTTTGCGACTCGAGATTTGTCCCACTGTTACTATACCTGTTAAGATGGGGGCCTCTTGATTCGTCATCGACTTTTTATTCGACGCGACACTCGTCACTAGCCATTGATTTGCGTAAAGACTGCCATCCTACATGCAGCTCAGGTATCGACACATGTGAACGGTCTTTCGAGATTCAAACATTGGGATGAAACGCAGCTCCAAATCCAAATTGTTCCAACTTTTCACAACTAGTCAACTAATCCACCCCTCTAGCTTTCATAAAATCCACCAAGTCAAAGAAACTCTTCTTATAGTTCCTCTCCTGCGTCGTGCGATTAACAGTCTGAATACCAAAATGCTGCTCATAATCTCCAAACTCCCAATTGTCCGCAAAACTCCAAGCAAAGGCCCCCAATACTTCGACTCCATCTTCCCAAATGGCCTTAAGGACTTCAGACATGAAGGACAGATAATAAACACTGCGTGGAGAGTCGAAAAGTTGATCAGAGAGATTCTCCTTGTCAGCCTCGCCGAAAACAGGGAAGCCGAATTCGGTGAGAACGATGGGGGTGCGGAAGGTGTTGTGCAGGTAGTTGAGGTAGAGGCGTAGGTAGGTGGGGGTGATGTAGACGTATGATTGAGAGCGGTAACCGATGTTCCAGCCGAAGATGTCTGTGGTGGTTTGATTGACGCAGTAAGGACGGAGTTCTGCTGATGAGTTGGTGGCGCAGCTTTTGATGCTGTCGATGGAACCCGGTTCCGGGGGTGCGATGACAGTGGCTGTGTAAGGATCGATACCAAGGAAGTCTGCTGTGCCGTTGATGTACTCGAGGTCGGCCTGGCTTAGAGGCACGTAATCGGGAATGGTCATCTTGTAAGATTCCGGGTAGTCTTGACCAAGGAAGATAGGATTACAGAAGGGACCGAGCTGGAACGAGTTGAAGTGGTCTGCAGCATAGACATCTGCTTCACTCTCGGGATCGCGAGGTACGCCGAAGTTGTTGTTGAACTTGAGGGCGATCTTGCCTGTACCCTTGAGCTCATCCTTGTAGAAGTGGGAGACCCGAGCATGTGACTTGATAACATGATCAATGGACTTGCCATTATCAGAGTAAAGCAGAGGCTCGTTGAACGTATACCACACCGGCACGCGATCAGCGTAGTGTGTCATGACGATTCTGGCGTAGTTCACAAACGCATCTGGGAAGGTCTCGTTCTGGTATCCTCCATTGGTATAACCAATTTCTGCCTTGATCAGTTCAGTGACATTGGTAATCGTGCCGAAAAATTGAAGCGGAGTGTCAAAGTGCAATAGAGTGACTTCTGGCGCCATGCCCTTTTCAATGATATAGTTGATCACATCGTCGTAGTGCTGAATGCCCTGTTGGTTGACCGGAGTACCAGGCAGTGCGAACGGTAAGATTCTGGTCCAAGGAATGCTGAAGGAGTAGTACTTGACACCCATGGCAGCAACACGCTCGATATCCTGCTTGTAGTAGTAGTAGTTTTCGTTGGTGACATAATCCTTTGGTCGGTCATCCTGAATTAGGATGTCCATCAGAGATGGCGCTTTTCCTTCTTCAGCTGTCGCTCCTTCAATCTGACTGGCAGAACTTGCAACACCAAACTCAAAGCCAGGAGGAAAGTTGTAGCAGTCGGTTGGGCCAAAATAATCTCTTGGAGGCAAGACCAGCTCCTGCGTAGGCACCGGTGTTGGCTCGACGGTGGTACTGAACAAAGCGCTGGTGGCATCCTGCGTAAAATTGGGAGGGTTGGCCATTCTCCACAGTTCTGTCCAAGCGGCATTGCCATATGGATTGGCTGCGTCCGTCGCGGATGCATTCGCGGTCGGATCCCATTTGCCCCAGGTCGTGTAGGACACCGAGCCGATCAGAGAAGTCAGACTCTCGAAAGGAGGAGCATAAGTTGTAGTAGCTGTTGGCGAGGGTCGGGATGTGGCATAGCGTACTGTTGATGTCATGGTATAGTGGAATGGTGTGAAGGTGTACTGTGGTTCACCTTCGGTGCACTTAGTGCATGAGGGTCGGGGTGTAGAGCCATTGGCCTCGAGGTATACTTGCTGACCAGCTACAACAGTAGCCAGACCAAGTAACTGGCCGAGAGTATCCGCTTTCACCATGTTTTGGAAACTGAGAGAATGATGAATCAGATACTTACATCTCTTGAGAGTGGGCGAGCACCCTTATGTACATCTCGTAGTTCAACTCTTGGCTCAAAGGATCACTGACATCTATGGCTGGGTGATGTCGAGATCACAGATGTATCGTCATGCCGAGCGGTTCAAGCAAGAAGCTTGGGAACCGTGAGGGGTCACAAACCGCGATGCTCGGGCATGCCGTCGTCAATCCTACCTCGATCAGTCTTCTCCTCCGAAAAGCCAAGGTTGGGGAAGCGGAGAGCGTTCATATGAGGTTTTGATCTACAAGGATGAAGGATGAAGGTTCCCCATGGGTGGACCTTCTGTGTTCGTATTGTATTTATCCGGATGATGCTCCGCCCGCAGAGATGGCGAGTCACGTGTGTTCGGTACATGTACGCCCGAAGGCAGCCGAGGATGCCGACAAGATAAATTGCGGTGCCAGCTCTGACCCGTTCCGACTGCTTGACAGCGACGAACGACACGCCACGGCAGGTGCTCATGAGCGAACACATTTCTCCTTCAGTCACCAGCAACAAGACTGGACGAGCAATGGAAAGGTTGAAAGGTCTGGAAGACAAGAAAGCAAACGCCTGTTCTTTAAGAGGTCAGCAAAGATTCGAAGAGAATGCTGAAGACGTGGTTTGCAAGGAAAGAGCAAAGTCATATCCATATCAGATCAATGCCATTGTCAATGGCGGTATCGTCAATGTCCAACTTGTGGCTACGTAGACCGTCGTGATAAATAGAATAAATCATCATTGAAATGACAATGCTCTTGAGGGAAAGGGAAGGTGGAAGGGGTCGAAAGCTTACCTGATGGGAGAGAGGATGCAAGCACACGGTCGGCCATGATAATGAGGCACTGTGAAGGTCTTTGTAAAGTCAGCAACGGCGTTACAATGGAAGACTCTGAATGAAGGTGAGGTAGAAATTGTGGGTCAGACAAGACATTCTCTGCAGTACTACCGGTCAAGGTAATTCGGACATATGCTTGTCATTGTGTTTGGTTTGAATCATCATGTGAGGTGAAGGGGATGATGTGTGAAGAGGAAGAACTTACACTCTTGTCTGGCGTAGACCGCGAACACAAACTGCAAAGACCCGTTCCGAAGAAGAGGAAGATCTGAAACTCGATTGTTAGTCACTGATTGACAAAGGACAATGATTGAACAACAGTGTGTAAGAATGTGCATATATTCAGTTAGGCATGAATGGTATAAAATAAAGTGTTGTCTGCATGGATAACTCCGATCAGACTCGTCATCTAGGTGTTCATCATATGACGGCCACAAAGTGTGAAGAGAAAAATAAAGGGAAAGCAAATTTTGCATACCATTTGATATTTGTTTAGCCGATGAGCGCGCATGTCTCAGCGACGTCAAAAGCAGAGTATGTTACAAAAAGCAAGCCCTCTTTATCGTACATGTCAGCCCAAGCTCTTTGAAGACTGGTTGATGACAAAAGGTGATTGTGTTGTCGAAATCAGTGGACGAGGTTTTCTAGGCCTGTCACAGCGTTGGCATATCTGCTCATTTGGTTTGTAGTCGGAGCCCAGTGCCGCTTCATCACATGAAGAAGTTGGTGTTGATGGAGGAGGTGCGGTGTTTACCTATCAATCAACAAAGTCAGTAAGGTTCGGAAGAAGAGCTTGCGAATAAGTTGAGATGTGTGTGAGACTCAGAAATAGCCATTTGATATCGGCACCGCCCCGAAGGGCTTGGTCGGTAATTTCCAGCGTATATAAACGTTCAATTGTTCATCAGAAAATAGGGGAGGGGGTATGTAAAGAGGGCAAAGAGGAGAAGGCGCGTACCTGTTAAGATGAAGTCTCTTCAGCCGTCGATTGGAACGCGCTGAAGAGACTCAAAGCCGTGCACCCAGTGAAAGGGACGGCAGCGTGCAAAGAGCTGCAAAGCACGCAAGCGAGCGGAGTGTTGAGCAACGCGTCGAGCCTGGCATCTGTTTTCAATCAGTCTTGTGCGCTTGAAGATAGCTGTAGCGAAGAGTGATGAATTGTTTGTTGTGAGTTCAGACTGACGTGCTTGCAAATGCGGTTTCAGTTCTCCGAAGAGATCAAAGACTCTAGTTTGATTGCGGTATTGCGGTTTCATCAGGTTGGAAGGGAGGGTGCAGAAAGGAAGCGCTTACCATTTTGACTGAAGCAGCAGCATCGCAGAGCTGTTTTGCGCGTTGATGCTGCTGTTGTGAGAGAGGAGGAAGTTTCTGTCAAGAAGAGGTCTGGTTTTGTAGTGCAAGCTTGCGCAGAAGATTTTGAGCGGAGAAGAGGTCTGAGCGGCTGGGTTACTAAGCATGAAAGACTTGGCACGAACTAGTTCCCTTCCGGACACCTCTGCTCTCCGCTTGTCAAAGGATTGTGGCAGAAGACATGCTTGTGACAGTCTTATCCGACCAATGTGAATTTCCTGTGGGCGAAGTGGATGCATCCTGAATGCTGTCAAGTGCATGTCATTTGCCCTCGACTCGTTGCTAAATTGGACACCGAGCTGAAAGGATTATCGTACGAGCCAGACCATCCCTCCATAACCCGAAGTAGTAGGTGACTGAGGTCAGCAATCATATAAGTGCACCTCGCGCAACATCAGCCCTCACCCAGATAATATTCAACGAACTCGCCTCCACTTCTTGATCTTATACAAGATGTCGTTTCCAAAACAATGTTGTGCTAGTGGCTCCCTTCACACCGGCACTCCCACTGGCATAATTTCTGAGCTTCATGGCCTCCCCGTCTACATCACCTCACCCCCTATCAACAGGCCTCCCAAAGGCATTGTCGTAATACTACCCGACGTATTCGGCTGGACACTCCCGAACACCCGCATTCTAGCCGACAACTTTGCCGCGAAAGGCGACTTTCTGGTCATGCTCCCTGACTTTATGGACGGCAATGTTTTTCCCCATCACTTGATCATCAGCATAAAAGCGTTGGACGCCACCGGTACTTTTGCCTGGGCCAAAAAAGCATATCATTTCCTGAGGCTCGTTTGGTATGGATTTCCGTTCTTGAAGAATGACAAGGCGCATCTGGTCCGCCCAAGGGTCGTCAACTTCTTCCATGGCCTGCAGTCTTCGCATCCTGAGCTACATGTTGCAGCAGCTGGGTATTGCTGGGGTGGTCAGTGGGTTGTGGAGCTGTGCTCAAATAAAGAAGAATATGCAGCCGATAAGCCTTTGGTTGCTTGTGGTTTCACAGCTCATCCTTCACGCTTAAAGATACCTACAGACATCGAGGCAGTCACCTACCCTCTGTTCGTCGCAGCGGCTGGGATTGATCAACAGATCCCCAAAGCGAAAGCCAAGCAGATTGAGGATATCCTGAAAGCCAAGACAGCGAAGACGAAAGATCGGGGTGTTGAGCACGAGTTTGTCATGTATGATGATGTGCACCATGGATTTGCTGTCAGAGCAGATGAGAATGAAGGGCGTGAAAGAGAGTGTGGAAAGAAGGCAGAGGATCAGGCTGTAAGGTGGTTCAGCAAGTGGTTCGATCGTGCGGCTTGAGACGGTTCTGAACAGGCCATTGAGGCAAGATAGCAGAGGAATGTTAGGATGCAATCGCCGAGGTTGTGTAGCGGACACCCAGTGATGAGCCTGTGAGCAACTGCTAGGCTCAGCGTTCACAGCTACGAGCAATACACAAGATGTTGCTGCGGTACCAAACTCTCAGCGTCTTGTGGGTGAAACAGGTAAAGGTAGGAGCTCCACAGTCACGGGAATGGCAAAGCGAAGTGATTAAAGGGTTGAAAAGGTTGATTTCGTTCTGTGCTATTATACAGTATTATTCAACCATGAGCAAGGTGATATCTCATCCTTGTGGTCGACATTCGGCCGAGACCTCCTCGATGGCATCAAAGGTAGACCTTAGAGGTGTAACGCGCATGGTGAAGGATACGGCGCGAGTCTGTCGAAGACGAGGGCGGAAGATACAGCATGGAAGCGCATGGCTGGGAGGTATCGAAGTCGGCGCTCAATGGCTAGCACGGCGCGACTTGAGGGTATCGCAAAAGTGGAAGGAAGAAGCAAAGTGGGTTTCGTTGCGCCAGGTCGTGATGTAGGCCGCTGAGGGCTATCGCCAGTCATCTTAATACTTGAGAATGATGTAGCTGCGAGGGAGGTCAGTAGGTGCGACACGAGTGTGTGTAGAAGACGATGGTGACGTACAGGGCGTGGATGATGCCGGGAATGTAACCAAGGATGGTCAACAGAATGTTGATGAGCAAGTCAGCACCACAGCCGCGCTCGAGGAAGACACCAAGAGGAGGGAGGATGATGGCGATGATGATCTTGATGATGTCGCTGAGAGGCAGGTCAGCACGCGTAGTCGCTTGTGTTCCCAGGGCTGTTCTCGCTGACGGGGGGTCCGCGGAAGAGACGAGGGAGAGATGGGGGAAAGACTCACGATCCGGTGAAAGGCATGCTGGCGGTGTTGGACTGAAAGTCTGGTGTCTGGTTGTTGGTATTGGAAAAGTGTGGCTGGTGGAGTGGATGTGGATTGCAGAGATGGGAGTTCGTCAGGGCAGGCAGCGTTTATGTACGCCGACTGTGAGCCTGAATCGTCCACTCACGCAACACAGGAATTAAACGCCTCTGCGCGATGATGTAACTAGCGTCACGACCTTGTGCCAAGAAGCAGGAAACCATCGACAACCTGACGTCCTCCATGACAAGCCCGCCAACTACCGCCGACTAGATGATTGCCTTTTTACCAAGAGCAGGTTGTCAATCTGCTGTCTACTCTATCGGGCGCCTCCTGTAATCATACACTGCCACGGGAAGACAACAAAAACATGTACATGCAAGGGGAAACTTGGAGGGCGACGCGTTCATGCTTCTATTTCCAACTCGCAATTTTACCAAAGCTCTCAGCCACTGCGGCTTCGTTTCCTTCTCTCCGTCGCGAGCGCATCGAATACGCTTTCCGGATCCTGACCTGCCGGCCAAGGCCCTCAGGCATACATTTTTCTGTGTTTTTCTTCCGGCCGCACCGAGCTGCCAATACATCTCCACAGTCCGCGTGTCCTTTGGTGCTTGGTCTTCTTGGCTCTTCGTAAGGCTGTTCCTACTTTGGTCCATCTCGCCTACAAGAGAGAGCCTCATGATACATACCCAGCCACAGCTGTGCCACGTCTGCGCCACATCACGTCACAGAGCGACATGATTTTCGTGCGTCTATCAACTGGACAATCACCATGGTGCACATGACGACAAAGGTTGTGTCTGTCAATCTAGCAACGAGGAGACGTCTCCGAACCAAATCTCCATGGAACAGTCTCTGTCATATCGCTAGACTGCTTGTCTCTAAGGCAGGTAATAGAGCGTTTTGAATGCCTTGCGTCCTGCCCCGACATTAATAGGGTAGGTCATTGTCACAGAATACATCCTAACATGTCAGTTTGTAGGCCTCGGCTTCTTGCTACATCTTTCTCGACTTTACTCCATAAGTCTTCCAGGTCTAGTCCGATGTCTAATCAGATTCTCACCATCTAACCGACGGCGTGTCCCTTAAGGTCGTTGGACTTTAAATGCAGTGTAAACACAACTTACTTTCAGGATATCTCTCTAATCTCCTGCCTCAGATAAACAACTTACGATCTCCAGTTCTAACTTTAGCACTATGCGTGTGGCTCTCCTAGGCCACTGCCTTAAGAGTCAGAACCAGACTCTCACATGTCGGCTCTATCGCAAAAAACTCGACAGGCAACATCTACATTTGTCGTGCTTCTGGAGCCGCTCTCGAGTCGATACACCAACTCTTGAAATCCAAGAATAACGACTTGGTTTTAATCACCATCTGCACCAAACTCTTCTATCTTCGATTCACACAAGATCTGCTGTCCAAAATAACGCTGCTCTGAACTTTTGGCTGTCCAGAAGGCATGTAGTTTCTCATTGTGAAACAAGCAGGCGGTAAATCTCTATAGGAAACTGACAAATTCTTTTATACGAGCCGATCAGCGAACAGCATTCCATCTAACAGCCTATTAAATGATGAACAACTCTATCACATCCTACACTTCTCGTCGCCTATGTAAAAATAGACATGATATCTTTTTTTCCTCATATTTCAACAACACCAGACTTTGCAGAGGTCGAACGGTCGAATCACTGCTTAATCTGTTCTTAGTAATAACCAATCTAGCACAAGTCAAGACATCAAGTCACCGTCATGGCAGAAATTTATCACCACAAAAGGTTCAAGGCAGTAAAGTATACTATCAACGATACTGACATCCTAGTTGCTACACGATGGATTACTATAGCTTTGACTTAGGTGTAGAGTCAATCAGTGGTGGAGCCTGACTCTATGCGATTCTGGCTTGACTTGACTTGACTTGACTTGGTAAAATCGGTCATCTTTGAGCAGCGCATGGGTTTCCAGACATTGTACTTTAAACACCATTTGCGTAAATGCTTGCAGGCTACAGTCGATTGGAAACAGAGGGACTGTAAAGAAGGAAGAGGATGCGAAGGAAGCTTGGCTTATAGTATAGTATGCATCTTTCGATCCTTCTGTGCATCCTTCACTCCTCCGATACTGTCACACATACTTTCATCCCCTGTTGTGTTGGTGGCTAGACAGTGTAAGATCTCCAGTCGTGTTGTCCAAATTGGACAATTCGATGCTATGTATACTGCCAGGTGCAGCTCCTATCCTCTAGGCAGCAGATGGAAGACGTGAAAAGAATGAGTCGGCAAAGGCTGCATGTAGCTATACATCTCTTAAGCACGTGCACGAATCGAGACTGACAAGCATTAAAGGTTTAAAAGTGGAAAAGTGTATGTTCGTACCCAGGCATCTCAAGAGAGCCACAAAGTCGTACAGCAGAAAAAAACAGAAAATAAAGTATAGAAGGGTGAGATAAGCTGATGCTTCAGCATCGGGAAGGGCCTCATATCCTCCCTCGTACCCCCAGCCCTCCACCTCTCCAGTAATTATTAAATACTTCTTTTAGACACAGCTCCAAGTCCATACAAGCTGCCTGAGCCATTTGTCATCCTCCCCTCTTTGTGGCCCGAGATCGTTAAGTTCCTGTTGTTGTATAGTTCTGGCCTTTCTGAAGATCTTCTGCGCATACGCTGCTGCCTGCACTGCGCCTCAGGCCAAGCGGGTCCTGCAGGATCGCATTCGTCAAAAATGTGTTCTTGACGCGAAAAGGCGCATGGTGCTGGACGCCCTCGGAGTTTCGTGACCGGTGACCAGAATCAGTAATGACTATTAGCTGACACTCGGAGTCCCCGGACTCCTCGGGCTACAACACGAGAGCGATGAGTCAATCGACTTGACCACTGTACGACATCCTCGTTGTAGCGAATTGTTCGAGTCCAGGGATTCTCAACCTGTCCCGTTCGGTCGCCAGCGAGGGATCTGTACAGTCTGCGATCCTGCTGCAAGTTGTTCTTGGAGAAATTTGATCTGTTCTTTCATCGCATCGAGTTCTGCTCGTTGGCTTTCTCCCATGTTCCTGAGTTCGGCATTGTCAAGTCGTAGTTTCTTGAGCTGAGTTTTGATGTCCTCCTCTGCCGCATCTTCACTCTGGCTCACAACACTCATACGCTTGCGTTTTGTCGATCGGGCGTCATCGTCAGATTCGTGATCGGAAAGAGCAGCTCCAGGCGTGTGTGCATCTTGCGCAGCAGCTTCAACGCTCTCGACATCTTGCAGCTTGTGTACCCTACGTAGATGCTCCTGCAGATTCTCGCGGCGGGTGAAGCCCTGTTCGGTGTGTCGCTTGCAGTGTTTGATAGGGCAGAAGAGCTGTTCTTTGGGCCCGCCATGCATGCTGTGAACCTCGCGTTCGTGTCGCAAGAGGCCGCCTGAGTATGTGAATCCTAGCAACTTGGCGCATTGCGGTTTATCGCACTTGTATGGCCGTTCATGCTTGTCCATGTGTTTGCTGTATGATGAGTTAGCATGATGTGCTGGAATATTTCGGTAACGGAATTCATGTTGATTGGTTGAGCGGGGCGTTTGGGCATGCTTTTGGGCCGCAGCACAAGATCTGATATGACAGTTGAAGTTGGCCGACAGCTGAGGCATAAAAACGTCCGCTATTGCAACAATCGAGACAACGAAATAGCAAGTACTTACTTCCACTCGCATTTGCGGTCGAAAATCTGATGGCAGTTTTGGCATTCAAACTTTCCGGCTCCGTTGTGTTTGGGTGCCGTTCGGCGATGATTTAGTGGTTTGAAACTCGAGGGAGAAAAAGCGACCGAACTGCTCCGTCGCTCCTCGTCGTCGTCTCCGTTCATAATCTGGGATGTGTCTTGTGGGTCCGAGTCATTGTCGGAGCTTGAAGATTTCGCAGGCGACATGAGAGGCGACAGTTGCTGAGATTTTTGATTTGGTTCGGAGACCGTCATCGTAGACATGCAGGGCAGAGCAGTTGATGATGAAAAATGGTGCAGAGTTGATAATGGTAAAAGTTTTCCAGATGGGATGTGAAGGTCTGAGGGAGAGGTGATTCGAGTCGGATGGGCAAGCGTGAGTCAAGAAGCTAGACCGGACTTTGTATCGACGGTTGTTGACGCCCAAGACAGGTGGTGGCAAGAAGGACGTGGACCTACAGGTATTATCGGCAAGAAGGAAGTCACGGTGACCGAAGAGCGGTAGAAGACAGCGTCGGCCTTCTGTGAGCATCCACGTAAGTATCACGAGGCTGAGTCGAGGGGTGCATAGCCGCTTCCGCTTCCTGTTATATACGTCGGGTTAGCTGGAAGCCTGTCGACCCTCTCTGGTGCCTCGATGGCTGCCTTGTGGGCGAGCCATCCCAAACACAGGGCTGCTCCACCACCACCAAAGAAAGCTTGTTGCAGACCTTTCTGTGTGGCTGTGAGATCGCCGCTTGTGGCGTACTCACGGCTCTCTCCGAACCCGAGCTTCCGTAGCCTATCGTCAGCTCAGGGTCCAATGTCTCTGCGACAAGTTTCTTCGTACCTGCGTGAACACAAATAATCTTTCGCCAGGGAGCAATTGTCACGCCTGAGGCAAACGCTCATAACGTGCCGTCTCTCTACTCGTCCCGAGCGTCTACCAATCCCTGGCGGCAGCGACAGTGACCATACATTCACAAGCCAAGCATATACAAGACGCAGGGCTGTGCACTCACCGAAATTTGTGTCTGGACCGTTGGCTGCAAGCGATTTGTGAGCATCCTGGGCAGCTTTGCCGCTAGGCAACAGTAGATTGCCTTAGTGATTTGACTGGTAGATGTCGAGAATCTTCCAACAGACACAACACAGCATCGCCAACGCAGGTCAGATGCTTAGGGCTATGCCACGTTGACCAGCGCGTGCGTTGCGACACTGCGAGAACCATCTTCTGCGGTCTTGTGATGGTTTCATGCGATATCATTTGGGATTGTTGGCATCGGGTTGTCCGGTCCGTGTCGGAGTTGCTGGCAGGGAAAATCGTGTTCAAGGATCACTGCAAGATGTCATAGAGCATTGTCTCCTTTGGTCTTATGGTCCAGAGAGAGTCTCAGCACACAGACGTCTTGCCCGACAAAGCCACAGGACAATGATCTAGCGTTCACGGTAAGGGAGCAGCTGTTGTCAGGCGTGGCGATCGGCTATCACACTAGGCGACTCCGATTCCAGTATCGCAAGAGTCATCATAAGGACTGGCACAGGGCAATATTCCAGCGCAGTCAGACCTTCGTGGCTTGAGAACCTGCGCTTGCGGTCGCGATCCAAGAAACGTAGGCAGCTGAATCCAAGGTCTCGCACAGAGATTGCCTGTCCTAGATCTCGATATGTTGCTGCGTTCGCTGGCCATACCTGCGTCCAAGATACTCAGCTCTGACATTGAGTACGATCAACGGCGACACCGGACAAGAGGCGTTGTAAGCGGAAGCAGACCATTATCGCTTTTCACTTTTCTGGGCAGGTTACTCGAGTAATGATTATGATATAAGAGGACAGCTGGGGCGATGTGGGATTATAATAGACAATACGGCCTCCCGCGAAGACAGTGGCCTGGTTCTTATTTTTTCTTGCTTCCAAACTCAGACGTCAGCCGGGCGCTTGACCGGTCAACCTGAGGCATCCAAAACGACTACGCCTTGCGAAAAACTGCCCGCGCCTCAGTTTTCAGCTCTTCGCTTCTGCTGCCTTGTTGCTTCCAGCGATTTTGCTACTAGTGATATGCTATCCCGCTACATTGGTAAGTCTGTCACCACATGGCTGTATGGATGGTATTGCAAAGCGGATCATAGCACACAGCGACATTTCCCTCAAGGAAGATTCCTGCAGCAGAAAAACTCTGCATTCTTGGGCCCCTCAGGCTCTCAGCCCTCAAGCGGGACAGCATGCAAGCATCAACGCAACCACTTTCCAGAAGTGTTTAGAACATTTGCTTGGCTGCATGAAGTAGCTGTAGCTGCTGTGGCGGTGCACATGCCTAAGTAACAAGGTATCCACCCTCGCATTCGGAGATGACCAATCTGCATAGGTACATCACTCTTTGGGTGACCAGAGTTTTCTGATCCATCGCATATACTCACAGATCTCGAATTAGTAGGTCCCAGAGTCTTTAGTGGCCACCTCAGATAGGTGTACCTGTGTGCAAGCATAGAGATTTGTAGGCAGCAATCCGGAGTAAAGAGATTCAGGCAGCAATCGGCTCATGTATATCGGGTCCCCATATCTCATCGCCCAGTGCATATGCATGATGGACTTCTCTTTGAATATCACAGATGAAGTAATATGATAGGACGGTCAGCATGACTTCATGGCCATCTCTTATAAAGCCGCTTATAGCTACCCAATTGAGACACCTTTGCGCAAGAGGAATTTATGATGCAAGAGTCTCAAACGTGCCAAATTATAAAGCGAGGACAAAAGAAAGGTGCAAAAGAAATGTGTATGAACTAAATTGATTGTAAGAAGCTATCTAGAGCGATGTATTAAACCTGTTTCCAAAGCGAAAGACTGGCCCAGCCAACAACACCATTATATGTATATGACAAAAGAAATGATATGTGATATGTGTTTATCTCACGCTTAAAGAATACCAAGGATTCTTGAAGTGGTAGTCCGAGCGGAAGTAGATGCTCTGGTCGACAAAGTGGTGGGGACAGCGGAGGAAGATGAGCCACCGACCAGACCACCAACAAGACCACCGACACCACCCACAACACCGGTGACAACTGGAACCACGGCTGAGGTCACGACGGGAACCACGGCTGAGGTCACGACTGTCAAGGCTCCACCCACGACTGAGGTAGCGGCTGATCCAGTGTCGCCAACGACAGATGCAACGGGAGTGACGACTGCAGATACGATTTGACTGACAGCAGTGGCGCCAGAGTCAACAACAGCAGTTCCGACCGAAATAGCTCCACTTGCACCCTGTGAAACTGCAGAAACGATGGGTACAACGACTCCAGTCTCGATTGCTGGAAGATCAGAGTTGATGACGGTGCTAGCGAGAGTCGAAACTGCGCCCACGACGTTCGAAACAACACCGCCAAGGTCACCGGTAGCATCGCCAGCATTGCTAGTGATGACAGGCAGAGCAACCGACACAGCTGAAGAAACAATATCGCCAGCCCCATCGATGATCGAGGTGGCAGATGATCCAACTTCAGAGATCAGCGAAGGGGCTACGCTGGGGGCGATGGAAATGGAAACCGAGGCAATGATAGAAGGCAAGTCACCTGTGTTGTCAATGATCGAGGTCGGAAGAGATCCAACGTTCGAGATAATTGATGGGATGGTTCCATCGGTCGCGACAGACAGAGGAGCCGAGAGAATGGAAGAGACCAAGTCGCCAGTGTTGTCGACAATAGAGGTGGCAGAAGATCCAACTGCTGAGACGATCGAGGGAAGAGTTCCATCAACAATGCTGCTAACGACTCCAGTAGGAAGTACGGAACCATCGATAGAAAGACTGGTAGGCAAAGCAATGCCAGTGGGAAGGATCTCGCTAACAATGCTGCTGACTGCTGATGGAAGATCGTTAACGTCACCAATAATGCTAGACGCTGCGGCAGGAACGGTAGCAACGATGCTGGAAACAGCGCCGGAGAGACCTGTACCGAGAGGAAGGTCGGTAGAGAGAACCTCGCTGACGATGCTGTTAATGACTGAAGGGACAACGGTAGCCTGAGAGGCGATCTCGCTGACGAGGCCGGTAGCAGCGGCAGGAAGATCAGTAAGATCAGATGCAGCGCCGCTCAGAAGGCTGGAGACAGGGAGAACGGTAGGTGCGGAAATGTCGCCAACTCCTGAAAGAACCACGCTGGCGATGCTGGAAACGGGAAGGCCAGAAAGAATGGGAAGTCCCACGCCAGAGTTTCCAGTAGGCGAAGCAGCGGGAGGAGATTGCGAGACTGCTGCAGAGCTCTGCGATACTCCAGCCGAAGCGCTCACACTAGCAGAGATCGAGGCGGAAACACCGTTCGAGGCAGCAGATGATGCTTGGGAGCTGACACTCGAGATGACAGATGAGGCTTGGGAGGCAGCCGAAGAGACCTGCGAGCTGATGACTGATTGAGCGCTGGACACTGCTGAAGAGATCTGCGAGCTGATAACCGATTGGGCGCTTGACACGCCAGAGGACAACTGAGATCTGGCCGTGGTAACAGCACCACCAGCTCCGGAGCTGGCTTGGGACACAGCAGAAGAGATTCGGGAGCTGACAATCGATTCGGCACTGGAGATAGCGGATGGAGCCTGCGAAACTGCAGAAGACAGCTGCGAGCGGACGCTAGAAGCACCGCTGCCGACGACGGAGGTCGCTTGCGAGGCAATGGAGGACACCTGAGATCTGATTGTGGAAGCATCGCCACCAACTGCAGAAGTAGCCTGCGAGACGACTGATCTGATGGTCGAGGCATCGCCAGCAATTGCGGAGGAAGCCTGGGATCTGATCGTGGAAACGTCACCACCGATAATGGAAGTAGCCTTGGATGCGTTGGAAGATACGCGAGAGACAACACTTGATGCATCTCCGACGACAGCAGAAGTGGCCCTGCTTACGGCAGAGGACACCAAGCTCGACGCACGGCTCAAAATAGACGAGGCGGCTGACTCGATGGGTCTACCAGTAGGGACGTTGACTCCTCCGGTAAGTGTAAGCCCAGGGACGGTAAGGGTGCCGCCGGGGAGTCCAATGGAAACGCCGACATTGCCACCGTTCGAGCTGGTAGAAGGCGTAGGCTTGATCGAGACGATGACCGAAGAGCGAGACGAAACAGCCTTGACAGAGGAGCTGCTGGGCTTACCGATAGAGGGCAGCACGACTGAGCTGAAGGTAGGGAACTGGCCGTTTCTGCTCGAGGTAGAGCCCTGCTTAACGCCACCAGTGGCAGAGGAAACAGGGTTGGAACCACGAGAGGCTGAGCTGCTTGCAGGCTTGGCCGAACTGGATGGCTTGATCGAGTTGCTCACGGGCTTGACAGAGCTGCTTGCAGGCTTGGCCGAACTGGATGACTTGATCGAGTTGCTCACGGGCTTGACAGAGCTGCTGGCCTTGGAGGTGCTCACAGGCTTGACAGAGCTGGCTTTAGAGCTAGCCTTGGAGCTGCTGACGACAGGCTTGCTTGAGCTCTTCAGAGTGGGGATCGAGATGGGAAGCTTGAAAGAGCTGCTGGACTTGATCGTGACCTTAGCACTGCTTATGGCGGGCTTGGCCGAGGAGGTTGGCTTCTTGGACGATGAAGAGCTTGTCTTCTTCGAGGACGAAGACGAGCTGGACTTCTTGCTGCTTGAAGGCACAACGGGTTTCTTGCTGCTAGAAGACAAGGAGACGGGCTTCTTGCTCGAGGCGACAGGCTTGACAGTGACGGTCGACTTCTTGGTGGAAGAAGCGGTTTTAGTCGAGCTGGTCAACTTCAGAATGCTCGAAACGGTGAGCTTCTTGCTGGAGATAGGCTTGACAACAGTTGACGACTTCTTGGAGCTGCTGCTCGATACCTTGGCGCTACTGGTGGCCTTCTTGGTGCTGCTGACCTTGGTGCTACTCTTCTTGGAGCTGGTAGACACCTTGGTGCTGGAGGACTTCTTGATAGAAGTAGGTCTTGGGAGGGAGAAGGTCGTGGTAGGTTTGATCGTGGAGACCTTGGCGGTGGCAGAGACACCGAGAGTAGCTGAGACGCCGACGCTCAGAAGAGGGTCGCGCTTGTCAAGGAGGACATTCTCTGCGACGTCTGCAAAGGTCTCGTCCCTCTTGTCCTTGGAGTTCAAAGGAGCAGCAAAGATGAGAGCGGGGGCCAAGAGACCCAGGATAGCAGCTTGACCGGCCATGGTGATTATGTTGATTGAGTAATTAAAGATTGGTATTAAGAAAGAAACAGTACTGGAAACGAGTTGTAGATTGTCGAGGTGATTTGTTCGCCTTGATCCTAAGAAGTTGCTGGAGCGGATGAGGAGTTGAAAGGCAGAGCACCATGCTGCCTCTTATACTTGACGACGAGTATACCAGACGTCTTCTGCCACAGATGGTATATCACTATGTCGTCGTCCTCCAGAGAGTCTGGACTCTGTGTCAACCAGACAACGTCCAGAGTATTGGCTAAAGTGGATTCACTGAACGAAACAAGTCCCTTGCCGTTGGGTATAGACCCTGTCGGTACAGGGACTATCAAATCGGATGTTGAAAGTAGTGGTGATTCTTAAACCGAATGCTCGGATCGCCAAGACGAGTGACGATCATCAGGCCGATAATCGACTGAAAGAGGCGGTCTCGACAAAGCCTGGAAGACGTGCTAGCACGCCTCCGAGCATGTGTTCGATTGCCGTGCTGGTAGAGGGTTAACGTCATCCCAAAGTAGCAGTTGACGTTTGGATAGTTGCCGTTAAGGATTATGAGGCTGAACAGAGGCGCTCTACCAAGATCTCCACCTTACGGTATAGTGATGTAGACCGATAGCTTCCCCTCAACGGTCAAATGATCCTGGGGTTTGTGCCTGGCAAGGCTAAAGTAGCAGACCTTGTAGCAGCCGAGCTTGCAGCTCCGTTAAGCCCAAAGCTTTCGCCATTGACAGGTGCGTGGAAGTCAAAAAGCCGACCAGTCTCAATGTTATAGTCAAGTTCCAAGCATGTTGATAGTACCACCAGAGGGATGGCTAGGTGGTAAGATGGTATCCAGAGGGTTGACACGCCATCACGGGTCCTGTTCTAGTGCTTCCTTAGCTGTGGCTCTAGAATATTCTTGGTGTGGCTTCGTAATCGCTTGACGGATACCAACCAAGGAGCATTGTGTATCTGCGGCTTACAAGGCTGTACGAGACATATTGCCAAAGACCGGTATCGATTTGGAGACTCAGGGACAAGCTTTCCAGATCGGTGTGTGATGTTTGCTCATATCCAGTCAAAGTAAAGAAAGTAGGGAGAGACGTCTGGGGCTGCCAACGTTTGAGATCCAACGAACGATGCCGGAACAGCTCGGTAGGGGCCATTTGGTTGGATCGTTTGCGGTTAGATCTAGGGACGGCGTGCCCGAATCTCCTGTACAACGGTGTCCGGAGGCTTGACCGAGGAAACCCGATTCAGCATGTGCATAGCCGTCAGAGCTGAGATTGAGACAGATCTTCATGGTCAAATCGTTTTTCTAGAAGTGCCATGTGCTTTTTCGACCCTGCTTGGGTTTAGACAAGCCGTGATTTGCTTTTGAGGTGGGTAGCGATCTGGAGAGAACGCGAAGAGGAGCGAGGACCCTGGGAGGAGGCTTCGTGCACTGCCTACTTTGCGCCATTGTCTGACATCTGTCAAACTTGTCGTAAGATTATTGAGCGTTGTGGGCGCCGACGAGGTTACTCCAAGTAAGCTTGTCTTCTCGCCGTGATCCTAAAGACTGTGGGACACCGTTGTGGTCAAGTCAAGAATTATGACCAACGGGCCGACTCCGCACGTAAGGAAGGTGTTGACAGTTGAGCCTCAATCTGTGCTTTCCCTTCGCGTTGCCAACAGATGAGCGAATGGAAGGCATCGGCAAGAGCGCTGGCAGAGTCCGACTTTCACCTTCCTCTTCGACCGGTCAGGTGAAAGCTTCAAAGTCGCGTCTCCCCAGTCATGTCTCACAGACTCTCACCCGTCAACGCCATCTATACCGTACCGCCTCGCTACTGCACAGGAGTTTTCGCGTGTTTTGGATCCACTTGGAGCAATCCTACAGAAAGGTACGCACGTAGAGGAAACTTCCTGTGGATAATAACGAAGTGTATTTTGTGGCTCCATCTCAACTGTCGACATACGGTCTCCCTCCTTTGGGAAGGTGTTATTGCACACTTCAAAAAGTCAGGCCTTGGGCCTGAGCATATTCTGCAGAGGCTCGATACAAAATATGTACAAGTTATCCAATGACATGGATGACCATCTAGGCTGTTTCAACTCGTTAGGCGGAGTGCAACCAATTTCTGTACGCGAGCGGAACAGAGCATGAAATGTTTCGAAACCAGCCCCCGCCGGCTGGCTGCATTCCGCTTTTGACGAAGCCCTCTGTGAATTACTATGCGACAAATCTCTTTACACAGACACCCGCCCTATAAGTAGAGTTTAACATACAACTATCAGCTGCCAAGCGCAAGGTACAGCGAACATCCCCCACAGTCGTTTCAGCCGAAAAGCCCCCAGGAGCCGCGGCATTCATCAAGCTTGGTATAACGCACTCCGTGCGTAACAGACCTTGCTCCATGCCGACTAGAGCACCGCCGTCTTCCAGCTGTGGTTCGACAATTTCATCACACCTCCAGATTCTGCGACAGATATCAAAGTACCGTGTTGCTCTGATTTCTCAATTGTCGCCCATCTTGATCCAACCCCGCCTATCGCTTAGGGCACGAATGGTCTCGTTAAACCCAGCACCAGGACATGTGTTTGAACCTTCTCCGCATACACTCTCCTGGATCTGCATATCAAAGTCAAAATCAGAGTAAAGGCCCGAGCCTTGAGAGCCCCGAGGTTAATGCACCAATCGCGAATGTAGACCTCGGGTACCTTGCATCAACGGCAGCAGTACACATTCTTTGAGGTTTACCACGATGACAGACTCGTCCGGGGAAGACACGATCTGGAGAAGGGCTTTGGAGCAACTCATGGTTGCTAAAGGTAAATCATGAAGGCTTGATGTTAGCAGTTTTGGCGACTGCAATATAGGCTGTCATGTTGCGGAGCTCCTCTATTGTGTGCACTTTTGTACATATTCGGTTCGATCGAAGGTGTTCAAACGCTGCCCTAAGGAGCACCGCTAGAGCCTCGCTAAACCCGCGCTGGCTGCCACGCAGACACCGTGCATGATGCTTCTTCGCTACCTCGGAGAATATCATAGGGTAATATACTCGACACATGCTTCGTTTCATCCCATGCTTGATCATATCAGCCTTGATTGATGCCAGTCTCTCGGTGGCAGTCTGGAAGCAGTATGGGAGTTGTGACTACATAAACGTGAGCTTCCCTTGTCGGTGTTGGACAGATCAGGCCTCTTCTCACCCGCTCTCATCCGAGTGTTCTATTTGTTCTATTCCTGTTCGTCAATATGAAGCTTCTCACCATCATTTCTGGCGTTGTGTCGCTGGTCACCACAGTCTTTGCCTACTCCAACCCTCTTCCTTGCAGTGGTGTCTGTGGCAATGCTCACGATCCTTCGCTGATTCGTCGCGCATCTGATGGAACCTATTTCCGTTTCTCGACTGGTGGCGGTATCGCCGTCCACACTGCTTCCAGCGCCCAAGGTCCCTGGGTCTATAAGGGTCAGGTATTGCCTAACGGCGCAAATGTAAACAACGCTGGAAAGACCGACCTGTGGGCTCCTGATGTGACCTTGGTCGGCAACACCTACTACCTCTACTACACTGCCAGTCAATTTGGTACTCAGAACTCTGTCATCGGTCTCGCTACTTCGTCATCTTTGGATGTCGGCACCTGGTCTGATAAGGGCTCCAGTAAGTTGTTCATTTCCATATCTGATAACACCATTACTGACGACTTATAGCTGGTATTTCTTCCGACAGCAGCAAGTCATACAATGCTATTGACGCCAACCTCATCAAAGTTGGTTCGCAATACCTGATGAACTTTGGCTCTTTCTGGCACGATATCTACCAGGTCGAGATGAACACCACCCCCAATACTGTCAACTCGCAGGCCGGCGGCGCCTACAACACCATTTTCAAGCCCGCTGGCACCCACGACGTTGAAGGCTCGTACATGATCAACTACAACGGCGGCTACTATATGTTTTTCAGCGAAGGCAGCTGCTGCAACCTGGACAAGAACCGCCCTGCCGCTGGTCAGGAGTACAAGATCAAGGTCTGCAGATCCAACTCTGCTACCGGTGGTTTCGTGGATCAGAGCGGCGTAAGCTGCACCAACGGCGGTGGTACTCTTGTTCTGCCTTCGCACGGAACCATCTACGCTCCTGGCGGTCAGGGTGTCTACAACGATCCTAGCTTGGGATGGATTTTGTACTATCACTATGTTGATACTACCATTGGTTATGCTGATAGCCAAAAGCTCTTTGGTGTTAACAAGATCAAGTGGGTTAACGGATGGCCTACTGTTTAAGAGGATGTTCTTTCTGCACCCTGCCATAAGCTGCAGTCTTGTGCTTTTACTTTGGATTCTCGTCTTGGTTATTTTTGTGCATATTATTGTTTCCAAATCGAAATGTGCCTTCTTCTTCCCCCGCACTGCTTGCACAGATGAATATCCACTCGAGCGACTCCTCATTGTCACTCGTACAGCCATAGCAACCAATTGTCACGTCATTCTTAGTCTCTGCCCAAACTGTGGCAACAATCATGACTTGAAGGCATGCTTCCATCATTATATACGTTGGTTTGAGTGTTGGATCTTGCGTGTCTTGTTGGCTTGATCACGTTGTCGTGCGTAGGCTTTTCAGAGGAAGCGCGGCTTCAAGCACAAAACATAACCAACTTAGCACACGACATATTCAGGATGCTTAAAGATGAGCCAAAGTATAGATACACACTTCTTACGTAGAAAAGGGATGTTGTGAGGCGGATCAGTCGACGCTTGTCGTCGTTGTCAGTAAGATCAATTGATTGACAGGGTCGTACGCGCGACATAGCAGCACGAAAACAAAGGAGAAAAAAGAATAAAAGAAAGCAGTCGAGCTCAACGTCTGACATTCAGCCCTACCGTCCAGCTCATACGCGCAAAGACTGATTGATAACCTAGAGTCCAGACCATTCGTGTCATAGATATGACGGCCTTTGTTTGCTATAAACACAACTGCGAGAGACCTGATCGTAGATGATAATATCCTGCAGCGACGTTGCTTTGCACGTCCATATGCATACTGTGATGATCAAGTGTTGAGGTTAACAGGGCAGAGCATACGCAATACCACATAGAAGACGTTGCCGTATTGCTCCCCGAAATAGCGACAAATCCACTCTTGAACTTTTGTTTACAAAAAGTTGGTAGCTGGAGCCAGGTGATTCATTCTCGAACAAAGCCATTTCCAGTAAGACAACACTGTGCGCTCTTTCTCACAAGACCCATCGCATCTTACAAGACTGTCTTGTGCCATCTTTAGGTTGACTGATCCCAGCTCTGAGGAATGGAGATCGAGTGAGGCTGGCGATAAACGTTATAGCCGTTGACAAAGTTTGGCGCAAAGGATTCCAACGCTCCAGCGTCCGCGGCTCGACGTCAACCTTGAAGCCACGAAAACCACAGCACATCAGCTTTCTTCTCTACACATCACAGCATGACTCTGCGCCATGTCTAGCCCACTATATGGCATAGCTCCATACCTTGGACGTAGGAGCCACAAGGTTCAGCCAACCTTTGTTCTCGCCCGCCCTCATTTCCGCCGCGGGCCAATACGAGCAGAGTTGTGGCTGTCGCAGCTGTCTAAGGAAGGCGCCAACGGCTACCCAATTTTCGCCTATCCAAGACGATAGCCGTTATTAATGGATAGGCAAATCCAACACATGTGTCGATATTCTGAGACCAGTCAAGCCTTCCTTGGTCAACGTGAGCTCAGCATACAAAACCAACACCATGGCATCGTTTTGAGTGGCTTCAACTTACACATATTCTTTGGTATTTCGCATTTGACTTGAGAGCGTCACAGAGAGCATATTACTTGCATATTATACAATTGATACCCACAGCAATTGCCTGAGATGAGGCTTACACAATCCCTTGCAGCCCTTGCGGCATGCGCCCAACTTGGACACGCCTTGGACCTGGACGTCTCGTCACCAGACTCTATTCGCAATGCAGCATTTACACTCGCACATGGTCTTATGAATTACTATCAAAACAACAAGACCGATACACCGAAGGAATCGATAGGCACACTTCCTTATCCCTTGTACTGGTGGGAAGCTGGAGCCGTGTGGGGCAGTCTCATCGACTACTGGGCATACACAAAGGACACCAGCTTCAACAATGTTGTTATGCAAGCCATGATGGCTCAGACCGGTACCGGCAACGACTTCCTACCTGAAGCCTACTACAGCAGCATGGTTCGTATCGTCCAAACCAAGAAGATCAAGAGCAGAAGACTGACTATAATCGCAGGGCAACGATGACCAAGCCTTCTGGGCCTTCGCCGCTCTCTCAGCCCTCGAATATGGCTTCCCCGACCCTCCGGAGGGCTCGCCGTCTTGGGAAACGCTCGCCGTGAACGCCTTTAACTCGATGGTTCCTCGTTGGGACACGTCAACATGCAATGGTGGACTGAGGTGGCAGGTCTTTTCACAAAACGCTGGATGGGACTACAAGAATTCGGTTTCGAACGGAGGTTTCTTCCAAATGGCTGCTCGCCTAGCACGCTACACTGGCAACACTACTTACGCCGACTGGGCAGAGAAGATCTATGACTGGACCACTGCTACCGGCTTGATCGACGACAGCTACCGCATCTACGACGGTGCTAGTGCCACCGACAACTGCCAAAACGTCACGCCGCTACAGTGGACCTACAACTCCGGTATCTTCATCTATGGTGCTGCAACCATGTACAACTACACCAACGCCTCTTCCACCTGGGAGACACGTCTGACTGGCCTCATCGAGCAAGCGGACCAATCCTTCTTCCAAGCATTCGATAATGCAACCGGCGTCATGGTCGAGGGAGCTTGTGAGCCCTACGGCACCTGCAACAATGACATGAAAAGTTTCAAGGCTTACATGGCTCGCTTCCTTGGCAAGGCTATCACTGTTGCTCCTTATACTCGCTCTGCTATCCAACCGCTTCTCACAAGCTCTGCTCAAGGCGCTGCACGATCGTGTTCAGGCCCGAGTGATGGTGTCACCTGCGGTCAAAAGTGGTACATGGACTTTGATGGAAGTTATGGCATCGGACAGGAGCTCTCGGCTCTGGAAGTCACTCAGGCTCTCCTTGTTGATGAGGCACCTGCTTTGATGAACCATGACGATGTCAAGATCGAGACTGCTACACCATCTAGCACTCTCGAGCCTACCGTTAGTGTTGGACCCGCAAGTGTCTCCGGCATCAGCAGCACCTCCGCCATGAGCACCGCATCTGCCACAAGCAGCACATCAGGTGAGTCCAACACATCTCCTGAGCCCAGCACATCAAGCACCTTCAGTACATCCGGTACATCCAGCGCATCCAGCACATCCAACACCTCGGGCATGTCTAGCAAATCCACCACACCCGCCACGTCCAACACATCTGTCACATCTACCAAGACTGGCACATCAGCCATGACTACATCAGCCATACTAACCACATCCACAGCAGAGCCTTCGAGCACAGGTGCTGGTGTCATGAACACGGCCATGCCTCGCCTGGGAGCTTTGATCGGTGGTGTCCTTGGAGCAGCAGTCTTGCTGTAGACAGTGGACTTGTTGCTGCTCCAGTAATGTTTCAATGTCCCTAGAATCATAGACGAAAAGCATAGAGGAGGACGATACACTCCAGCATAATGTATATATCCATCAAGTCACCCGGTCAGAGGCTTCGGCCCAAATGACGCGTATGTTTACACAATCATCATTGTTGTCTAATTATCTGCTTACAGATAGAGGAGATTCTGAGGCCGCACTGTTAGGTGGCACGGACAGTCATAAGAGCGACCGGATGTGAATCACATGCCAAAATGTCCAGGAAGTGGATTTAGCCGCTTGGGGGCGTACGTGGCACAGCGAGGGGAGGATCGGGATGGTTTGGTAATGGGCGAAATGACGCGGGCGAAGCCGGAGACAGTACGGAGAAATAGCAGTCCCCACGCTGGACCAGCTGCCCCTCATCAACCGCATCCACAACCCGATGGGCGGCATTTTGTCCGCGTGAGTTATCTTCACTTGCGCCGAGAGCAAGACCTCGGCAATTGAAATCGTACAAGTATCCAGGGTCCTGCTGTCGCGCTCATCGAGTAGCAACAAGACCACATTGAAACACTGTCAACTCGAACATCTGCGACCGAGTCAACAGACAACAAGATCGTCTCGCTGCTTCTCCACATCTGACGTTTTGAGCTCCGCAACACCGACCAACACATCCTTTCTGTGACGTTGGCCGCGCTGAAGCAGAGTGCTTAGTCTTGTCCAACAGTCAGATCTCTTTTAGTCGTCGCTGCTGCTGTCTCGAACCTTCTCTCTTTCTTCTCCTCTCCATACCCTTTCTTGTCCCACGCTTCGTTGATACCCCTCACACCCCGCCAAAGCTTTCCTACAGCTCGAAGCCTCATTCCTCGAATCTTTCGACCGAGTCAACATTTCAAAACCAGCAATGTCTTCGCACAACGAGTCTCACTCGGGCCCTGGTGGTTCGGAAGCCATCAACACCGAGATCATTACTCTTACCAGATTCCTCACCGAGGAGCAGACAAAACACAAGGAAGCCACCGGTGACTTCACGTACGTTGGAAGCTGTCAATCGTGCGACACTCGCATGCTGACATGTTGCACAGTCTCCTCTGCCACTCGCTGCAATTCGCCTTCAAGTCAATTGCCTACTACATCCGCCGTGCCTCGCTGATCAACCTCTCGGGCCTTGCTGGCTCGGCAAACTCGACCGGCGACGACCAGAAGAAGCTCGATGTTATCGGCAACGACATCTTCATTTCCGCCATGAGATCGTCAGGTCGCGTGCGCATCCTGGTGTCCGAGGAAGAGGACGACCCAATCATTTTCAACGAACACCCCAACGCCCGCTACGCTGTCGCCTGCGACCCTATCGATGGCTCTTCCAACTTGGACGCCGGTGTCTCGGTCGGAACCATCTTTGGTATTTACAAGCTCGCCGAGGGTGCCCAGGGCACCAAAGAGGACCTCCTCCGTCCCGGTACCGACATGGTCGCTGCTGGCTTCACAATGTACGGTGCCTCTTCAGAACTCGTTCTGACCATGAAGGACGGCCCCGTCAACGGTTTCACCATGGACGCGGCCCTCGGTGAATTCATTCTCACCCACCCCAACATGCAGATGCCCAAGAAGCGTTCCATCTACTCGGTCAACGAGGGTAACTCTTTGTGGTGGGCCGACCCCGTCAAGGAGTGGTGCAACTCGATGAAGGTGCCCGAGAAGGAGGGCGGCAAGCCTTACAGTGCGAGATATATCGGTAGCATGGTTGCCGATGCCTACAGAACTCTTCTGTACGGTGGTATCTTTGCCTACCCTGCTGACAAGAAGTCGCCCAAGGGCAAGCTGCGCATTCTGTACGAGTGTGCTCCCATGGCCATGGTCTTTGAACAAGGTAAGCAGGATTGCAAACCTTATGCGACATTGCCTAAGCTAATACACAATCACAGCCGGTGGCCAAGCAGTCAACAGCAGGATGGACCGTATGATCGAGGTCGTCCCCGAGTCAATCCACGACAAGTCTGGAATCTTCATGGGCTCGTACGACGAGGTGCAAAAGGTCATTGATATCCACAACAAGCACAAGCAATAAGCTCGCTTAAGATGCGCGTTTGCTCAATAATGTACTGGCTGTTTGAATGAAGCACAACTGTCCATATCTAGCTTTGTTAGCGATCACCATTGATGAAATGTTTATATCATGTTTGTCGAAACTTTTGAGTTGGGTTTCCAAACTTGGCTGTGCAAACAAGAAGATGGCGCAAGTCAAGACGATTTCTGCAGCACATTGATCTGTATGTCATAGGCATTGGGATCGCTTTCAGCGCTCGCGATAGAATTGTTCCGCGTGTTCTCGGTCTTCTTACCGATGGGCACTTGTGCCCCGCCACCCCGCCTTTGGATGCCCACATCTATAACCGGAAGAAAGAGCCTCATATAAACACTGCTTTTCTCCTTGATACACATGTCTGATTCCGACGCTACTCTACCTCAGCCTTGCTCTTATATCACCGCCAACTGGACACTTCCGCCCCAGTACAATCAAACCTCTACCGCAACCATGAAGATCGCCATTACCGGAGCAGGCGGCTTCGTAGGCCAACTGCTGGCTGAGCATCTGCTTCTCGCCGACCACAAAGTTCTCCTCATCGATATCTTCGAGCCTTGCGTCCCCACCAAGGCATTCCCCAGATCATCGAATGCGCAATGCATAAAAGCCGATTTATCTACCGACAGCAGCTCAGTCATCCCTTCCGACTTGGACGCCATTTACATCTTCCACGGCATCATGTCAGCAGGCAGCGAAGCAGATTTCGACCTGGGCTACCGAGTAAACCTACACTCGACACTCAACCTCCTAGAAACCTTGAGGCAGCAATGCAAAGGCGTGAGAGTGGTATACGCCAGCTCGACAGCAATCTACGGCCAACCGCTTCCCCAATGGCCTTCCGAAGCCACTCTGCCCACACCGGCGAGCAGCTACGGAACGCAAAAATCAATGATCGAATACGCCATCAATGATTTTTCACGCAGAGGCTTCATCAATGGCTTCACGTTGCGTTTTCCGACCATCAGCGTGAGGCCCGGTAAACCTACTCAAGCTGCTAGTTCGTGGATGAGTGGCATGTTCAGGGAGCCTTTGCAAGGGTTGCCTTCGTCGTTGCCCTGTGCGGATGACTTTGAAGCTTGGTTGTGCTCGCCGAGGATCCTTGTCGCCAATCTGCTTCATGTCTTGACGATTGAGAGGGATGCTTTGCCTGCGCATATGCGACAGGTAAATCTTCCTGGTATCACGGCTAGCGTGAGGGAAATGTTGGAGGCGCTGGAGCAGGTGGGAGGGAAGAAAGCGGTCGAGTTGGTCAAGAGGGAGGAACCGACCAAGGAGATCAAGGATATGTTGGATAGTTGGCCGATTAGGTTCGATGTTAGTAAGGCGATGGGGTTGGGATTCAAGAGGGACGAGAGGTTTGTGGATGCGGTCAGGGATTTCAAGATGAGTTTGGAGGAGTAGGGTGGGCTCTTTGACTTGAGAAGATGGTTGTAAACTTGTCTTCTGTGAAGAACAACACTTGATTTCTTTGGTGCCCAAGGATTGATTCATTCTGCTCGGTTTGGGCCAGAGAAGTCAAAGGGCCTTGTATACTACAGGGACATCTAAATTCACTTCACAAGTACCCTTATCAAGAGAGTCGAGAGCATACATGCCCTCTCCTCTCGTAACCTCTCGTCTTCCCTTCGCGTGCTTAGAAGGTACTCCATTGTGTCGTTAGTCGTCAGTACGTTAGGTGGACTTGTTTAGAAACCAGACGAAGTCTCTTTGTACTCTGACCAAGCTTCGTCAAAGTTTTTGAACCGATCGATATGTTGGCTGTCACTGAAGCCATCGAGAGCAAACCTCCACAGACGTCGAAGCCATCTTCCTCGTCCATAGGCATCGTCAAGATAGGCTTCCCGACTCGCAGGGCTAGAGTCGCCGTAGAGCTGATTGGTGATCTCTGTCTCGAAGAATTGCTTTACCTGTAAGTCTTCCTCTGACAGACGATCGCCGGCCTTAGTGAGAGCTCAGGGGGAAGCAGATCCACGTCTCCGTCATAGTATGCAAGAATAAGGGAGGGAAGGCTTTCGTCCTCGGAGAAGTCCCAGAGCCAGACTGGAGGTTTGCGCGCGAGGATTGAGGGAACAACGAAGACATCGTCCCAGTCTAACACACCCGTAACCTCCAACTGATATGATGTGGTGATGTCTGAAGTGCGATCGGTAGCTCTGCGATCAACCATGATGTTGCGCGGTTCCAGGTCCCAATGGTAGAGCACATTTGAGTCGAGTGAAGGTCGCTCCTGGAAGAAACCCAACTCTTCCATCTCCGTATACATCTCTTGCAACCGTCTGAACATATCGACTACGAAAGACCTCCGAGGATTTGAAAGCTCGTGCTGTACCCAGGCGTCCAATTGCGTGCTCAAAAGCTCTTGCAGTGACGATGTCGATTTGGTTTTTGTCTTCGACTCGGGCTGTCCAACACCAACGCCAAATCCTTAAACAAGTATGTTTTGTGAAGAAGTCGAGGTCTCTGCGTCTTCAATTGTCTTACGCGCGGACACCACTGAGGAGCAGCAAACCCGCCCTGCACTTTGGAACTTTACATTCTCAACTGCTACCAGGATGCGAACCAATTCACTCGCCAAGATGAGTCTCTCAGTGGGAGTCAGCTCCGAGTGAACCATATCTAGGCCTCAGCCTTCAAGTCGCGTTTGCAAGAAGAATGGCATCCCGATGGTGTTATCCGAAGTACAGTCATAAGCCAGTACACAAGGAGTCTGTATGCTTAGACTCTCAAGGGCCTCGAGGATAGCAAATTGCGTCCGCATGTCTTCATTTGGCGAATCTCCATCTTCTGCAAAGCGAGGGATTCGCAATACAACCTTTTCAACTGCGGCTGCTGGATCGTGGCGGTACAGAGTCGCTGCGATTATTCTGTTGAAGCTCCCGCCAGGTAGCCGCACGATCTCCTCAACAGATTTAGCTCCAATGTCTGGAGCCAATGCTCTGACTTTCTCACCAAACGTGTCGAAGGGTTCATGAGAGTATCGATATGTCGATGTAGAGTCGGGTGTAGTCGAACGTGATGACTTGTGCGACGATGATTCAGCGTCAGAAGTATTGGACATGGTGATAACAAGACGATACTCCACTCCAGAGCCTCGAAATTTGCTGGCGAGCTTTCATGCGACCTTTAGCGCCGCCGGTCGAACATGTTGACTTCATGCACTGCTTAACTTGGTGATTACTATTCGCGCCCTTCTGTTCCATCGAGTTTGGGCGAAGTCGATCTGCATAGACATTCCACCAATCAATGATGATTTTGCTATCATGCAGACTTGGATGGGCCTCAGCCCCTGCTCCAAGGCATACTGTGGCGTGGTGGACGCTGTCTTGAACACTATAGAAAACATCAGGAGCGGGGTACGGCAAAGTCTACGCCGTATGTGCCCCTTTTCGAGATGCGATTATGCTGGACATATCAAATGGCTTGCATGATTGATCAATCAGAACCATCGTGCACGATCCCCAGCTTCTGTACCCGGCTCACGTTTTCGTTCCAAGGACTTCTGACGTCGTCTGGTCGTGGCACTCAAACACGAGGCCTACATCTTTGTTCCAGCACAATTTTCTCTGTTAATCGCTGTGTTGGACCTTACTACTCACCTGGTAGAAGCTTGAACTTGAGATTGAACTTCGGCGCAGTGTTCCCCTCTAGATTGAAGGGCGGATGACCGAGGTTTAGTAGAGACGAAGGCGAGCTATCGAGAATCGATGATTTAAAAGCCTTTTTGGTATCGAATCGCGTTCAGTATCGTAGGTCTGTCGTGCTGGTTGGCTGGAAATGAGTCATCATACTTGGAGAAGTTATTGACTCCAGCTACGAACACCATGTCCGACGCTCCTGTCAATGTCGAGAATTGCTTCGGCTGCTGGAGAATCAAGCATCTAATTCAAACTGTCTGTCTCGCTGCTGTGGCCCGCATACCCACAGGCAACTCTCGGAGCCCACAAAGCCTCATTGTAACGAGTAACTGAACACCGAGCCTACCCCTAAGCATATGCCTGCGATTTGTCTACCTGCAACGCTCAACTCCACTCTGCGAGTAGTGCCGGCGTGATTGCTAGACCACTCGTCAAAGGCAAGATCATCAGATGTCTCGCCGTCGTGCGCGTTTGGCGCGGCAGAAAAACTAGCTTGAGCTGATGTTTATTGTTCAAGGATTACCGTGCAGAAAGGAGAGGGATAGGCAGAGTGGAGTGGACTTTAGCGGAGCTGCGAGTAAGGTGATGTCGATCTGTTTAGCTTCCGGCCTTCGGCTTGGCAGGAAGCGGTGGAAGGACCTCGGCTGCGATGTGGATGTACGTTGAGTGTGATGTGGAGATGCCGGGGCGGTATAGATGAATAGGCAATGAGGGATTCGGAATTGTGCAATCTAGAGCGGCTTGTATATGTGATGGTTGGTGTTAGAATGGTTGATCAGATTGCTGACACCGGTGAGATGTTTGTTGACGTGGTGTCGATCATTGCCAGCCGGCGTAACCTTGCAACAACGACGTATCAATCGTGAGGGGTCACTGACTCTTCTTATTATATGTCCCACCATCTGAACGATGATCAAGTAACCAGTAGCATCATCACAGAATGACTCAACACGGCGAAGAGATCGTCTTCTTTCACTATCCCGTGTCGATATACTCGCACAAGGTCTTGTGGTGCGTGTAGAGCTGATGGCACTCGCTATATTGGAGCTGACAAGACAATCAGGTACTTGAAGTTGGCAGGCATAGAGTATTCAGAATGCGTATGTCAAGCTGCGAAGTCAGGGCTGGCGCCAGATGCTGATGTGCTCAGATTCAACCGCCAATCATGCCACGACCGGATCTGGCAGGTCTAGGGACTTCATATCGCCGTATTCCAGTGCTCGCTATCGGTCGCCATGTCTACTGCGATTCGAGGTTGATCCTCCACGTCTTACAAGAGAGATATCCTCTTTATGGAGTCCCGATGGGCGGTCCGGATAAGGCAATACAAAGACTGCTCCAAGACTGGATGAATGACCAAATCTTCTGGCATGCCACACGTTGCTTACCGTTCGAGCGCTCAGCAACTGCTAGTGATCCAGCTTTTCTGAATGACAGATCTGAAGCATTCGGTAAGCCATTCAGGATCGAAGACATGATCAAGGAAAGACCAGAGCCATACAGCTATATCCGTGCCATGTTCCAGACGCTGGAGTCGTTATTGAAAGACGGTCGCGACTGGATTACTGGCAGCACGAAACCATCGCTAGCCGATATCGATGCTGTTTATCTCGCACAGTGGATCGCGACTCATCCACTTATGGAAGGAGCAACACCGACTGAGTTCATCTCCGAAAAGCTGTTTCCTAGAACCTATGCGTGGATACATCGCTTTAAGCAGTCAGTGGAAGACGCTGATTCTGGAGCGCATGTTCCTGAGGCGCTGATTGGCAAAGAAGCTTTTGACAAGATCATTTCCGCGCCAGATACCGGGTTGCAAGGCGACATAAGTGATACAGACCCTCTCAACCTGAAGATTGGTCAGATGATTGAAATCTGGCCGACTGATTGGGCGTCGAACCATAGAGATCGTGGTGAGCTCGTGATGTTGGCAGCGAATGAAGTGTGCATTCGAAATGCTTACGGTGTTCTTATTCACTTTCCTCGCTGGAATTTCCGGATCCAGGCGGTAGAAAAAGGCATATCTTCCACTGTTGTTTCTATGGCCAATTTTCTGCCGCCACTAGATTATCCTCATCGGCTGTTTTACCATCCACTGTCTCCGTTTTCTCGAAAAGTGTACATGTTCGCTCTTGAGCTGGGCACTGCAGATCGGATCGAGCTCCAGACAGTAGTCGATGCTCCAGTCGAGTATCCTGGATGGTCTGATGATGCTCCTACCGTCGCTGAGTCAAACCCTCTTGCAAAACTTCCTACGCTAGTTGTCGGCAACAACGGTGATGGCGTTTACGACTCGAAGGTGATCTGCGATTTTCTAGAAGATGAAGCCTTAGTAGACAAGCGGTCTGACCTTCAACCACGCAATTGGCGACTGAGAACTCTTCACGGTTGCGCCGACGGTATGATGGATGCGCAAGTGCTCATTTTGTACGAGAAGAAGATCCGTGCTGAAAACAACATCTTGTTCCAAGCCTGGATTGATGGTCAAACCGAGAAGATAATGCGGGGATTTGACCAACTTGAGCTCGAAGTTGGTCGTGGCACGCTTCGAGCACCGGCTAACGATGCACCAGCATCAGCGGCTGAATGTGCGGTGGCTGCTTGTGTAGCATTCTTGGACAGAGTTGGGACTCAGTGGCGCGACGATAGACCAAAACTAGTTGAATGGTTCCAACGATGGCAGAACAGGGAGTCTTTCATCAAGACTCGTCCCGACGTGGATTGGAAGACCGGTCAAGCTGGCGACATTGGGTTCGGCCGAGAGGTGCTGAATGGCAAAAAGGGTTGAGAGATGGATATGTAGTTACGAGGAACGGAACGGACAATCTAGACGGCCAGATAGTGCGGTTGAATGCTAGACCGTGCTCTCAAAGGCTGGATCGATTCTGTACGTGCGTTGAACAATGGAGTGCAGAAACCATCGGAGATGGAGATCCTGTCAAATTGAGTGGCTGCAGGAGCTCTGCACACGCAACATGCATATGAAGATCGACCGAGCCGTGTCTGTCTTGCAGGTTGAATGAACACAAGAGTACCGAGATCTGTCTGTGCACTAAGTTTTTCTGCCTCGAAGATTTCGTGACCTCGAAGAGAGCAGAAACGCAAGTGGATATGGGCAATCTGAAAAGCGGGTGATAGAATGTTGCACCCGAGATCAGTCCACAGACAGAATGTAGCAGGTGAAACAAGAGTAGCGCACAGCTCGTGGAGGTTTCGTATTTTTGGTGTTCCTCGGAGTCATCCAGGACCAATAGCAGAGTCGGCTAGAGGTGCCTTGCGTGCGAGTAGGGCATGATGGCGCTAAGGTCATGGAATGCTGTTACACAGAGGCACGACGATAGATGGACTCACGTGGGTCGCTCGAGCGAAGCCTCAGACAGTACATGGTAAGTAGGTACCTAGTTGGTGCAGCTGTACTTGGTTCAGCTGAAGCCTTGTGGTCATGTTGGCGGAGCTTGACCGGTCTCGTTGGGGGAGCATGTTCAGAGCAGATTGAGCCGTGGGCCGAAGAAGGCGGGAAGATGCAGTCGAGGTCGGGTGTGCCCGGCGGCTCGAGAGAAGGTGGATACGACTCGATTCGTGGACGAGTCGCTCTTGTTCCCTTTCTGCATGGTCGAAGCTTGGCAGAGAATGGTCTGAGCGTAGTGGGTTTAAGCTTCGGACTTCCAGGGTTCTGCGAGCGTTTTGCAGACAACGGTTATCTCCTCTGTCTGAGACTGAAACACAAGCTACCAAGGTGTTTTCCAGCCTGCGAATTTGCCGACTTGGAAAGAACAAGTCAGCTTGCCTGCGCGCCAGGATCGCGTGGACTGGATAGATGGCATGTAGAGATGACAAGATGTCACGCACTAGATGTGGTCTCACGGGCGAGTGCCTGCTCGTCGCTAACTGGCCCATGCATGGCCTAAAAGCTAGCGCGTCCATTGACCCCGCCCCGCATGGTAGCAGCGATGCTGCCTCACCGCCATTTCAAGACCATGGCCTCTCGCTAATACCTATATGCCTCGCTCCTCGTGCTGTCTTCTTGCAACAAGACCAGCGGTCAGCGAAACCTTCGCTGCTGACCCTTTTCGTGCCCTCCTCGTCGACTAGCTGTGTGTGCGACCGAAAGTCTACCACGTCTGAGATTGCCTGCATCCGTGCCTGCCACTGTTACTGTATGCATTTCAGCTAGAGTGATCAATCACCATGGACAGCCTCGACTTTGCCCACGCCGATAACCTTCTGGCTTTTGGCGATTATACCGATCCTCGCCACACCAACAACTCCTATCCCTCGTCATCCTCCTTGGCTTCGCAACAGTGGGCATTTACCCTGGACGCACTCGACCCGACAATGGCCCACCACGCTCTCCAGTCGCAAAATCAACACCACCACCACCAACATCAGCAATCACATCAACTCGAGCAGCCTGTGTCGCAACATATCGACTATAAGTATGATGCAAGTCACCTCGATCAGAAGCAACATATCGACTATGCCGTCAACCCCCATGACCAAAAGCCATACGAGGCTCACAACCTTCCCGCTCCTGCTCAGTCTAGCACTATGAACCTTGCATATGCTCAACAGCAAATCAACCAAGCTGCGGTTCTCAACCCTCAATGGCACTTCCAGTTCCCTGCCCAGCAGGCTTTTAGCCAGGACGTCACTCTGGACCGCACCTATGATGCCTCGTATGCCATGCCGATCCAGCAAGCTACCCCTCAGTACTTGCCTGTTTCGGCCGAGACTACCATGGCCATGAACTCGACCGCATACATGACCATGGCTGGCCCAATCGAGTCCATGAACGTCCTGTCCTATCCCCTAAACGACTACCAGAACGAGCTTCTAGCTTTTCAGATGGGCTTGGCTGCCAACGCCAGTGTGCATGGGAGCTTGCCCAGTAACTCTCCTACTGGCTCCTATCTGGAAATCCACTCCATGTCAAGTAGTGACAACGGCTGGACTGCTGTTGACTTCCCCGTCTCGAGACATTCCCTCGGCTCCTACGTCGAGGCCAACAACAATGCCATCTTCAACCCTAGCCAGACCCTGCATATACGCAGTGCCTCCGACTCTTCCAACGATGACGCCAGCTCTGCTCAGTTGTCTAGTAGCTACGAAGAAATCCCTTTCCCTCTGTTCTCACCTGTTTCGGATGGCTTCAGCGCTGCCGACTATGTTCAGCACAGATCGCATCATTCCCGGAATATCTCGTCAGACTACGAACACGACCACATGTCTCACTCCACATCCTCATCGCCCTTGGCAAGTCCTGCTGACGGTACTCGACCTTCTACCTCTCAAGCAGTACAGACATCTACCATCTCATCCAACGCTTCAAGTCCGGTATCGCCCCCTTTGAGAAAGCGCAAGAGTCCTACCAACGCTCTCGCAAAGACCACCAAGTCAGCCATCAAGAAGGCTAGCCCGCCTGCTCGTAAAGATGGTGCCCCCGAGAAGCGTGTCGGCAAGAGAAAGGGTCCTCTTCGTGCAGATCAACGCCAGCAAGCTCACGAGATCAGAAAGCTTCGTGCTTGTCTTCGTTGCAAGTTCCTCAAGAAAACCTGTGATAAGGGCAACCCTTGTGGCGGCTGCCGTCCTTCTCATGCTCGCCTCTGGCAAGTCCCTTGCACTCGCATCGACATCAAGGACATTGGATTCTTCATGAAGGATTGGAAAGCTGACTACGAGCGTCATATCAATCTTGGTGTTTCCGCTGCCAACATCAAAGGATTTTCACCCAACGAGCGCACTGTTTACATCACTCACGGGTACGGATATTTACTTCCCATCAATGTCCGTGAGGTCTATGTGCGCGATGACAACTGCTTTAACATCGAATGGTCCGAGAAGATCACCGACCCTATTCAGTTTGAAACAAGTACGTCCAAATTGTCGGCTGGTATGGAAGGTGTATCGGCTTCGAGTCTTTCGGACTACCTGGATTGCCATCTCGACAATGGTTTTGAATCATTTGTCGACGGCTACTTCGAAGGTACACCCTTCTTGACTGAGATGCTCAAGACCGCCTACCACTACTGGGTCAAGTCAAAGTCACCGGTGATCCGCAAAGCGCTCAAGTTGGTCCTTGCATACAACTTGACACTTCACATCACCTTAATCGAGGGTCTGTCCGAGGAGGAAGCCAATGTCGGCAAGATTGAAGACGAGGAAAGCAAATTCTGCGGTAAGACCGTAGCACCTGGCATGATCAACTTCCAGGTCAAGATCGCCTTGGCCGACATGTGGAGAGAGCTTCAGAAGGATGTTCTAGAAGAACTCTCCGCGCTTTACTCTTCTGTTTACAGCGGAGAAAAGCTTAAGAACTGGCCAACCATCTTCATGCTTGCCGCAATCTTGCTGGCTGTGTGGGAGGAGATGCAGTTCGATGCACACTTCCGTACACCCAACGAGTCGGCTGTCAATCAGTTCTGTAACGATATGGAGAGCACTCCCGTCGGTGTCATTGTTGGCTTGTTCCAAGCTATCAGCCAGAAGTTGCCCAACTTTATGGACTGGGATACTCGCAGTCACCACCAGCTTCTCAACTCGGACCCTGCCATCTGCGATGCTTTGACCGAAGTGAAGGAGCATGTCACCAAGCATGGTGAGTTGTCAACACATGCTAGTCTATGAACACGTACTAACGACATCGTAGAAAAATATCTCCGATCCAGATCGGATGCCAAATTCGACCGTAACGACTTTGACTGTTTGTCGAACAAGTTCCTCGCCAGACTTGTCATTCGCGCAAGCTGATCAACAAAACGACTCAACGCACAACTAATGCTCAATGACTTTTTTACGGCCCAAAAGATTAACGCCTCGCTATGCAAAAGCCGTCTCATGTTTTCCGGCATGCTTCACGACACGACCTTGTCTTTTACTGTCCTGTCCAGCGATAGCGTCGCTCAAATCCTGTTATCTGATTTTCTTGCAATTTTTTCCCTGTTTTTTCGCTCCATGTCAATAGAGATTCCCTACCAGTGGTTCTGATCTTATGAATGACAGCACTCCTGTCTCCTGTCGGTTTTGGCTTTCTGTCTGCAAGATCCTTTTACACGTCTTCTCTTTGCGACGGCGATCAAGGGATATGACTCGAAAATGCAATGAGTATCACGAATGGTATATGACTCCGCCAATGATTTTATGTTTTGTTTGGCTTATGTGAACCTGCGAGCGGCTGCTTGTGGTATGCTGTCTAAGGAGATGGATGAGATGGAAACTAGCACCCAGGACAGAATATCAATCATCACCCAGAATGCTCATTTCTTGCGACTGAACAATTTAAAGATGCGAACAATCAAGGACAAAGCTCATGTCGAGTAGCGAGTAGAGTTGATTTCTGGCTTGCCAAGGCTTCAACGAAAACGCCCGACCCCGGGTTCCTTGCATGAGCGGCCGAGAGTGAAAGGGTCTCCCGGGGCGCAGCAGGTCACTCTCTTTCGAGTCGAGCCCGCACCTTTGCTGACTCCAGGTTGCGGGCGCACCAATACTGTAGTGCTCATCTTTGTGCGTGCATTCTCCACCGCCGCTCATCGTCAGCGCGACTCAGGACTGGACGTACTATCTGCAGTACTGATGCTGTGGTAATTAGTCTTGCCGCTTCCACTCCTTTGATTGTTCTCTGCGACTTTGCGTGCCGCTCTGAGCTTGTGGTTTTTGGTAAGTGTAATTTCATGGTATATAAGCACAGTATGACTATTTGGAGACATGTTCTTGTCACAAGTCGGTATCATGCTACTTATCTCAAGTCGCAAGACGTCTTCCTAACGAGTTTGCTTCATATGCCGAGCAGAAGGAATATTCGGTTGTGAACTGATTCGAATCGTAGCAGTCGCGCCTTCCACAACGCAGTATAGCCAGCTCAACGTGTATCTGCAGACCTGGCGTCCTGGCGATCTCTCTGCTTTTCATCAACGACAACACTATTGAGTAAGTCGCATGTCGCGTTAGCATCGAGTTCTTGTGATCCACACCGTCGCAATACACGATACCAACGAGAGAAACCCTTGTCCATCAGGAAACGGCATCTTCTCCACTCTCCTTGGTTTTTACTATCCAAGCACCCGTCACTGTGTTTTCCAAAAAGCCCCTCTGCCCTGACGTTTTGCTTTCGGAGATGGGACAGAACACTAGAGCTGACAGCCAACTAGTTCCAAACAACTATTGATTGATCGTAATAAGTATGCGATACACTATCATCAGCTCTCTTCTGGCAGCACCGTTGCTTGCCCTTGCACAATTCCCACCACCTGTCGAATACTCGAACATTCTAAGGTCGCCCATCAATGAGAACATCACCATCGCGTACAAAACTCCACCTGCCGGAACCTGTACCACCGCGTTTAGCACTCAGAAGCAGTTCACTGGCTACATCGGTATGCTCTACGATGCCAGAGTTATGAAAATATCTGATCAAGCCAGGTCTGCCACCCTTCACGCTGCAGCCGATACAGCAAAACTACTCGATCAACACCTTCTTCTGGTTCACCGAAGCAAGACAAAATCCCGAGACAGCCCCTCTGACTATCTGGATCAATGGAGGTCCCGGAAGCAGTAGCATGATTGGCATGTTTGCTGAGAACGGTCCATGTGAGGTCATCCAGATGCCAGACGGGTCTTACGGCACTCAAGCACGCATGTGGGGTTGGGACAGAAGCTCCAATGTTCTATTCATCGACCAGCCGGCTCAGGTACGTACTCTCCGTATTGACAGTGTTGTCATGAATTTCTGTCGCAATGCGCAAAGCAAGTCCATGGATATGGTCTTCAATAAGGGCCTGTGTCGGATGAGCTCTTGTTGAACAAGCAATATTCCAGCGTTCTGCACCGTGTTGCGGGAAAATTCGACAGTATGCTGATTGATACTAGGTTGGACTATCCTACGACACTCTCACCAACATGACCTATGATCTCTTCGGAGACAGATATTATCCGCTTGATGGAACGGTCAACATCCCTGACAACGAAGAAGGCACACCTGATTACGCGTTCATGAATGGAACATTTGGCTCAGGCGATCCTTCGTCGACCAGCAACACCACCGACATATCGGCAAGAGCTGCATGGCATTTCCTCCAGAGCTTTCTATCCGCATTTCCACAGTACAATCCTGGTGTTCAACCAAACAGTTCCAACGTCGCGACCACCGGTGTCAACCTTTTCGCCGAAAGTTATGGTGGCACATATGGTCCAACTTTTGCCAACTACTTTGAGGAACAGAACAGAAAACGCGAGAACGGCACCATACCCAAAAACTCGACTCTGGAAATCAAGCTCACATCTCTGGGTATCGTGAACGGCCTGATCGATTCGTTGATCCAAGACTACTATTATGCTACCTTTGCCTATAACAACACGTACGGCGTTCAGACAATCTCGCAAACAGACGAGCTCAATTTGATCGAGTCATACAACAATGAGTGCAGCAGAGAGACGATCCAGTGTCGCACAGTCGCCAATGCATCCGATCCGGAAGGTGAAGGCGACAGCCAACAGGCCAACATGGCTTGCGTCAAAGCCTTGTATGACTGCAATGGCTTGATGGGCCCTTTTCAGAGAAATAACCTCAGCGTTTATGATATTCGTGTCGAAAATCCCTCACCAGATCCGCCCAACGCCTATCTGGAATACCTGAACACGGCATCGGTGCAAAAAGCTATCGGTGCTCGCGTCAACTACACCACTAGCAGTAATGCAGTCTTCAACGCCTTCATCAGGACGGGAGATTCGATGCGCGGTGGCCAGATCCAAGAGATTGCCAACCTTCTCCGTGCTGGCGTGCGCGTGTCGCTGATGTATGGCGACGCTGACTACATTTGCAATTGGAAAGGTGGCGAGGCTGCTTCTTTTGCCGTCGCGGCTGCCCTCGCAGATTTTCCTTCGAACAGTTCAAAATCCTCGTATCTTTCTGGCTGGAACAGTGCGGGCTATGCAGATATTGTTGTCAACACTACATACGTTGGTGGAGCTGTACGCCAGTTTGGCAACTTCTCGTTCAGCAGAATCTACGACGCTGGTCACACGGTACCGTTCTACCAACCAGAGACAGCCTTTACCGTCTTTACTCGCATCATCGATGGCACCGACCTTAGCACGGGAGAGGCGGTTGATCTGAGAAACTTCACGTCGTCAGGACCCATGAACTCGACGCATACAAACTCGCCACTAGCCAAGCAGCCCGAGCCTACATGCTGGATCAGAGCAATTCACGACACATGCTCGGCTGAGCAGATTGAAGAGATGCAAGATTCCAAGGGCATTGTGGCAGCAGGAATCTGGTACTCGAACTCGAAGGAGTATGTTGCACCCAGCAGTACGGTGACGGCAGGCAAGCCTGGCACGCCAGTAACTCAATCATCAAGTTCAAAGTCTAGCAGTAGCACGTCGACGGTGGCACTGACAGGAGTGTTTACTGCGACTGCGACTCCCAGTCCGAGTCAAGGGGGCGCCGGAGAGGTCAGAGCTATGCACAAGTGGATTCAGAGTCTGCTTGTATTGTGTGTATTGACTGTGGTGATGTGAGGAGGCTAGCGGTCAGAGAAAAGAGGTGGAAAGTCGAGCCCAGGAGGCAGACTCTAATGTGAAGATACCTAGGTAACGCGTTTGAATCGTGAAATGGCTTGTCAATTGTAAACCAATGATGTCTCTACCATGCACGGAAATGATTTGACTCTCAAGACATTGTAATCTATTCGGTCAACCCCTCCATTTGCAAGTTGACCTCGGCCTCCCCCTTTCCTCTCAGACTTGTGTATCCTACTTGCCCTCCGCTCGCAACAACAACCCATCATCCAAACCCAACGGCTCAAACCCATCTTCCCTCTTCTTCTTCTGCGCCCAGAGAACCTCGCCCCTGAAAAACACCACCACGCCTCCCTTCCCAGATACACTCGCCGTGATTCTGAAAAGCGGCGCTCCCGTCGCTGGATGTGCTTCTCGCAATGGCAGAAGCGTCAAGTCGTGTTCCGTACACCACTCTTCCACAAAGTCTTTGAAGGTGAGATCTTCTTTCTGTGGATCTTGCGCTCGAGAAGGAGCAGTGGCAGCAGCGGTGGCAGCAGCAGAAGTAACGATAGGACGAGCAGGCCCAGCAGCCGGCGCAGGCAACGCCGCCATATCCTTGCCTTGTTCCTGCAACGTCAGCGCTTCATTGATCGTCACAATCGCCTTGTCGAATTCCGCTTGCACATTGCTCAATCCGAGCAAAAGTTCCGGAATCACCGATTTCCACCACGTGAACCACGTTCCTATTTCTTCAAACGAGGCTTCGGGGGAAGTCAACCATTGATGCAATACCACGTGCAACTTTGGGAAAAACTCTGCGATGAGCAAGCGGCCGAATATAGCCGGGGGAAAGAAAGGGAGCCAGAGGAATACGTGTTCCAAGGGTGAAATGTCCTGGTCTGCCGGGTCGATGTCGAAGGTATTCGAGAGGTGGGCAGATAAACGAGGCAGGATATGGCGTAGCATTGTTGCGTCAAAGTCTTTGGTCCCGAAGAGCTGTTTCCAAGCTCCCAAGCCAGGGAGAATGGAAGAGATGTCGCAGGTATCGAGTACACGGCGGAACTTTCTTTTGGCGTCTACCAAAAGGCCAGTGGAGGCTTTGGGATCGAGGTGGTAGGAGGGGAGTAGAGGTAGCCAAGGGAATAGCCAGACGTGAGGAGCATCATTGGCAGAAGATTTGTGGTGATGGCGTCGTTTGCGAGGGTTCCAGGTACTCAGTGCGTCGGAGAGTTTGGGCACGATCTGTTGGTCTAGCAGGTTTGAGTATACGAATGCAGGGAGCAGAGGTCTCCAGGCGTTTACTACGATGATTAGGGAGGTGGCGTCGTGGACGTCCCAGCGCGTGACGGTCGATCTCATTTTCGGCAGCCAGACTCCGTAGATCAAGCTTTCGTAGGGTGTAGTGGTCTTTTGCTTGCGGTATCGTCGTTGCTCGGGCTCAACATCTGGATTCGAAGTCGCGAGTGCAGATGTTGTCTTTTCCAAGCCCAGTATAGGTTTAAGGTGAGTGAGATGTTCGACCAAACGATAGGATGGCGTTTCCAGAGGATCCCAGTCGTCCAAGTCTGCTTTGAAGAGAGGAGCAATAGTAGCAACAGCCGCTTCAGAAAGATTGTAGCTGTCGATATCGTGACGAAAGTCTTGCTGAAGTTTGCCTAGCTTTTCCATTGCTTGACCCCAATCAATGTTTGCGATATTCAATGCTTCTACTGCATCGAGCATCTCTCGCATCTTTTTGATATCGTCGTCGGCTTGGTTGATGTCCATTTGGAGATGGCCTTGTTGTTCTTCAACCACGATTTTTCTTTCTTGCAGGCCATGCCAGGCTTCGATGAAGGCTTCCAGTTCCAGTCTTTCGCGCTTGGCGATCTTGTCGGCTTCGGATTCTGCAGGCACGAGCGTGGGTGTCATGAGGCCGGCGGTGCTGGTGAGGAGTTTTGTAGAGCCGCCTGTAGCATCGACGATACTGCCCAACATTGCTTTCGGCAATTCCAGACCAGGCGCTGCAGCACGCACATCTTCCACAGTACGGTATTTTGTTTTCCGCCTGCCTGCATGTGTACCCGCTGTTCTTTCCTCCTTCTTCCTCTCTGCTCGCTTCTTCCTCGCTTTCCTTTCCTCTTCACTCGAATCCTCGTATTCCTCTCCTTTGGCTTCGGCTTTCCTCCTTTGTTCAGCTTTGTATTGCTCTGTTTTTTCCTTTACGGCACCCACACCGGCACCTTGTGGTCGCAGTTTGACTTCGATGGGGTTGACGATTCCTTCGCCTTGCTTGCCGAGCCCTTGACCTTCTTTGTACCCCATTTTTGCCATCATGCGCTCGGCGAAGCTCATCTTGCCAGAGGGTTTGGAGGGCGGTTCATCCAGTCTGGGCGTCTTGCGGCTGGTGTTGTTGGCGGAGAAGTCGCCTTTGCGCTTGAAGCTTGCGCGCTGCTCCATGGTGATGGTGATCTAGAGCGCTGGTCCTATTTCTCGAGGCAAAGGCAATCCTGATGAGCTGGGTTGTGCGACTGATCGAGTGTGTTGGCTGATCGTGTATGTTTTGCGTCTTGGGCATGATTTGTCTCGGGGGAGCTTGCTCCGGTGAAGTCATCGTCAGACGCTCGGATCTTGCCGACCTTTCACATGCTATTCTCTATGCCATCATCCAAGAAGTACTTTCGAACAGACAACTTTGTGTGGCATCTCTAAGAAGGAAGACTCGATGAGATGAGGCCTGTGGCAAAGACATACACTATGAAGCTTTGTTCTAGCAAATAAGAGTGAAAGTGAATTCGATATATCCATCATGATATTTATTCCTAATAATACACCAGGCCGGAGAAAGGCTCTTGTTCCAGAATCGCTTCAAGCAAATCATGCATACTCATCTCTTGCTCCTCTTGCTCTTCCTGCTGCTGCTGCCCCTGAGCCTCTGATACGAAGACATGAGCAGACTGATCGCACACTCGCCTGAAAGCCCTGATGCCAGAGTACAGATCATGACGAAGGGCATCAGATAATAGGGTCCCGACAGACGAGAAGTCGAGACATCTCCGCCACGCCCTGATTGTACAGCAAAGATGGTGACAGAGGGGATAACGCCCATCGTGGATCGATAACAGATCGGAACACGACAAGCCGGTAAAGGCCCACTAGGGGTCTAGTTGTCCAAGGTCTTCCTAAGGACCGGTAGGATAAGGAGAAGGTCCATCTTCATTACCGCCAGGCGCGGGTCTGGGGGAAGGTACACCTCCGGGACCACTGCCACCACCTATTGATGGCGGCAAAAATGTAGGTGGCAGAGGGAATTCAGGAACGTTCTTAACGGGGACATCTGGATCAGCCATTGGCTTTTTCGGCGATAGCTTTTCCCCTCGCACCGCGGCTTCCATTTCATCTTTGGTCAACGTCTCGTATTCGACCAACGCGTTCGCTAGACGTTCCAGTCCTTCACGGTTGTCATTGAGGAGTTTGGTGGCACGGGCGTGGCCTTCTTCCACCAGTCTGCGGACCTCGCTTTCGATGAGTTGTTTTGTTTCGGAGGAGAGACGGGCGTAGTCGGAGTTGAGATCGACGTTGCCGAGCTTGTCTGACATGCCAGCCTGTGTCACCATCATGTGAGCAATACGAGTGGCGCTCTGAATGTCGGAAGATGCACCAGTGGTGACTTGATCGGGTCCGTAGATGAGTTCCTCAGCGACCTTGCCGCCCATGCAGACGTCTATCTGAGCCATCATCTCTGCTCTGGTTTCCGATACCTTGTCGAGTTCTGGGAGCATTTGGGTCAAACCAAGGGCGTGGCCACGAGGCATGATTGTAGCCTTATAGAGGGGTGTCGTTTCCTTTGTAAGCATGGCAACAAGCGCGTGGCCACCCTCGTGGTACGCAGTCATGACCTTGTCTTTTTGCTGGATAACGGCGGAACGACGTTCTGCGCCCATTAGTACCTTGTCCTTGGCCCAGGTCAAATCGTCCATTGTGACACGCTTGGCCTTGTTCTTGGATGCACGGACAGCAGCCTGGTTACAGATGTTCTCGAGTTCAGCACCGCTGAAGCCGGGAGTACCACGAGCGAGAACAGTAGCGTCAACCTCGCCATCAATGCGAATGTTCTTGAGATGGTGGTTGAGAATGCTGATACGGCCACGAACGTCGGGTAAGCCGACGACAACATTACGGTCGAAACGTCCAGGTCTGGTCAAAGCCTTGTCGAGCGATTGAGGGAAGTTGGTAGCGCCAATGATAATGACGCCAGTATCCTGGTCGAAACCGTCGAGCTCGGTGAGAAGTTGGTTCAGGGTTTGCTTTGCGTAAGCGGCATCACGTTCATTACGCTTGCCACCGATAGCATCGAGTTCGTCAATAAAGATGATCGCAGGCGATTTTCCACGGGCTTGGGTAAACAGGTCGCGAACGCGCTTGGCGCCTACACCAACGTAGACCTCGTCGAACTCAGAACCAGACATGTAGAAGAACGGGACGCCGGCCTCACCGGCGACAGCGCGAGCGAGGAGAGTTTTACCAGTACCGGGAGGGCCAGTGAGAAGAACACCCTTAGGCAGCTTTCCACCAAGAGTCGAGAACTTTTCGGGAGCCTTGAGGAATTCAACGAGTTCCTGGAGTTCTTCCTTTGCCTCGTCGCAGCCATGGACATCGGTGAAACGAGTCTTTTGCATCTCGGGTTTCGCTTGGTTGTCCTGGGCTCCACCAACCTTCTTGATGACACCGGTGGCATCGATGAAGAGAGTGAGAAGGACCAGAGACATGTAGACGGTGAAGGCAAACACTACTATGAACTTGAACCACTTAAAGACAGTTGCGCCGAGGGATTCGTCGACCACAACGTAAAGAGGCTCTTTCTTAGCACCATTGCCTCTACGCGAGACGGAAACGTTACCGCCACGGGTAGTAGAGGCAACAGCCTGGCCAGCAATTTGGGCATTGTCGTCGGATGGATTGGATTCGGACTGACCGACTTTGTCTACAGCGCGGGAGTAAAGGTTATCGACAGAGGGACTTGTAGCATAACGACCCGAGTCATAGCGTTCGACCAGGATATCGTGGTGACCGGCGCGGAGCAGAGCAGAGTAGAAGGCGTTTTGGGCGGTAGCGCTCTGGGGGTTGTTGTTGGCAGTCTTTTCCAAACTGGCAAGCAAGTTTTGCGGGACGCCGCTGGCTGCGCGGGTTTGACGGAAGATGGACTGGGTGTGCGAGAGTGGCGTACGGGAGATTGTGGCAAGCGAAGGACGATAGGATGCGCACGAAGAGTAAGGCTGGGTGCGGAGCACTGTAGAGGTCAGCGTGCTGATTCGAACATGTAGAGAGTCATGGCGGATGAGTGTCGGTGTCGTACCACTGGCGACAAGCGAGGAAGTCGACGACGAGACGGACCGCCGCGACAGCTGTTTGAGTGCGGCAGAAGCAGATGGCCACAAGGCAATCTGTAAAGTCATGTCAGCGGTTGCATGAAGGAAGGGCGAGTGGTTGGCTGCATACCTGGGCGCCGCGAGAGGCCATGATTGCGCCTGGAGACGTGGCAGACTCGGTCGGCGATCAGAGCAGACACAGCTGAGTGAGGTGCTGTGGGTGGAGCGAGGGAATGTATGCGAGTGTGTCGTGTATACGGATAGTGATGAGAAGAGATGGTCTTGTCTTTGCCGCCGACAAGTCTCAAGGTGTAGACGCTCCGGTCGCCTCGGCGTTTGGGCCCGAGCAGATGACGCTCACCAACACTCCCGACCCCGGCAAACACGAGCCAGAAGCTTCGAGCGTGCCCGCCGTTTCACCTGTTGCGACACTATCTCAACACTAACGTACCCATCACCACAACATCTCACGTGGCAGGATAAGCAATATACGACTTTCGACATTGGCCTCTACTGCCTGAAGAACACCATTATACATAGCCATACATTACGTCTCGAAAGCAGAAGGAGCGACAGCGATAACCACCACCAGACTCGCCACAATCAGCGCTCCCGCCACGAACGAGACAACCATAATACTACCTCTCGAGGCTGGAAACTTGCCACGAATCACATAGTGCTGACTCTCAAAGTACCGGTGGAACCCAAGCAGAAGGATAAGAATTGCTGTTCAATAAACATCAGTTTCCATGTACGAAAGCCTGGAGTCTGTGTCGACAACTTACACACTCCGAGGAACGTCACTCCTAGTGGCTTGCCCAGTTGCCGCAACTTTGCTCTGTTGATGTTGTTGACTGAACTTGGCGCTGATGCTAGATCTGAATCTGACTCTGAATCTTTTTCGTTTGCAATCGATGTGTTGAGTCTGAAGAGTTGCGTAATGGCGATACCGATCGATGCGAACGAGAGTGATGTGCGCAACCATGCCAGAAAGGTGCGCTCTTCAGTTCTTGTCAGTCCTGTGTCTCCAAGCGTGGAGGAAACGATCGCAACGTACCCAGTGCAAGATGGTCGCGTGCAACACTGCCCTTGTTCTCAAGCTCGACGCTGCCGTATTTCTCGACAAGCTGTCTCCAATAGACTGCTCTGTCCGCGTCGTCCTCAGAGTCTTGACCGATACTGCCTTGTCTGGAATCTCTGCCTCCACGCGCACTCGCAGTCCTCTGAGATGTGCAGCTCTTTCTTCTGCGTTCGATCGGGCTCAACTCTCGGTCGAGTTCTTCTTCAGCTGCCCCCTCGTATCCTGCTATCGCAGTGTGTTCTGAATTCGTAGTCCCATATGTTCCCACGACACTCCTGCGTCTGACGATCGCCGTGTTTTCGTCTGCACTGCTCTCGGCTTCATCGCGGACTCGATCAGGGTTCGAGTTGTTGCGTCGTGACATGAATGATGATGACCTCTCAGAGCCGTCTGGTCTGGCCGATACAGTAGAACAAAATGTGACACTACGGCGAGGTTCGAGCGACGGCAAGACTCCGGCTGGAGTCAATGAGTTGGATGAAGCCTGTCTTGGTATGTTCTTTGAGCCAAGTTTCAGATTTCGCTCTGGGCTCTGGCGAGGACTTGTTTTGGGGCTCGATTTCTGGCGACGACCTGGACTGGGTCTGGGACTTGACCGGGGACTGTTTTTCTTCTTCTGCTGTTCTGATTCTATAGGCTTTGCGTACGGTTTTGGTGGGTGACCTTCAGTCTCGAGATGATCGCCGACGTCCTTCTTGTCGGTGGTAATCGCAGCAGATGTGACAGGTTCCTTCTGGTTGTTCAGTGGCGTGGATGTTGAGGGATCAGAGGTAGGAGGCGCTACTTTATCGGGCCTTGTTGAGTCTTCTTCGAACTCGCTAGCGGTAGTGCTATGATAAACACCTCTCTTGGGCCGCTCGATCTCACTCTCGCTGGTAAAGTCATAGAAGCGATGGTCACGGCTGCTCGACCAGGAAGAGAAAGGCGGCACGGGTGTCGACAGATTGGCATGGGTACGCAACGAGGGGTTGGTAGGTCCCGGCCTCGGTGTGATGAGATCACTTTCAGATTCATAATCCGTTGCCGACCTGGAGCTGTCTCCCTTCTCGGAAGTTGATGCAGGTGAACACGGTAGAGGCATGACAGACTAGACCGTTTATTTTGGTGGCTGGGTATGGTTCAAGATTGTACCCAGATGGCGTGATAGGGCCCAGGCGATGATCCGGATGTCGTGATTGACTTCGAGATTCCTGCTTCTGAATGCCGGACGTTCAAGTATTCTGCGATCCGGAGGCTCTTCTCAGAAGGAAGAATTTGTTTGATGGATTACCGCTGGCGAGATCGACCGGCAGTGGACCACGCGGACAATGAGCTGAGACTCGAAAAGCGTCGAAATGATTAGGGTCAAGGTGAGCTCGAGTTAGGTCACGAATCGATACCACGAATATTGCTCTTGCTCCTGGGTCAGCTCAAATGGTTGCATCGCTGTGCGCCCGTAAGAGGCGGCTGTTTTCGATGAAAATGTCAAGATCAGATTCTGCTTCTGGTTGTTGAGATGCTTGAAATTAAGGATGAGGTGCCTCCGGCCACAGTGGATCTTGATCGGCTGTCGGTCTCTTGAGCGACCCCGCAGCCCTCGATGTAAGCAACATTCAAGGGACGGTGTGCACCTAAGGGAGCCTTATCTCAAACATGCAGCTCAGGTTCTTCTCTGCAATTCGCTAAAGATAAATCTGATGCGGCTCGCAGGCTCAGGGAGCCGCGCGGAATGGTAGACCCTCCCGTAGCAATCAACCAGCCGTCTACTGACCACGAATGAACAAAACACGCTTTCCCTTGATATACAACTCCATCTACAGTAATGCACATCTCTTACCGTCCTTCCAATATGCAGGTAATCGCAAGACCTTGATCCCCGGTCATCTAGACTTCTTTGACCCATCCGGCGGGCACAAGGCCTTTGCCCTGTCCACCTGCTCTTTCGACCTCGCACCATCCATCACCTTGGTCCGGTGCGATCAAGACCAATCTCTCGCCCTCGTCCATACTTGCTTCGCCCTCGCCACTAGCTTCGTACGTGTATAATGCTTCGACGTATTTCAGCTTCTTGGCACCGCGTTTGGGAGCTACGACCGGACCCTTCTTCTTGGTCGATGGTGCAGAGGAAGCGATCGATGTGGCTAAGCTGGTGATGGATGCGCGATGGCTTGGCTGCGATCTGACAGGTGACGAGGGCATCATCTCGACATAAGAGGCAGGAACAAGACCTTCGCCAGAGCGTGTGCGGACCTTCATCCAGCCAACGCCATCTATATACATTGTTAACTTTTCAGGATTAGGAAGCGATCAGGGAACTTGGCTTACCATCTGGTTCGACAATTGTGACTTCGGCACCTTCGTCCACGGTGATTTCGCCATCACCACTGGCCTGGTAAGGATACATCATCTTGCCCCGAGGCTGGCCATCTGACGAGTCTCCATTGCTGCCTGCGTAGTGGTCTGGTGGTGGTGCCAGAATGCGACGCTTAGCTGTGTTTGACCGCCCAAGGTCGTTGGCACTATCAGTCGAAGTTGAGGGCGGGCGGACGTTTGTTCCAGATAGGCTGCGATTCGCACTTGCAGCGTAGCCCGATGAGAGTGTGTTCATGCTACCCATGGTGTCGGTTCTGTTGAGACGTGGCATGTCATTGACTGAATCAGATGAGCCTTGTGCCGCAGCATTCGCTGCTGGGGGAGCCGATGTCGAAGCTGCAGCTTGTCGCTCGGCCTTGATCTTCTTCTTTTGCTCCTTGTCCAAGGGACCTGGACAATTTGCGGGTACCTTCATCTGACACTTGCTGTGACAGATGAAGCCGCAGTCCTCACAATCGAAGCCCTTTGCTGACAGACCCCACAAGCGGTCGCCACAAAGATCGCAATTTGTGGGCAGCTTGAAGGTCTGAGACTTGAAGGCGTGGTTCTGAGCACCAATGCTCAAGTCACCCACAGCAGTTGCAATGGTGCTAACCTCGACTTCGCATGTCACCTTCTTCCTCTCCGCTTCGTGTAGCGATTCTTGTAGGTTGAATTGTGCCCGTACAACTTCGACCTCATCACGCTTGTCTTTGCCTTCTCTAATTGCTTGACGTACACGCTTCGCGCCTTCGACCTCACGGCGTTTAGCTTCACACTCTCTGCGCAGCTCGTTCAATTGTCCCTTGCTCTTCATCATGATGTTTCGAAGGAAAGTCTTGCTGAGATCGTCCGAGGCCATGACATCGTCATCTAGCCATACTGGTGAGGGTTCAAATGTGAAGTCGGAAGGATCTTGCCAGTTGGCAGCGTTGTGACGAACGAACATCATGGAGTCGAGGACGGGGTTGTTGCGTGGTATCTCAGCCGAGAGATGCTCGAGTAGCTGAGTGGATCGTGAAAGGGTTTGTGTCTCAATGGTCGCCGCTTGAAGCCACAGAGTGTTCAACTTGGCCACACGGGTCTCGGACAAGTCTTGTAGCGAGTCCAGCAGGTCGGGAACGTATTCGTGATAGTAGCGCTCTTTCTGCTTGTTGGTGACGTTGATTGAGATCAAGTACGTGTTCTTCACGTTGCGCATGTCTGCTTGGATCTGTACATAGGCTGTCTGGGCCTTTGTCTTGCCGTGGTCGAAACTACTGTCGATCTTCTTTCTGCGGCTCTCGACGTCCTGGCAGACGCTGTCGTACTTTGCCTTGGTCTTTCGTAAATCACCATAGGTGTTGTCACGCTCTTTCTCGAGTTTGGCGGCATAGTCGGCATGGTGTTTGCGGAGGTCTTCGCATCGAGTGGACAAGTGCTTGATGGGATCTGCAAGGTGAGAGACAAGTTGAGTCGCAAAGCGATCGTGCTCCGCAGCGCGGTTCTCGAGGGTCGTGAGTTGAGTTGCCCAGGTGGTCATGGAAGCACTAGACAGTGCGGGTCAGTACAGGGACTCCCCGGGTGGACAGAGACCCGGGCATACCTCTCCAGAGAACCAGGAGTGACAGTCGGAGTATCTCCAACACTCAGACTGCTCTGCTTGCGGATCTTCTTGTCAAAGTACTTTTTGGCAAGGGCATTGAGTTTCTGGCTGTACTCCTTCTCTATGGCGCTGCGTTCACGGTAGAAGGCTTGTACGTCGTCCAGCCACGCGATACCGCCCAAGACCCAGGCATTCACTGGTTTGAAGCCATCCTACGCAAGCATGTCAGTTGGTTGTTAGTCGAACACGATCCAGCGGATCGGCAACCGACCAACCTTCAACTCGGCGCCGAACTGCGGCGCGATATCAATCTCGGCCATGCAGGAATAACAAGTTGTAGAGGCAGGGTGAGACGGGGATTGCAGCCGGCCACAGCGGCTTTCTACACAGAAACAATGCAAGTAGCCTTGAGAAAGAAGACACGCAGTGCGTCGACTGTTGGCAGGCTATCGTATGGCGGCCCAAGGAGAGTGGCTATTGCCAAGGCGGGGTATCAGGTATCACCATCGGGCCCAGCCCTCGCCGGCTGAAGTCGCATGCCTACCGGCCCGGTATCGACTATTGCGACGGGAAGGAAGTCTGGCCTGTTTTCATGAACAGGCAGTATTCGTCAGTCTGGACTACAAGAGTACCGTACGAGTGTGCGCAGCAGTAGACTATCTAATCCATCTAAACGTGGTCGCATGTAGTGGGGAAATGACTCTGGTGGACGGCATGCATGTTCTAGGCCGAGGAGGGGTCTATAGCGGACCTGATGCACAAGATCAATCTACCTAGATTTTGACTACGGAGAAATAGGATTAGGAGAGACTGGACCGCTAGATGGAACACAATTAATCTCGGTATTCTTGAAAATCACGGCAGCTTCGATTGCAGGGGAAAGAGCAAACGGAGCGCCTTCCTCAAATTACCCAACTCGGCTTAGCAGGTGTTTGGGCAGGAGCAAACGTCACTCAAGATTTGTTAGTGAAGCTGCAGTTTGGACAAAGAACATTCCACCGCACTTTCGCTCCTTCTCATTTCATCAACACCCGCGCCTGCGCATTCTTCTCTCACTCATCACAACCATGTCTAAATCCTTGGGCGACCGCATGACTTTCCCGGACGAAAAGAAGCTCGACTGGGCTGAGGAAGCAGAAGAGATGGACAACCAGACCAAGACCCAGACACAACATTCTGCCCCTGCCGCAGACGCCGCAGCACCCGAAGAAGCCACACCTTCAGATCAGATCGATGGCGCCTCCGTACCTCAGTTCGGCTCAGCGCTGCTCGAACCTGAATTCGACGTCAATGTCAAGCTGAACGATCTCCAAAAAGACCCCAACGATCCCTTGTATTCCGTCAAAGAATTCCGCGATCTCAACCTCCCCGAATCCATCCAAAAGGGCATCTTGTCGCTGGGTTTTACAAAGCCCTCCAAGGTCCAGGAACGCGCCCTTCCCATGCTCCTCCAGAACCCTCCTCAGAACCTCATCGGCCAGTCGCAGTCTGGTACAGGAAAGACGGCTGCCTTCGTTCTCAATATTCTCGCGCGTCTCGACTTGACACTCCAACAACCCCAGGCTCTGGTCCTCGCTCCTTCGCGTGAGCTGGCTAGACAGATCCTCGGTGTCGTCCAGGTCATGGGTGGTTTCATGGAGGGTCTCAGCACATACCAGGCCGTGCCTGACCCGTCAACACGCGGTCAGCAAGTCACTGGGCAAGTCGTCGTTGGTACTCCTGGAACCGTCATGGATCTGGCTCGTAGAAAGCAGCTGAACACACGCGGTATGAAGGTGCTTGTCTTGGACGAGGCCGACAACATGCTCGACCAGCAAGGCCTCGGAGACCAATGCAAACGTGTCAAGCAGCTCCTGCCCAAGGACGTCCAGACAGTCCTTTTCTCCGCCACCTTCCCTGAAGAAGTCCTCGCCTTCACTGCTCTCTTCGCGCCGAATGCCAACCAAATCACTCTCGAGCGCAACAACCTTACTGTTAAGGGCATTAAGCAGATGTTCCTCGATGTCAGCAAAGACCAGGACAAGTACGAGCAATTGATTAAATTCTACGGCCTCATGACAATCGCCTCATCCATCATCTTCGTCCGCAAGCGCGACACGGCCGACGAACTCTCCAGGCGCATGACAGCCGAAGGCCATCACGTCGTCACCCTGACCGGCGGTCTCGAAGGTACCGAGCGCGACGCAGTCATCGACCAATTCCGCGAGGGCACCGCCAAAGTCCTCATCACTACTAACGTCCTCGCCCGCGGTATCGACGTCCAAACAGTCACCATGGTCATCAATTACGACATCCCCGACAAGCCAGCTCCAGGTCGCGGTTACGTGCCCGATGCTGAGACCTTCTTGCACCGCGTGGGTCGTACCGGACGCTTCGGCAAAGTCGGCGTTGCTCTCACCCTTGTCCACGATAGACGCAGTTGGGAAATGTTCAACGAGATCTGCAACGAGTTGGGTATCAAGCCTACTCAGCTCGACACCGAGGACTGGGATGAGGTGGAGCGTGTGGTCAAGTCTATTATCAAATCGGGACGCAACAAGAAGGTTGGAGGTGACTCCATGGGCGATGAGTAAGGGCTTGTGTGCTAGACGGATTCGCTGGTTGCGCTTTGAAGATGACGGATTCTACGAAAGAAAGAAAGTTACGATAGACAATCTGCCGGTAATGAGAGAGGGGATCAAAGAAAGCTCCTCTAGGGAAAGGATGAGCTAACGAAACAATCAAGTCCATCTCCATTCACATCATGTTTCGGACAGGTTGTGTCCTTCGACATGTGCTTCGTACCTGAATCTTCTCAGCATCACTCGTCTCGCCTGCAGTTGTCGCAAATCTCTGAGGAACAAATCAATCGGAGTTGAAATGTTTCTGCTTTGTGACTCGGGTTGCTACCTCTTGTGCCTGAGCTTTTATGAGCGCGCAAGAGTAGGTCCCTCTAATCTCGTGTCAACCTCACCCTTTGTGCAGACCACGAGTAACCAACGGTAGTATTCTACGATCTCTTGATTGTCAATCTCGCCTCCATTTGTTCGTAGCGAGGACCGATTGGAGGCCAGGGTGCCACCATCTGCACCCCCTTTTTTTTCTCTTTTTGTTTGTCAAGCACAAAAAAGACAACCCATTGTACCAAAATATCAATTTCGCGGAAAAAAAAAAGAAGACATACCACATACGAATGAATTTAGATGTACAATTATAATGAGTAGAAGCATAGTGCAACTCTCAATTAAGTGCCATGGACATAAATACAGAACCAGATGTGTAGAATGAAAGATGATCAATTCATGGCTACAAGAAATGTTCAAAGAGGATCTGGCGATATATATCAGTGCAGTATCTCGACAACGGTGCAACCCAGAGATGGAAGTTGAAGAGCGAAGAATAAAAAAAGCTGTTGGAATACGATGATGTTCATGCCTGGTCATGTCAAAGCCAACCACATCTATGCATATCCAGAGGACTTCACGAGAGGTCTGAGAGCAAGGTGTAGAATCAACAGAGATCCTGACAACTACAAACATAAGAGCAGATGAATGTGGGAAGTGAGTATCCTGTCAGTAAGGGACAACTCTATGCCTGTATATATCAAAATCACTCTGTGCATATTTGGAAAGAGTCACGATGTAGCTGATCAAAACGCAGCACCCGTGATAATTGGAAAACCACAAAATCGTGTTGTTCTACCGCGACAGGGGGATGCATATGACCCTGTCGTCCTTGAACAGGAAGAGCCTGATAGAACAGAAGTTGGAGAGTGAGACAACGAGCATGGCTGATAGACGCTAGAGAAAAGGTAGCCCACACTATGAAGCGATAAGGCTGGAGTTTTTCACGAGCATCGAAGAACATGCAGTACGATCGTCCGAATCGACAGACCGACAAAAGTGAGGGGTAGGGGGTGGGAACAGAAATATCGACGCCCTACACTAGGTGACTAGGCGCAAAGTAAGTGTACGGACGAAGGATTGAGTTGCTGAAACGACAAGCTCCAGTACTTGGGAGAAGGGCAAGTGAAAGGAAACGACTGTTGGTGTATGAAGGATGGTTAACCGTGAGGGATGCAGTCGATCGTACGTCGTTCTCCTAGTTGAGTACTTGCCAAATTTTTGACCTTTCTTATGCGTGCAGGGATGACCGGAGTGCTGCAGGCGAATCGAATCCCCAAGCAGACATCATGATCCAATCGTGCTGTTGCCGAAGCTTGATGTCACAAAGCTTGCGATTCATTGAACATGAGCTCGCATGTTGAACCAGACCCAAGAAAGCCAAGAGAGTTTGACGAAAGCTAGAGCATCAGACTAGATATTAGGTGAGTAGTTGGTATAGAAAGCAAGATTCGATAGTGACGGTTGGAAAATGTTGAAACAAATCTAAATCCATCAGCAAGTCATCGTTGACACCTGTTCAACAGAGGGCCAGGATCGAAGAGCAAAGCCGTAGGTATCATACGACCCTGGAAGCGTGAGGGGCATGTGATAGAACATGTGGGTAGCCAAGACTGTTGACTGCACAGCCGTTCGAGGTTGCAGACTTTCACTTCAGATGGAAGCAAAAGGGTGGTTTGCAACAGAGCTGACCTGTTGCAGGCATCTAGACATCAACATGATGTGTCTCGATATTCTGGTGGGTACAAACCTCGAACTTACGAATGACAGCTTAGCCTGAGTTCAGGAATGAGGAAGAAACCTGATTTACGAATGTGTCTCATCACCTGTATGTGGGTGCCCTTTTATCCCGATAAGTTATTTCCGGAGAGTAGCTGGAGTCGAGTGTGCGTGTTTGTTTGGCAGTCAGCATGCAGTGGAAAAACCGTTGATGAAGAACAAGTACGTAGCTAACGTTGAACGAACTGCATCGCACACGAAGCCAAATCTGAAACAGATGGTTTTGGTAGTATACAACGTAGAACGAAGCAAACAAAGTCAATATCACAAGCTCTGATTTGACACTGCAGTCTGAACTTGGAACTTACAGTTGAAGTAGCCAAAGGTGGTGGTTGTTGTCTCTTCGTGTTCAAGGTTCTTGATGATGTTTGCTGGACAGTCTGGAAAGAAGATATTGTTCGAACGTGATAAGTTAGAGTGAAGTGGGTACTGGAAGGCTGGTTTAAACGTCAGAAGTTAACATCTGAGAAGACGGAGCAGAGACATGTGACTCGGGGGACGGTACTGAACGGGTGTCGCCATGAGAGACACGTTCTTGAGACAGTAGCTCTTGCTATCTAAACATAAAGCCTTGGTAGAAACGGAACATCATACTTGCATCATACAGAGTGTTAACTTGGAGAGACGTTACAGCCTGTCAATTACATGTACTGTATGGTTGGGATCTGTAGACAGGTATTTATATCGCAACCCGCAGACCAGAGACTTGCAATGTTGTTTAGTGTTGCTTCACTGACCACCGATTGATTTGCTGGATACCCTGAACTTGTGGCCTCTGCACGCAAGCCTCTTTGAGTTTGGAACAGGCCTCCCAGAGCGTTGGCAAGTGGGGACGTGTGTCGGTCGGGATCCCTTTGATAGGTATGGCTCCATCAATGACCCACTCAGTAGACTGGTCTTACTTTCAACGACAAAGGTGAACGACGTCCCATGATTGCAGATGCAACTCTCGAGTCTGAGTATGGCGAAAACAGGCAAGGGAACCGATTGATTGCGCATATGTGGAAGCTACACTACAGGTGTCCAGAGAATAAAGCAAGAGCTACGATCCAAGCAAAAGGTTGAAGGTCTAATATAGTATGCATTACCGTACAAGCGGTACAAGATTCTAGCACCTTTCGCGAACGATCACTCCAGACAACACAGTTGGAACAACTGCTCGAGAGAAATACTATTTCTGGTTCTACACCGTCTGGTATACCGAAATGAAATGGGTATAGTAAAGATAGACGCTAAAAACAAAATGTGAAAAAAGACAGTATACCAGATGGCAGACCCACCATCAACATTATTTTTCCCTCCCGAGTAATGAACAATAACACGAATTACCAACGTGCTGGTATGTCGGAGGAATCGTCATATCCAAGTGCTCCGTCGAATGTGGGTCGAGTTTGACCCAACTGAAACTCAGGAAGGTTTGGTACGTTCAGTGAGGGCAGTTGAGAGTAGTCCTCTAGTGGGGCTTGGAGTTCCGAAAGGCCTTGGAAAGCATCCTGAGGCTGCTGAGAGAATCCTTGAGGCTGTTGGGTGAAGTTTTGAGCTTGATAGAAAGAACCTTGAGGCTGTAGAGTAAAGTCTTGAGACTGATGGAAGGCATCTTGAGACTGTTGGGTGAAGTGCTCAATCTGATGGAAGACGTCTTGAGGCTGTTGGGAATAGTTTTGTAGAGGGGTTTGATGTTCTGGAAGACCTTGGGAGTAGTCTTGTAGAGGGCTTTGGTATTCCGGAATACCCTGGAACACATCTTGGGTTTCCTGTGACGAAGAAGAATATTCTTGCTTGAGCAGAACCGGAGGCAGAACCGGCCTGTCGAACTCGCAGCCGCGACCACACATATGCGACCAAGCACCGCTCGACGATTGACTGAGTTCAGGGCATGTGAGGCATGTGCAATCGAAAGAAGCACAGTTCTGACACCCAAATTGTGCTTTGGGAAATGAGCTAGGAATGTTGAACAAAGATGATGCTGGTTGCATCAAAGGTTGCGCAGCTTGTGATCGTGAGCTACAACAAGACTTTGTAGGATTTGCAGATGGCTGTGCGGCTATTTGCTCTTCCTGGGCCATATGTGCAGCGAATTGCTGTAGCGCCGTCGTATCTGCCTGTATCGTCAAGTCCTGATACTGTGGCTGGATGGCAGCTGGCTGGAACTGAGGAGTGTACTCAGTGGGTTGGAACGCTGCCGGGGCGAATGCGTTGCCATAGAAGTCAAATTGAGGTGGCGGGACCGGATGGTATGCCATATGTTGATCATGCTGTACCATCTGTCCGGGATGTACAAACGGCATATCAAGGAGTGGAGGTACCGGTTGGTATGGCAGAGGATGTTGATGGTACGCGTAGAGATTGGCGGCTTGGAGGGCTTGCTCGTGCGCTTGTGCTTGTTCTTGAGCTATCCGTTGCTCGTTCACAGCCTTGTTGAGTTCATCTTCGTCGTCGTACATGGTGGCTGTTGGGATGCCTCCTGCCCTCAACTCCGCCCATTGCTGCTCGTCGAGAAGACAACAGAGCTTGCGTAGAGCCTTGCAGTTGCACCCTTGAGATGCGGGATGTCCACAATTCTTCGCTGGCCTTCCTGGGTCAGGACGTCTGTACAGGACCTTGTCATGATGCTTGACAGGATCACATTGTGGTGCTCTGTGACCAGCAATGCAAGTCAAGCTGCGACATGCGTTAGCAGCCGATCATCAAAGGCTCGAAACGAGAGAAGCGTATCACGAAAAGCGCATGTCGAGAACATCGGACGATGACACTTAGCGTGAATATCTCCTGGGTGCGAACACTGATCCAGCGCGCAGCAAAGCTGGAGTAGAGATAACTGGAGCGAAGCCTCGTTTCATATGATCGAAGGTGAAGGACTGACAAGGCAGGTGGGACGTAGGCACTTACCAGGCAAATTTGTAAACCCTGTTGTTGAGACGATTTCTGATGCGTATCAAGTCTTTTCTGCTCGGATCTTTGATGGCTGGGCGACGATTATTCTTAGATCTGGGTGGTGTTGGTGGTGTAGGTGGTGTGGGATCCTCCATCTTGAGTGGAATGTGTGCGTGAACGTGAGTGTTCGAGAAGAATAATAGGCTATGCCCAGAAGGTATTGGGTGATTTTGCGTGAGGAGGTTGAGAGAGTGTGAGAACGGGAGGGAGAAAGAGCAAAGCAGAGGCTCATCTTATAAAGGCTAAGAAATTCGACACTCACTGTGCGAGGTAGATTCGGGAGTAGTCATGGTCCACGTGGTAGAGTGGTAGAGGGAAAGTACGACCGTCTCTTGCGAAAGTCAATCAGAGGCCCTGGGAAAACGGACGAAGCAATGATGCGCTTGCTCGAGAGGGTGGAGTCACGACTTCGAAGAATTTTCCAAGAGTTAGTTCCATAGGACGCTATTCTTCGACTCCTTGAATATGGTCAGACGAGGTTGGAGGAGTGGAGGTAAAGTCGTTGACTCCGATCCCCAGCGAAGACGAGCCTCTCGCACGGACCTTCGGATCTCGATCCCGCATAACCTTAAACCGGATCGCTCAGCTCAGGGAAAAAAATCATTCAGAAGAACAAGCACCACATCAATTATTCATCGACCCACGACGACATGTCTGATTCAGAAGGAGAGCTGGGTATTTTTGAAGAGCCCGAAGGCTTCTACGAAGCTGAAAAGGAACCCACCTTTGTGGAATATACTTTGCAAAGTGGTTTGAAGCTGAATCTACGTCTGGTCGGCCATAATCCTCTTTGGGTAAGTCTTCTAACATCAACTTCTGCTCGCGAATGTGGAGTCATGTATGTTTGAGACCTCGGTAGCTGTGATCGTCGCGTTCTCAATGCGCTCGTGCAGTCCCCAAGCCTGTAGTCACGAATGATGCAACTTGAGCCTCTGTACCGGCCACACATGGCACGGAAATCTCGTACAGTGCGACCGAGCAATGGATCATGATCAGAGGCGTCTACTTCTGCAGCCTCATCACTTCCAGCAATACCATACAGAAATCGGCCGGGAAGATTAATGGTTCTTGATCATTGGCTGACAGCAGACACAGGGCCATTTTCTCTGGAACGCAGGTCGTACGATCGCTCTGCACTTCGAAAGCAACCCTCAACTTGTCAAGTCCAAGACTGTCCTGGAACTCGGCGCTGGCGCTGGTCTGCCTTCTCTTATTTCGGCACACCTCTCCGCTAAGCGTGTCGTTGTCACAGATTATCCTGATGCTGATCTTATAACCAATCTATCCTACAACATCAAAGCTTGTGCCCCATCGTTCCCAATTGTTGCCAAAGGATATCTTTGGGGTGCTGACCCCTCACCTCTGATTGAGGAGGCCAGTCCAGATAAGGGGTTCGATGTCTTGATCCTCGCCGATCTGTTATTCAATCATTCCGAGCACGGCAAGCTTGTTCAGACTGTTACGAAGTCTCTGAAGAAGGACGGTACCGCGCTTGTGTTCTTCACTCCGTACAGACCTTGGCTGCTGGAAAAAGATCTGGCCTTTTTCGATCTAGCAAAGGAGAACGGATTGGTCGTTGAAAAGGTTCTAGAGAAAGTCATGGACAAAGTCATGTTCGAAGAAGACCCGGGTGTACGTATTTTCCTATTGCGAAGCTTCCCGCTTGCACTGACTATATTATTTCCAGGACGAACTTCTGCGCCGAACCGTCTTCGGATACGAGATGAGATGGGCATAAACACTGATCTTCAGGGGCAGTCATTCGATCATAAAAGCCAGGTCGCGACGTCTCTTCATCGATCGAGGCATTTACGTGTCAATTCGTTATGTACGTAGACTGAGACTACAGGTACTGCGACCAGAGTTTGGCAAGGAGCAGTCAAGCTGGACCAGCGTAGCCGTTTACCAACCGCCAGGACCTCCACGGCCACCTTGAGGTCCACCGCCCATACCCCCAGGACCTCCGCCCATACCTCCCATGCCTCCAGGACCGCCATGGTGGCCTCCGTGTTGACCGCCATGGTGTCCTTGACTGCCCATGCCCATACCACCCGAACCAAATTGTCCGCCGTGTTGCGAAGGTCCACCAAATCCTCCATTTGAATGGTTACCACCGAACTCTTGACGGCCGCCGAACTCTTGACGACCTCCGTTCATACCCATACCGCCACCCATTCCCATGCCACCACCTCCGTAGCCACCTTGAGGTTGGCTGTAGCTCTGTTGGCCGAAGCCTTGTTGTTGGTGTTGAGGAGGACCCCTGATGATGGTCAGTCGAGATGGAAAAAAAGTTTGCGAGGATGCAAATGCATACATGTATTGCTGTTCATGCTTCTTGTCACCGTGGTGAAGAACCTTTTCTTCAATCTTGTGAATGAGACCCATATCTTCTAGTGTTGATGCTGGCGTGATTGTTTTCTTTGATTGGTAGGTTGATTTGCTGGTGCGAGATTCTGATGGATTTTCCTTGATATACTGGAGGCTACGATATGTCCTTCTTTCAATCTCTTTATAAACCACCTGTATCATCACTTCCAAGTTCCTTCAAAATCGATTTGATGCCCCATCTACGCAATAGCATGACATCAGTTTATATCTTGGCATCTACGTCTTCCAAGAAGAAGTCGGGTTTGACGCGCGGACTCTCCCAAAGCTGGAGGAAGACATGACTTGTGCCCGCCCTTGCCAGCCCTTCAACAATGACAACAATGACTAAAGCCGGTCGCAGCTTCGAATGTTGCCAGATTGCCATCGAACAATGAAGCCGTCGTCAGTCGCAGCTTCGGACTAACCACCGCAGCACAAACTCTGCATCTTCCAGCAGATCCTCGTGACTGTCCAGAACCCCCCATCGAACTCACCAATCAATCGTCACCTCACCTCCCCCTCAACTCAACTCTGCTCTACGTCTGCTCTACCTCTTACACGGTTAATCGCTCAACTCGCTCAAATCCCATCGCAACCACTTCCAAAAAACCTGACCACCGGAACCAGTTCCAGAACAAACTTTTGCAGAGTCTCTGAAAAAGTGGAGCTGGCTGGCACAACAGAGTTCAGTATTCAGCGAAGCAATGAACAACCAATCGCAAAGCACTTTTTTCAACATCACTCCATCTACTTTTTCCACAAAACGGGTATACTAAATGTCAGCTCATCACTACGACGGGCATATTGTCGGCGTTTCGGGGAAAAAGTGAAAATCAGAACGACATTGACTTCTGTGAAAATGAGAGGGGGAAGAGGGAAAGAGAAAAACTGAGATGGGGAAGGTGTGTTCGCGACAGGAGACAGCGAAATGGCACTTGCAAGGCCTTTTGGATCTCTTGACAGGACAAGTCTGGTCAGAAAACCGCCAAAGGATTCTCTTATCGGGCAATGTCTGGCAAAGATGCAAAAAGAGGATTTTGAGTGGTGAAGAGAGTGCAAAGACTTGAATGATGGTCCTTCTGTATCGAACTGTGAGCAGCGACAAGAAATGTATCCAGTTCAAATGAGAGCCTTCGTGACATATCGACCGCTCGCTTTGATAAGACTTTGGATCAAACGAGCTCAGAAGATCGATGCATTGTTAATCCATGTCCAATTTTTGTGCTTGATAGTCCTGGGGGCGTCAGCCATGTCTGTTCTGGTAAAAAGAAAGGAATCTATAAAGTTGCGATGCAAAGGTAAGATTAAAACAATGTCTATATAGAATACTATGCGCACTCGTTTCTCTCATCGTGATCTATCAATGCAAAATCTAGATCTTGCTCTCTTTGCCATTCAACTCGCAGAAAGCTTTGAAAGTGACCAGAGGCTCGTCTCCAGAGCTCTCAAGCACGCATGTCGCAGTAGCGCCGACGAAGAAGACATAACCTTCTTTGAGTTCCTCCTCTTTGGGTCCGACGCTGATCTTGCCGGAACCTTTTGTGCAAATGATGATGCTGGGGCCTTCGATGGATTCGAAAGTTGCTTTTGCGCCGGACTTGTTGAGGTCGGTCTTGACGACGCTGAACTCTTCGATCGGAGGGTCGTAGAGGGTGGCGGTGGAGCCGGAGCTGTATGCGGTGGAGTTGAGGGTGACGTAGGGGTAGTCGGTTGGAGACATTTTCTGTTCGCTGATGGGAGCGTAGGAGTATGTGAGCATGTCGGTGAGGTTCTCGACGTCCTTGAACTTCGGGGTGAAGCCGGCGCGTACGACGTTATCCGAGGAAGCCATGCACTCGATGATATCTGGGCAATGTCAGTACATGTTGTAGAGGGTAGAAGAAAGGAAAATCACCTCCGGAGAGATAGGCGTGGATGTCGTCGGCCTGGAGGAACATGGCCTCGCCAACCTCAAGCTTGACGTAGTTGAGGAAGAAAGTGACAAAGAGACCAATGTCGTTGGGAAACTGGCCTTGCAGTCGGAGCATCAAGTCTGAGAGTTCCTTGCCGTTGTTTGAAGGACCGCCACTGCCAGCAAACTTGTCACCCTCGTCCTTTGCTTGCTGGATGAGATCTTTGGCATGCTTCTCAATCTCTTCGGGCTTGCTGTTCATCAGGCCGCGGAACGCAGCCTGCAGAGCCTTCTTGTTCTCAGAAGTCTTGGACTCATCGTCTGTTGTCTCTTGGCCCTTGATCGTCTCTTGGAACTTGTTTGCCTCGTCTTGTCCTACCAAGCTCTTCAAGCTGGGTACAGTGTCGAGGAAGTGTGAGATCTCTTTGAGCGGGCGGAAGCCACAGAGGCCGTCGAAGGGGGTGATGGCAAGAGCCATCTCGGGCTTGTGATTGTCATCCGGGTAGTTCTTGGGGTCCTTTTCGTGCAGCTTTGCGGCGAGCTTCTTGTTGGGGTGGGCTTGGATGGACAGGGCCTTGTTGACGGAGAGGACCTTGAACAGGAAGGGCAGCTTCTTCTGGTACTTTTCCGAAATCTCTCTTGACATCAAGGCTTCATTGTCTTGGACGAGGTCGAGCAGAGTGCGCTGGGTGTTCAGATCCTTGGAGGGGTTGCTGGGGTGGGTGCCCATCCATAGCTCGGCGTAGGGCTTCTCTTCTTCAATACTGAAGTCCGAGGGTGTGGCAGAGGCGAAGCGGGCGGCAGCAGAGTCCTTGCCGACCTTTCCTATTCGGGTCTATCAGTCTTCCGCGTGGGTTATGGTGATTGTCGCAAAGGTGCAATTACCCCACTCATAGCTGTTGCAGCCTGTGATGCGTCATGTCAGTGAGCTGTCACTCTTCATTGCTTCTTGGGCTGTCTTACCGCACTGTAAGCGAATCAAGGGAACCTGCATTTTGATATTCTGTCAGATGTAATGCGACAAGGTGTACTGAGCGACGAGCGATGGTTGTATGCAACGAGATGGAAAAAAAAGAAAGGGGTCATCGTATCGTTGATGCCCCTCCGCGTCACAGCTGACCTCCGAGCTGAAGCTTCACACGGAGCTGCTCGCTCCGAAGCCCCTGGCAGATGCCTCCTCGATTCCTCGACCGTGACCCCTTCACCGTCCCAGCTCGTGCCTTACCTTGTACTTGAGGTCAATGTCCTCCATTTGCTTCACATCTTTGAGAAGTCTGCGCCATCGTGAGACCTGTTGTCGCGTCCACATAAAGCCTTCCATGAAACTCTCCGCGTCAACACTCAGGTCCATCATGCATCCTTCGACCTCAACCATCACAGCACCGTCTATCTCTCACTGTCCGTGGCCAAGTGATATGCTGGACTGACTTCGGAAAGACTGCCAGTCATTGGCCCCATACTCGAACAATCAATTCTCTCAAAACTGTACAAGACTAAGTTTTTGCTTGTCATACGACTGCTCTCATGAGTTTAATCTTTGAGCTCCCTCAGCCCATCTTGAATATAAGTATCAGTTCACCTTCCCTTCTCCTTCTCTTTCCTGCAACTCTGTTGTAACTTGAGCTGGATCAACTACACAATGTTTTTGAAGTTCGTCTCTGTTCTGTGGCTGGTGGCCCTGTTCACCACTACCGTCTTCTCCTTGCCCCTTGATCCATCTTCTCTTGTCCGCAGACAAAAGGGCAATCCCCAACGCGAAACGTTCTGCACATACAACGTCAAGTACTGCAGGGACAATTTCGGCGGATACTGCAAGGAAGCCGACCCTCCACCATGGTGCAGCGTCATCATTGACGCTGCTCCTGCTTCCCCTGTCGACATTGACATGGAGAGCAACACCCTCGTCGCACGTCAGGACGACACCCCTCCCTATGAACTGGCCCACGCATTATTCTGTGAGCACAACGCAGAGTTTTGCCGAACGAACTACCCTCAGGAGTGCATCGGCGGCAAGGATGTGATGCCAGCATGGTGTCATGTTAGTCCTCGTCGCTACGAGCCTCCCAGCAACCTTCCGCCCGAGATATACTGCAAGTACAGCCCAGGGTTTTGCCGAAAAGCCTTTGCTCATCTCTGCAAGGCTGGCAATGAAATGATGCCAGCATGGTGCCACCACGAGTCGCCTCCCACCGAAGACCCTGTCGACGACAAACCTTCTCAAGAAGGGGTCCGCGAAATGTTCTGCAAGCACAATGCACAGTATTGCCGGGAAAACTTCTCCGAGGACTGCAAGCCTGGCAACGGAATACTTCCAGAATGGTGTCACGTTGACCAAATTCCCACAGAGCCTCTCACCGAGGGCCCTGATGACGATAGCCCTGACCCTCCTCCCGAGAGGATCCGTCCAATGTTCTGCAAGTACAATGTACAGTATTGCCTAGAAAACTTCCCTGGGGACTGCAAGGCTGGCAACGAGAGTGTTCCAGTTCCAGAATGGTGTCACGCTCCGAATCCTCCCACCACTCTCTCCAGCTCTCTTCCTACCGACAGCACCACCCTTGTCGCACGCCAAGATGACAATCCCGCCCGTCAGTTGTTCTGCGAGAAGAATGCAGAGTACTGCCAGGAGCACTATCCGGGCTACTGCAAGCCCGGCAACGCCAAGATCCCCTCATGGTGCCACATCAAGCCCTCTTCCACCTCTGTATCTACTTCCGGTCCTGATCTCGTCGCACGTCAAGATGCTTTGGGCAAGCGCACTCCTCAAGATCCCGACAGGGAAGAGGAAGAGGATACTGAGGAGGAGAGGGAGCAGGAGCAGGAGCAAAAGGAAGAGCAAGAGCAGGAGCAAGAGGAAAAGGAAGAAGAGGAAGAGGAAAAGCCTCACCACTTCGAAAGGTCTTGGTGCAAGAAGCACCCTCATCACCCATACTGCTACTCTCAGTTCTGCATTGACAACCCCGGTCGTTGCTAGAAGGAGCCTGAGGGCAAGATGATTTCGGGCCACGAGCACTCGCAGAACATCAGCAAGAGAGACAAGAAGGGAGGGTGGTAATGTTTCCGGCTGTGTTGAGGGACCTTGCTCTTTCCTTGCCTCCCCTGCAATCACTCCCGTTGGCTTCACGCGCTTTTTGACTCTACGCTCTCTAATGTCTTTGTCTACTTCACTCTCTAATATTCTCGTGTTTCCCCCCTGCCTCTTGATTTCCTCCTTTCATCCAATTTTTGCTTTCCTACTATCCTGATTCAACACCCACCGTCACTACTGTCCACTATAACCTTACTCTAGTTCCTAAGTTACACAATTCAAACACCAAAAAAAAAGAGTTGTTCCATCACTCACTTTCCACATCATCGTTTCTCTACTGTGATGTTCAGTGGCCTTCAAAAAAAGATACAACGGTCTGTCCCTTCGAGATAAGCGCCAAGGATCACACTTTCGCTTTCACAAAGGATTGCACCATACATACAGCTATCACAACGCACAGTTCCTCTGAAAAGATGACAATTCCTCAGCGCAGAAAAAAGAAACTCACCGGATACCTCGACCGTAGAGAAGTCAGGAGCTGCTCCTGACAACTTGAAGTTTCACAAGACACGAGGGGG